TCGCTTTAAATAAAAATACTATTTATTAATTACTTTTACATTTGCATGTTTCATTAAGATTAAAGATAAGATTCCAAGGTATCGCGGCTTGTTTCAAGAAGCCATTGAGCATTTTCATCATTTCTTAAAAGCACTGCATTTGCACCTGTGCCACCCACAGAAGTCTGATAACAATCAAAGCCTTCATGCTTTAAATTCGTCATGACTTGATCAATCAAGGTTTGAGGGATATCATCTCGGATAAATGTTACTGCACAACCACCACCTCCAGCACCTGTCAATTTTGTCTTGAATCCAAGTTCTTTTGTAATGGCTCGTACTTTCTCTAGGCTGGGATGACTCACACCAAGACCTGATAGCAAACAATGGTTCAGTTCAACCAGATCCTCTAGTTCGTCCATTAAACTCTCTGAAGTCAACTGATTTTCTTGAAGTTTTTTAAAAGCATCTTTACAACGCACAGCAATGCCATCCATAGCATCTAGCATGGGATTCACAATTTCTGGATAAGCTTGCTTCTTATGAGCCACACCAGCAACAAGTGCACTTGTGGATCGAGGTACTTTAGTGTTGGTCAATAACAAACGTAGTGATTGAAAGCCCTCCAATGTAGTAAAGCCTTTTCCACGCATAAAGGCCTTGGCACCACCAAATGTGGCCACAGCATTGTCAACACCACTAGGATTACCATGGATAACTTCTTCTGCTTTAAATGCAAATGCGTTGATTAGATTCAAATGGGTTTCCCGTTCATGACACTGGTTGAAATCAACAGGAATCATGTTATTTAAGATCAGCAAGGCAGTAGCAATAGCCACTGAATAACTAGCAGAGCTTCCCAAGCCAGCGCCTACAGGTAAAAATGAACGAATACATACTGTAAAGCCATTCACTAGTGGCTCTTTAGCTTTAGACTCAAGAATGACCAACAAATACAAAAATGCCATGAGCGCTTGGTGTTGTGCTTCTTTTGTTGCTTGTCCAACAAGATCATCTAATCTAGACTTGAGTTGACTAGGCATGTCCTTAGGATGACGGGTATCTAGGCAGAGACCATTTGAATATCAGAATAAATAAATAAATTTTGGTACCTGAATCAGGATAATTAAATCTCAAAGGCAATTCTTTCAAATCCCAAGAGCAATGAATGCCTACATCGGGAAGAATCAACTGGACTGTACTGGTCTTAGTTTCTTCAAAATAAAGATAGGAACGAAGGCCTAAAGAAGCAGCCACAGCAGTCTATGACATGTAAATAAGAAATGAAATTATGTATTTCCTACTTTTTGATAAACAACTGAATGTTCGCCAAACAAAATAACTTTTCCGGGTGAAGACACAAGTACACGTTTGTTCATCTCACTGGTGGTCATGATGAAGAAAGAAAAGAAAGGAGTGCAAAGATCAACATGTGCATTCAAGTTCAGCTATTACAATAAATTTTCGTGACTTGTATCAAGAAAAAAACAGGTAAAAATTTTCAATGAGCAGGCAAATTAGAAACTCTTTCTTTTACATTTATCCTAAAAATGTCTGCTGTTGCTGTATGTATAAACCAAGTATCCATGAAGGTATTTATTGTTATATAGGCTAAGTCTGCTACCAAGCCCGGTTTGGAAGAACAAGTTGAAGCCAAGTAAGTAAACCATAATTCTTGAGGAAATGAAGTATTAACATGTCTAAAGGATCCACCGTATCCGTATCACCTTGACTTCTCGTAACGTCAAGAACTTGGAAAAGGTTTCTTCTGACCTCATCCAACGTGCTAAGGACAAGCAACTCAAGGTCAAGGGTCCCGTTCGTCTCCCCACCAAGGTCCTCAAGATCACCACCCGTAAGTCTCCTTGTGGTAACGGTTCTGAAACCTTCGACCGTTTCGAAATGAGAATTCACAAGCGTTTGATCGATTTGCACTCTCCTTCTGAAATCGTCAAGCAAATCACCTCCATCTCCATTGAACCCGGAGTTGAAGTTGAAGTTACCATTGCTTAAATCAATAAAAAAAAAAGTAATTTGTGAATTTCTTTAAGAGAGTGGCTTATACTTTAATCTGTCAAATTTTATTTTAATAATTTAACCGCGAAGAGTTCCTAGTACAAGTGCCAACAGGGCCATTCTGACATAAAGGCCATATCGCATCTGTCTAAAGTAGGCAGCTCTTTGATCAAAATCAACTTCAGGTTCGATTTCATTCACACGAGGCAAAGGATGCAACACAATCATATGAGACTTGGCCTTACTCAAGACATCATTGTTCAAAATAAAGGCATCTTTGACTCGACGATATTCTTCTTCAGTGTCAAATCTTTCTTTCTGAACACGAGTCATGTACAGAACATCAGTCAGTCCAATCACCTGATCCAAAGAGTCATAGAAATGTTGTTTTACGCCAGCTGCTTTTGCTTCCTCCACAATTTCTTTGGGCATAGCTAAAGATTCAGGGCTTACATAATTAATGGTAACTTGATAGTAAGTCAAGATCTTGACTAAAGAATGAACAGTACGACCATTCTTTAAATCACCTACAAGTGTGACATTCAAGCCATTGACAGTACCGAGTTCTTCACGAATGGTAAATGTGTCTAAAAAGGCTTGTGTAGGGTGTTCACCAATACCATCACCAGCATTGATAATGGGTGCCTTGGAATACTTGGCAGCGATCTGAGCAGATCCGGGCTGAGGATGACGAAGGACAATTAAATCAGCATAACATCCAAGCGTACGTATCGTATCAGCAAGAGATTCACCCTTTTGGACAGACGAAGTGGAAGCAGTAACAGGAACCACTTGGCCTCCTAAACGATACATAGCAGCTTCAAAAGAACTGGAAGTACGAGTAGAAGGTTCAAAGAACATAGTGCTCATCACACGACCTTGTAACAAGTTGATAGAACCATAAAGCTCGACCAAATTACGCATTTCATGAGCTACACCAAACAACAAGTGGAGATCGTTACGATCAAATTGAGCAGCTCTCAAGATATGCTTGCGGTAAAAGGGTGAGCGGCCTACAACACGAGCCAGAGAAGCAGAAATCTCATAGCGAGGAGCTTGTAACGAAACTAATTGCTGACCTACAGCACCTGCAAGTTTTATAGAATCAGAGACTCGAGGAGGATGCTTTTCCTCGACAGCTGCTGATTCAAGTACAGCCAAACTTTGTTCAACATGTTGCTTGTGCTTTTCATTTTGTTCAGCAAGAGTTTCGAGTTCTTTGTGGTCGTGTTCTGCTGTGGTCTTAAGGCTTTGTGCCTGGAGGGAAACATCGCGACCAAGTTTGGATTCGTCAGTAAGATGGCTATCCATAAACATGGCTGTTTCATTCAACGTAACTCTTTCGACTGAACCATAGACAGTAATACCAGCCAAAGGGGACCAGTTGTCTTTATTGACAGGCCAGGTAGACTTGCGATCAATGATGATTTCAATGGATGTATCTGGCTGAGGAGGAATACCAAAGATAGCTCGAGGATTATCGTACAGACGTTCAGAGATATCTTTCATTGTCAAGCGTCCATGATTGACAGCACCAAGCAACAAAGGCAGAGCTTCATGAATACCAGCAGTTGCATCTGTTTCTTGACCAACTTCAGCAGCTAGTTTACGAGGCAAGTAGCCCACAGTGAAGCAATCAATAACATCCAAATTTTTCCATAATGCTTCCTGCTCTTTACGAGTAGGCAAGAGCTTGGTGTCGTTGAAATCTTCTGAATGGAAAAACAGGGAATAAATGGCAACATCACAAGTTACAGCTAGTCCCTTCTTTTTACTCATCTTAATCAGAGCCAAATCAGCTTTGCTAATCACATTTGAGACGTGGATAACACGGTTATGAAGCGAAGCCAAGAGTAAGATAGATGCGAGATCAGTACCTTTTGCATCAGTAATAATCAATTGCGAAGTTGGCCAGGATGAGAAGATGGAGTCAAATACAGAGACTTTGCCTGACCCAATCAAGTCTGTATTGATGTACACAGCAGCAGCATCAGAAGCATAGTCTCCAACGTGCGCAGCATTTTCTGCAGTAGCGGTAATGTTCAACAGATAGTCTGTATAAGCATTTTTGTGAGCTATTTCGCTTAGACTATCCAATAAAGTATTGTTCGTAACTCCTCTACAAAAGGCAGAGATGGTGGTAAAGCCAGCAGATAGAGATGCTTTTGCAACAGTAGCGAAGTCATCACTGCTCTTCAAATAAGCATTGATGTTAAATAAGCCAGGTAAATGTGCTTGAGTATGGCTTGTCTTGTAGTCGATGCTAAGGATTTGATTGTCTCTGTTACTTGTAATAGCTTCAATGAACAATTTAGCACATTTGACGTTTGTCAAGAGAGGTACAGAGTAATCAACTGCCATTCGACGGGAACGATAGCCCTTGGACATGTAAGTGGCAGGTCGACGGAAACGATTACGAGAAGGTAAGTTAATATACAAGTCAATCAAATTGTTGGACAAGTGTTGTTGAAGAGAATATTCAGCCTTTAGTTTGTCGTCAGTATCAGCATCCAAGGTATCAAGATGCTTCACAGGAATGTTATGTTCTGAAATAAAATCAGCAGTACCTGTTGTAGCAAAGATTGTGTAGCCCAATTCATGAAGTTTGCGAACAGAAGGTAATAGCTCTTGCTTTTCTTTATAAGAACCAATCGAAAACAAAATGTTCTTTTTTGGTACACGGAAGCCAGTGGCCAACAAGGCTTTTAAATAAGCCTGATATTTGTCTTTGCCAAAACAAGCTACTTCACCAGTAGAGGCCATTTCAACACCCAAGACAGGATCTGCACCAGACAAACGACTAAAAGAGAATTGAGGAACCTTGACACCCACATAGTCTTTAGGAATAGTGACTTTAGGATAAGGTGTTACTGGCAGACCAAGCATGGCAAGTGTAGCCATTTCAATCAAGTCTACGCCCATCACTTTAGAGACGAAAGGCGATGATCTGGCAGCACGTACATTACATTCAATCACCTTAATTTCGTTGTTCTTGGCAATAAACTGAATGTTGAAAGGTCCAGTAATGTTCAGAGCACGACCAATTTTGGCTGTAGCTTCTTCAATCTTGCGAATTGTTTCAGGATCCAAATCTTGAGGTGGTAGGACAAGAGTAGCATCTCCAGAGTGCACGCCAGCATTCTCAACATGTTCAGAAATAACATGCATCAAGAGCTTCCCGTCGAGAGCAACAGCGTCCATGTCCACTTCTTTTGCTTCTTCGATGTATTTCGTAATAACCACAGGGTGTTCACGAGAAACATCTGCAGCCTCTTTGAGATAAGAAGCAAGGTCATCTTTTGAGAACACAACATTCATGGCAGCGCCAGACAGAACGTAAGAAGGTCTCACTAAGACAGGGAAGCCAACGTTTTCACAGAATTTCTCAGCATCTTCATGGTTTGTCAACTCCTTCCAGAGTGGTTGATCGACACCAATGCTATCACACATACGAGAAAATTTGTAGCGATTTTCTGCGTTATCAATCATTTCAGGAGACGTGCCGAGTACTTTGACATTCTGACGATACAAAGGTAATGCAATATTGTTAGGGGTTTGTCCGCCCATGGACATCAAGACACCGGAAGACTTTTCAATTTCGTAGATATCCAAGACTCGTTCTAGGTTGATGTTTTCGAAATAAAGACGATCTGCTTCATCATAATCGGTAGAAACAGTTTCTGGATTGTAATTGACCATAACAGTCTTAATACCTTGTTGGCGAATGGTACGAATGGCACGAACAGCACACCAATCAAATTCAACAGAGGAACCAATACGATACACGCCTGAACCCAAAACCATGATACCTTTGTCATTGAATTCTATATCATGCTCAACAGCATTGTATGTCATATACAAATAGTTGGTGAATGCAGGGAACTCTGCAGCCACAGTATCGATTTGCTTGACAAAAGGAGTGACTCTGTATTCTTGACGCAGTTTACGAACAGCAAGCTCATTACTGTTCAAGTGATTTGCGATTTGACGATCAGAGAAACCAAGTTGCTTTGCTAAACGGATCAAGTTACCAGGAACATTTGCCTTGTTAAATCCATCTAGACGTTTGCCTAAGTCTACAATGTGCATCAATTTGTTCAAGAACCATTTGTCAATATTTGTCATTTCCCATATCTTGTCAACAGAATAGCCCTTATTCATTGCATTAGCGATAGCAAATAATCTTTGATCAGAGGGATTCTTCAATTCAAAATCAATGTCTTTGTCTGCAACAAAAGTATTCTAAGAATACCTTTAGTATATATTAGTCAAAAAGGAATGAGTATACCTGACTAAACCCTACAAAGCCATAATCAATAGCACGAATTGCTTTCTGAATAGTTTCTTCAAAAGTGCGTCCAATGGCCATTACTTCACCAACTGATTTCATGGAGGAAGAAAGAGCAGTGCTGACACGGTTAAATTTTTTGAGATCCCAACGAGGAATCTTGACTACAACATAATCAAGAGAAGGTTCGAAGCATGCACAAGTGACTTTGGTGACGCTGTTTTTGATTTCGTTGAGTGGAATGCCTAAACCAAGCTTGGCAGCAACAAAAGCAAGAGGATAACCAGTAGCCTTTGAAGCAAGGGCAGAAGAACGAGAAAGACGAGCATTGACTTCAATGATACAATATTCCTTGGAGAAGGGGTTCAAGGCATATTGAATGTTACATTCACCAACAACACCCAAGTGACGAATGACATTGACAGCTGTGGTACGAAGCATGTTGTAGTCTGCATCAGACAAAGTCTGAGAAGGAGCGATAACAATAGAATCACCTGTGTGAATACCAAGAGGATCAAAGTTTTCCATGTTACAGACAGTGATACAATTGTCTTGACAATCACGAACAACTTCGTATTCAATTTCTTTCCAACCCTTCATAGACTTTTCAATCAAGACTTGAGGAGAAGTAGCAAATGCTTTATTACACAAAGCTGACAATTCTTGCTCGTTATCAGCAAAACCAGAGCCTAAACCACCAAGAGCGTAAGCAGCACGGCAAATAACTGGATAGCCAATCTCTTTAGCAGCCGCAATTGCTTCTTCGACAGTAACTGCTGATGAAGATTGAGCGCACTTTTCATCGATTTCGTATAATGCTTGAGCAAAGAGATCTCGATCTTCAGTAGTGATAATTGTGTCGATTGGAGTACCCAGTACTTTGACACCTAAAGACTCGAATTCGTCTTTTAGTGCAATACCAACGCCCAAAGCAGTCTGGCCACCAAAAGTAACATAAATACCATCTGGTTTCTCAAACTGAATCACTTTGCGAACATAGTCGGGAGTAACAGGCAAGAAGTAGACCTTGTCTGCCAAGCCTTTGGAGGTTTGAATAGTAGCAATATTGGGGTTGATCAAGACTGTATAAATTCCTTCTTCCTTCAGGGCCTTGATAGCTTGAGAACCAGAATAATCAAATTCGCCGGCTTGTCCGATAGATAAACCACCCGAACCAAGGACAAGTACCTTGTTAACATGAACACGAGGGTTCTTGTTTCTATTCTCAACAATGCTTCCTCCAGGCATATGTACAGGTACTGGAGCTTGCTTCTCAAGACAATCCTTGATATTGTTGAGAAAGACATCAAATAAGAACTCAGTGTCGCGAGGACCAGGAGTAGATTCTGGATGAAATTGAACAGAAAATATAGGCTTGGACTTGTGAATGACACCTTCGTTAGAACCATCGTTTGCATTAATAAAAAGCTCTTGATATTCAGGTGGAAGAGAAGATCCATCAACTGCATAACCGTGGTTTTGAGAAGTGATATAACAACGTCCAGAAAGCATATTGGTACAAGGAATGTTTTGGCCACGATTACCATACTTCATTTTTAGCGTTTTTGCACCAGCAGCAAGAGACATAACCTGATGACCTAAGCAGATACCAAAGACAGGCTTTTTGACATCTTGAATGAACTTTCTCAAGTTCTGAATTGTTATATCAATAGTAGTAGGGTCACCAGGTCCATTTGAGAGAAAGAGACCATCAAATGAATCGCTTGGTTCGGCATTAAAATCGTAGTCCCAAGGTACAACCTTGAGCTCAACACCACGGAATACAAAGCAGCGGATCTGGTTATATTTCATACCGATATCAACAGCAAGGATACGCATTGTGCGACCAGAAGGTGTCTTGAGAGCCTTTTCAGGATCAGGATAGTAAGTTTTAGGTTCTTTTATGGATACTTCAGCCACAAGATTTCTCTTGTTTGGATCGATCCAATCTATATCTTCATACTCGATCATTTGGCTTTCAGAGGAATGTTTTTGAAAGAATCCAAGTGCAGAAGCAGCGGCATCCATTGTATGGCCAATTACAGATTTTGGAAACAGTATTTTTGCCAAAAGGACACCTTGAATACGAATCTTCTTGGTAAGTGCACGCGTGTCAATCCCATAAAGGGCGGGAATTTCGTTCTCTTTAAGCCAACTGGAAAGAGATGATGAAGCGAGATAATGAGAGTAGTCTGGTGCATAACTACCAACAATCAGACCGGCAATATGGATTTCATTCGACTCATAATATTTAGGAATATCCTTGAGAAGCTCATCCATCTCAGTGCGAGAGGGAGCACCATAATTACCAATCAGAGGAAAAGTCAAGACCAAGATTTGGCCGCGGTACGAAGGGTCTGTTAGTGATTCAGGATAACCAGCCATACCTATTGTTTGTGAAACGTGTCAAATTAGAGTCAGTTGTTCCGACAGCCTTGCTATTATGCAAACAAGTTTTACCTGTCTGGAAAACGCATTCACCAGAAATGCTTTTAGATTCGGCACCAAAAGAGATACCTTGATAGCTGGTGCCATCTTTGAGTACTAAAGTGGCAGTTGTCATGTCTTTATCCTCATAAGCCGTGACTGGTCGGTGAGGACCTGTAGACGAACACGGAGATAAGGAAGACAGAGGTGTTGCATGAGCAGCAGGAGCAGGAATTTGAGCTCCAGTACTGATTCCTGGAGCAGTACCAGCAGCTTCAACGGATGGGATAGGAAAGTTGGACATTTTCTAAACGTGATTGAATATCAAAATAAACAATGCATTGTATTTCCTTACGTGTTTTGTAGATAATATTTTTTAGTAAAAAACTTGATTGCTTATTTAGATAGATAATGATACAAAAGATAGTCTTTAGATCATCAGTAGGAATAAAAGATAATGCAGTTTTTTTTTTTTTTTTTTTTTTTTTTTTGCAAGTTGTATTGAAACTTCAAATTCCGGGTGTCGGGGGTTTTGGGACAGCTTTAAAAGCGTTAAAGTTTAACAGTCCTACAGAAATGCATTGTGACTTATGTATCCGTATAACAGGACAGTTGTACCTAACAGAACTACTAGTTCTCATTATATGCATTTCATTATCGACACAATGGATATCATGGACACGTTTCCAAGTATGCATGGATCTCACATTGTTATGGGTAATGCTCCTATACACGTTCCTGCTTTGATTAGTCCTTTTATTCGCCAGAACTTAACCCTATCGAAGACTTTTGGTCTATTGTCAAGTCCAAAGTTAGGCGTCATGCATTGAGAGACACAGAAACTCTGACTAAAAGAATAGTTGAGGCTTGTGAAGAAGTTCCTCTCCAACATCTTCAAAATTGTATTCAACATCCTGTAAATTTATTTGATAAGTGCTTAAATAAAGAAGCTATCTAACTCCAATTTATTGCTCACTGAACAGAAGATGTTATTTCAATTAAGGTATAAAAAAGCGCATTTTCAGAGAAAGATTAGCGCACTTTTAAAAAAAAATCTAATCCTGTCGCTTTTCTTTTTTCAGCTCAGTCATGCCATTGCCGAACACTGAATTTGGAGCCAATAGCGAGTCTGCTATTTGATTTTAATAATACGCTAAGTTTTTTTCAAATACTATGCTAAATTTTTTTTTCTCTGCGATTTATTTTCTCTGAAAATGCGCGAAATACGTCAAATACCTTTGCTTTTTTCTCGCAGTAGAATTTTTTTTTAAAAAGAAAAAATTATGTCTATAGACGAACCTCCTTCTATCTTGAAACGCTGGTTGAAAGATAGAACTGGTATTCGTATCAGTCAAGACTATTTGAGATCGTGGTATGCAGACCACCCCAAACCTATCAGCGACTTTGAAGCGGCCTATAATGAGATATTGACTGACTTCCTACACAAGGATATGTCTCTCACTTCACAACCTGTGATTCAAGATGATTTTGGACAAATGCCTGTACATACATTTCCCTTAGGTCATTTACAAGGCGGTGTGGTCCTACAGATTCAAGATACAAACGATATCTCAAATTCGACCTTTTCGTTATTAAACAGTCTTCATAATCTAACACCTGTACGACAAACGTATGTAGAACGAGCAGTAGACGAAGAAGTGACATTTCCTCGAGGTATGTTGCGCTGGACATTGACAGACGGCACAAAACAAATCCAGGCTATGGAAATGGAAACCATACCTGATTTGAACTTGAAGACACCATTTGGATGCAAGCTACTTATCAAAAACTGTCAAGTGAAAAGAGGCATGTTGTTGTTCTATAAAAACGGGATTCAAGTACTTGGTGGGGATGTGCCTGAATTATATGGTGGCAATATGATTGCTGAATTAGAAAAACGATTCAAGACAGAACTAGGCATGATTGTACAGTCCAATACAACAAGAGAACCTGCCTATAACAATAACATGCCTTCGCTTGTGAACAACTCCCATCCACCACAGCAAAACAGCAATGCTATAGACGAATTTGATGAATTTGATGATGATGAAATGATCTATAGTGCTATAGAACAATTAGAGAACAGAACCATGGATGCTGATATGCATGAATCCAGTATGCCATCGTCTGATCCTGTTACTGCATTCAGTGACGATGATGACTTTGTTCAGCCTTCTTTCTCGCCTATGCGATCTGATGCACCTAAATCCTCGCCCTCTTCATCACATATCAGTCTTTCGAAATCAAAGAGTCTCAAGAAGCCAAACCCAACCACTCAACCTTCTCAAGCCATACCTTCTGAGCCACCCACCAAACGTACAAGGCACAGTGAACCCATAGATAGTTCATTTACTAATAACAGCAATAATGGAGAGGAAGAGGATGATTCTGATCTTGATCTTGATTGGGTCGACCCTGATCTCTGGAAGAACTTGAATTATGTCAAGCAAGAAGGTGTCACAATCGACAAGGATGGGAATGTTCATTATACATTTGAAGTCATGGCAAAGAAACTAAAAGCATTGGAAAATGATATGCCTAGTGGAGAATTAGCAGATATTGTGTTTGTGAAAGCCAAATGCATTTATCTTCAAAACCTTCATTTGTCTCAAACACACAAGTTTAATCTAGAGATCAAAGTAGCAGATCCAGATAGATCAGACTCAGAGACATTTAATGTAGTCATTAATGATGATGTAGGTTTTTATTAAAAGAAAAAAAAAGAAGTATTGAGCTAACCCTAAGAATAATAGGTATTGACTGGTTTATTGGGTAAAAGTAAATCTACTTTAATGGAAATAGCCAGACATGAAGATGGTAGAAAGCGTATAAAGAAAGAGGTAAGCTATTGGTTGTATCCAGATGTTGAAGACTTATACTTTATACAGATATTCCAACCATTTCAAAGAAAAGTTTTGAATCAAAAAGCTATATTCCAACTTGATACATCGTTTTTACAAACAAGAGCTTCTGAAGAACACTCGGGAAAAACGACTTATATGCCTGTAGTGATAGGCTATGAAAGTTGTGCACCTTGAGCCATGATCACTGTGCTTATACCCTTTACTTTTTCTGTTTATTATACATTGTAAATACATTAATTTCAAAAACCCTTTATCTAGGAATATTTTCTTTCTGCATTTGGCCTGAAATAAAAGTTAGCCCAGTTTTTTTTTTTTTTTTGTCATTCGAAGGTATCCTAATCCAAAAACCCTTTAATATACCAAGGTGATAATGAAACGCGCTCAATTCTTTGTGGATGATTTGTTGTGTTTGTTTTAAGATAATATAGTTTAGTACTTGAGTACAGCCTTCGGCATCAATCACAACTTGGTACTAGTTGGTCATATTGTTTAGCAATATGAATACAATGAGAAGATAGTAGGAGAGGTATTCAACTACCTTCTCGTATCCAAGTAAGTATCTTACACAGACTAGTTCATATCTGTTACTAATTCATCTCCCTTCTATTCTCTGCTTTTTCTTATAATTTAATATGAGTAACAATTATATATGCTTTGCTTAATTTCTAGTATATATTTTCTTTCAATAAAGTGTATATTAAGCGTGCAATAAAAGCCATTGCTCTGGGTCCTCTACACCAACTAGCTTTTCAACACATTCTAGAGCTTCTGCTAATTCACTACAAAACATGTAGGAATTCACACCATACGCACAATAATTAGGGAATGTTCCATTGTCCAATTGCTTGGGATACTTAGTAATTATGTCCCCCATCTTGTGAGCAAATCGTTTTCGCATATCAAGAGGTGAAGAAAAATAAGGCGGTAATGCCATCTTGGATGCCAAAGTAGCCGAAAGAAGTTTCATGGTGGTTAGCATGGTAGCAAGCTATATAAAATACATATTAGATGGATTTATACACACGAAATACTTGCATATTCCTTTCGCTCTTCTCGCATAACCAAAAACAAGTTAAGTCTCCATGATTTATCTATCGATTGGGACGCATATGCCATGCCTTGTAATAAATCAGCCATGTTGTCTACTTTTTCTACTAGCGTTGCATAAGTCTCTATAGGAAATTTGCCTCTCAAGGGTGGCTCCAGTTTAGTCAATTTTAGATAGGTTTGCTCATCTGCAATCTGACGACGTATACCCAATACAAGTTTACGAAATGCTTTGCGTTGATTATCTGTAGGCTCAGAGTCCGTCAGAATGTCACCTGCTAGAATACTGAAGAGTCGACCAAGATCACGAATGGTTCTGGAAATACGCTTGCGAAGTTCAACACGTCCTGTTACAGGCTTGGGAAACAAGGCTAAAATGGCAGCTGCAGTAACACCAATAATGACTAGCAGCATACGTTTTCCTGCCACCACTTCAATAGAATCGTAGTTGGGAGTGCCGCCTACGACGTATTGATATTCATAGCATATAACCTAGTCACTAGAGATCAATACGCATTGCGATTAAACAGTTCTGAATACATACCAACAAGAGCGTCATTTGGGTCATAAGGGCAACAACATTAAAAACTTGGCTTGTAAAGAAGATAAAGTACAAGGGCATCATTACAAAAAAGGTCAAAACAACAATGCCATATGGATTGCCTCTCGTGATTTCCCATACGATAATTCCTACTACACCACCTAAAACAGTACCCATCACTCTCAAAATAACCCTATATCTAGTGAGTCAACCATTCTATCGTTTGTAGCCAGCTTACGTAAAGACAAACATGCCTGCTACAGGAATCATCCACATCATTAATGTAATAGTCGCCCATTGACCTCGCCAAGCAAAAAACCAAGTGGCGCTCTGTTGCAAAAAGGCTGGCAATGAAAGTAGTACAAAACCACCGGCTGTTTTGATAGCAAATGCGCAATCGGGACTCTCTAGCCATTGAATAAATCGATAGATGGCATAGAAAAACTTTTCTCTAGCTGTTTCAGGTGCATTGACATCTGGATCCCGAGGATAGGCTTTGCTAGTCTCTGTTTTGCGCACAAGGTCTTGTTCATCTCTACCGTTTGTATCAGGTCGTGTCACAGTTTGACTCAAGGTCAGATCGTATGTGTTGCTGTTGTTGTTGCTATCATCATGGCCATGATTTTCAGCAGCATTGTCTGTAGAGCCTACTTGAGCACCAAAATTAGCATCGATACTGATAGATCGAAACCATTTCTTTAAGGGTAAGCGAGGAAGCCATAGCCTTCGTTTGGTTCGTTTGAGTTCAATGTTTTCAATACAGGCAACAAAAGATTGGAGTTGCAAAGCATGTTCCATCAAATTGAACTGAAATAAATAAATAACTTGTAGAATGCTGTTAAAGCTTTCTTCATATTCATTTGATCCAGGCTCGACAAAGAGATGTCCGGACTTTTTGCGTCCGTTTTCAAACTTTGAGATAGCTTGGTTGAGGCGGCCAGACAAACTATGTAATTTAGCATGGTCCTCTTCTTCTTTATTTTGTTCTTTAGCTGATTTGTGATAATCTGATAAATGAATACGAGGAAATGGCCATAAAATAGTGCTTTTGACAGATCGAGGCTTTCCACTGAATCTCATAAGTCGTTCAACACATTCATTTAAAGTCAATACGCAGGTTTCTGCAAGCTCTTGTGATACTTTTCGTATTGTTTCCAGGTCTTCAATGAACCGTTGCTTATGTTCACTTCGATTAGCTGCTGATTGCTCTTCTCTGAACTTTTGGCAATCCATTTTCTCGAGTCGTTGCGTCTTAGCAATCACACTGAGACCAATACCATGAAGAGGCGTACGCATAAGCTTCACATGTCGTGTAATATCATTGATATCACGATGAGCCAATCGATTAAACAAGATTTCTCTTTGAACTTCTCGTTTACAATCAATCAGTTTCAATATACTGTTTTGTAAGCGTTGGTGCAATGTAGGTAAAGTCATCGGGCTTGAATCAAACGATTCAGTCAACAAAAATGCTTTTGCATGTTCTTCAAAAAAGCCATTGTATTCTTTTAATGATCTGCTTAATATGCCCATATATTTGGTGATACTGTCGTCTGGCCATAAAAACAAATCAACCAATAAACCAATAGCTGTGGCTGTAGCGATTGGTTTTAAAAAGGTATACTATGGAAAATATGAATTTGGTCCAATTTTCTTTAAATGAATATATACTTACTACAACAGTTGGTTGAAATCCAACAATGACCGAGGCTTGTGTAAGGCAAAACTATGCTGCATGAATAATTTGATAGAGACATGGTTAACTTACTTACAGCGACAATCATACTTGCGAAAATAGTTGCAAAATTGGCTATATGGATCGTGATCTGAGTTAAATCAAACATACATAAATGGACTTTCTTACCTTGTGCAAATTTCGTACGGACGTAGGTTAATCCGAACACACCAATAAACATAAACACGGCTAAAATTGCGCTTGAGTTCGGCTGAACAGGCGATGGTATTGTCGGGTCACGGGCAAGATTAGCCAGATACATGCCTAAATAGAACATGAGCAAAATTGTTATTCACTTTTTACAGCATATACCCAAAAAAGACCACGCTGAACCTACAAGAGCACCAAAAGTACCTTGTAAAGAAGCCTACCCTATTGTTTAGCATATATTGATCTTTTAATAATTTAGCCTACTTCAATTTGAACACCTATGCGGGCATTATTAAATATTTATGTCAGAACAAAATTTATAGACACAAACCTATTGGTCGGATGGGGAAATACAAAAGTGTACCAATGGGTACCAGAATACTGGCAGATCCCATAGCACTTCGACAGTTTTTCTCGAATACAAAGAGTAGCCCGATTAGGATAGCAATAGACGCTTTCACAATAATACGGATCAAAGGAAAAGGCGGTAATTTAGTCAAAATACGTTGACTAACTGATTTCCTTTGTACAGGTTCTGCTGTAGGTACATTTTTCTCGCCAGACACTATGCTTGATCGGCTATGGTGACCACTTGCAGCTGTCATTTCATCGTCATGCTTCTCGTACTGACTGTGACTGCTAACATTGCTGTCAGCAATTGATCTTTTACTAGGTTGTTTAGAAAGCTCAATGTTTTCCATTGAGGAGTTGATAAAAGAAAAAGGAAAAGAAAAAGAATGAGAGAATGAATACATTAAATATGCTATATCGTGACTCCTGTTTCATTTCTGAAAAAGCAATCGTTTTCTGTGTTACGTGATATCCAAATCAATTAGAATTTCATTTTATTAAAAAAAGGGTTTCTATTACAAATATAGTTTTACAAGCGAGCCTTCACAGCGGTTTCTTGTTGCTCCTTCTTGACCCATTCTTTGACTTGGCGACGAAGGATTTTGCCACTTGGGCTTTTGGGAATCATATCTACAAACTTAACACCACCACGTAACTTCTTGTAGTTTGTTACATTCTTTGTCACATATTCATCAATGATCTTGGCGTTCTTTTCGCTTTTTTCAACACCAGGTTGAAGCACAACATAGGCACGAGGAATTTCTGTAGCTTGGTTTTCATCATATACACCAACAACACAGCAGTCAGCAACAATATCAAGGCCCATCAAAATAGCTTCAAGTTCAGCAGGAGCAACTTGATAGCCCTTGTATTTGATTAATTCCTTGATACGATCAAGGATGAAGAATTCACCAGATTTGGAGTCGTATTTACCAACATCGCCTGTTCGCATCCAGCCATCAGCGGTAAATGTCTCGGCATTGGCTTTAGGATTGTTAAAGTAACCTTTCATGATACTTGGTCCACGGAACAAGAATTCACCTTCTTCATCGTCACCTAGCTCTTGACCCTTTTCATTCACAACCTTACATTCCATGTTTGCGCTCAAGATACCAATAGAACCTGATCAGATGTTTATGTAAGAGCCCTTTTCTTTTCGTGCAGAATTTTTTTTTTTTTTTTTTTTTTTTTTTTTTTTTTTTTTTTTTTTTTTTTTTACCTGCAACACCGCCTTGAAGACTTTGAGAGATGATACCAGAGGTAGTTTCTGTCATACCATACCTAAAAGAAAAAGAAGTAAAGTATAAGAATACTGTTGAAAACATCTTCTTGGTTGACTTACCCTTGTTTCAATTGGGCAGGAATACGCTTTGCAAGTGTTTCAATGTGTTCTCTACTTAATGGAGCAGCACCACATCCAATAAGACGGATTGAGTTCAAGTTGTATTTGGTAACAATAGGATGCTTTGCAAGATGAACAGCTATAGATAGAATGTAAGTAAGCCGCGCTTATCCCTATAGACGTTACTTACCAACAGGAGGTACAATACTTGCTAATGTGACCTTGTACTTTTCAACCAATTGACACAACAATTCCAAGTCATAGCGAGACATAATAACAACAGGTGTTACCTTATAGTAAGCATTCAAGACTAAACTAGTTAAACCATAGATATGATAGAATGGAAGGAAACCAAGGATAACATCATCCAAGAGTCGATCTTCTTCAGGTTCAGCATCCACAGTCTGCAAAATTTGAGCAATAAAATTCTTATGGGTAAGCATGACACCTTTAGCAAGACCCGTGGTTCCACTTGAATAGCAAATAAAAGCAACATCGTTAGCACCATCCACTCCTTGCAAAGGAAAAGAAATAGGCTTAGTACCAGTAATAGAAGTAAAAGGACGACAGCATTCTATTTCTTCGTCGCCAAATAAAAAGATACGACTACGAGCAAGACCAATCTTGTCGCAAATCTTGAGAAGAACAGGCAATAAGGCAGGTACAGTAACAAGAGCAGTAGCTTGACTGTTAGTAATTTGATGTTGGAACTCAGCTATAGAGAGATGAATAGATTGGTCTTTTTTCCTGCTCTGTTTTTTTTCTATTCTTACCTTCTGTATAAGCAGGATTACCAGGAGAAATAGTACATTTGGCACCTAAAAGTGAAAGGTAAAGAACAGTATGGTTGACTTGGTTGGGAGCAAAGACAGCAACCGTATCGCCTTGCTTCAATCCAACATTTTCTGTCCAACCAGCAGCAAGATGAAGTGCTTGGTGACGAATTTGATTCCAAGAAAGTGATTTTCCAGTTTCACCTTCGATAGTAAGAGGCTTGTCTAAATCTTTAGATTGATTAAATTCATTTGGGCTAAAAAGAAAGCTGAAAAGATCAATGTCTGGAATAGGAACAGCAGGTACGGTAGCTTTATAAATGACCATATTATGATATCAAATAGAAGGGGAAAAAAGGTGTTTGTCCAATAAGACAGAAAGTTTATGCATTTTTATATATGTCAAGCTAAAAACCCGGTTTGGAGTGGGAAAATGGTTAGTAATCCACAAGAAAACGCGGGGAAATTTATTTTCGTTTCTTTTGGTGGGAAAATTGTTAGTAAGCTCTCAAATTAAGACACAGTTTGAAGTTAAGGCACTATGATGGGCTGCGTATTAAAAAAATATATCTTTCTTTACGTAATGTTGAAAATGAACACTGCTTTTTTTGTTTAAGCTCAACTTTATCTAAGCTACTAGTGTGAAGCCTAGTTATGTAGCTCAATTTTTATCTTAGCTGAATTCATAATATAGTCTAGAATTTTCCAGTGGAATAGCAGCGATGATAGAGACTAGATAACACTTTGAAAGCAGACCTAAAAAACCAAAGTAGTCTAATTCATGATTAAGAAAACGATATGCTCCCTATGTCTGTATGTCTCGAAAGAGAAACAAGATGTATTTTCTGTTGTTCCTGAAACGAAACGGGGAAACAAAGTATTAGTGTCACTCACAGAATAAAAAGCTGGTCAATGCATCTATGCAGAATTCTTGTAGAATAAATCTATTTTCAAAATCAGCACGATTTAAAAAAACTTGCACTTGATGACCTTAATCTATAGTATGAGAGAAAAATAGTGTAAATCTGTATAAAACTAAGCAGCTTATACTGTTTTCCTTGATATGAAAAAAAAGGGGCGCTTAATCATTTAACTTTAAAAATTAAACTTTATTAATATCGAGGTGTCAAATTCAGTTCCATGTTGGTTGCACTCAATAAGAAGATTCCTTTTGTGACAAGTCCATTTCGATGGATAGAATCTTTTGGTAAAGACCATTTGTATTTTTTCACTATTGAAAAGATATTAGAGACTCGCTGAAGTTTGGCTACGTGCTTACATAACATGGACAAGACTATTCTTTGCTCATTCAAAGCAAAGTTTCTTCCTATACAATGACGTTGCCCTCCTCCAAAAGGTGCAAATGTCATTCCAAGTCCTGCTTTTTGCTCTGCCTCTCCATTAGGCGCGAAGCGATCTGGGTCAAAGCGATTTGGATCAATCCATGATTGTCTATGCAGACTAAGTGTATCAATAGCAACTGCTGTACCTTTTTTTACAAATGTTTCTCCCAACGTACAGTCTTGAGTAGCTATGCGACTAGCACTAATAGGAGATGGTGGGTGTAAACGAACAGTCTAGATGAGTCCTGTAAGCTAAACCTTATTCTTATTTCTAAATACAAACTTCTTTCAATACAATGTTCAAATAACTCATGTTTGAAAGCTGATCTGCATTAGGCAAAGTATTCTTGTCATCATCGCCCAGAATAGAAAGCACTTCTTGTCGTGTCTTTTCTTGTATGTTCTACTTAGAATTTAGTCTCTTTGACTCAAACCATGATTGCTTACCTCATGGATTGCTAACTCATACATGCAGAAAAGGATAGATGCTGTTGTTGTCTCATGACCAGCAGTGAATAGAACGCACGTGTTACTCTAATAGTGTGTTTGATAAGAATATGCATGAATAAATGCCTTGAACGCTTACCAAGAGCATTTCATCATCTGCAGCAGTAAAATTAGAGTTATCGTCCACAGTTGCACTTTCAATTAATAAAGTTAAGATATCTTTTTCTTTAGGGCCTGCGATATCCACTTTTTGTTGTGCTAACGTCTCTTTTTTCCTTTTAATAATCTCTTTAACATTTTCTGTAAACAAGGCCAGCTCTTCATGCTCTTGCTTTCGCTTTGGAAACATCCATAAATATTCTTGATCAAATCTAGGAAAAAAGTAGAACAAAGGTTGACGAACAGCATTGACTATTTTCTCATATCTTGTGACATATTCATTGTTGGGATCCTGCAAAGAGTCAAACTTGAAGTCTTTATAAACGTATGAGTCGCAAATTATGATTGACATTTTAGTCATTCGTACCAAAACCTGTGTCGCCAATAACATCTAAAGTATATCTTTGAATAAAATCACTCATGTCAATAGTGTTGTTTGTTGACGATAAGTTCTTATCCAAGGCTTTAATTAGATTCTCTGCGTATCTTCCAAACGAATTGATTGGCATAGCTCTATGAAATGCAGGATTGGCAATCTATGTATACATTCAGTCATCGATCCATCTCAAAAAGCAAATGTCTACATCTTACCCGACGTTGTCTTTTCCATTCTTCGCCAACAGAAAAGAACAAGTTGTTTGCCCTAACAGAGAATTTTCCGTTAAGTGTCCCTTTATTGAACATAGTCAAATCGAGTTTAGGAAACAGGTCTATCATAGTGTTTAGAAAATGATATATATGTATGTAGGCTCATACCATTCTTGTTGTACACAAACTTTGCTATTTGTGGATCTGCTACACAAACAACCCAAATTCTTCTGCTTGGTCTCTTTTGAAAAGATGATTTAGTTTTGTATTATGAATTTCACTTACCAAGTATAGTCCTAGTGACGAGCTAGCAAGAACAGGATCAATAACACGCTTAGTGATACTTGGCAAAGATTCTCCAGTCAGAAAGCCCTTCATCATCCGCACATAACTCACGTAGGGAATATGGCGCAAATGCTTAGGTGGTGTAGATAGCTTTCTGAAATTAAAATAAAGCAGTGTTATGATAGCAGCAGTGCCGATAGCAATATGTTTTAAAGGCTTTGGTTGACATTTGTACTTATGAATCAACACTTTGAATAGATATAAAACCAAAGATTTACTACTTTCTTTAGCGTTACTTGCGATGATCATATTGAATGTAAGAAAGAAATATCAAGTCGTCTAGTCATAAGGGGTCTTTTTAAATGATCGGGTGCTTGTTTGTTTGCCTATGACTTGTGAGAATACAAAACAAAGTCGTGCTAACTTTCTTTTCCAGTATTATCTGCAGCAGCATAACAAACTCAAACTAGATATGTGTTATATCTTAAAAAAGGAGGATGTTTTGTACTATGTTCTTTAATCTTTCTTTTTTTTTTGATAAACAATATTGTACAGAATAAGGGGACCATTAACTGTATGCCATGTCCCAGAATTCAACCTCAAGTGCTAAAATGTCAAGATAGACACGCTCAAAGCTTGCAAGACGGCGTGGATCATTTGTATCGAGTTGATTAACAAGTGTCTCACAATCAGCAACAAATTCTGCAAATTCATCCATTGTCCAGTTTGTCATCAGTTCATGACATGTTTGAATATGAACATCGTTAGAATCTTTACCATTCTTGTTGGCTTCCAATTTGGCATTGGTGGATTTTGCAAAATTCCAGGCACGGAAAAAGATGATTTCCATGGCCCAAAGCACAACCAAAGCTTCACCTAAATCATATCCGCTTTCTTGTGCTACCTTGCGAACATAATCAACATATTTACCAGTCCATGCTTTTTGACTCAGAGATTGTTGGCATTCAACATAGGGTTCTCTACTCAAAATATCAGTAAAGAACTGACTTTCTCGGTACACATTAGATAGAGCAAAAGATAAAGTCTTGATAATGTTTTGTGCCTTTTCGGGGGTGTAAGAAGGGTTATTATCACCGAGTTCACGTTGATCTTCGTATAATGGAAGACGCGAGATCATGAGACCCATCATTTTTATGTAGCCTCCTGTATAATATCTGTCTTGGATAAGCCATGACTTGAGATGGTCTGGTGCAACTTGAAGTGTACCCACTTGCTTGAGGAATGCATGCTGCGTTGCTTTTTCAAAAGAATCCTTGTTGAGAGAAAGAAGGTGTTCTGTTAACTTCATCTTTTGCGTGAAAAGAAAAAGAAAATAGAGATATTCATTGTTTACTGTTTTATAAATAGATGTAGATCTCGGTAATTAGTCACATCAATGATCAATGACATACTCAATCTTTATCAATTGCATTGCCATAATATGTTAGTCAGGAACAATTACAAGCTAGAGAAGAGCAACGTCAGCACCAAGCTAATCTTAAAGTAAGCTAATGAAAAGAATAAAACAAAAAATGAATGCATAAACTAGCTTGAGTCCATGCATCATTCAGCGCTATTTATGGGGTTTCGCAGGTTTAAAAAATAGCGTTGTTTATTATTGGGGAGAAAAAAGACAATGAATTCTATGTATTAGCAGGTATTATGAGCATCTTGTACAATTTAAGCAAGGAATTGATAATAGACATAAGCAGCGATCAAAATGAAAGGAATAAGGATACGAAGAGGACTAAACAGAAAAAAAAAAAAAAAAGTTATTAGCAAACCCAATTTTTGTAATTTTTTTTCTATCCCCAATATATGGTGTCGTGTGTTTACTTACTTTCCCTTTGGTCCTTCAGAAACAACTTCATTTTGTTTTTGAACCTTGACAGGCTTGGACTAAAATGAAAAAAAAAAGTATAAATAACCAACCTCTCGTGTCCACAGCAGTACTTACTTCAGGGTCAACGTCACCAATATAGTACTTCTTGAGAAGATCACGGGCGTCATCTGAGTGACCAATATCGTCGAAAGCAGCTGTAGCATCTTTGGCACCTTCGTCAATCAAGACTTCCTCACCACCGGGGTGCTAACATGTTATATTAGTCGTTGTCATGACAACGGTACCTGATTTTTCTTTATTTTACTTTACCTCATCTTGGAAAGGAGTGATATCATAAACCTTTCCATCAATGACCATCCAAAGATCAGCTCTGTTGTTGTGCTTGGAGATTTCTTCGTAAGAGAAAAGCATGCCAGACATTTTTGAAATTAGTGTAAGATTCACTAAGAAGAAAGAAAAAGAGAAAAAATCAGACGGCTTGAAAGATTTTAAACCAAGCAGAAAAAAAGACGGTCCAAAGAATCAAGTTCAAGCTGATAGGTTCATCATGTCTTTGAATAGCAAGAGAAATGAAACAACAGCACGATTTTTTTACACTAAAAAAAGGGCGCAATATTTTTTTTTTCTGTTGGTTGAAAGAACAGCCTTTATGTAAATCGAGAAGAGATATTTATATGCAGTAAAAGTAAAATTGAGATTGGCCTTCTATTGTGCTCTAAGATTTAATTAGCAATGCTTACATGGCTCAATCAATAAACACAATTTAAAAAAAAAATTAGCAATACTTATATATACAGGCGATTATATGCTTCATCGGTCTATTGTTATCTTGGAAATTGACATCATTGCTTAAATCATCTGGGTCAGACACAAGGCTAAAGTAGACTTGCTCTTGAATTTTGAGTTTTTCTTTAGTATTTTACAACTCGTCCTTCCCTTTTTTTTTTTTTTTTGCTCTTCTTTGCCATTATGGTCTATCTTATACTTCTCAAGCTCATCATCATCACAAGCGTCTGCCTTCTTTTCTTATTTTTGAGAGCGAGTATTTTTTTTGAAGAGAATTCAATACTAGGTGACAATCGTCTTTTACGAGTGGTCATTTGAAAAAAAAGAAGTATGCAAAAAAGAAAATGATATTGTACAAATATAACCACAGACCATTATGATATAAACTATAGAGGTTAGGGAGAACATGCAGGCATTTTTTGAAAATTCATTATCTGAAACAATTCTTTATGCAGAGATGCTGAAGCGGAATACAACATATACTTTACATACAAAATAGTCTCAAAATATCACTGACATTCTCTGGAGAAAGATTGGAAAATACAGTTAAAGATCTCTGACTGCCCAATTGAGGACACTCACAGTTGCTCTTAAAGCTTTTGTTTCTAGCTGTTAGAGAGTCTTAATTAGGCAATTACATTTGGCTCCGAGGTTTACTTTACAATGTTTATTTATACAAACAATTATACTTTCTAATGACGATTTACATGATATAAAAGTAAACTTGATTAAATATATTTATGCGATTTACAATCTGTCACAACCAGAACGTTGAACAATTTCCTTGGGACAAGTGACTTGCTTGAAAGTCATAGTTGGGTTATCAGCACCCTTAAACCAACCAAATCTAAATTTACAACCGGGTTGAAGAGCAGCAGGAAGTTGAGAGCATTGTTCAACAGTGTCAACACCACCGTACTTCTTGCCCCAACCATCAGCAGGAGCACCCCATTGGGCAGTACAGCCATTGTATAGACCTACACCGCCTCCTGGGAATTGCAAGTCAAAGGCATTAGGTCCGCCATCAGAACCAGTGTTGGTGATTTGAACAACCATCTTTTTACCCTTGACAGCAGTGTTGGTAAAGGTGAGTTCCATACAGGCACAGCACCAACCATTTTCAGTAGACTTGGCAAGAGTAGCAGCAGCAAAACCATAAGCCAAATCGTCATTGACAGCCCAAGGTTGGTTGTTGTTACAGGTGTAACCAGCTGTAAAGATAATACTTAGACAACTATGTCAAATATAATAAATTTTAAACTTACGTCCATCAGAACCAAGGTCGCCACCGCCACCGCAGCCACTTTGGGTGTTGGAGCCTAAAATCTTGACACCATTTTTGGCACAGACATCAACAGGACTAGTAACCTTAGCTTTGCCTTCCCAACTGCATGATTCCTTACAACAGTCCCAGTAACGAGTAGTAGTACCAGTACCAGTGAAACCATTGGGAATGAGGGAATAACCGGAGGTAGAAGTGCTACTGGCTTTCTTGGTAGTGGCGGTGGTAGAAGGCTTCTTTGTGGTTGTAGCAGCAGCCTTAGTAGTAGCAGCAGCCTTAGTAGTAGTAGCAGCCTTAGTAGTAGTAGCAGCCTTAGTAGCAGCAGCAGCCTTGGTGGTGGTCTTTTGAGAGCCATTGCCAGCTTGAGCTATTCGAATCGAGTTAGTAAGCATTGACGTATAAATCATATCACAATCTTACAGTCAGGAAGACATTGAGAATAATACTTGTTGTCAGGGTTTGAAACACAAGTAGAACCAGCTTCACAACAGGTAGGACCAGTCCAGTTAACACCTATGGTTTATATGTTAATTAAAATTTTCGATATTTGGTTTACAAGCATACCACCACATTGATAGTAAACAGCGTTACATTTAGCGGCTTCAACAGAAGCAGTTAAAGAAAGTGCGGCAGCAATTGAAGTAATGGCGATAACAAACTTCATTTTAGCTGATTGTTTGAAAAGGATAGGGTTAGATAAAGAAAAAGAAGCGTTGCAATGGTTTGAATTTATATTATATGGTCTATAATCATATGCTGTGGAATTCGCAAAGATTGCAATAGCTTGTACAAAAGTAAATGATGTGCATCTCCGATTATTAAATTATACGAACATTAATTTGCAGTTTTGTTCAACAATCCTCGGGTGCTCGTGTCATGTAACTTCAAGGAGCAATATTGGATATCCGCCTTGAAGCATCTCAGTCATTAAAAAACGACAAGAGATACAATGCAATAATCACTTGGAAAAAGAAAGGTGCGCATCCTTTTGTTAGTTTGGCCATAGCAATTTTCAACAAGGAAAGAGGAATTCTTTGTAAAAAGAAAAAGGTTTAAAAGCAGAAATAGCATAAACCTGTTCCAGACATGAATGGCATAAACATTGTTGTACTATATGATTACCTGATGCTCAAATGGTAACATTATGAGTGCCACAAAATATCAACGAGTTGGTGATACAATGCACGCTTACATAAAACCTCTTTTTTTAAAATAAAAAAAAGGAATTTGGGACTCACTCAGAAAATATGAGCTCATTCTGTACCAGGACAAAAATATGGCTAGTCCTGAATGCCAAAGGATACTTTGTTTATGAAATTCGCCTAATCCAATTCCAAATACTGTGCTATCTAAACAAAACTTAGCCTGGCATAATAAGTTACTCTGTACATTAGTTATAATCCAGATCAAACTGGTACTCTTTCTTTACAGGAGTTTCAATTGTTTTATTTCTGCTTATTTTCATCAATTCAGGGTGTCTAGATGCCTTCTGTATCTAAACAAATCAATTGAACCTTAAAGACATTACCCTCTGCTGATTTACGCTTGGATAAAACGAGTATTCAAAAATAGAATCTTGAGTTTTTGTATCACACGAAATATAGAACAATTAACACCTAAATGTTCTTCGTATTCTTCGAGTTTTATACGGGCCACTTTTTTTTTCTTGTATTCGGAAAGGAGAAAAGAGGGGACGAGAACCTGATACTCGGTACAAATTACCGTATTCAGGTGCAGCAAGACTAAAATTGAAATAAGGTTAAATGCAAGAGTAAGCTGAGAAATTGCTTTTTGCGTTTTGAACAATATATGATCCATAGTCATAAAAGACACTTGCGATTCTTTAATTGAAGCTGACTTGACTCTTAGATCTGCATTACAGACTTTGTCAAAAGCATTGCTGACCATTTATATGGACTCTCTGTTTCGACTTGATATCTCAACACTATTATGAATACGAAACAAACCCGTTGAAATGGATTCTCTTCATGCTCTTGTAGGCTTCCGTCATTCTTTTAAAAAGAAATTATATCTGTAACCTCACTGTTCTCCACTGCTCTCATTTATAGGCTTTTTTTTTTAAATTAATGACTTGTATGAATGAGTATGTTATCCATGACTATACACTTTATTGGAAAGAACTATTAAATCCTAGACATTAAGCAGAGCATGAGATACATGAGTAGTATCTGCATTAGGTTACAAGATAGAGTCGAGGATAGATATGAACCACCACATGCTTGATCGACAATATGACCGACCAATACTAAGCTGTGATTAATGCAAATAGTGGATACATCAAATATCATTTTTGTTAAATAAACAACTTAAGCTTTTATTCTACAAAATTTATAGTGTTCATCTATGATGCTTTGCGGAACTTGTTCAAGGATGGAAAGCATATAACTTTTATTTGGTTTCAAAAATCATTAAAAGACATATAATGCAATGAATTTTTCAAGCAGAGATAGCACTGGAAGCTACACTGCAGGAAAAAAAAATTAGAGGCAGTCACAGTGGTTGCGTCACATTATCGAGCAGCATTTTGGCAGACTACCCCCTTCTTTTTTGATTTTTTCGCTCAACTTTTATCCCCACACAACTTTTTTTCAATCAAAATGTCAGTTGCTCGCATTGCTCTTCGCTCCATCTCCTTCAAGGTAAAATAAAACAGCACTATTCATGAAAAAAAAAGACACGACATGACATGCGGCACCATGTTTGTTTTTCTCTATTTGATACTTACATTTCTTATGTTAGCCTGCTGTTCCCGCCATGGCTGCCCGTAGCTTCTCTGCTGCTGCTGTTATGCAAAAGGGTAAGCACATACACAAGTAAGAATAAAGAGTAGGGACTAATCGCGTCTTTGACAGATGTTATTCAAGACTTGTTCATTAAGGAATTGAAGGGTTACAAGCCTGCTCCCATTGTAAGTATACTGTTTACATAGATTCCATGCTAATATAAATATAGGCTGTTGATGAAAACTCTGTCAAGGACTTGAAGCTTCCTCCTGCTCCTGCTGTAAGTTGAGATAGCATGTCTTATTTTTTGTCCATAACTCATTCAAAACAACAATAGGTTCCCGAAGTTGATGCTGATTTGTCTCAACAATTGGCTTCTTATGATGCTGAACCTGAGGAAATCTCTCAATAAATTATTGGACGTACAGAATAAGCCAAATATCCCTTTGAAGCACAGGAAAGCATTGAAGTATGTGTGTGTATAAACAATAAAAAAAACTTTTTCTTTATTCAGAGTGAGGAATATTATTGTAATGAGAAAGAGGGAATAGGATATGGTTAGGTGTATCATTTAACCTATCACCAAGACTTTGGTAGGCTGTATGTACTAGACTTCTTGGGTCATCACCATTGATATCTGCTGACAATTCCCAAAACATAGCACCACCTAACTGGCGTTCTTTAATGTAATCGCATTTTGCTTTTACAACAGCAGGTGTATCATAAGTAATGAACTCTCGAGTCTTTTTGCTATAAGACCACGAAGCAATCTTTTCTTCATCTATGTACTCCTTAGCACCTTCTCGGGGTAAATCTTTATAGTCAAACGATCCTCTATCCCAAGAGCCATCAGGAACACCTTTGTATGTCGAGCCAGGTTTTGAAGCTGTGTTCGAGAAGCCTCTGCCATAAGCGGGCATACCCATCACTAGTTTCTTGGATGGAACACCTGCTTTTTCATAATCTCTAACTGCTTGATCAACATTTAATGGGCCACCATATAGATTGGATTGATGACCTGTCAATTCATCCCATTCGCCTGCAAAATCATACGCCATTAAATAGAAAATATCAACATACTTGGCCATTTCACCTAGCTTCAAAATACGGTAATTCTCTGGCCCACATGGCATGGCAACAGATAACAAGAAGGGTTCTTTTGTTGGATCAACTTTTGCTTGATATTCATCTAATGCAGCACGAAGATCCTTCAACAATAAGACGTAGTTTTCTGAATCCTTTGCATTCTTAGGGAACTCCCAATCAATATCAATTCCATCAAGACCAAGGTTTTGCAAGTGTGAAATTGCTGTTTTTGTAAACATAGCTCGGGATTCTGGAATAGCTGCCAAAGTAGAGAAATTGCCACTCCAAGAGTATCCACCAATACTTAAGGAGACTTTAAGGTGACGATTTTGTTGTTTGAGAAGAGAGAATTGCTTAAGATTACCATGCAGATCTTTGTCATTTTCTTTCCAAGGGTCTAGTACACCATCTACTGTTTTGTCTAGGGATTTGTAAATGTATGCTTTTCTTATGAGTTTAATTTACCCTTTTGGAATTTGATATCTGTATCAGCCCATGGATCCTATCAAAGAGAAATTGTCAGCCCATGTTAAATTTTGTAGTCTACTGTACTCCAAGAATAACACTGCCATCTGTATTGACATTAGCAAAAGCATAAAGAATATGAGACAACTTTTTGGCTTGAAGATCAACTACATAGTGTTTACGCTCATAGATCCCCCTATCAACGATTAGACAAAAAGACTCGAGATGACAAAACCATACCAGTTTACAAAGTAACCGGCAATAATGTATGTTTCACTGGGTTGATCAACAGGCAGTGTATTTTCTGGTATATTGCTGTGTTCAATGGCCTGCTGATACCAGCCAATAGTCAAAAGGATAACAACGATAGGTGTCAATACTGCAAACTTGGCAATACTTTTACAAGAAAACATGTTTTAAGAAAAAGAGAATACTAATCTACTGTGATGTCCAATCATTTGTGCATATGCGTTGTGTAACTTGTTTGTCCCCGAGGCATTGACAACTAAACCATAATATAGACTGTAAAAATATGAATCTAGCTTGCTCTTCTATTGTTTTGAGCTATGGCATACTCATAATGGGAATAGATATAAATTCCTGAGGTCAGAAAACCTCTAGGACTTGTTATGCATTTTTGTATGCTATTTATAAGCCAATTTCATCAAGAAATAGAATGCAATAGATACGCACCAAAGCTTATGATGGTGCATTATGTCCTGAATCTCATACAGTCGACTGCAAATGAGCTTGCTTAGGGGTAGAGGCAAATTTTAAACTAAAAGAAACTAGAAAAAACTAGAATTTATTTTTTCAATACGAATTTTTGTTTTCAGTAAAGTGTAAATATGCATTGAAAATAAGAACTTGTTCTCTATCATTCTTTGGAGTTGTTTGTTTCTTTTACTTCTGGCTAGCATAGTGTGAGACGCTTTAGGCTGCTGTAGTTTTACACAACAACAGCCTCAACCTTTTTTTTTAAAATGATTTTATTTGCCGCACGTATTTTGTAGCACCGTAGGGCTACAAGAAAGAGGTGCTCGACAATGATTTATTGAGAAAATATAAGAGATAAGAAAATTAAAGGTGAAATAGGAACTGTTTAAAATAAAAAAAAAAAAGAAAATCATGCGAAAAAAAAAGAGGGGGAAGTAAGAGAGATGAAGGAATCAGTCGAGACAGTTTGTCTCTTCAGCAGCGCGGCGGGCAACTGCCCGGAGGGTTTGACTAAAGGTTATACTGGCAAGAAAGGGCTCCCTTCGATGGATATTAGTCCAATGGGTCTTCCAAAGCTCTGAGAGTGCAAGAATAAGGAGCGTTTCAACTTCAATGGGACAAGACCTACTGACGTTGATTTCGTCAAAATTCAAGGATTGAAGGGCGGAGGAGATATCGTTGATAGAGATACCAGGCCAAAGGAATTCACGAATAATAGTGTTCCGAAAAATGAGTTTTTCGGGACATTGAAAGAAAAAAATGAAAGACAGTTTCAACTTCTTGACAAAAGGAACAAAGTGGGGTAGGAGCAGTAGAAAGTGCCATGTTGAAGAGAAGGGATCTGGTAGGGACTTTCCCAGTTATCAAACGATAAATGGTGTTATGCATCAAAAAAGTTTCCAAGCAGAAGGAGAGACAAAGAATTGACCAACATCTTCATGCAAAGAGGCCTTCACCAGCGTGGTTTTAAAGGAGTGTCGAGCATATTGAAAATTATTAAATTTAGGGTTTGTGATTGGTAAGCGCAAGGCATGGATAAAGGGATAAAGGCAAGTAGAGCGCTGAATAGCTGGTACGTAGGCAGGATTGTAAAGGTCAAGAGAAGAGGAGACTATACACTGTTGAAAAAAAGGCTCTAGTTGACATCTACCATCATTTACAGCTCTAAGTGACTTTCGGTTAACAAAGAAAAGATCTCGAGGAAGGTTAGCCTCTACAATAGGGCGGAGGAAATGTCTTTGAGGATTGTAGGCATATAAAGCAGAAACAGGTAGATACCGTAGTTTCGGAGACAAAGCATAAGATGTGGAAGGGCGGATGACTACAGAGAAAGGTAGCAAAAGACAATCAATTGAGCTAGGCATGTATGTGTAACTATTGCGTGGAATAAGATCCATAGTACGACAAATCATTGTGGCAGTGTTGGTAGCCATGAATCTAAACGCATGTGGACAAATTCGAGGGAAAAGTAAGCAGATTAAAAGATTGTTCGTTTGAAGCAGTTGGCAGCAATGGTTAACGAAATCATGAACTAAGTTACGTTCTGCTGTTGAGTGTAGGAGTGAGTGAATCCAACGGAAGTATAGTGAGCTTTGTTGGATTTCAAGTTCTAAGACACCTAAACCACCAAATCTCCTAGGGGCGGTCATCAGTTTCCAACTTAAATGAGGAAAAATACCATGAGTAACAAAGGAGGTGATTACAGCTTTGATGGGTTGTAGAATAGCTTTTGTAACAGGTGTTACTCCTAGCAAATACCAGCATTTTGAGAGGATGAACGTATTGGCTACAGTAGCACGTCCTAGTACGGACAAGTTGCGGCTAGCATAAGAGTCAGCGGCTGCTTTCAAAGATCTGATAAAAGAGGAGAAAAAGGCTGTTCGTTGTGAGGAAGATTGGATTTAAAACGGTACCCAGTAAACTGATTGTCTGTGAGAATGGTTTGCAGCAGAGACTCAAGAGCGAAATTGTAAAGAATACAAGAAATTGGATCACCTTGCTTCAAATCACGGCGCTTGGGTATTAGAGTAGATGATAGCTAACCATTCATGTTGATACGAATCTTGTTTTGCTGGAAGAGAAAGTATAGGCAATCGACTAATGTTTCAGGAAAACCAAGGTGCCGTAGTACGAGGGATAGATATTCTAGATTAACCCGATCGTATGCCTTTTTTTGGTCTAGTAGTAATCCTAAATCTTGATCATCTTCATTGTAGTTGAAGGCAACCTTTTTCATCATCATTTGAGTCATCATGTTCAGCAATGAACCTGCCAGGCATAAATCCTAGTTAGTGGCAATTGATCATAGGAGATGCTATCGACATGATGCGCCGGTTAAGTGTTTTAATGAAAATTTTGTTGTCCGTATTGACCAACGGAATTGGTCTATAACTGTTTGCAGACGTCAAATCACCCTTTTCGGAAGCAATACCATCAATGATGTTAGCCAAGAGTTAGGAAAAAGAGACTGTGACAAAGCATCATTGTATATCTGAAAAATAAGTGGCTTTAGGCAAGGGATACGAAGTAAAATTCCAAGAATTTCATAAAGCAAACCATCACTGCCAGGACTATTTTTTCGAGGAGAGTGTTTGCTTGTTTCCAATATTTCATCCCAAGTGAACGGATTGAGCAGTGTGGATGCTTGTTCAGGAGTAATGCGATGATGAACTGAACTCAGAAGTGACCATGCGGTCAGGTTTGTACAAAGTCTTTTAGAAGTCAACCATGAAAGCGGTTATTTCTGCAGTTGTAGAGGCTAGTGTCTATGTTTGTGGGTCGCGAAGTGCAAGAATCGATCTCTGAGAAGAACGAGTAGTAGCTAATCGTTTTAGATAGCCAGCCGATTTTTCTCCTTTTTCACGCCAGACTTTGCCTGCTTTCAACTGATCAATTGCAACCATCTCATCTTGTAGTATACCAAGTAAGGATTCTACTGAAAATAACAAAGACGACAATATAGCTGTATTTTTATACTCTTGAAGGATTATGTTTCGTTTAGATTGCAAACGCTTAATGGTTTTAGTTTTCCAATTAAGTTGATCTAACTGAAATCCTCGGGTGTAGATTTTGACTTGTGCCTTTAACTGATCCCAAATGTCCTAAGCTGAGTTGCTAGACTGTTGACCCAGTGGGTTTTCCTGCTTAGCATACTTTGTTATATGATCTGCAAGACCCTCTCGAAAGGTAGCCAATTTCCTCAGAAATGGATTACCCTTCCAGGATCCCTTTCCCATTGCGGCTGAAGAAAGCTGATAATGGGTCGTCAGTAGAGCATGATCTGTCCAACTGTACTTAACAAAGGATTGTGACATGGATTTGATATTGGATGCATGTGATGATGAACAAAAAATGTAATCAATATGGCTACGATTACCGGTGGTGCCAACAAAGGTAGGTAGCAGTTCATGTTCAAAACAGTCATGGTATAGTGCATATAGTAGATTGTCCCAATCTTTATCTATGTTTGATTGTTTGTGAATGTCATAGTTTAAATCACCAACGACAATGATTGGGATGATGGAAGAACGTAGTTGAGTCATAAGAGCTTGGCTAGCAGCTAAACTTCTAAAGAAGTGGAGTCTACCAGTCCTCTCAGCAGGAGCATAAATATTGAGGATGTACATAATTGGTGAATAAAGATTTTGAGAGCTAGAGACAGAAGCAAGGATGAATCCATTGTCTGAAGCAGTGATCTCTTCATGTTGTTGTATAGCATAATTTAAATTAAATGATACAATGCCGCAATGTTCAGTCCATATACTAGGCTTAACTTGAAGCATAGTATCGAGTATAAATCTGAATTTTAAGGAATTGGTGTGGGTCTCTTGAAAGCAGAATATATCACATTGAGTAGAGCGTATAAATCGAAAGAATAAGGAACGTTTTGTTGAGTCATTTGTTTTGATGAGACCACGACAATTAAGTGTGGCTATCTATAGTTGTTTTTGTGTTATTTTTTAGATTAATGCTGGGTGTAAGCTTTATCTCCTGGAGAATTACCAGAAGGATTGCCTAAACCCATTCTATTCTGTTGCAATAGCCTCAACCTTGTGTACTGCTTCTAAAGAATGCCTGAGTTTAAATCAATACTCTCATGTCATGGACTAAAAGTGTCTACAAACGAAGAGCTATCAAAAAATTGTATCAGAAAAGTTGGTGATGCAAATACGGCGCATTGAATGGTGTAAATAAGCAAGCATGTTTGCTATTAAAATAATGAGATATCTTTCAAAAACATGTTTTCTGTTTTTGAGCTGTAGCATACACTTCTTATAGTGCTTTTGTAAATCTAACACTTTGAGTGTGTTTTATATACTTAGAAAAGCAATTCATACCAAGACATGTTACGTCTAAAATGCCTCTATCAATCGCAAATAGAAAAATAGTGAAAACCGATGATTTGTAAAGAGCAAAATGATGATTTTTTGCTATGTTTTTGCATCAATATGTTCTTTGATGTGTGCTGAAACATAGCAAACTCAAAAAAAGGGAATTAGAAGGCAGAAATGATGGTTCAGCTTGATAAACAGTCGCGCCTGCAGCGGGCTGCCAATCTGCAAGTGGTACTATTATGTTTATCAATTTTATCCAAAAATGACCTGACGCTCAAAATAAGGATGAATTAAGAATCAAAAACATATTAAGTGCGGCAAATCGAGTTATTAGTAACAAAGTATGTATGTTGTTAATATATGTATCACATATTGATTAAAAAGGTAGAAGCGAGATTCTTTGGTATCCTGAGAAATGCATATCGACAATGCATTTCAATGTACGCAAAAAGAAACAAGTGTTGTAATTTAATAAACTTACCTGGATATTGCACAAAATCAAAAAATCATACATCTTAGAATTACTCTTTTTGTGATTGACGTCTGTAATATGACATCATAAAGTTTATGCTTGATACACAAAAAATTCTTGGATTCGTGTGATGAGTATTACTAATATGAAAAGTAGTCATTGATTCGCTGATTACAAACAATCTATGTTTTAGAAGGGAAAAAAGGGCAATCCATATATAGAAAGGGAGCACAAGACTAAATAAAAAAATACATTTTCTGCTAAACTAAATTGTAGCATACTTCCTTATTAGGATTATTTTTGTCTCACTGAGCGAAAACAAGAACGGCAGAAAGAGACCGACAATCGGGAACAGAATACATGCACCTTTTTTCGGGGGGAGTTATCTGAAATTATACAACAGAAGAGCAAAGAGTATTATGAACTTTCTCTGTGAAATATTTTCGATTATCATATCAAATAAAGCAAAATAGGCCTATCAAATCCAAACGCGTGACCGCAGCAGTATTGAAAACAAACTAACATAGAGTGTGTGTACATTTATTATCTAGAATCAAAATAACAGACTCAAAATGACGTTGAATACTTTTAGAAAGATTAATCTAGCTTGTTACAGCTGAAGACAAGTTCCATGGGATGAACGTACTCTGCGCTGCAACTTGAGGAAAAGTATGTAAAGCAACAACGAGAGAGCAGCGATTAAAAATAAAGAAAAGCCTATAATCTAAATACATGAGTCATCTTTAAACGGATTGTCACATAAAATGTGTTTTGAGTGTAATTTAGAGTCATGTCTACTTTTTCTGTCTCTCCGTGTAACTGATCCAGACTGAGTCACCCCCATCATGATTATGGTTCTGAGCATTACTGCATCTATCAGCCAATAGTCGTGGCGATCAGTAACACAATATAGTCTCTCTCTTTTTCTCTTACTGTCTTTTTAATGGTTTCCATGGAAACAATAAATTTTTAGCATCCATGCTTTTACCCGTCACTTTGTATTTATCATCAAGATCCCCGTCACCATCATCTCGAAGCGGACTACAAGGCTTGGTATAAACATACACATGCTGCGGCACCTGATTCTGATGCAGATCAAGCCCTTTTATATAAATACGCCTCTTCTTCTCTATTTTTTTCTTTTTCATCTTTAATTTCAAGTTACCTTTATTTATTCAAAATTTATTTATTTAAAATTTATTTATTTGTTTCAAATGCAACTCACTCGCTCTATGAAAACCAATCAAGTAAACAAGAATGAAGTATTGCGTGTTGTCTTGGATGAACCTCGCATCTATGTTGAAGAATCTCTTGGTTCAGTGATGATCCGAGGTGAAGTCATTGTCAATTTCCTCAAGGACACTCATATTCAAGGTCCCATTGAATTGCTATTTGAAGGCATTCAACGATATCACCCTTGGGCAGGTACGTATATCATTAGCATGATGTGATTGATACTTATCTTTATTTATAGAAATCATGCGAGGAGAAGCATTAGGATCTACAATTGAAACAAAACTGCAAGTCATTGAACTATCTTTATTGCCTCCTAATTCTAAGGGAATCATGCCTGCTGGTGTTCAGCGATTTCCTTTTGAGTTTCCTATACCTGCATCATTGCCAGCCACTATATTTATACGAAATCGAATGGAAATATTCTATCAGCTTAGTGCCGCAATTCGTCGTTCTTCTTCTATTGATCAACAATCTAACTCTTCACAAGATGCCCTGAATCCTATTCAATGGATCGAATGGGCTCGTCGTACCAGTTTCAAAAAGAAATACATTGCTTCAACCACTGTTCGAATTGTACACGCTATAGAATCTTACAACTTGCCAAATCTAAACGATATTGAACAACCTTCCACCGTTGATTCCGCTTCAATTACTGATTCTGCTTCGACCACTGATTCTAACGGTACCTCACAAACCATTCAAGTTCCCTGGAATCGTCGTAGTTTAGATTGTTATCAGTGTACCTTTGATGAACAATATGACCAATTGGCATCTTCATTTACTGGAAAAACCTCAGGCAATTTAGATCAGCCATTAGATGCATTAAACGACGTTCAGGGTGTTCGATACAAAATGAGTGTTGATCGTACTGCTGTTGCTATCGGAACAAGTGTTGGCATTGAACTCATGATTGAACCCACCTTGGCTGATGCTGTTGTCAAGTCTGTCTGCCTTAGGATCACAGAAAGCCGAAAATTTGCTATGAAAGTTCCTGCTGGTCACTCTTGGTCAATAGATGTGCCCAAAACGAAAAGAATTACAGAAGACTCCAAAATGATTTTAAAATGGGCCTATGGCTATCCTCTACTTGAACAGAAAGTTTCCATGTTATGCAACAACAAGAAGGGCGCAACCTGCAGCAAGAAAAAGGGTGAAAAATATGTATACTATTGTACTGAAGATGACTCTGGTCGATACTATTTCGAATCACCACAACCCAATTGCAGCAAAAAGTTCTTGAAGAGAGCAAGTCTGTGCACATTAGACAGCGATCAAAGAAAGAATGTTTGCGAAAATGAAGTAGGCGGTTCTTTTACTGCTTCACCAAAAAACGAAATGATCAATCTCAAGGAACTCAATCAGCCGGTTCGATTGGGTGAATACTTTGGTGGCCGTTTCGTTATGCCTGTTCCTGATTGTTCTAATATTCTGAACCCAAGTATCAATCATGAATCCCTAAAAATTCTTCACTGGATGGAGCTGGTGGTGACTATTGAATGTAATGGTAAACTGTTTGAATTGACGATGAACGCTTCTTCCCGTATGCTTGACTGTCGCTTAGTAGCCGTAGACGATGAATGCCAAACTATTCTGCCTCCTCCTCCCACATATGAGCCTGGTGATGATAATTTCTACAACAGTTCTTATTCCCCTAAAAGCACTTTTTGGGAACAACGTGAACCCATTACTTTAGCAACAGGTTGGGGATCTTGTATGCCTTGTCCTTGCGAACACAAAAAGATGAAAGATAAGATCAAGTTATACAAAAGCCTTTTCAACAAAAACAACAATAGCAACAGCAAGTGCAATAGTGCAAGTAGTAGCAGTAGTAGCAGTGCTAGCATCACAGAAAACTCATTAATGCTCTTGCCAGAATGGGGACCACCTCCAAGCTACTCAGAAAACTAATTTATCTATTTATTTATTTATTTATGACAGTGTATATGCCTTTATTTTATGTTATTTACTTTATACCCAAATTATGTATTATTTTAATAAATTTGTTATACCAAAAAGACTGTAGACAGTCTTTATGACTCATTACACATAATAAGCATATAAGTCTGAGTTTGCAATGGAGTATTGTTACATAGATATTACAAGAAAGCAGTTCTAGGCACTGCCCTACTTGTGTCTTTCAATTCGACGGCATCATGCTCTCTATCATCTTCGTCGTCATCCAAAAAGGCAGAAGATGCATCCAAGACACTTTCTCGGTTTTCAACTTCAGTATAGCCCCTATTTTGTAAAGGTGAATTAGGATAATTCGTCAGTGTTTCCCAGAGATAGATCAGACTGAAGGCAAAGACAAAAACAATAAAGCCGAATGATAGTAAAACATTGCAATACGAGCTAATATCAATGCCCTTGATAGTAAGAAGAGCAAGTTGTTGTTCAGTAGCACCCATAAATAACAAACCAGCTAGCATTAACGTCTACGCAAAAAAAAAAAAAAAAAAAAAAAAAAAAAAAAAAAATGAGAAGGAGTTGAGTCAAGATGTTTTTATCAAAAAATAACTTACAAGAGGAGGAAGGTATTGCCAGGGAGAAATTTTGTCAAATTCACCTTGTTTCCAAACAAAGCAAATCTCAATGATTCTACTTAGGCCACCAGCCATGAGCATGTAACCAAAATAAGAATGAATGGCGCCACTATTGGGTACATGTTGTGCATGGCCCTGGAATGCAACTGCTGTCAAAATGATCAAAACAGAAGGAACCACAGATCTTTTCCCATTTCTACTCAAAACAATGCCAACAATACCAGCAGCCCACCAGATAATGCCCATGGATGTATGTTGATAATCGCCATGATTCCATGGCTGTCCCCATCTAGAAGAAACTGTTACACAAACATGTTTTGCATTAAAGCGTTTTACCTATGTTCTGTAAATGTATTCACAATACCCCATAGCATAATAACCCAGCTATCATACCATTCTTGACTCTTTCCGTTCCGAAGCAACCAGGGTCCACCTACACGAAGTGATAGTAAAAGCAAAATACCATAGGCTACAAATGAAGAACCCATAATGAAATGGGCCAAACATTGTCCGCTTGATTCTGTTCTGTACATCAGTAAACATCAATGATGGCTCAATCTTACCTCCATAACAGAAACCAAGAGAGGCGATGACACCTAAAACGATCTGCACATAACCAATGACAGGTATGAGTGCTCCGAGAATCTTGTGTATCTTTGTTAATAAAGGTCTAATTCTACCCAGAAGACCTTTTTCTATATGAAGTTTGAGATAGACGCCTAACAAAAATTGTGATACAACAAGCCAAATCACAATATCAGCAAACCAACGATGAGCAATGTGAGGTTCCTGTGGTTGGTGAATAACAACATTCTTCTTTTTAATTTGTAGTATTGCTTACATAGTTTCTTCCATTATGCGCGTGTGCTAGAAATAAGCCAACGATAAAGAGGGCTGTAGCTAATATCTGAACAGGCACATGCCATTTATTTCTTGCTAACCCTAGCACCATTCCCAATGGATAAAGCATGCCAAATGCTATTTGTATATTAATAACTCTCTATATGCAAAGAAGAAAGAGACTCACCTGTAACCATAAACGCAATATGAAGTGTCATAATAAGACCAATAGGTTCGTCTGTAGCTGCACTGTTTTCAAACAAGGAAGGGTCTAGGTTATGGCTATGGCCCATACCAGAACCATGTTCGTGTTCAGACATAGTTGCAAAGAAAAAATAAAAAGAAGAAAAATATTTTCTATCAAAAGAAAAAAAAAAAGGGCCATTATTCCACTGTATGTCAGGATGATTGATGGCCCGCTCAAAAATCACCCAAATTAAATTCTTAGTAGTGGAACACTTTTATTTTAATGATACAATCTCGGTTGAATTAGTCTTGTAAGTAAACAAAATCTTTTTCAGAGAAGCAGCGTATTCCATGACATGAGAAGCTTGTTCTTCTGTACTGACTGTATCGATATGGCGAATATCAATCGTATTCAGAAAAGTGAGTTGCTGTACCAAATTGTGCACCGAATTTACTTTTATCTGATTGCACCATTGCAGTATAATATGTTCCAAGTAAGGCAAGCCATGAGCGATATTCTCGACAGTCTTTTCATTGACCCAAGCACAATAAGAAAGATCCAAATAACGTAATTGGGCAACCCATACATTTGTGCTGTGAAACATGTTATCTAAATGATTTGAAGTATCAAAAGCCAAACAAGGCTTGATCATTGTATTGCTCAAGTTTAAACATTTCAATTGCTGGCGACTTGCTTCACCAATCCACTGAATCACTTCGTTTGATAGTGTACAGTCTGTTAAAATGAGTGTATGTAACCAAGAAACATTGTTTTTTATCAATGGCAAGATAGACTCTGGTGACAATCGAGTGCATTTAGCCAAGTTGAGTTGCCGAATATTGGTTGCATACATCAAAGTATCCAATGTGCGATCTGTGACGTATCCATGGACATGTGTAAGATCCAAGCATTGAACATAAGACTGTGTTCTTTGCGAAGCCCATTGAATAAACAGATTCAATTGTTTTTCTGTCTTTATGATCAAATGTTTATACAGTCTAACATTGGCGAGAATATTCCAATACCGGTTGATAACAGCAATTTTCTTTAGGTCTTTAATAGACAAAAAGCTCACTACTTTGATTGCAACTTCAAACGGTAATGTTTCCATAAATAAATAATAATAAAAAAAAAAAAAAAAAAAGAAATAAATATGACGCTTCGTTTACAAGGTTTAAAACAGCTTAAGTGAGACACCAATAGGTTTATTATGTCTAAATAGAATCTTACCTCAATCAGAGCGTCGTAAAAAGCCAATAGAGAATCCTTGATAAAATATCATGGCTGGGTGGTTGATTGTTTGCATAAATGGCGGTAAAATAAGTGTAGATTGGTGTAGTGTATTTACAAGTTGATGACAAACATCATCAGGATAAATCAAATGATCTGTTGACTTATCTTTAGACCACAGTTGAATGTATTTACGAGCTTGTTCAGTAGGTTCTTTACAGCTCAAATACATTACTTTGATCACTCTTTGTCTTTGGAGTGTTTCTTTATCGTGATTAAAGATAATGTTTGTATCCCAATTAAACAACCATATCTAAAGAAGTTAGATACGATGGAATTTGGTTAAAACAAGACTTACGAGTGAATAGATTTGCTCATTCTGTCTACCTTGAATCAAAAATTTATGAGTAGCATGAATCTTTGCTGCATTGACTAGATCAGAGATGAAAAAGTCTGTAAATACAGGTTGTTCCACAGGTGTTGGTATAGGAGTTACAGAATATTTAAAAAGTTTGACTGCCAGCAGTTGTAATAGTTGATTTTCTTGACAATACTGCCCTTCACCAATCGCATGATGACACTTTGAACAGTTGATAGCAATCCATTTTGTCAGTGTGCCTTTGTCCCACTAAATAGTAGATATGAGTATGTTTGGCATGGTAGTAGTTTTAATAAATAAAAAGAGATATAGACTTGCTCTCAACAAACTGTTGAATGCCATGATTTAATCTTGGATTTTTGTATCGGTCAGCGATGGTATCTACTTCATCGTCGACCTTCTTAAAATCCGTATATGAATATTATTTGGAAAAGTACTTACATCTTGTCTATCTGCTACAGCCTTGTTGACTTCTATAGCATTTGTTGCGATATTATTAGGATGCAAAAGAAAGTATGTGGTGCCTACTAGAATCACATTGGACCTTGCTAAAATAGGTCTCATGCGAGATTTATGTTCTTCTGGCTTTGTTTCATGACAAATCCAACACTCAACTAGTTCATACCAATGCTCTGATGGTAGATCCTTAGCTTGATATGTGATAGCATTGTCTATAAGAGAAGCAGCACAATGTTGACAATGTAGCTGCTTGGGAGTCACATCTTTTGATGACCACCACTCTTTGACTTCATTTTGTTGTGAGCGTAAAAGTGAGGGAGATTTGAGTAGCGAGAGTTTGATTTCCCAGGGAACAAGACCATTGCTATCAGTAAAGGCATCGTTGGGTTGAGCTATCACAAGGTTTTGTGTAGATATAAATGTATTGACCAAAGAAAGGTCTGCTACTATTGTATCTTTTAAAGTCAAGACATTATCTTTTATTTGAAGTGTTTGAGCAACATCACATGATGCGTCTACCAAAATAGTAGCGCGCAAAACATTGATATTGCTCAATTCTTCAGCATAAAAAGGAATCATTGAGAAAAAGAACGCGTTTTTAAGAAAAAATTTTCATTTATCGATGGGTGTGCCTTAAGTTAAATGACGTCACGGGAAGATGTTACATTGTACATCTGCATGATTTGATATTCACATAACAATTTTTTTTTATTATTCATGTATGAAATTATTCTTCAGCAGTTTTCTTTTTGTGTATGGTTCAATATATAGATGTGTGTATGTTTACGTTTTTTTTTGAGGTATCGAAAGAAGGAAAGAATTACAAACGAGTCTAGAAAGAAAGTAAAAGAATGTGATAGGGTGAAGGAAAGGACAAATGCATTCTCTCTTTTTTGGAAGCATAAAACAGCGTACATGATAGTGTGGGGATTCTATGAAGAAAGAATTAGTAGTATGTCGAACGGTTAAACAATGTTGGTCATGATATTGTTTACAGCTGCTTGTACTTCAGTTGTTCTGGGCTCAAGTTGTAAACTACGTTCGTAGAGCTGTTCAACGTCGTGTGTTATATCCAAGTAGGCCTTGATGAAATCTTGCATTTCTGGAATTGTATGGAAATTATAGGCAAAGTTTTGGAATTGCTTAAGTTCACGAATGACTTCAGCTGCCTTTTGTCTCTTTGCAAAGTTGATTAGGTTGTTACATTTAGGCAAAAAGTCTGGGTTGCCATCTTCAATAAAGGTCAAGTCTTGCAAGTAAATACCCAAGAATGGAATACAAGGAGGGTTGACTGAATGAACAATTTCTCTGTAATCAGCAAAATTGCGATTGGCACCCATCAATTTGCGGATTTGAGCCAAGGTTTGAGTAGTGCTTCTACTGCTTGCCATCCATGTCTTCTTTAATCTGCCTACTGCACTGTTATCAAAAGCAGATAGAATAGCCATACAAGTATTGAAATTGTTCATGCTACGACAATGCTAAAGATAAAAAAAAAAATTTAAAAATCAAAGATATGTTTTCATAAGACTTACATCAGCAACCTGAACCCAGTATTTAATAACAATGGCACGCTTTTTGGCCTCCTCATAAGATAAGATACTGTCTGTAACCCAAGCAGTCATCTGATTACAGTATTGAATTGATTGCTTGATATTGATAGCAACAGAGCCATCAGCACCTTCGCGAGACCAAGCTTTACCGAGTAATTCAATAGGTCGAATACTACTATAAAGTTTGAAATCCAAAATACTCAACTGTCTAGCCATTTCGAGTGGATCTGTTTCCAAAAGTTGAATATTAGCCATATTCTTGGGATAGATGGGATCAGGACCAGAAATAGCATTGGGTATAATCTTCTTCATTTCTCCTCTTGAGCTCAATTCAATACGCTTCTTGATAAGATTTAATAGTTGATTGGCAGCAAAAGAAGATGTATCGCGAATATTAGTGTTAGTAAAATGTTCAAGTCGGCCCAACAAGGGCTCGTCTTCATCAATATAGTAGTTTTCCAACCAGTTCTTCATGACATTGAAAACTCTAGACAAAGAGTTAAACACATATTCTCATATTTTTTTTCTTTCTTTTACCTCAAACGAATCAGTTTTTGCTTACGTTCAGTCCATATTTCCAATTCGTTTGGTGTTAATCGGTCAGGTGGAAGAAGATTATAACGAGCTTCCAATAGACTCACAAACTCTTCAGTGGTACAGAAAGAGCGATATGTAAGCAAAAAGGTAGCAATGAAGTTTGTATCTAAATAATGCTATGTCAGTAAGGGGAAAAAAGGAGGGGAGGGGGACAATGGACACTTACCAAGCGTATCATGAATTGTTAAGCGTTCTACAAGAGCTGCTAATGTTCCACCCTTAACAGTGTTATCTGAGCCAAATTCAATTTCATCTGGGTGGTGATCATTGCCCAATACATCATTAGATTCAAAAGAACGATCGTCTGTACGAATACTTTGTTGGCGCATACGAGAAGCAAGATCACCTGTTCCTTTGAAAGAATTGACAATGGAATTATTTGAGCTGACAAAAGAAGCAATTGTGCCACGACGCATGCCGAATTCACTGCCATCAAGTTCTGAGAAACCATCTTGGCTACGTGGACTAAGTTGGCCCTGATGGTCAAAATGACTTGTTCCATTGTCATTGACAGAGGGTTTTCTTATAGGGATGATAGAGGAAGCTGTAGGTGATACAGTAATGAAATCATCTCGGACAGCACCCATCGTACGCTTTCTTTCGTTCACCATGTCAACCACACTCTGCTCGATACTTCTAATGGCATCTTCTACACTGACAATCGACTGATTGATTGTCTGAACTGCTTTGCCGAGACTTACATGTATATCTGTCAGTGTTTGGATAGCACCAAACAATTGACCTATCGCTGTGTATAAGCTTTGACGGCTGATACGGTAATTTGAGATAGAAGGTGCATGAAGATCAATACTATCAAGACTGATTTCATCTAAGACACCAATGTACTGACTGATTTGACTGGACAGGCTACGAAACATAGAAACAGCATTTGTTCTCTCCTCATGAAATTCAACTGATGTCTCTTTCTGGGCCTTTTTCAAAACGGCTGAACCAATAAGAGAAAGCTCCTCTGTTGATCCATAAATCTGATGTGAATAGGCTTGTAAATTGAGTACAAGATCTTGATTGAGTAAATACTTGGCCTTTTGAACAAGCGATGTGTTGAGTTCGGTACTATGAGTCAAAAAGCCTTTCTTTTCCTCTGCATTGATGCTCTTAGAGCTGTGGTTACGTTCAATCGATGGGCCATTTGTGTTTGTCTTACAATGATTGTTGGTAGCTGTGGAAGGAGGATCATAAGGAAGTTGCGTGATATCATCAAGTAGTCTTGGATTTACAAAACTGACAGTGACATTGCGTTGTTGGCAAAGCGTGACAAAGTTTCTTACTGCTACCAACACATCATTCGCATCCCGTTGCACTTTTTGAAAGATAGTTGGAATAGAAGCAGAGAATTCAGAGATCTCAGAACCCATTTTAGAAGACAAGACAAGCTTAGAAAGGGAAGACATGACAGCACGTCGAGGTTCTCGGAAGATTGGGTTCTGTAATAACTGAGCATCTTTTTCCATGGAGCGAGAAGCATAGAGCATGAGACGCACACTCTCTACAATAAGAGCAGTTTTAGGCTGGAGTTCTTCATGCAATCCTTTTTGAGCGGCATTTGCCAATTGATGAATAGAAAAAGCAATGTCAGAAGCTAATTTGTGCCACGTTAATTCTTCAACAGGTGTTGCATCTTCTTGAATAGAAACTCGATGCATAGCAGCAAGGTGAGCAGGATATTCTTCTTCACTTTCTTCTTCATCTTCTTCGTCCTCCTGTTCTTCTTGTGATTTTTTCTAATAAAGAATAAGCATTTATTACAACAGTTTGAACTTACCAAATGGCCAGTTTCTTTGTCGATCTCTTCATAGTCCCAAGTAGTTTCTTGAGTAACCAAATTACAGTAGTAAATTCTGCCTTGAGGCGTCTTTCTTTCAACCCAATTGTCCATAAGCTATTATAAGCATGAGAAAGATAAACTTTTTTTTCCTATTGTTATACCTCTTTAGTCGTGGTAATTGTCTTATCTGCAGCTGTGTTATAATCTGGTTCTCTTGATTGGTCAGACAGAAAACTGTCTCGCTGGCTTCTTAAATTACTATCGTGATCTGCAATGATATTCTCAGAATCAAAGTTGTTGTTGAAGCCTGGATGTTGGTTCAAGATTTTGCCTGTATTTTCATTATAATAAAACCAAGATTGGCCATCTTCTGCCATTTGAATTGTCCAACCATCAGGGAGATTGGCATTATTTCTGCTGACTTCAGAACTATTTGAGCTATGGATAGAAGATGCCACTCGATTTGAATCAATATAGTTTTGTAACATTGGTGGATGAGGAGGAAGCATAGCGTCTGGTGGTGGTGGTGGCCGAGAAAGGACGGCTGCTTCATCTAATATGACTTCGACATAATTGCTAGGAAACCAGCCTCGCTTTCCATTACACCTAGAGATACAATAGTCAGTTTCGAGTGTTTATAACAAAGCGATCTTTACCATCCGTCCCACCAACCTGATTCCAACTTGGCAAGGACGTCTATCACATCGTCTTTCTTGAAGCTTAAAGAAGAGTGTTCTTCAGAATAATAAGGATAAAGGGCTCTAACTCGACATATTATCTTTGGTGGCAGTGGTAAAGAAGTCATTTGTTAAAGAAAAGGAATGGATAAAAATAGCGAAGAAAAAAAATTATTTGTGTTCATTTTCTTGAAAAATACTATAAAAACGGGAAAAGAAAAACTCAATTTATACACATATATACATACATACCTACATTTACACACATCACGCACACACATCCATACTTTTACACTCTATAAAAAAAAGGACATACACGCACAGCCTTTTTTTTTTGGTATTAGACTCTATTTTTCTTTTAACAAAATACTTTATCATTTAGAGATTTGTATTACTTTTTTTATCTTCTTAGTGTAACATCTTTACATTTATTTATCATTTAGTGTGCTTGATTGCTATATTTACCATATTTACCATACTAACATTGTGGTCTTTGCGTCCATGCATTAATAGGCTATTTACTTGTCTGTTACGAGTTACTAAATAAGGTTGTCAAGCAAGCGATTTGATATACTGTCTAGACAAGGATATACCAGATATGCATGGATCGGGAACCTTATTTTTGCTATGCTGACAAAAGAAAAAGTATTTCTTAAAAGACTAATGTTCCTTGGGTATGGTGTCATGCTGAGATAATCCTATTTTATAACTTAAAAGAACGCTTAACATTGAGACAATATGGACACCCCTAACTATGCTTAACTAATTCGTGTTTCTTTTGCTTTACTTGTTGTAATTAGAAGTAGGAAACATACTAAGTGAATGACAGCTAAAGTCATTTAACATTTGCCTATAGCTTTTTGTTAAGTACCTTCAAGAGAAACTGAGGAGGGAGGGATTTGTAGATGTAAACATTGTCTTGGCTTAACAGGGTTTTTTTTTTATAATAAAATCTTGATAGAATGTGAACCTCTATTCCACTGAGTTCTAACCAAAGCTTTACCCCAAGTGTTCTCTATGCAAAAATATGCTGACTTTTAACCAAAAGGAAACAATTACGACTCTAATAAACGTTTTCAGCCTAAATAAATGCTTTGTTTTAGTCTTGGCTTGTTTAATTTTTTCTCTCATTTTTATCAAATTCACTTCAAAATAGCTTCATTATGATCATAACAAACTCGAGTCAAGAGTTCGCTCGATTAACAACAGACGAAGAGTTTGCAGATGGCCATGGAGCACAAGTTCAAAGTAACACACCCGAACAAATATTAGACGGCCTTTTATCAAAAGTGGGATACGGACTATTTCAAAAGAAACTATTGGTACACTTAAACGAATCCTCTCTTAGATTATTGATTGTTTTTCATATAGATATTATGCGGATTTGGATGGTTAGCAGACAACGTAAGTTATCAAAAAAAAAAAAAAAGTGTACCTAATCTAACTTGATTTGTTAGATGTGGCTTCAGGTCTGTGTTTTTTACTTATCACTTTGCCGTTTATTAACGAGATGTGTTTAGACAATAGCCATTATTCTTCCAAGAGTACAAGGTTACTATGCAAAGCAGAGATAAATACTAATACTTTATTTTTTTAGAGCATTACAGTGTACCCGATAAATGGATTGGCACTTTATCGAGCTCGCTTTTTGCAGGAATGACATTTGGCGCCTTTTTTTGGGGTTCCTATTCCGATTCAAGAGGAAGAAAGCTGCCTTATACAATGACACTAGCTATCACCACACTGTTTGGATTGATTTCCAGTTTTACATTTAATTTCGCAAGCTTATGTTTTACACTTTTTTTTCTTGGGTTCGGTGTGGGTGGCAATATGCCTACAGATGGTAACTTTTAAAGAAAAACATGGGTATGCGCTAAAGATGATTCATGTAGGTGCGTTATATCTCGAATTCTTGCCTAGAGAATACCATTATCTCTTAACATTTATGTCTGTATTCTTTTCATTTGGAGCTGTGTTTGCTTCTGTCTTGGGCTACATGATATTGCCTAATTGGAGTTGCCCAGAAACAGCAGAGCCATGCGATGTACAGACACAAAACAAAGGCTGGCGAATCTTATTGTTCTCTGTCTCGGTGGTCACGTTTGTCATGCTCCTTTTACGCAGCTTATGGGTCAAGTTGCCAGAGACACCCAAATTTTTAATGAGCCAAGACAGACATAACGAGACAATTATTGTATTACAAGACATTGCTAAAATCAATGGTGGAAGTGTTCAAATTGAACGAGAAGAATTACCGGATATGCGAAGGAGACATCCAAATTCGCCACCCCAAGGAATGAATGACGATGACTATGACTTGTCACAAACGAATCATATGGATGATAATGAGGATGATGTAAATCGGGTCTTATTATCAAGTGGACAACATGGGGTAGAGGAGATTGTGATAGAAGAAAAAGAAAAAGGACAAGCACTTAGGTCATTATTGAGTCCACAATGGAGAAGAACAACACTTTTGATCTGGGCTATTTGGACAATTACTTCAGTTGCCTATACAATGTTCAATGTGTTTTTGCCAAAATTCCTTGAAACATTAGGATTTGAAGGAGAAGCAATGCCTTCAAGAGAACAAGTGTACTGGGATTACATGATTTATTCATTGGCTGGTGTGCCTGGCTCAGTAGTAAGACAAACGATACATGTTAATATTTGATTTATCAAGCGTATATAAATATATAGATTGCTTCTTGGTTGATTGAGACAAGGTTAGGTAGAAAAGGAACAATGGCAGTATCAGCTTTTGGTTCTTCTCTTTCGTTGTTTATCTTCTCCATCATTAGCTCTCGTTTTACTATGGTCATATCCTCTTCTGCTGTATCATTCCTAGCAACATTACTATACGCAGTCATCTATGGCTACACACCGGAAGTGTTTGATACCAATGTACGAGGAACTGCAGTTGGAACTGCCTCTGGATTAGGCAGAATTGCAGGTATTGCTAGCCCCATTGTCAGCGGTATCCTGCTTACAATCAATACATCATTGCCTCTCTATGTCAGTGTCATTGGTTTCGGTATCGTGAGTTTATGTGTAGTGCTTTTGCCATTTGAAACAAGAGGTATCAAGTCCCCCTCTATGTAAACCCATTTGTATTTTTATAATAAAAACAAGCGTCAATACTATAAGCAGTTGCTCATCAAAGAATGGCTTGTGATTGAGAGTATACGCCTTTTTCTGAAGTCTTTGATCCTTTTTTCTTATTGTAAATGCACTGGCGTTTCTGTAGCTTCTAGTCTAGCAGTTTTTTGTGTGCACTTTTTGCTAAGACAAGAAAGATTATTGTAGAATGAAATAAAAAAAGCTAGCATACTTTAAAGCTAACATTTTGAGTGTGTTTTATATACTTAGAAAAGCAATTCATACCAAGACATGTTACGTCTAAAATGCCTCTATCAATCGCAAATAGAAAAATAGTGAAAACCGATGATTTGTAAAGAGCAAAATGATGATTTTTTGCTATGTTTTTGCATCAATATGTTCTTTGATGTGTGCTGAAACATAGGAAACTCAAAAAAAGGGAATTAGAAGGCAGAAATGATGGTTCAGCTTGATAAACAGTCGCGCCTACAGCGGGCTGCCAACCTGCAAGTGGTACTATTATGTTTATTAATTTGATTCAAAAAAAGAAAAGTAGTTTATGTTGAAAGCTTATGATTTAAGATCGTATAATAGGCCTGATGTTTGAAAAATGCATAATAATGGGGATCAAATGTATATTAGATGTGTAGTATGATTATAATGTATTGAATGTTTTTAATATATTGTTAAAGAATCTAGCTCTCTCTCTCTCTCTCTCTCTCTTTTTATTTTTTATTATTTTTCGCAAGTTTGTTACGAAGCCATCCCCAATGCTTTAATCGTTTTGCAACAGTAGGTGTAATCGCAGCAGTCAATGATAATCGAAAGGGCAACAGGATAGTCTTGTGTATACCATATGCAATAACAAATAGTGAGGTAAATGAAGGTCTTTCATGCGCATTGCCTGGGAGACGAGGTGTATGTTGTATGCCTAACCATCCTTTTGCCTTACCAATCACATAATCTTCTACTTCTCGAACACGTTCAGCTCCTTTCACACTAATAACAGCCATGACTGCTGTTAAGTCAATGGCTCCCAGAATGCAATAGACGCCAATGCCAACATATCCATATTTCTTCATAAAATGTTTTGTCTTTGATACAAAGGGCTTTTGTGACTCGGGTGTGGTTGCCATAGTACGGTTGCTATGAAAGCGTGTAGATAAAAAGGGGGCTGTTGTCGAGATAAAAGGCGTGCTCTTTGAACAAATTGACGTGGTATCAAATGTAACATATTTTGGTTTGGTCTGTAGCTTTACCTAGGGAAGCTGTCGAGGATAAGAAAGGAAGAAAGAAAAAAGAAATATCATTTATGCATGATGTCATGCGAGATTACTTTTGAGTTTTAAAAAAAATGGGCCGACTATTGAGAGCGAAACCGAAGCAATAATTAGGCAAACGAGTTGTAGAATTTGTTATCATCAAAAGGGGGCCATGCTCATTGAGATGACTAGGAATATAAGTCCCTTTTCTTAAACAGAGGAGGTCTATCTTCCACCTTCCTAGCCAAAAGTTGAGATGTATATCATGTTTATGCAAGCGTTAAAAAGCACAGTAAAAAAAGAAAACGTTCAATCGTGTGGTGAAAAAAAAGGTGCACTTATAGAATATATAATACTAATTGGCATCATTTTTTTTTGAGGGCTGACCATACAAATTTGCAAATCAGAGACTGCCAAAAAAAAGAGAACAAAAAGGACATTTTCTGCATTGAAAAACACTTTTTGACCTTCTAGCTTTTCACATATACATTCTAAAATGAATAATTAGCATGGAATACCTAAAAAAAAACAATGTTCAAAATATTTTCTAGGTAGTTTTGGGTCGAAGTATATCTGTCAGATTTGGATCAATTCTTCTCTTTACCTGATTTTATTTGTAAAACAATAGTTTTCTATATTATACACAACGATTAAAACTGTTCAACAGCTTTGATATATATATCCTTCATCTATTGTTTCTTCTCTGCTTCCTCTGCTTCCTTAATACGTCTGCGTTTAACCATAGTATTAATGTATGTACCAAAAACTAAGCATGAAAAGAATAGGTCAGCACAAGTATCTATTGTTCTCGTTACTACTTTACCAAAAGCAACCAAGTTAAAGAAAGGCACCCAAGTAGTGGGAGGCAGGAACTTTTGAGCAAAAAGCATTGTCAAAGGAGAAACAACCCAAGAAACCTTTTGCATAGGTAAGAGACCCTTCTTGATGTTAGCTTTTAATAAAGCAGGAGAACGAACACCAGCCATAATAGCCATGGCAGTCAAATAGACTACACGATATTGGTCACTCTGGTTCATTTACAGCATCTGATGTTTACCTGAATTCATGATGGGTGAAATGATCAAGTTGGAAAAGAGCAATTGACCGATTTTCACTTGAGGACCTTGCTTACCCGCAAATACTTTATTCATAATTTCATACATCAAGTGACTCAAGGGTCCAGAGACAAACAAACCTAAGACGATGATAGTGATCAATAAATACATTGAGTCTAGTATGAAATCGCTTTACCATATGCAGCCATTTGAATGACTCTTTTATCAAGTTCCTTAGCACCAGAAAGTTTCTGTGCTGTTAATTCTTGCAAACCTGACAAAATACCAGAGGTACAAGCCTTTGTACGAAGAGGGTTTGCAGCAAGTTGAGACAAATACCAAGCAAGAAAGACTTTTGTGTTACTAGGAGAAGACATAAGAATACAACAAAGAAAAGAAGAAAAAGAGTTTTTTCAAAAAAAAAAAAATATAACTCTTGTTATCTAAGCAGATATTGCAAAGATACCCTTTTTCCATAGATTACTCCGACTGAAAATACACACACAAAAAGATGACAATGTGAGAATTAAAATAGTTGCACAAATAATTTATTTTTTTTGTATAAGCGGATAAAGTAGCGCATATTCTGTACATCTATAGGATATTTTAAATGGTCAGGGTGCCTATATTTAAAGCTATTAATCTACTATATTTCACATTGAGTATAGCCTACCTATACCATCGGGAATCTTCGCCTATCACTAATTTCAAGTCTTGAATAGCATCCAATAACATATATACCATATATGTCTTATTGCCTACTTTTAAATGCGAAAATGAACCTGCAGATTCAACAACCTAATGATATGAGTTGGTTTGTGTACCCTTTTTTTTTTTTTTTTTACTTACCAATAAGTGTGCCCCTTTCTTCATAGTTTGAACCATTTTTTGTATTAATGCCATGGCTGCTGATTTTTTGACAAACAATTCATTCATGACAAACATAAAGGTAATTAAGTCTGCTTCTGCTAATCGCTTATCTATCTTTGCATCTGTAGAATCTAATACGTCGTTTTGTTCGTATGTGCATTGTAACTGCTCTTCAGTCAACAACCACTTTTCTCGGATTGTTTTTTCTAATGAGTCCAATACGGCATCATAAGCACCAATGTCTTGCATGACCAACTGCACTTGCTGGCGTTCAGCAGGTACTCGAGTCATTGCCGCCGAAATAGCCGATAATTCAGAGCCGGATCCTGAACCGACACAATAAAGATTACTGCGTTTCATCAAAAACTTCAAAAGTTGAGGTCTGCAAAAGATTTCGTAATAACAAAGTGCTCTTCCCGGTACATACGCTGCTGTATAGACTTCTAAGTTGAGCGTATCCGTAAAGATACCTTCATAATCACGTTGCACAAAACTTTGTTTGATGCTTTGCAAAATTTTAAAGAAATCATCTCGAGCAAATGTACTCATACAGGCCTTACGAATCATGGATAAAATACCTATAGAATATGCATGAATATTCATGTCATGTCCAAGTGTCTTTGTTACTTTGTTCTGCGTCCGTGCCCAATATTTTCCAACGTTCTTTTAAGGCTGCTTTGTCATAGGCTGCTTTTAGTTCTTGTTTTGGCTTTTCAGTGGTTTGTTTGTTCAGTGACAAGTCCTTGAGGTTGTCAGTTACTTCTTCAGCACTCATCGTACTTGTTAAAGCTTGATCTTGAAAAAAGAAAAAGCAAGAAAAAAAAAAGTCAATGGAAGACTGTGTAATCAAGAGTAACAAGTCACGAAGTCAATCATCATTTTGAAGAGCAACCACTTGTGTGTTATTTAACAAATATGTCTTACATATCAGAACATGGCATGCATCTTTTAATTTTAATACAGAATTATTGCTCTAAATAACTCGAACTATTGTTCAAGAAAAAACTTTTTTGTTTTCGCAGCAAGAAACAATGACGCAGCCAATCGAAAAGTGTATTAAAAAGGATCGGAGATCTCTTCTGTCAGACATAAATGCATCGTCGATTCTGTATTCCTTTTTTTTTCTTTTCAATTATAGAAAATCAATGCCAGAAATTGCTGAAGTAAGCTCTTTTTTGTAATGAAGAATGCATTAGACTAATGATCAGGTTGAACGTGCTCGCTTGCGTCTTCATAGACAATGCTTAAACCATAAAATAACTCATGTTGAAGTCGTAAGAAACAGTTGTACAAAACGACACGATATTGATGTTACACTATAGATTCAAGATACCAACATTTTCAAAGACATTAGTCCTGATGGTTTTGCAGAAAAAATCATGAATAAGACAGTAGTTGGCACAAAACGATGGGGAAAATACTTTATACTATGTAAAAGGAGCTGATAGACATGACGTATGTATCTAATGCTTTGATATAGTGCTTGATGGAGATGGGCCCCATATTGTAGGACATCTTAGTCTAACAGGCGGTTTGCGAGTAAATTTTTGTCTGTATATATGTATGGATAGATTTACTCACTGCGCAATCTTGTACTTTAGTTTAAACATGAAGAACTAGCAAAAGGCATGGATTGGCCTCCTAAATTCCACAAGCTTCTTATTACATTCACTCATTCAGAGACCGGAAACAAGGTCGAATTTGGATTTAAAGATCCTCTTCGTTGGGCTCGTCTCCGTCTTATTCCTGGGGATCCTTTAGTTGTGCCTCCTATTAGTAAATTAGGCTTTGATCCTGTACTGAACATGCCTGATTTCGGAACGTTCAAGACGCTAGTCACTCGCCGTGCTGTTCCTGTCAAAGCGCTCTTGTTAGACCAATCGTTTGCTGCTGGCGTTGGAAATTGGGTTGCAGATGAAATCTTGTTTCAAGCCATGATTCATCCTGCGCAGTACACAAATACATTGACAGAGAAGGAGGTACAAGACATGTATGAGAAAATGAAATACATCTGTGATACTGCAGTAGCCGCAGAAGCAGATGAAAGTAAGTTTCCTGAAGATTGGCTCATGAAGCATCGATGGAATAAAGGCAAGAAGAACGAGCTTAAGGGCAGATTGCCTAATGGCTTGCTGCTCAAGTTTGAGACGGTGAGTTATTAAATATGCACATGGCATGATATGCTTATAGCTATGATAGGTTGGTGGAAGAACGTCTGCTTTTGCACCGGACCGACAAAAGTTGCGAATGTCAGAGAATACGATTGTCAAGAAGACTACCAAGAAGAGAAGAAAGAAGGCCAATTTTGAAGTCATGAAGGACTCAGATATTGAAGATGAAGAATACGCAGAAAAGGTTGTTATAAAGCCAAACAAAAAGGTGACTACGACAAGGATCAAGAAAGAAAATAATCAAGAATCCAAAGCAGAAACAAAAGAAATACTGCAAGAAGTATCCAACAAGGCTCTTCCTTTGCGTATATCACAACGGTATAACTTGAGACAACCAAAAGGCAGTCTCGTACAATAAGAACAACAATCCTATGGATTTTTCTTTTCTCTATTTTTTCTCTCTCATTTGTAAAATAAACAACAATGTTACAAAAAGAGTTTGTCACATTGTTTGCTATCTTGGCTCTAGGTCATTATTGTTTCTTCAGAAAACAAGATCGTAAACACAAGATCAGTCTTAAAGAAGAGCGCGTTGTTATTATAGGTGCTTCTTCTGGCATTGGCAAAGACTGTGCACTCAATTATGCTGCTCGTGGAGCTAGACTTGTTCTTTTTGCTCGCCGAAAAGAACTCTTGGAGCAAATCAAACAGCAATGTAAAGCTGCAGGATCATCACAAGTAGTTATTTTAGCAGGTGACGCCACAGCACAGAATGATTTAGCCCAACTAGCCCAGTTGACAAAAGATGTGTTTCATGGTTGTGTGGATACAGTCATTTATTGTGCTGGAACCATTTCAGTCCGACCTTTTCTTGAGACATGCGGTATCCATATCAACCGTAACCAAGAAGGAGAATGGGTTGCTACCGAACCAACTCACACTGAACAAATGAACAACGCCTTAAACACAATTACTACTTTGAACTATTATGGTGCTGTATGGACAGCATCTTTATTCATGCCATTGTTAATTCCTTCAAAGTCTCCCAACTTATTGCTTGTATCTTCCATGGCAGGCAAGGTAGGAGCTCCAACGCGATCACTTTATGCTGGGTCCAAACATGCATTACATGGCTTTTTTGATTCTTTACGAGTTGAAGTAAGCCCATATAATGTTCATGTTGGCTTGATATGTCCCGGTACAGTACACACAGATTTGAGACACTCTGCAGTAGACAAATCTTTAGGCGAAGGGAATATAGCAGGATCGAACAAAAACAAACTGTCTGCTAATACAGTAGCCAAACAAATCATTGAAGCCAGTGATTTTCGCTCAAGAGAAATATACACACCGAGTTGGTTTGGGCATGCTGCTGTTTGGGGAAAATTACTTTTTCCTAGCCTGATTGACCAAGCTGCACAACGTAAATATAAAAATTAGAATGCACGTGCGCATATGAGAATAAAAATAACAAAAATGGGTGGGAAGCACAACACGTGTTTGCCCTTTTAAGACTAATGCCTAAGTTTTTTTTTTTTTCTCTTTCTTTCGTTTTTCTTTTTCTTTTCAAGTGAGATAATGTTAATTGGACACCAACACGCTGCTCCTACTGTTTGTAGTAATGAGCTACCTATTCAACTTCCCCAGCCTTATTTTAGTGATAGATCCCCTTCGCCTGTTCCTTTTCGACCTTCTCCACTTGACCATCGACCTGACTTGACAGGAAGAGGCCGAAGGGAATCGTTACCCAGTATTGCTTTTCTTACACAGCCAGTTCTGGAAGAATCGTTGCTAACTCGTCGTCATTCAATAGCTAATCGGCCGACATCAATTGTATTGTTAAACAAATTTGACATTTATTTGATTCTGATTTTAAATTTATTATCATAACCGCAGGAAAGACGTCACAGTACGCATGGCTCATATTCACGGTCTCCTGAATTGCGTATCAGTCATAAATTGGCTGAAAGAAAGCGAAGAAGAGAAATGAAAGACTTGTTTGATGACTTGAGAGATTTGTTGCCTATGGACAAGAGTGTCAAGTCGAGTAAATGGGAAATTTTAGCTAAGGGTAAGCTGTGTTTTATTGAATTTAGTGTAACAGGATTAAAAATAGCTGTACAATACATTGATCGATTACGTGAAAAAGAAGCTCGGAATTTGCATGAAAAAGAAGAGTTGCAAAGAGAATTGACAAGGTTAAAAAGTGGCACTTTATAACTCTTCCCCCCCCCTCCCTTCTCATTTTCTTTCTTTCTTTCTCTCCTTTTTCTCCTGCCCCTTTTTTCTGTAAGCCCCCTTTTCTCTATGTTGCCTTTTGTCTATTAACCTTCCTTTTTTTTTCTTTTTTTTCTTTTTTATTCTGAACTCAAAAGATGTTCTTGTATTATTTGTTCTTTTTATCGCTCATTTTTGGTATTCAAGCTCAAACTCAACCATTATCAAGTCAAAGTTTGACGCCAACACCTACTCTTACTATTACAAATAGCATATCTTCAATTATTACTACTACTACTACTAATACTACTAATATTAATACTACAACTCTTGTCAATCAAACTTTAAATTCAACCTCAATGATCAACACAACCACTGCAACAATAATGCCTAACAGTACCATCTCATTTGCTACTATTACTTCTTTTTCACCTTCTCTTTTCACTCATTTCTCTGATTTGTTTACACACAATGTGACAGGAACAAATTCTTCTATGAGCTTAAAGCCCACACAATCTGCACCTTATCCAGATGATACAATTGGTAAATATGGTCGATTGCATATTTCAGCTGCTACTGCTTTTACGCCATGCTTTTACTATCGTATTGTTGCTTTTCTAGTGCTCTCTGTACTCTTTTAGAGAATAAAAAATAAAATAAAAAAGGAATTGTATATATATTTAAGAAGAGGAGGAGTAAACCAGCACATCCCTTTTCTCTCTTTTAGTCATCTCTAGCATTTCTTTATAGACTTGTAGTTTCGTGATTTCATGAAGGATATAATGTAGTTTCTTGTCCCAATTGGTAACTGCTTGGATAGCATCCATTGAGTGCTGATTCTTTGCTGCTGCAGACTTGTATCTCATATTAATGACTGTTAAAACTCATTTCTTTACTTACTTTTTCATCTACAGATAACTTGAATAATCTGTGTTCATTCAACTCAACATTTAATCGATCTATTTGTGATTTGATATCCAAGTATTGATCATGTATTTCCAATGTACTGCTGATCATGCAATGCGAGGGCGGATACCATGGCTGTACCTGACATGCTGCAGTATGGCACTGTGCTCCCCAACCATAATCAATGTTGCTGATAGCACCGGGCAATGTTCCTTTACTGATCCTAGCAGCAGCTAAATTACAAGCCTCTACCCATGCTTGGATAGCAAACAGATCAACAGACTCAAATAACCATAAGCCACCTTCGCCCGTCTCTAAGCGAAACACATGGGGACGCTGTGGATTCCAGCCAGGAGGTGGTAAGATTGTTGCATACACATGATTCATTGGCAATCTGACCAAAATCTGGCTCTTATCTGGCTTCCAATCATCCTGTAATCGAATCATGTCTTGTAACGAACAGAGGCCTACAAACGAAGCACTCTTGCGCCTATTTTGTTCAGGCATAAACGGTTTATACATGATCAATTCTGTTTCTGTCATGACAAGATAACAAAGTTGCCAATGTCGATGTTTAGCACGCTTATCTGCTGCCTCCATGACATGTTTGCGCATCACGAGCCCTTGTTTAAACATGTCTTCTTTACGTATCAATGGTGGTAAAAACATAAGGTTTTGTTCTGACGAAGCTTGAATGACAGATTGACCACGTTTACGTCTTGTGCTTTTCGGTAACTTTCGAGACCTCTGTAAAATGAGTGTCGATTGTTCAGGGATGAGATCAATTCTTTGTGCTCGAATTGCTCCATACATTTCCTATTATTGTTCATATTATTGTTATTTTCATTTATGCAATAGGAGGTGTTCTTACTTTTAGCAGGTTTTCAATATCCATCAGCCATGTCTTTTGTGTACGAGTAAGAGGGATATGGTCATAGTTCATAATAGAGCTACTTTTCCATGACATATTCGATCGAAGTACATCCAGTTTGTGTAATACAGTACTACTATGGCTACTGATTGTGCTTACATTGATGCTGCCCACTTCTTCTTCCTCCTCCTCTTCTTCTTCTTCGTCAAGGCTTGTAACTGAATAAAGACTCTCAAACTTCTTACAACGATACAGCCCAGAATCAGCACTTGTTGTCGAAGCTCTTCGTTTTGTTTGCTGATAAGGCAACACTAATTCCTGGATTGTATTCATTGTGTTTCTTACAAAGCTTGTTTTGGACATTTTGCTGCATGATTGGTTCACAACATGTAGGTCTGTATTTAGCAGTAATGAAGCATAAGCTACTGCATGGATCACATCAACTGAATGAAACAAAGTTGTAGGATTGCATTCCCAATATCGCTTTGCAAATGCTTCTACGATTCGATCTATTTGTTGAGATTCAGCCTTCAGGTAAAGTTTAGCACAAAGAGAACGAAAGGCAATATCCAAACGTTGATCTGTAAAATCAAAATTCTGCATATAAAGAGTCAGAATTCTTGGTCGATTTAGGGGTCTAATAAGAAAATAAGCGTGATAATTTGGATAAATCGATTTTTACCTAGCAGAACCCAAATATTCTGCTATCTCTCCTTTAGGAATAAATGCCATGTCTTCTGCCCATAATCGCTTTTGAATGGCGTTGCACTCTTCCTCATCTATATCTTGCTTTTTTCCTAATGTCAAAGAGGAACGAATCACGCTCTTTGTGTTTTCAGATGCAGAACTATAGAGTACATTGGATACGCTAACTGTTCGTTTGATTACTTGTTCTCCCGAGAAATCAGCTTGAATATGAGACAAATCCATTGTATGCCGATAAATCGATCTCCTATTTGAGTGGCTTACAAATATAGGTAAATGATTTTTAGACTTGGTTGATTTGTTGTTGTGTTCATGCGTCGTATCGAGGACAGGGAAAGATGGACGATGATTGGGTTCTGATTGCCTATTATTCTATAATTGGAAATTGCAACAATTAAATTTAAAATTCAATGATGTCTATCAATTAATTACGCTACGCAATTTCATAAAGAAGTTCTTAAAAGACTAAAGGGTAAATTAGTATGGGATCATTTGAGATAGATCAAACCTTGGAAACAGGATGTTTTTTGGGTTTCTTTACATCTATATAGTTTAATTTTATATGCAGCCATGATCTATGTTACCTGTCACAAAATATGAATGATTAAGCTTTGGAGAATAAAGAAGATAAGAGACCATAATGAAGAAAGAAAATAAGAAAAAAGAGAGGAGGAAAAAAAAAGGAAAATGCATTGATTATTATATGAGCCATTGTTTTTCAATTTCAGTGAGAAACTACCTTTGACGTCACACACACAACTTTTATATCTATATTTGTGCGTCTATGTGTATTGCTTTCATAATTCTCTCTCTCTCTCTCTCTCTCTTTTTTCCCCTTTCCCCCACTTGATTTTTTGTTTCCAAAAAAGAAAAAAAAATCAACCCTAATTTCTTCAGTATAAATTATATCTTATAGGAGACAAAAAAGATGTATTTATCATACTGTTGTTTTATTTTTCGGCTTAATAACGTTCTCCTCCTTTTATAGTTTGTAACCGAAGCTGATGGACAACTGGACTTTGAGGGAAAACAACGATTCGCCTGTAGGCGTAAACGGTTTTGTGGATAACATGCAACTTTTGTGGAAACTTCAGTCGCTTGAACCTCTCGCAGCAGAAGAAAATGATACTTCCCAGTCTTTTACTGATTTTAATCAGACTACTTCTGCTTCTGATATGCCTGATGATGATGATTTAGTAGACAAGCTATTTCGTGAAAGTTTAGCTATGCAAGGTAAGCCAGAAAAAAGAAAAACAGTGCTTAACCCCCTATTCACTAGACAATTATCAACCAGAGAACAATAATGAGAATATACAGCCACCCACAAGATCCGAAGATACCTCGCTTAGTATGTTATTATCGACACCACCACCTTTGCCACCCATGGACGACGCGCCCATGATAAAGAAAGAATCGCCTACTGCCAGCAACAATAATATTATGCCACCATTCTTTTCTTCACAGTCATTCCAGCATTCTCCACTCCCTCCTTTTGGGCAAATACTTCAGACATCACTACACAATCCTATGGCTCGTACCTTACCATCCATCATGAACCCACCACCACCACAACCGCCACAACCACAGACAATAGCATCTAAACCCAACCATAGTATGAACATTGCTTCTATACAAAACCATCCCATTACCACTGCGCCTCCGTCTTCTTCTATCATTGCTCAATTCTCAATACCTTACACACAAACACCTTCTCCACCACAACGTATGCTACAACCGCAATCACTACCACTACCACTACCACTACCACTACCACCACCAACAAATGTGCCTGCCATTCCTCCTCGTCCACAATTAAGACTTCATTTCTCAAAACATCTAGAATCACTTGATTCCCCTATGTTTGACGACCTCAAAGATCCCATGAAGCCAGACTTAGATGTCACAAATTTGCGTCGATTGACAGTGGCCACATTGCGTACATTAGGTGTCTATTTGTCATTTGAGGATCTGCCTGCTGTTGACATTGAGGATCCATTACCAACAGATTCTCAACAAGTTTTGCCCGCTGCTGCTATGCAGTTGATCACCACCATGGTATTGGGCACATCAGGCGACAAGGATGTATCACAAACCTTAGGCTCGCAAATTTCAAATGGAGATTTAGTGGCCCTGCAGCGAATGATTGTGGCAGGTTTACGTAGCAAAAATATTGTCATCCATACAGTATTGAATGAACAACAGCCAGCCACTGGTTCAGATCAAGCGCCTAAAAGATCAGCAGCTCCCGGTGACAAGATGATTGATTTGACACATGTCAGATACGAACCTCCTCATAATGTTACTCGGTTGTTTCTGCGCCTGTATCGATATATTCTCAACATGCTTCTGTCTACACCTGATTGTTGGCCATTTATTCAGCCTGTGCCCGAGACTGCTTTTCTCTACCATCAAGAAATTAAACACCCCATGGATCTGTATACAATTGAAGAGAATGTATGGCATGGAAAATACACCAAGTTTGCAAGATTCGAAAAAGACATGCAGCTAATCTGGAAGAATGCGAGAGCCTTTCATCGAAATGCTGGTACTATTCCAAAGCATGCTGAGAACCTAGAAAAACTGTTTACTCGGATTGTGATGGACATCAAGAGACAGATAAGGAAGCAACAACAACCCTCAGGGCCACACGATTTCAAGTTTGATCCAACCAATACACTCCCCGAAGAATCTGACTTTTCTTATCCGCCCATTGAACAAGTATTCTCTGAACAAAGCACTGTCTATACCATCTCTGCCCTTTCACCTCTTGAGCCCAAGGCACGTAAACCAAAGGGCTTGACGAACGAAAAACTCTTGTATCTCCAACTCAATGGCCCTTTTTTCCAAGCAGTAGAGCGAATGAAGAGTGATTTGGATGGTAATCATTTACTGGTACCTCGTTTTTATATTGCCAAGAACCGTACCTTGTTGCGTCAGATCCGATCTCAAGGTGTCTTAGCCATCTTTTATAATACTAAAACAAACCGCGTCAGAGCCAGCAAGAATATTCACATTGAAACAGACATGATTTTAGCTTATCCTGCCAGTGAGTTGTTTGATATCGATCAGATCAATGAATGTACAGACGATTTCGCAGCCAAAGGATGGATTCATCTCAGACCTTTGCGTGTAGTCAACCAAATCAGCTTTGAAGTGAACGAGACGATTGAGCGAGACTATTTTAAGCGTATGTTTGCCACTTCTAAAATGGCAATTGATGACAAAAGTGGACATCACAATTCAGCTACAAAAAAACTACTGAAGAAAGTAGTTCGTCAAATTTTGGGATTGCCAGAAATTCAAGAATCTACACCAGACATACCCGAGACATCTGCTAGAGATGAACGTCTTAGTGCTGAAGAATATCACCATCGACCTATGATTCAACAGCGCATGCTTAAGACAAAAGAAGAAGAAGCTATGGAAGCAGACGAGGGCTCGGACGATGAAAAGCCTTCACCTAAATATATATCTGCTGGGCAAAAGATGCAGCTGGATGTCAAGGCTGAAATGATCTCCAACACGCAACGTTTAGGCACACGAGAAATTAACCACGAAGTATGGCGAAGGCTCTTTAATGGTAAGACACAAAATATAATATATATGTATATTTATGTTATTATAGTGTGTACAGGTAAAGGTGTTCAGATCAAAAATATCACATCGCATGGCAACATCAACTGGAATTCACCTAATTCAGAAGGATTCTTTAAACGCGTTTATTTTTTTGACAATATTGTAGTCCAAGCATTTCGACAAATGACTATGTATCAGCGAATTACTGAAGTAGCCTGTCTTATGAAACTAAAAAACTTGCCTCACATGGCCCAAATGAGAGAAGTATTGTACAATGATAACGGCGATGTAGCAGGGTTGTCTATGGAAAGGTAAGCTATATCTATATATATAAAAAGCTAATTGACTGTCTATAGATATCAAACGACATTAAAGCAATATGCGCATGTTCATTCACATCATCGACTAACAGCTTATCAGAAATACGATGTCATTTATCAAATGCTAATCTGTATGAAGATTATTCACGAAGCAGGTCTAGCACACAGAGATCTGTCAGAAGTTAACATTATGGTCAACACAATCGAAGGTCAATTTTTGGAAGACGGAAGTGAAAAAGTGTACCTGTATTTGATTGACTTTGGTAAAGCAGTCTTTTGTGAAGCCAAAGATGTGCGTGATTGGTTTGTGGATGTGCCTCGCGCTGAATGGGAATACGATGGTGATGTGGTACCTGAATCAAAAGAAGAGCTTGACTCTTGGTGTGAATCTCTACCTTGGGTCAAGGGCAAACCTGATCATGGTTATCGTATGTATAGATCTATTCAGACATTACCAAAGACAAGATCAGATAACCAAGTATTGCCTTGGTTAATACACCCTCAAGCAGAAGACATGTATTCTATTGGTGTCATGATTTGGAAAGTGTTTACGGATACAGAACCATGGCGTGGTATTTTGGATACAGATCTACAAGGCTTGCGTTATGTAGCTGAAGATGACTATCGTATTCAAAGAGCATTAGAGGGCGAAGTGCATGGTGAACTTAGTAGACAGCTCTTACTTAAATGTCTAAAGACAAGACCTCAAGACCGTGATACTGCCAAAGAAATTTTGGATTGGATCACGCAAGATTCTGTTAGAGAAGGCTTGATAGGTGAATGGAAAATGTATTCATCCGATACCCGAGGTGCTCGAAGAGCCAAGAATATGTATGGATTTGAAGAAAGTAACGAAGAAGAAGAAAAACAAAAGAAACCAAGAAGAAAAATCAATCCCGGTCAAAGACAAAGAGGTCGTCCAAAACTAATCAAAGATCCAATCACAAATACCTAAAAAAAAAAAAGAAAAAGAAAACTTGTTCATCTTACCATCATCATCAAATCAATGCATTTCCCTTTTTCTCTCTCTCTCTTTTTTTGTTGCAAAATGGAAAATATTCATCTAATTGTACATAAAAAAAATATACATTATTGTTTCTACAGTTTGGTGTAATTTATAAATTATATATATATATATATATTTTTTGGCTTGTGAGTTTCATCCCCCCCCCCTTTTTTTTTTTCTTTCCTTCTGTATTTTAATATGGTTCGTTCACTTAAAGTTACCAAAGTGAATCACCCTGTTCAACTGTTACTTGATGAACAAGGTTTGCGCATTGAAGGTGATCTCAACGCTATGGGAAGAAACCGCAAGTATTTTTGAATAAAAGTTTTTTTTTGGCTTATAGTTTCAATAGCTAGCAAAAACAATAAAATAGTTTGTTGCTGCATACCTGTTTCTGAGGGTAATGGTCCTGACCCAACATTATTGCCTATTGATAACGAATACATTTTAAACGCTTATTATCATGAACGAACCAAGACTGTGCATATTTATTGCGTTTTGCCTTTAGATAGAGCAGCAGAAGAATCTCCGGCTGATATCTTCAGCTTTATTTACTCGGTACAGGACGAGCAAAGACAAATAGCTGAAGCTTTTTGTAAAGAAATAATAGATCAAGCTTATCAAGGCATTAAATTCGGAAAGCGACTTTTGGTCTTGATCAATCCTTTTGGTGGTCAAGGCAAAGCAAGAGAAATATTTGAATACCATGTACGCCCTATTTTTGATTATGCTAAATGCACTATTGAAGTAAAAAGTGAGTGTGTTTTGGTATACTGTATAGTTCATTTTTCTGTAAAATATAGATACTGAACATCAAGGCCATGCTTTACAAATTGCACAAGATTTGGACATCGATGCTTATGATGCTATTATCGCTGTTAGTGGTGATGGTGTTATTCATGAAATAATCAATGGTTTCTTAAAGAGACCTGATGCTAGAGAAGCGATGAAAAAAGTGTCTTTAGGTATCATTCCAGGTGGCACAAATAACTCGCTGGCCATCTCGATATTAGGAGAAAAGAGAGGTTTTGATCCCGAATTTAATGCTCTCCAAATCATTAAGGGTAAGCCTATGGCTCTTGATTTATGTTCTGTTGTATATGATGATCATCGCTATTTTTCTTTCTTGTCTCAAAATTATGGCATCACTGCATACGCTGATCTTGGTACTGAACATTTACGATGGATGGGCGACACACGTACGGTTATTGGTATGCTACAAGAAATCCTTGGACGTAAATCATACAGAATTCAAGCTGCTATTCAAGTGGTTGAGTCTGATAAAAACCGAATCAAAGCAAAATACAAGGACGCATTTAAAAAAGAAAGTCGTGAGCCTATGAATGAACTCGAAGGACAAGTAGTTGACGGAATGCCTAACTTGTCAGAACCTTTGCCTACGGATTGGTTAGTGATTGATGGTGATGTTGCATTCTTCTTGGCAAGCAAAGTTCCCTTGTTGGCTCGAGGTATGTTGAGTCATCCTTGCGCTTTGCCTAGTGATGGCACTATCGATTTAATGCTTGTCCGTGGTAAACCTGGAGTTTTGAAACAATTGGATGTCTTTACCAAGGTTGAAACAGGCAAACATATGGACAGTGATATTGTAAGTGGAATGAACCTATGCAGTTTATTTTGACACGTATTTTTTTCTTTTTTAGATTGAATATTATAAGGTCAAAGCATTTAGATTGACTCCTGTACTCAAGCCTGGTGAAAAGGCTTTTGTTTCTATCGATGGTGAGCATGCACCATGTAAACCTTTTCAGGTAGAGGTCCATCCTCGATTAGCTTCAGTCCTAACTCTCAAACCAACTTTTCTTGACTCTAAACTCTGATTTCTTTTTTAATTACCTGTCCTTGACATCTAAAGACAATAAAATATGATTATAAAGTATAATTTTTATTAAATATAGGAGGATATGCATTGATTCTATTTACATAATAGATTTTTTCTTTAATAGTAATGTACAACCCAATGTTCAAATGGGTAAAGAATAAAAAGAAAGGAATTTAGGCCTTCAAACCACCTTGGGCATAGACAGATTCATTGGTAATGCTTCCTTCAGTAGAGACTTCACCAGGTACAATATAGTCTTCTTCAAATTCTTCGAGGTCCTTACCCTTGGATTCGGGGATCCAGAGAATTGTGACAACAAGACCCAAGAACATGACACCAGAAAAGATACCAAGAACTTCAGGCAAGAAAGCATGAGCACCCTTAGGACCACCGACATCGACAAGAGCGTTGAAAGCAAAAGAAGCAAGGATAGCACCAGCCTTACCAGAGGCAGCAGAGATACCATGAGCAGAAGCACGCACCTTGGTGGGGAAGACTTCACCGGGAATAATGAAAGTAGTGGAGTTAGCACCAAAGTTCTGGAACAATTGAGCCAATGTGAAGAGGAAGATGAAAGCAGGCATGGCCTTTTCAACCAAGATGTGGTAACAACCGGCAAGGATAGCAAAGAGAACAGTGGTACAAGCGAAACCCATGATTTGAATGAAACGACGACCCAACTTTTCAATAGTGAAGACAGTGATATAGTAGCCAGGAACAGAACCAAGACAAGTGATAATGATTTGACCTACAGTATTGGCCCAGAGAGTTTCGAAAGGTGTAGACTTGTTGGCATAACCAATAGCAGACAAGATAGCAGAGTTGTTAAGACCGAGACCATAGAAAGCAACATCAAGCAAGAACCATGCAGAGGCAGTACCGAGCAAGACCTTGAAGTTCTTCCATTGACCAAAGTAAGCTCTGAATTCAGCCCAGTGATCACGCTTTTCTTCAACCTTGGTATATTGTTTAGCGAGTTCGGAAGAAACAGCTTGACCCTTAGCAGCAGCCGCGGCTTCGACATCGTGTTCAACGTTAAGAGAGTAACGTGGAGATTCGGGCATGGTGAAACGCAAATAGATAGTGGCAACAGCAGGAATAGCACCGAGACCGATACAGAGACGCCAGACGTAATCCAAATTCATCACATCAGCATTGATAGCATTCTTGAAAATAGCCAAGAGAATCAAAGTGACGATAGCAGCAGCTAAATTACCGACACCTTGCATGGAGAAGATGAGGGCCATCATCATACCACGCTTACCGGCAGAAGACCATTCAGAAGTGATAGTAGCGGACATAGGATAGTCACCACCAATACCAATACCCAGAATTAAACGCCAAAGACCAAGGAAACCAATAGCAGAGACACCACGAACAGCAGAAGAAGCAGTGGCACAGTTAATGGTACCAATAATGATAATCAACAATTCAAAACCGTAGATTTTACGACCCAAGATATCACCCAAGAAACCAAAAAGAAGTTGACCGATGAAGGTACCAACAGAGGACATACCCTTCAAGATACCTTCAATATCTGCGGGAAGTTTGTTGTTGTTGTGTGCATAATAAACATAACCAAGCATAGGTGTGACCAAGTTGATAATGAATACATCGTATGAATCTGTGAAGAAACCAGCACCAGATGTAAGAATGGTACGAGCAGTGAACCAATTCCATCCACCAGCAGCTCCTACAGTATCGTCTAACTTTTCAAGCGAGTGAAGTCTTTGTTCAGCAGCAGCCATACGGACTTGCTCATGTTCAGAAACAATATCAGTCATAGTATATTTGTTTCTTTTGTGGTTAGGATTGAAGAAAGAGATAAAGAAGAGGAAAAGGAATGAGAAATGTTCCCCCTTTTTATATAGAAGGAAGCATGTTGTCAAGTGAGGTCGTGTGAGTCTAAATCATTGGTATTGATTGATTCCAACGTGTTTGATTCTAAGGCTTCTAAGAAGGTAATGTCCAATTAGAATGTAAAATCGACCTCGCGTGGACCTGGTTCTTTTGATTCAAACGTACCAAAAGTGGATTGGGACGGAGATGAATTTGATTGGATGATACAAATTTCTTTTTTGAGTAGATCCCTGGACTATCTTACCACTACTAAAAATCAAACGTGTTAGTTTGCAAAGCTGCCAATTGGCTTACAAGCAACGCATTCTCAAACATCTTTTTAGAGAAATCGAACAGATAAAGTTATTTGTCAAATATATATAATTTATATATATTTATTGAAATAATAAAGCCAACTTGTCAAATTTACTCTTTGTATCTAACTTGTTTGTTTGTTTGAACAGATCAAATAAATGTGGTTTGTCTCTTTAAAAATACAAATGCAAAGAATTAGATCTGCGCTGTATTTTATGCGATTCTGGTTAAAGTCTGTGCTTTTTTTTTTTTTATCTCTCTCTCTTCCTTATGCTTTGTTTTTGCTGATGACTTGTTCAGTTAGTCTTGAGAAGCTGTATCATTACTAATGCCAGATTTGTAATCGTTTTTTTTTTGTATTCTTTTTTTAGAGCATGCTTCTTTTTGTTCTTTTCTTTTTTTTTTTATTTGGGTTACAAAATTTGTTTTTGTGATCAACAAATCATTTCGATTGATTTTCACAGCCGCAAAGAATAAATTACTGTTATTGGATCATGCTCTTTTCCTCTGAAGATCAAATAAAAAAAATTTTTTCTTCTAAACTTGGTCATCACCAATGTAAATTAGAGTATTTTACATAGAGGTTTTGAGGTTATTTGAGTAAAATTGCTTGAATAAAATGGAATGTCATTTATACTACGAACAACTTACAATACAAATTATCATGTTTTATAGAAAATAACATTAATATAGTCATGAAGAATCAAGAGCTTTTATTTCCTAGTGTTGAACTAGAATATCCTGTTGCTTTGTATTGTATACTAAAGAAATAGAATATCTAAAGCATGTCTTTGATCATTCTCAGAGAAATAAATTTGCAGATCAAGTATCTACGGGTAATAATGGCGATGTTTCCAGTTTAGACAGTATTGTTTCAGCGTAGTTATCTATGATACGAAGTAACCAGAAACAAAACAAATCAGCCTGACTCTTACTGTGACAATTTAAAGAGCAAGAATTAAACTCTAGAAACCAAGCAGAGTAAACATTAAGTAAACAATGTGCAGATAATTAATTGTTATTTATATTAGGTAACGAGAAAGAGCAGAGAATAGAAGGTAGATAAATTACTAATGGATATTAACTAAAGTAAATGATCCTACAGGTGCTGAGTCAAGGCAGTGGAAAGCAGTACTTTGACAAGAATGGAAAGCACTTGGGAAGAGAATATGCAGCACATTTAGTTGGAAGCACGAAAAGCCGATATATCAAGTTGTGATTGACACAAAAAGTGGCCCTACTTATATTAGTCCTTTTTCTTTCTTTTATGTTGTTTTGATGAATAATCCAAGTTTTTATTCTACGTGGTCTAATGTACTAATCTACTGTGTTTTCAAAGGAAAGCATTTTTTTTTTTTTTTTTTTAAATTTTAGAAAGTGATCAACCAATTTTTATGGTTTCACAAACATACTTTCGGTTCTAAACTCACAATAAAAAGGCAACAATAAGTGCAGATCAATTTCAGGGCACAATACATACCATAGCACTTTTGCCCAATTCTCAAGGTAGCTATCGATCTTTGGTCCAAAAAAGAATTAATTTCTCTTTATTGAAGCATATCATTAAACAATAAATTAATCATTGTGCTGCATGCATTTTGTCTCTTTAGATAAAATTGAAACTCGTTTTACTTGATAGTCTTCGAAAGCTTATGTTATCTTCATATCATTTTTGCTCTTGTTAAATAAGAAAGAAAGAAATAAAGAAAGAAGAAAAGAAAGAAAAAAGACAAACATTCTTTATATTCATGGTAGTTTGAATTGCATAAGCCACTGGGTTTTTTCAAGAGTATATTAATATAAAATAATTTAAGCATTCTTTAGCTTTTTCTTTCTCTCTTTAAATATTTTTATAAAATGTTTCTTAAACATCTTTTACCAACTTTGACAGCCTTGTTGTCTTCATCCTGTTGTGTCATTCAACTTCTTTTGAATGCGTTTTCTATTTCATGTGCTGGTTTCTCAATTCTAACACCCTATCGTTCCATCCTGACAAGTTTAACAGTGATATTATTGAGCTATCAATTCTATACATCACCCAAAAAGAGCCAATCCTATATTAGTCTTATTGTTTCTATCTTGCTAATACTAAGCCCTGATATCGTAAAATGGTTGAACCACTCTTTAACAACGACAATAACAACAACAACAAGTATTAATTATAGAATTCAATTAGACGGTTTAGGATGTGAAGCATGTGCTAACAGAATTAAAAACACGCTAAATTCGATAGAATGGATAAAGAGCACTCGTGTCTTTTTTGACAATCAAACTGCTATTGTTCAAACAGACAAAGGCAAAGGTGCAGTTGGATTGATTTTGAATACGATTAAATCGATTGATAAGAAATACAATGCAGAGCTCATAGATACCTGGACTTAATAAAAGCTACAATATCTTTTCCTTTTTTTTTTTTTGTTCTTTACACGAGGTGTGTAACATTTGAAATTATACAATCAATTTTGTGTAAACAGTTACATTTGATTCTTTTCTCCTCTTTTTTTTTTTTTTTCTTTTGTATCTTTTGTTCTTTCTCTTTTTTCATCTCCTTTGCTGAAAGACATTTTAATCCCCATCCCCCTCCTTTCATATTAATTATATAACTTCTTTTTGAAAGAAAAAACCCTTCCCTTTTCATCTGATTACATCGAATAAAGATGCGTATTCCAGTCATTCTCGGTTCGATTGCCTTTGCAGTTGGAACAGAAGCAGCTCCAAACTACAAGAGAGCAGCAAAAGAAGATGGAAACGAGGAGGGTAAATGATTGAAGTGATATGCAGTAATAATTATTAATTTCGATTTAAATATAGCTAAAACCACTACAGAGAAAAAAAACATGACGCATAAAACTCAGGCCAAAACAGTCCAGAAAGCAGAAGTGACAAGTACACCCCAGTTTGCTAATAAGCCTACAGAAGCCTCAACTAAGAAAGAGGCTACTACTACCAAAGAGGCAGCAACAACAAAAACAACAAAAGAAGCAACAAAGGCTGCTGCTACCACTACTACCAAAAAAGAGGCTACAAAAGAATCTTCCAGGGCCATACCAACCACTACATCTACAACAGTAGTAACTTCATCATCATCATCCTCATTATCTATTCCTACCTCTTCTTCCGATATCCTATCATCAGCATCTCTCACGACCACATCAACAGCTTTGACAACTAGCTCTACATTGTCTCTTGTTACATCCTCGTCATCTGTCAGTAGTGCAATTACTTCACCTTCCACCTCCAATTCTGCTGCTATGGCTGATAAAGCAAGCAATCAAGATGGTGGCATATCTGGTGGGGCCATTGGAGGTATTATCGCTGCTATTCTTATTATAGTCGTTGGTGCTTGTTCTTTTATTGCACTTCGTAGAAGACAAGAGAGAAGACAGCGTCACATGAACAGAATGTCTGCTAAACCTGATCCATTCACTATGGGCTTTGGTAGTGACAGCGCATTTAATGGTGGTTATCAACCCCCTATGCAACAGGTCAATCAATACCAACACCAGTATGGTACTCAACCTGCTGCTTACGATAACCAGCCTCCTATGACTGAAAACAATCCAATGGTTCAACCAGCTGCTTACTCTTCTCAGCCTATTCAACAATACCAACCTGATACAGCTTATAAACCAGACGAGACAACAGATATTGCCAGCGCTGTTACTACTGGTGCCACTGCTGCTGCTGGTGGTGGTGCTGCTGTTGGTGCTGCTGTTGCTGGTGCTGCAGCTATGGGCTCTGCTGCTGCTCTTGATAATGACAACACAACTCTTCAACCACTTTTAGCTCCTACCCAACCCGGTTCACTTGGTGTATTCTATGTTGCAGCCACTTATACACCTACTTTGAGTGATGAAATTGATATTCAAACTGGTGATCAAGTCGAAATCCTTGTAGAATATGATGATGGTTGGTGCCAAGGTATCAATTTGACTCGAGGCAACTTCAAGGGTGTGTTCCCTAAGCATTGTATCGACTATACACCTCCAGATCAACCATCTCAGCCTACTACCCCTAATACTTTAAGCACTAACAATGAAGTAGACAGAACGAAGCGAGTAAGTTCGATGTATGTTGGTTGATGACTTTATGTCTTATTATATTATATCTTAATAAACAATACAATGGGCTATTTCAATTATAATTGTAATGCATTTATTTTAGATTAATAAAATCATGCTAGTACGACTATAGTGTCACAAAGAAGAAAACAATATAAACACAATGGATTTCATGGAGAATGAAGCTGCCTTTTAAATCAGAAAAAAAAAAAGCTTATTCTCTGTTTATCCGAGATTGATTTTGTATTGACAATAGAAACACAAGAGAGTTACAACTTATACATACTTGTCGGTTCCTTTAACAGATTTCGCTAAAACAATCTACCTAATGGTATTAAGTCTAACCTTATTAAGTCTTCTTTTATTTTGTGTAAATCTTGATTTACTAGTAGCATTTGATTGTTTCTGCGATCTCCACCGCCTTTAGATCATCTTATCATGCCACTACTGACATCAATACTGAGTATGTGTCAATGCTAACAAGACAGGTGTTCGGCCGAAAAAGAATAGTCAATTTGTAGACTAAAGCTCTAAATAGGATAGTACCTTTTACAGGATGAGTATGCAAAATCATGAATGAGAGGTATAAATGTTTTGACCGAGGAAAATCAAGACAAGTATTGTTGTATTGACACGAGCTATTGTTTGGTTACATACCTATATGTACAGCCTATATCGACTGATTTTTGTAAATAGTTTGAGCTTGAAACTGAACAAGTCTTTTTTTTTCTTAAAAAAAAGGGCAATGGCGATGACAAAAACTAACTATTAACGATTCAATACAACTGTTATTCTTTCCTGTTTTATGTATATGGGACTTTGGAAGGGGGAGAGGAACTATAAAATAGAGAATGCGATATGCCAAAAAAAAAGAAGGAGTGTTGATTCCTTTGTGATTGTTCACATAGCATAACAATAATGGCTTTCGTAATCAAAACAGCATCTACATTTACACTGTATGAGGTGGAATTGCTCAATTTCATGGTGTTCTGACTTTAATTTTCTCACAGTGCTAATTGCGTATATTTGTTTATGAAGACAGGCTGCTAGTCTAAATGAAAAAGAAACGCCGACTCAACCTAGTGAGCAATAGCACTCAAAGATCGGGTTCTAAATAAAGGCTTGGTTCCCCTATGTGGCATCTTATAACCGGTTCAGTCATTTGTTTGCTCTATTGTTGTGATACTCGAGAGATCTCAAATTGTGGCCCCAAAATAGATTGCGTGCGACTGTTTGATGGATCATCGCTTAATATGGTTAACATCGTCAGATTTGAAGCATTGTAATTGATGTTGTCTATAAAGCAAGAACGCACATTTTTTTTTTATGATTCTCAGCTTTTCTAAAAAGCTTAAATTTCTGGAAGTAAGGGCATCGTAGCGGAGACAATAAACGCCTATGGTGCCTAAACTTTTATAAGCCTAAATAGCAGTGTTATTTGGATATGAAATGAAAAGAGCTCTTGTATGATTATACGCCAACAATGGTCTGAAACTATAAGGGTTCTTCTCATTTGAAACTTTATTCTATTGTGTACCTTTGTGTATATTTGTGTATGAATATCTGCATATACATCTGCACACAATCACTCATGCTATTTTGTCTCAAAAGACATTCCCCCCTTTTTTTTATCATTGGAAGTATGGCATTCATGACTTGTTTACACGTCAAAACAAGTGATCATATTATGCAGTTCGTCATTCTCACAAGCTTCTGGTTTGTACACTTATTTACTGTTACACATTGTACACATCCTGATGGGTACCACGCGAGTTCATAACACTTGCTTTTACATAGGAGGGAAAACTAACATCATCGTACAGCATTTTTCTTATTATAGCGTGCTCTGAATTTACTATAAGGAGTATTTCGAGTCTAGTAGACAAGTGATATTTCACTATATATAAAGAGGATGCATGGAGCACAAGAAACTTCAAAAAAATACTTGGTTACTTTTTTGCTTATTTATTAATGAATAATGATAATAATAATGTTTTAATAAAGAAAACTACTTTTTTTTTTGATGCAGAAGTTTTTTGTTAAGAAATGTCTTGTTTTTTTGAGGATTAAATAAATAGAGGAAATATGTACACGAAGCGGATAACGATAAAAAAAGGATCGTATGAGGAGAGGGGTGAAGGGATGAAGGACATGTTTTTTTTAGGCATGGATTTGTACAAGGGTGTTTTTTTAAGAGAATTTCTCTAAAAGAAGCCAGAAAAGGATGAAGATGAGGATGCAGAGGAAGTAGAAGGAGTTGGTTCTTCAGCCAATGAAGGAGAAATAGCAGAGAAAAGAGAAGATCCGAATGCAGCCAATGTATGATTCAAAGCAGCCATGTGAGAATGTTCGATATGATACTTGAGTCCGTTCAAGTTCTTGTATCTCTTACCGCATTCGCCAATAGTGCATTGATAGGGTTTAGATAAACTCTCACTTTCGTCAGCAGTCATGTTGCAATGGCCGTGTTGGTTATGGTACTTTAAACCATTAGGATTCTTATAAGCTTTATCGCAACCACCAACAGGACACTTGTAAGGTTTATCGGCATTTGAGTTAGCATTAGCGGAAGCTAATAAAGCACCAGCTTGAGCAAGGAAGTCTTCATCAGTAAACAAAGGTGTAGGCAAATCGCCACTACCAGAAGCCAAGGCAATCTTCTTTGCGGCTGATTGAGTCAATAATTCAAAAGCATCAGGAGTACTGATTTGACCATATGCTCTCTTTTTGCCGGTTTTCTTGTTTGTTGTAGTAGTTGTAGTTGTATTACCCTCAATCTCTTCAAATTGATTCTCTTCTTCATCAACAGAGGAAACAGAAGAAACAGAAGAAAGCGAAGCGGAAGAGTTGTACAAATCAGAAAGATAAGCAGCAGCTTTTTTCTTTAAGGCAACGATTTGTTGTTCATCCTCATCATTCAATACAGGGCTACCAGGAGTAGAAGAAGAGGGAACAGACCAGCTACCAGAGTCACTGTCGTCATAGAAGCTGCTTTCTTCATCTTCAATTCTAACATGGCATTCTTCATAGTGTTGCAACAAATCATGAAGGTCTTCCAAAATTAGACCACAACAAGCAAAATCACGACAGAAAGAAGCTTCCAATTCACGAGATTCAAAAGATGCCTTGATATCAGTTTGGGGTTGGCAGAATTGGAAGTCATAGCTGCTACGAAATGTTAGGAAACAACAGTTTGATGGCTTCAAAACTTACTCAAAACTAATGTCTTGTTTAGGCACAGTGATGGTACTCATACGACGAATCGAGCTATATTCAATAGGAACAGGCATCTTTTGTTATTCAATTAGTCTATAAGTATAAGAAGAAGAGTGGAGGGATATAAAAGATAATCGAATATGAAGAAGAATAAAAAGAAAAAGTCAAAAAGTTGATTCTAATTTATAGTTTTTCAACTACTTCAAAGCCCAAGTGTGTTACACCTATCAACGGCCGTTAAAAGCAAAATAGATCTCCGAGTAAAGAGTTCCCTTCTTTTCTTACGTTTCACTTGGGATCCCAAAAAGTTAAAGTAAGGCATTACACAAAAAAATAAACCGTTACCTTATGTATTTCAATGAATTAGTACAACGTTCCACTCGGCCTAATACAACTTGTCTAATGAAAATAGAATTGAGTGACAACTTTTTTGTTTGTGAAAATGTAGTGTTTTGACGTATAAAAAAGTGGTTGGAATCCAGTATGCATCATTTTTCTTAGTATATCAATAAAATGGACTCTGTCATATGAAAACCTTCTTTTGTTTGTTTGTCAGGATAGTGCATACCTTTATGTATAACGTTACTTTTGTTTCAAAAAAGAATAGCTGCAAAAGAAAAAAATTACATTCGTATAACCCTTCATTGGACAAGTTTTGAGTAATCTTTTAACAAAAAAAAAGTGACATGATATCTCCGCTCTCCAAGTGTTAGATTCTGTTGTCTTGAATCAATTAAAATAATCCAATCAATAAAGCTTTTTAGGAAGTAAAATTCTATATTATATTAAGCTTTTTTTTCAATGATAAAATGACTATATGTACAAACAAAAAAAACTGGGTTATTCATTGTCGTTTTCCAGATCCTGTTCAATAAGCTTGGCATAATCTTCGTAAGAAGCAAAGGTAGGAAGGCGTTCCTTTTCTTTCTTCTGCTTCTTCTTTTGACGCTTACTTAAGCCTTCATCTTCTTCCTCGCCTTCATCATTGTCATCTTCGGCCGGTCTCTTCATTTGGTTCTCAAACTCTTCCATATCGGATGCATTCATGAATTCCAATTCGTCTTCCATTGGCTCACCATCTTCATCCGATCCAAATTCCGCCATGTCTTCTCCGAATTCACTCTCCTCTTGCTCTTGTTCATTATCTACTTCATCGTCGCTGTCATCCATCAATAAGGCTCTCATTTCCTCATCGTCTTCGTCGTCTTCCAAATCTTCTTCGTCGTCATCTTCGTTGTCTAATCCTCCGGGTATAGAAGACATCATAGCACGCCACACTTCATCTTCTTCTTCATCATCACCTGTCTTTTCTTTTTTGGATTTTTTTGGTGTACTCAAGGCTTTTTGATGGAAATACTTATGGAAGAAGACCTAATAAAATACAATGTTAGTCTCTCCAAATAAGCGTTTAATACTTTATACCTCGTCTGCTTCAATATCGTCTTCTTTCTTTTGCAAGAACTTTTCAGAGTTGAGAGGAACAGTATTAGACATACTGCTGCCTTTTGTGAATGTGATACCACCATCACGTCTGCTGCCATGAAGAGGCTGCATGATGGATTGACCCTTTGATGTCACTGTTTTCTTTGCATTACGATAAACAAATCGATCCAAAAAGTGCATTAATGTGAAATGATGCAAATCAGTCTGGTTTTGGATAGGTTCACCTTCAAACAACTGTTCAGCATATTTAGCAATAGAAGGGTGATAATGTGATTTGAAAGGAATCTAGGAGTGAATGTAAAGTTAATATATGCTCTACTTTGCTTTTTCCCTAAAAAGTATATATATCTATTTACCAGCTCCCACAAACAACTCTTTTCGGCATTACTAAATCTAGGATCACGCTTTCTGCCATCATATTCAATCTTGGTAGGCTTTTCTTCAGTTGCTTTTTTCTTTGTTTGTTCATCCTCATCTTCTTCAGGTGCATCGGAGAAATGTTCTTCTTCATCGTCTTCTTCAGGTGTGGTCAACATGGCTCTTAAGCCTGGTTGTGCTTCCATCAACTATTATTGTCATTTCCCAGATTAGTGTCCAATCAACAAAACAAAACGAAATAAAAAATTACCTGACTTAAAAGGAAAAAGATACCTGAGACAAAAGCTGGTTGATTACGTGCAGCAATCTGTACCATGCGCTTTATGAATGCTTTCACACGATGAGTGTCTGAGTCGGCCCGAATTGCTTTATAAAGCAAGTTCAAGTACATACTTTGCTTAGAAGAATGGCTGACTCTAGGATCCAACAAAGATTCATACAAGGTACGATAGAAACGGTCAGATACAGATGATTTGGAAAGCGAGATAGTGAAAATGAGAGAAAGAGCTTGAATAGCAGCATTAAAAGTACTAGCATGAGTCATAGTAAACAAAACTTCTAAATGCTTCTCCACCCTACAAGAAAAGAGAATAAGCAATGGTTGCATATACATACATTTGCTACACTTACATCTCATCAGAAACGTTTGCAAAATGGAAGGCGCGATTTACACCAGTCAGAATAGCAGCAATCATTTTTGCTTGGTGGTCTTCGAGTTCTAGGCCCTTCTTTTGTTCCAACTTTTCCTTCTTCTTTCTCTTTTCGCTTTTTTTCTCGGGCTCTTCGGGCTCTTCTTCTTGATGTTGTTTTTTCTTTCTTAACTCTGCCTTTTCATCATCTTCTGAGATTTTAAGAAGCTTACGGAAAAAGATAAAGTATAACTCGACGAGCTTGTTGGCAACAACTGTATCTTTGGAAGTCAAGATGGTCTGATTCAAGGTGATGATAGCATAATATTGTGCTTTCTCGCTTGTGCTGGGATGTAATAAGAGTTGTTCTAATTCTCGAATGACAAAAATCTTCATGCCGGGATGTTTAACTAACAATTCAATCAAAAGCTGAGATGTCTTGGCTGCGACTTTGTTGTCTGAATCACCCAATTTGTTGGCAAGCAATTTGAGTAAGTTTTGTTCTTGTTCAGGCTTGTTAGCCAAGAGATCGTATAAACAAGTGACCATGTTGTTACGAACATGCATCAAAGTATCACGAGCAAGTTCCTAAAAAACAATTGAGCTCTAAGCTTTTTGGTAGAAAAGATAGATACTTACTTCGATTAACTTGAGGAATTCCAGGTAAGTCTTTTTAAGATGGTCTTCAAAGATCCATAACAACAAGTGAAGGTCTGTAACATCCTTTGAGGCAAGTGGTCTATCAGCAAAATAAACCAACTTGCGGTCAGGCAACACAGAGCCGATAAACAAATCCTTTAAACTAGTGACAGCCATAACAGCTTCGTTTCTTCCCTTCTTTCTACTCATTGACATCAAAGTGTCCAAGGTCTTTACACCGTGGAGCGGTGATTCACGAAACATCAAAGTTAAAGCAGAAACCTTGTCGTTCAATGTACCTGAAGTAATAATGTTTGACATGAAGCTACGATTGGATGATGTCAAAAGAGGATGCTTTTCAGCTTTGGTGTTTTCTTCGGTCAAAAGTTCTTTAGCGAAGGCATATTTTTCAGAGGTCTCAACGGGAGAGAGACGTTTTACATTTTCAAGAGAAATTGGAGAGAGTTCGACATTGTACCAGAAGGGTGTAGGTTCAACAAGCTATCAAGAGAATTAATTGATTTGATTATGATTGGAGCATTTGTCTTACCACACTCTTGCTTGAGTTTGACTTGGTTGGGTGAATTTTGTATTCTTCTTCCTCTTCTTCTTGTTCTTCTTGTTCTTCTTCTTGTTCTTCTTCCTCCTCCTCTTCTTCTTGCTCTTCGTCAGCACTTTCTTCTGATTCAACTTCTTCTTCGGCTTCTTCAACCTCATCCTCAGTATCAATATCCTCTTCATATTTGTCAGAAGTCAAGCCAATGTTTTGCATAAAGGCCTTCAGTTCATTCTTAATAGCATCCTATAACAATTCATGTCAATATCAATTACTTAAAAAACAAGTTTCCATACATCAGATTCTGTAGTGCCAGTAACAAGGTCATCATTGTCCTCAGTATCAATGTTTTCCAGGAACTTAATGTCGCCCTTTGTTCCACCTAAAGCCAAAACTGCTTCACGAAGAATATCGTTTTGCGAGTCAGAAGCTTTTTTCTCGGTCTTGTTGACAGTTTTGTTGTTTCTTTCAGGCTTTGTAGTTTTTTGTTTTTTTTCAAAAGACTTTCTCTGTCCTTTCTTGTTCTTTTTGTCAAAAGCTACCATACTAAAGTAACAGTGTAATAAAGAAAAGGTTTTTCATTACTTTTTTTCTCTGCAAAATGTGTAGAAAAAAAGAAGTCATTTGTGACTATTTCTAAGGCGCATAGAAGAGGATAGATAAGCCCCCTTTTTTCAGCGGAGATCTTGCATTAATTTCTTTTCATGGTCCTCATAAAGCTTATACTTAGTTTTGGTACTTAGTCATACTGCATAAGCTTCAAGGAACTTACTGTTACGACGGCCCTAGTCTGGCAGAAGTGTCTCCTGCTAATAAGGTACGATTTATTTCTAATGCGATCAATGCCAGGCGCTATTTGGCGAGGTTTGAATCTAAGTTTTTGAGAATCCATCGAAAATCCACAAAATTATGTTTTTGACATTAAAGTAACTAAAACGCAATTTTCGTATCTTGCTGCAATAACAAAAGCTGTTGAATATCAAATTGTGAATTTATTGGTGAAGAGAATGCAGCAAAAACCGAAACAATATCAAGGAAGTTTGCAAATTAGTTTTTGAAGTTTTTAGACTATAACTTGTCATTTCTATGACTAAATGCTAAGACAAAGTCAATAATAAGAGAACAAAACTTTGTCGCTTCTTTCGAATACTTAAATATGACAATGAGTTATTATAAAGTAAAAGAGATAAAATAAAATTAAAAACGAGACAAGGACTATATAAAAGTTAAAACCAAGCGAAACAATGATGAAAAGAAGGAGAGATAAAAAAATCAGTCAAGACAATTTGTCTCTTCAGCAGCGCGGCAGCCAACCGCCCGGAGGGTTTGACTGAATGCTATACTTGCAAGGAAGGGCTCTCTTCGATGTATATGAGCCCAATGAGCTTTCCAAAGTTCTGAAAGAGCAATGACAAGTAACGTTTCGACTTCAATCGGACAAGAATTGTTGACATTGATTTTGTTGAAGTCTAGGGATTGAAGAGCTGAGGAGATATCATCGATAGAGGTACCAGGCCAAAGAAATTCACGAATAACAATATCCCAGAAGATGAACTTTTGGGGGCATCGAAAGAAAAAGTGGAAGACAGTTTCAACTTCTTGACAGAAGGAACAAAGTGGGGTAGGAGCAGTGCAAAGAGCCATGTTGAAGAGAAGGGATTTGGTGAGGACTTTCCCAGTTAGCAAACGGTAAATAATGTTACGCTGTACGCTGGTAAAATTCATGCACCAAAAGAGCTTCCAAGCAGAAGGAGAGACAGAAGATTGACCAACAGATCCCTGTATAGATGCTTTTACCAATGCGGCTTTAAAAGAACGTCGAGCATATTGAAAGGTATCAAATTGAGGATCTGTAATTGGTAGGTGCAAGGCATGGATAAAAGAGTAAAATCCAATAGAGCGCTTGATTGCTGGTACGTAGACAGGATTGTAAAGGTCAAGGGTAAGAGGGGGAAAGGCATTGTTGGAAAAAGGGCTCCAGTTGGCATCTACCATCATTCACCACTCTAAGAAATTTTCGGTTGACAAAGAACAGGTCTCGAGAGATATCAGCCTCTACAATGGGTCGGAGGAAATGTCCTTGAGGATGATAGTCATATAGAGCAGAAACAGGAAGAGACCGTAGTTTCGGAGACAAAATATAAGAGGTAGAGAGGCGGACGACTACAGAGAGAGGTAGCAGAAGACAGTCAATCGAGCTGGGCATGTATGTGTAATTATTGCGTGGAATAAGGTCCATAGTTCAACAGATCATTGTGACGGTGTTGGTAGCCATGAATCTAAACGAATGTGGACGAGCTCGAGAGAAAAGTAAGTGAAGCAAAAGATTGTCCGTTTAAAGTAGTTGGCAGCAATGGTGGAGTGCGAAATCATGCACTAGACTACGCTCTGCTGTTGGGTGAATGAGCGGATGAACCTAACGGAAGTACAATGAGCTTTGCTGTGTCTCAAGGTCCAAGACACCTAAACCACCAAATTTACTAGGTGTAGTCATCAGTTTCCAACTTAGGCGAGGAAAAATACCATGAGTGACAAATGATGTGATTACACTTCTGATCAACTGAACAATGGCTTTTGTTACGGGTGTGACTCCTAGCAGGTATCAACATTTTGACAGAATGAGCGCATTTGCTACAGTAGCGCGTCCTAAAACTGAAAGGTCGCGGCTGGCATAAGAGTCAGCGGCTGCTTTCAAAGATCCAATAAACGAGGAGAAGAAGGATGTTCGCTGAGTAGATGATTGTATCAGAGGGAAGCCCAAGTAAATAATGGGATCAGTATCGCTGGAATCCCAAATTTTGTTGATTTCAAGGTCTTCTAATACGGATATCCACTTGTCATTCATATCTCTACCTGATAGAGAAAGAGCTTGAACTTTATTGAAGTTGATTTTGGCGTTGGAAGCATCACAGTAGATACGCAAATGCACTTGTGGTCTGAGCAAATCGTCAACATCCTGAAGGAACACCATAGTATCATCCGCATAACTTAGAAGCTTGATAGGTGGGAGAATTGGCTGAATATCAGTCAAATTAGATTTTAAACAATACCTAGTAAACTGATTATCCATAAGTATAGTTTGTAGTAGAGATTCAAGGGTGAAGTTGTAAAGAATACAAGAGATTGGATCACCTTGCTTCAAACCACGGCGCTTGGGTACTAGAGTAGATGATAGCCAACCATTCATGTTGATACGAATCTTGTTTTGCTGGAGGAGAAAGTACAGGCAATCGACTAATGTTTCAGGAAAAGCAAGGTGCCGTAATACGAGAGATAAGTATTCTAAATTAACCCGATCGTAAGCCTTTTCTTGGTCTAGTAGTAGCTCTAAGTCTTGATCTTCTTCCTTATAGTTGTAGGCAGTATTTTCCATGATTATTTGAGTCAACATACCATGCTCAGCAATGAACCTGCCAGGCATAAACCCTAGCTGGTGTCGATTGATCATGGGAGATGCTATCGACATGATGCGCTGATTAAGAATTCTGGTAAAGATTTTGTTATCAGTGTTAACCAATTGTATTGGTCTATAGTTGCTTGCAGATGTTAAGTCACCCTTTTTCGGAAGCAATGTCATCAATGATATTAGCCAAGAGTTAGGAAAAAGAGACCGGGACAAAGTATCGTTGTATACTTAAAGTATTAGAGGCTTTAGGCAAGGGATACGAAGGACAATACCAAGAATTTCATAAGGCAAACCATCACTAGCAGGACTACTTTTTCGAGGAGAGCGTTTGCTTGCATCTAAGATTTCATCCCAAGTGAACGGATTGATCAATGTTGATGCTTGCTCAGTAGTAATTTGCCGGTGGGCAGAACTCAATAGTGATCGTACATCCCTTAAATTAATGCGGTCAGGCTTGTACAAAGTCTTGTAAAAGTCAACCATGACAGCAGTTAGGCTTGCAGTAGTGGAGACAAGAGTCTGAGTCTGAGGGTCTCGAAGTGCAAGAATTGACCTTTGAGAAGAACGAGTAGTAGCCAATCGTTTAAGATAGCCAGCAGATTTTTCTCCTTTTTCACGCCAGACTTTGCCTGCTTTCAACTGATCAATTGCAGCCATCTCTTCTTGTAGTGTACTAAGTAAGGATTCTACTGAAGGCAACAAAGACGACAATATAGCTGTATTTTTATACTCTCGAAGAATTCTGTTTCGTTTCGATTGTAAACGCTTAATGGTTTTCGTTCTCCAATTGAGCTTATTTAACTGAAAACTCCGAGTGTATAACTTGACTTGTGCTTTTAATTAATCCCAAATGTCCCGAGCGGATTTACCAGAGTTTGGATCAAGTAGGTTTTCTTGCTCAACGTGTTTTGTTATGTGATCCGTAAGACCCTCTCGAAAAGCAGCCAATTTTGCCAAAAATAGATTACCCTTCCAGGATCCCTTTCCCATTGCGGCTGAAGAAAGCTGATAATGGGTCGTCAGTAGAGCATGATCTGTCCAACTGTACTTAACAAAGGATTGTGACATGGATTTGATATTGGATGCATGTGATGATGAACAAAAAATGTAATCAATATGGCTACGATTACCGGTGGTGCCAACAAAGGTAGGTAGCTGTTCATGTTCAAAACAACTATGGTATAGTACAGACAGTAGAGTGGCCCAATCTGCGTCTATGTTTGATTTTTTGTGAATGTCATAATTGAAATTACCAACGGTGATGGTTGGGACAGTGGAAGAACGTAATTGGGTCATAAGAGCTTGGTTGGCAGCTAAACTTCTAAAGAAGTGGAGTCTACCGGTTCTCTCAGCAGGGACATAAATATTAAGGATGTATATCATAGGAGAAGAAGGATCTTGAGTGTCAGAGACAGAAGCAAGGACTAACTTATTGTCTTGAGCAGTGATCTCTTCATGTTGTTGAATAGCATAGTTTAGCTTCATTTCTCGCTTCACAATATACAAGAAAAGCCAAAGTAGCGGAATTTTAATTACAGATCATGGATGTTCATATGCAAAATACAGTATTTCCAAGCCGTCGATGCATTATCACACAATTTCGAGTCCTGTCAAGTCCCTCTTCAAGTCTGTCTCCGTTTTCCTGTCTCTGAAATTTTCATTCATCACCCACAACCCTCTGGTCCATCTTCCTTTCCTTTATACCGCCTGATTCTCTTTTCCGCAAACCCTCTGATCTCTCCCGCCTCATTGGTCACGATCTATTCATCCACGATACTCAATCTCTATCCATAAAATACCGCACATGCAATACATTGACTCAACACCGTCGTATCCCCCTTCAAATTTTCAAACATATCCACAAATAAAAACTATTTCTCAAACCATTTGTCCTCGCTCACCTTGAATCTACTATGATCACACCTCCCCTTAACACTTGCAACATCCTACATCCTTCTTGCCTGCAATCCTATGTCACCACACTTACATACTTTCAATCTGTCTCCTCATCACTAGTTTTCAGACCTGCACCTCTCACTATTTCTGGTTATAAAGCCTTACTTCCCCAACACATTCCTACACCCACCTCACCTTTTGACATTGTCCCTAATTGGAAAGCCTTTTGGTCACTTCAAATCACACATCGCTCCCGCAACATCTGGTTCCGCTTCCTACACAAAAACATCAACACTCGCTTCTACCTACACCAAAAATTACCGAAGCTCATCACTAGCCCTCAATGCATTCACTGTCCTTACTTCCGTCGCAACACCATTGACACACTTGACCATTTCAACTTTCTTTGTCCAGTCAAATACAAAATCTGGTGTCACATCCTCTCCACATATATCGTTCCTTCTCTTACCGCTCCTTCAATTCACCTCTTACGACAACTCCTCAATCTCCGTACCACCATCAGTCGCTCCAGTCATTCTGCATTCCCAGCCCTATTCACACAACAAATCTGCGCTAGCACATTGGAAGGTCTATGGTCCAGCCATTGGTGTTTGGTTTTTGATTCCACACCCTTCACCTTTTCTGCTGTACTCTCCGATGAACAAGAACTTATACTTTTTGACTGAAATCACTTTCCTTACTAGCCAAACTTACGCATCTTTCCTCTCCCCCTTCTTATTGCACATCATACCCCTCCAGTCTTAATTATCACTCATTATGACATCTTTAAGACTTTAAATAAACAGGAACATTGTTTACAAAAAAAAAAAGATATATATTGACACTCCGTATCTTATTCATGCGTGTGTGTTTATATGGGGTGTATGTATACACTGCACGTGTTTATAAAGCAATAGATATCACTTGACTTGTCCCTTTATTTTTTATTTTTTTCCACAGTGTTAGGGTGGTGCTTCTATTTTTCTTTATTGGGTAAAATTGAGCATTTTTTCATATTTTTTTCTTTCTTTCTTTTCTTTCTTTTTATAAACAAGATGCAGACAATCAAGTGTGTTGTAGTGGGTGATGGTGCAGTTGGTAAAGTAAGTGTAGGAGAATAATCTAGTGTTCATGAGCTTAATCATCCTCTCTAGACGTGTTTACTTATTTCATATACAACAAATAAATTCCCCTCTGAATATGTGCCTACAGTAAAGTATTATATATAGGTGATTCATTCCCCCCTCCCTTTTAACTAACGACTTGTTCAGGTCTTTGATAACTATGCTGTTACTGTCATGATTGGTATATATACAAAGAGATAATAGGGTCACTTATTAACTTTCTGTTCTTTAGGTGAAGAACCTTATACACTTGGGTTATTCGATACAGCAGGCCAAGAAGATTATGATCGTCTAAGACCTTTATCTTATCCTCAAACAGATGTCTTTTTGGTCTGTTTCTCTGTGACTTCGCCAGCATCATTTGAAAACGTGAAAGAAAAATGGTTCCCAGAAGTCCATCATCATTGCCCTGGTGTTCCTTGCCTGATTGTTGGTACGCAAGTTGATTTACGTGATGATCCTGCTGTCATTGAAAAATTAGCTCGACAAAAACAAAGACCGATCAGTTTTGATGCAGGTGAAAGACTGGCTCGTGAATTAGGAGCTGTCAAATATGTTGAATGTTCTGCCCTAACACAAAAGGGCCTCAAGAACGTATTTGATGAAGCTATTGTGGCTGCATTAGAACCTCCAGTCAAGAAAAAGTCAAAAAAATGTCTTATTTTGTAATAAATTTATATAAAGTATTGACTACCAGGTCCATTAGCCATGGTTGTAGTGTCGCCTTGTACATCATTTTCTAAAAAGATGGTATAGTCACTAGACACAATAGGGCGACTTTCTTCTGGAATCTTAAGGATAGCAGCTTTGTTTCCACATCGATAGCAGTAATTGGGTGCTGACCATAATGTCACCAAGTTACCTTCTTCAAAAGGATAATTGTATCCTTCATCTACTAATTGATGGCTTCTGACAATCAAACCAATACCATTATTATGACAAAACTATAGAGAATAAGGTACATTCAAATCTGGAGGGTTTACTTACTGCTGTCGTAGGCACAGGTCCAAATAGATATCCTCCTCCTCTTGGACTAATAGCCCATGCTTCTACTTGTGTCTCTGGATCAGACCATAATAAGTCTAAGAAGAAGGAGGGAGGGGGGTCAGTTTAGTAGATTGTGTATCTATAAACTTACCACAATGACCACCACTTTGTGGTAATTCTTGCATTCGAAACAATGTACTAAATATCTTTTTGTTTAATACTATGGAATGATTTTCTTGTACTTTACCGAATCGAATCAATCGAAGGTAATTCAGGGGATAATCCACCATGAACACAAAATACAGAGCCATCAATCACCTTTATTCTATTAGAGATCTATATCTGTGTATGTGTAAACTATAGACTTACAGCAGCTAATGGCAAATAATCAAAGACAGTACAACACCATTCCCAGACCTTTGAATTCTGATATTTTGCTAAACATTCATCATAAAATCCATAGACTCGAGTGACATTACGACTTTCGTGATTGCCTCTTGTGAGTGTAATACGATCAGGATATCTAGTGTTGATGAGAACAAGCATTTCGTGTTATCTATACTTTACTTGACTTTATATAGCAGCAATAAGGTCAATGTCTCTAGTGAATATCGACCACGATCCACAAAATCACCCTACACTATTATGAATATAAGATAGCATAGATTTGTTGTTGTTTTTTACCATAAATATATAGGATGTCTGTGGTAAATCACCTCCTACTTCAAATATCTTGACAAGGTCATAAAACTGTCCATGAATATCACCACATAAAGTCACTGGTGCATTGACTGGGACCACAGTAGACTCTTCTGCAAGTATCTCTTTCAACTAGAGTATGAAATTAAAACATAGGAGGAGTATTAAAAATATATATATACCTTGTTACATAGTTGTCGCATATCGTTTTCTGGTAAATACTTGCATTCCTTGATTGACTCGATGCAAGCGTCAATGTTCATTGTGTGTATATATATATATATATATATATATAAATAAATAAAAAGAAGAAAAAGGAGGTAAAGAAATAATAATAAAAAAAAAAGGACACTTCCGTTTTAAGCCAATTTTTTTTTCTTTTCTTTTTTAAATTTTAATATGAGTAGTGAAATCAACTGTATTGCACTGATTGGCAAACAAGTAATGTAAAACAAGTATCAAAATGTAGACTTACATGTTACCATAGAACAACCCTTTGTTTATAAAGAACTTTAGTACATCTCATCCAGATTTGAAATACCACTATATTGCACATACATCTATTGATGTCATTGAAGAAAGGAGTAAGACAACATACGGTTCATTCATATACTCATTCCATAGTTGCCAATGGACCCAAAAACCTTGATTCTTATCTGGGTTTACTGTATGCTATGGAAGACTTGGCAGTGTAATCATATATATATACAACTATCTATTAACTTTTCCTAGTTATGGCTATGTCACTAATACGCGCGTTAAACTAGTGGTTGTTGTCTCTGTGACCGATGGCACGATTCGTGATGCAGACATGAAAGCGGTAATTGAATCTCTTTCTATCTTTCTTTATTGACCTTCTTTATAGTTGTTTAAAAGGATCCATTCTGCTTATGTATCCAATATCTGCAATCCTTTTTACAATATGGATTCACAAAAATCAATCAACAGTAAAGCCTTTTCTCGGGCTATTGAGACAATAGGTTTAAATGCACGTACAACATTAGATATATAAATCCCCACTTTATTGTTATTTGTCTAAGCAGATTCCTTAACAACCTTGGAGACTTCTTCCTTTTTACCGAAACTAATCACAATAAACACACTTGTTATATACACTATAGACTTACTGGTTATATTGAAGGTAACGGTAACCTTGAGTTAATTGAGCTGCTTCATTGACAGCATGACAAGCAAACAACAAATAGTTCTTGGGCTGAACAGCCAAAGCAAAACGCATGAAAAGAGCAGAGTAAAGACATAAAGCTAACAAATAAAAACTTAATGATGATATACATAGATAGACTATTTACCTGTTGTCATGTTGCCAGAAATTAGACTAGGATCCTTTTGAGTATCTGCAATGGCAGCAATAGGAAGACCCCAGTTGACAACAGGGCCCCAAAAATGCTATTAAAAAAAAGGGGGGGTTATATTTCGCTTATGGTTATAGATAAACACGTACAGTACTATAATAATAGAGTCAATAAGAAGATATAGTATAGAGAATAACTCACCTCATTAAATAGCCTTTGAATTCTTTGGAAGTAATTTTCTGAACAAAACGGTTGGCGATAGAACCTGAAGCTTGTGACATAACTGGGTAAATCTAGAGAAAGAAAGGGTAAAATGAATGTATTTTTTAAAAAAAAAAATTTCTTTCTTTTCTTATTTGCTGAAATTCAACATGACTCGATTCCCAATCGGAATCAAATTCTCTCTTATGAGATGGCATCCATACGTCTGTGCACCTATCTTTGGAAACAACAACAACAACAAAATACATAGATTGGCCCCATTGCATTATAAGCATACTAGGTTGTATTTATAGTACATATATGTCATGAAATAAATTAACTGTTCTGAATATGATAAATAATATAACCAGGAAGACCATAGACTGAGAACCCCATAGATTTGGCCATTTTAGCAAATCCTTCTGTTTCTACTTGATGTTGATATGTAAATGCTGGGAAATTAGCTCCTTCACGATGCACATGTGCTTTCACAAGTGTAAATGTAGCCCCTACACCGTCCAAAGGTACTTTATAATCTTTAGGAACATCAGTAGGCATATCCACCATCTAGTGAAGGAAATTGTATTAGTATATATATCTTTTTTTTTTTTGTATGTATGTTTATAAACCTACCAAATAACGATGTGTGGGGAATTCATAATAGCCTTCCAACAAGACAAAATCCGGATCTAATCCTTCCTGAATTTCTCTTGACCTTTCTGTTTCTTGCCAGTTGTTTTTATCATAAGCCCAAAATGCATGATCTTCTCTCTGCAGTAAGCAATTAGGTACCACCACGTCAGCATCAGCATGCATCAGGTCTTCAAAAATACTTTCTGGATATTCCACCACATCCACATCAATCCAAGCAACCCAGCTAATATCAGGTCTTAAGGCAGCCGACAACAACCAATTACGAGATCGAGCCATGATACTGCGTCGAAGGGGCTGCATCTCATACGTGTGTCGCTTATCACTCGGTAATTCAAAATCAAAGTCCTTTTTAAAGATATGGACTGAATCAAACGGCTGGTCTTGCCAACTCCATCGATTTCTAGACTGGAATCGTTCAACATGTTTCTCCAGGGCGTCGATGGTATCATCTGTAGAATCGGACACTAAAAAGCCAAGTGAGATAAGGTGGTTAGGATATGAAGTTTGGTCCAGTAGTTCGAAATAGCGATCCAGGTAACGTGCAGCGTCCTTGAGAGGTGTGAGAACAAGGATCTTTTCTTTCTTTTGCTTTGCTCTTTTAGAAGAAGATGTGAGCTTATTAAAGTCTGTAAATAGCTTGTTCTTTGTCACAAGAGACAAAGAGGGTATATTGAGTGGAAGAAGGTGTTTGCTGTCATTCTTTGTACATAAAGTGTCATTCTTATGGACTGTAAATGAAAACAGACTAGAAAGATACAGTAGAAACAAAAGGACAAGAATGGCTGATACAGCAAGTATCTTTTTCGAACTTTTGTTTGTGGTGAATGACATGAAGAAAAGAAAAGAAAAGGTAATTTTAACTTGAGCAACTAGTTTTAAGGGGAGATTTTTATGCGCCACATACATAATTCACAAAAATAACATAAAAAAAAATTTTTTTAAGCCCTCTTTTTCTCCTTGAACAACTATTCATTGTTCCTTTTTTCTTTCTTCTTTTTTCTTTTTCTAGGTGAATATCTTGGCAACAAAGATGTAGATCATTTCTTTACGGACTTTAAATAGACATGTTGTCAAATAAATCAACCACCTGTCTATTCAACTAATATGAATCCTCATGCATAAAGACCTTGTATCACACTATATATTTAGAAGAAATGTCAACAGCATGGATAGACAGAAATTCAGCCACACATTAAGATTATTCTGAGCCTGCCAAGTCTTTTTTAGATGCTATTTTAAGCCATTCTGTGTTTGATAGTCAGTGCATATAATGATGACTCTTGATCAAAGAAGAAGAAAAAAAAATCCCCTTCCAATTTGTCCCATGTTGCACACAATTTCAAGCCATTTCATATTTGGAAAGCTTGATCGATATTCAATGACAAAGGCACGTACGTATTGTTTTCATACACTACATTCCTTTTCTCAAAATACAGACATGAGTCTAAACCTTCAGATTATCCTTTTGATCAAAGCAATTCTTGTTACCATTATTCCATCAATGTCATGTGATGATCATTACGATAAAAGTGCACAATGGCTAATCTCTAAAAAATAAAGGGTGCACTTTCATCCTGTCATGAACAAAGAATGCCTTTGTTTTTCAACAAATATGCATATTAAAAAAATGCAATGAAAGGGGGTTGCCTAATTTTTTTTTATGTAAATTAAATAGATTGAATAAATTAAGTTAAATAGGTTTCAAAAAAAAAGTTTATTCTTCATATAGATTCTTTCATAAAGAGATCAAAGGTAAAAAAAAAAAATGGAGGAAAAGAAAAAAAAAAAAAAAGAAGCTCTTGTTGTTATCATACAAATGTACATTTTTTTCTTCTTTTCTTGATAGAAAAGAAAACAATAATAAAAGTGTGGCAATCTTGGAAAGAAAATATACAGTCTAATCCAAATGGGAAAAGAGAAAGAGAGAAAAAAAAAGGGCTTATAATAAGAGGGAAAGGAGCTTTGTACATAGAAATTAGTGAGAACTTGAGGTAGGACTGAACCATCCCAATTGGTTAAACACACTCCAGAGTGCGCTAGTCTTGTTTACATCAATCCGTACACATTTCTGTGCATCAGATTTTCTAAAGGCGACGTCCATTTTGTCAAATTCTTGGGCGGCCATGATAAGCGACCGTCTACACTTTAAGTATTGTTCGGGTGTTAAGCGTAAAGTGGATGCAATGTTGACTTCACCGGGATGTAACATATCATAATAAGGTAAATGATGAATGGCCAAAGGAGATCCTATCAAGGTATGAATAACAATTCATAAAAAAAAAATTTTTTTTTTTTTTTACCTTTCCATACAACCTTAACAGCAGGTGAATGTTCAAACACACTCATGTCAGGAATCCAGTCAGGATCATCAAAGACATCTTGATCACTCATGGAAATATCCACACGATCATAAGCAGCGGCAGCATCTGTTTTTGATTTTTTGATATGGCGTTCCGTTGTTAAAATATTGGCGTACGTTGGCTGGTTCTGTGTCACTTCCGTCATTTCTTCATTCCGTCTTTTTCTTGAAACTCCGTTGAAAACGTCCATGGTAAAGCTGCCTCGGGTATGAGGCGAGGGAGATCGACGAGGTATTGACTTTTTAGAGCGACCATGGTTGACAGGGAATGGATCCTTAAAGGCAATGACGTCTTTATCGGGTGTTGCCATGGCTCGACTATAACGGCGGGCATTGGATTTTCGACGTTGATCTGCTGAGTAATGAGGTGGTGAAGATGGGATTGAAAGGCGTCCAACAAGTGTAGAAGGTAAAGACAATTCAATTGTGTCTTCGAATTGGTCTTTTGGAGTGACAGGAGGAGAAAGAGGCACTGAAGAGATCATCATTGATAAATTACAGAAAAGAAAGAAAGAAAAAGAGAGAGAGAGGAGAGAAAAAAAAGAAGGAATCAGTTTACGCTTTATGCTTTTTCGACTGTAAAGGGCGCTAATTAGATTTTTTTTATATTTTGGCTTTGTGACGTTGCATTTTAGGCCGGGGCCTGATTTCTTGAAACCTGACAATCGTCTTGTATGCACGTGGGATCGTCATATTCTTCAGCATTTCATTGGCATAGAGAGTTGTCGATCTATTTCATTGGTTGTACAAGTCTATCGTCTTGCTCTGTGTAGATGAAAGCCATTGCAATCTGATGAATTACGTATCAAGAAGACTAACATTCTGCTTTTTATTAATAAAGAGACAAGAATAGAAACAACTGATTTTCTTCTTCTTTTCACCTTACCATTTGCAGTAAACGATTAGGCTTATTTTAGACTTACAATCCTTGAGTTACGTTACAAGAATGAAATTTGAAGATCCCTTATTGAAGCATTGATTGGGCCTTTATTCTTGGCATAGTCTAGTGCTTATATATATATATATATATACATTATAAATGACTGCATACCTCTTCTTCTTCCAGTCTATATAGAATATATGAAAACACATGAAATCTAAAAAAAAAGAGAAGCAACACTGGTAATACAAGTTACTTTAAAAAGCTACTTGGCCTGGATCATTTGAATCGAGTCACCCTGACATATTTAAATGCCGCTATTGACCCTATACAACAACGCTTGACAAGTTTTCATGAACCCAATGAACTTTGTAGACTAAAGTAACGCGTGTTTAATGTATGTTTATCTCGAATGGATGAATGACTGCCATTGACTCTATAAAATAAAGTTTTTGCTATTTCAATACCGCATAAATGAATCTGGTGTAATGGCAATACAGAGTTTTATTTCACGGATAAAAGGGGAGGAGAGGGAGGTAAAGAGAAGCGATATGTATATGCCACAAAAACCTTGAATGCAACCATACACTTCTTTTTTGATAGCCTATACTCGAGGTCCTATAAAAATAGCTAATCCTCGAGTAATGCTGTACAACAATACTGCCTTTAGTATGCTTTTAATAAGCCAAGAAAATATTAAAAAAACAAGCTTTCCTATTCTGGTGGATATTGAATCAATTAAAATTATCGACGTTTTTCTCGTATTCAGTCAACTCTAATTTAGCCTTGTCAACGTCAATGAAACAAAGAATAAAGGTAGCCAAGACAAACAAGCCTAAAACGAATGGCCATCCTTTCCAAATATTAGAAGTGGATTGTGTAATGGCACCAATGACCACAGGTCCTATCCATGAAGAAGCCTTATTGACAACGCTTGCAAGGCCAAAAAATAAGTTTTCTTTCCCTTTAGGCACGAGTTCAGCAAGCATTGTTTGTTGCCAAGCCCAAATAGGTGCTGTAAACAAGCCTTGCCACACGTTCAGTACCCATAATTCTCGATGAGTCTAGAAAAAAAAATGAGTTTTCAATGGTCATGTCTGTGTCCTTCTTACTTTGATGCCAAATTGATCAAAATAAATACCAAAGCATCCCCAAACAGGTACAAGCCCAGTTAAAACAACAATGGATAACAAACTGGTTTTAGTACGAATTTTAAATACTTGCGACATCCACAGGAAAAACAAACAACCCAAGATGGAAGTAATGGCTGTCACTAGCCCAAAAATGACATTCTGTTGAGGCGAGAACCCTGTGAGTTCACCTTGAATGATGGTCGACATTTGTCCAATTGTCGATACTGCATCTGAAAACATGAAATACGCAAGGATATACATAAAAAGATACCGAAGCTTACGTGCTTCTCTAACATCAATGATTAACCCTAGCCTATGTAGGAGTGGTTACTTACCTTAGGGCTTGAATAATGGATTGCCAACCAAACGTAAGATAATGAGCACCTTCAGGTAGAGGTGGACCCCTTCTTCCTCTCGGTGTCCATACAAAATAGGGAATGGCATTGATTGCCCAAAACCCAGCACACACAACTGTAGAGATAAAGTTATATACTGGCGCATTACCTAATACATGCTCCACGCCTGGAGGAAAGTCATATTTGCCTTCCCAAGAAAGAAACGATACGCCTGATAACGCACCTGAAGTCACCAAGAATCCAATATTAGAGAATGTGGTAGATATAGCAGAGATATGATTACGCCATCTCTCTATCACTAATTCTTTTTCTTTGTTTGATAAATTTGGATTGACTTTAGCGTATCTCACAATCGGCAAATTATCACTATAGAATAACCCTCGTCAACAATTAAACAACGCAGGCGTCTTTTCTTTTTCTTTTTTACCTCAGGTTAGGAAAAGCAGCTGCATAAAAAGCCAAGGTAGTACCATAAGATATGAGAGCAATACACATGATAGCCATCATGATGTTCCAGTGAGTACCATCATCATTGACGAGTGTTATTGGTAACGCTTGAAATAAACAACCAATCACTGTTGAGCATAGTAAAATAAAGCGATTCCAATGGCCATAATCTGCCAGACTACTGAATGTGGTAAATAAGAAGAATTGGATTGAAAATGCAATTGATTGAACATAGAGCAGCATAGAAGATACAGGAATTCCTCCAGGTGTATTGATCCATGCTACATGACAAGGCTGTAACGTGTCTTGCATGTTACATCCTTTGATGTTTGGTGTATCAGGATCAAATCCACCCCGATGAGCCAAATACTGAAGAATGATTGGCATAAAACCATAGATTGTATATCCATTGTTCTACAGAAAAAAAACAATGAATACATAAATCACAACTGACACTAAACTCACTCCATTGTAATAAAGGTAATAGCCCCATAATTCCCATTTGGTTGCTAGTGGTTGATCTAATGGATCCAATACTCCTTGGACATCGTCTCTTATCCTAAATAGATCTTCTTTAGAATCCTGCTTAAACGAGAAATGCATAAGAAAGAAAGAGAGAAAGAAAGGGGGAAAAAAGGGGAAAGTTCAAGATATTGGCAATGTGTTTTATTTGCATTAGTCTTGATCTAATTGCATTTGATTCAATACTGGTAAAATATTCTCCCATATAGATATGCTCTAATTCTAAATTAACAATGAATCTGTAATCATCATTTTACCTTTTTATAAAAATCAATATGACAATCAGCATAAGCAGCCAATCCTTGTTTCAATTCAGATTCCCTTGCTTTTTGGAATATTTCAAATTCTTTGACCATTTGGTTTGAATATTGATTGTTCTCGTCATTGGCTTTGGCTACTTCTTCTTGAAGCTAAACAAGTCAATATCATACAGTATCAATGGCATACTTACTTGTTTTATTTTAGACTCCAGTCTAAATACGCGTTCATGTCTTGCTCTACCATTGTCCATCATTTTATCTGTCATGAATTCAGTGATTGTACCACTATGATGTGGTCCATGTCCTAAATTCTTGCCAGGGTACAAAACTCTTTCTCTTTCCAACACAATCGACTGTAAAGCAGTAGAAAGATCTTCAAACTGAACTTGCTTTTGATCTCTTTCTAATAATTGTTCTTTGGTTGCATTACAGTAGTTTAGTAATTCATGCACATCATTCAGAAACATCAAATCTTCTTGTTCTCTCTATATATATCATAGTATCAATACATTTTACAATGGAGAATGATTTTACCATTTGTTTTAATCCTTCAACATAAGATTCAGTTGCTTCTGCAAATTGCCTAAGTGGTTGATCTACATTGGTTTCTAATGCTGATAGTCCCCGAATACTGCCAGCAAAATGAGTGTAATGCTGTTCAAGGCCTAATTGTATATTACATATATGTATATAACCTAAGCTATATACCTTGTTGTCGTTTGCCTATTCTTGAATACAACTTTTCTACAATATTGAGATTGTCTTCAAACTTATCAATCGTTTCTTTCATATCAACAAACTTTTGATCAGGTTTTTTGACTTTGACCAATGACTTGAAAAACGAACCAAACAAGAATGAATTCTGTAAAGAGGCTGTCTTTGTCTGTACTTTTTTATCTGTTTGCTATAGAACCATAAGTACACACAAGTACATAAAGGTGCATATACTCAATAATTTACTTTACAAAATCAGTAGACTCTAAAAAGAGTCTTGTATATTGTGATGCTTGAAACAAAGGATGCCTTGCTATTCTATCCATAAACCACTGTAATCTATCGCATGTTTCAGTGAGGATTGTGTGAGTTGTTACTTACGCTAATCTTCTGTGTTCAATAAACATGGGGTCAAATCGATCTCCTTTTACATATTCTATTTTTAATCAGATAAGCATAACTCGAATGGACTTACTCATGCGATGTTTTTCAGGCAAGGGCGGTACTACACAAGCTGGGAATTCAATGGTCAATGCATTATGTAGCCATAAAAAATCTCGAAATCGTCGTCGTACAGGCCTATTATCCACAGAATAAATTTCAAGTGCTGTCTAATAAATAAATGAGCACATGGTATGTCATATTTAAAAATTACCATCGTAAATACTCTATAAGTGATAAAAGAACCGTCCGTGCTTTTCTGAGGGTCGTCTATTCTTATTGTCATAGGTTCTGCCTTAAACTCATCTTGCTTAGGTTGAAAGAGATCTGTACTTGAAGATGCCAAGTTCTTTTTTTTTATTTTTTTTTTTTTATTTATTTATTAATTAATATGTTCTTATGTGTATCAAACATACTTGGTCAAAATAACTTGAACTTGAATAATCTCGGTCTTGAATAGACCAAGAAGGTCCTTGATCATTATCATAATCACTTGTAGTTGACATGTTTATTGTGTAATAAAAAAAGAAAGAAAAAAAGAATAAGAAGGAAAAGGAAAAATAATAAAATGACGAATTTTATTATAAATTTTTTTTTTATATATATTTTAAATCATGATGACAGAGCGCATAAGTTTTGGTTTATTGTTCTGCTTCAGCAACAACCACATCAGATCTTTGATTAAATAGTTCATAATTTGGGTTCTGTGAAGTAAATCTCTTTTTTGCTTTGCATATTTTACATGTTTGAATAACAGACGGCACTGGTTTAGCTAGATAACATGAGATATAGTACACAAATTTGATTTTACTTACAATGAATACGGCTTTTTGATGTAAGATAGGGTAATAAAGAAGTATCACATCGTTTACAGACAGTTCGTTTGATGCTCGGGTCTCTAATATAAGATAATATGTGAATACAGCATGAAGCAATACTGGAATCGCTTACAGTCGAAGAACAAGACGAGATGTGATTTGTTTCATATTATGATTCAAATATCTTGAAGTGCCATACAAAGTGCCTGGTGGATCACCTTGCCAATCTTTGATAGGTTTTTTTGAAGTTGATTTTAATTGGGTATCATATTGAATGGTTGTCATAAGAGTAGCTGCTTGATGCAGGAAACTAAGGCGTTCAAATATCTGTGTGTTCTTTGGGTTAACACCTGTCTTTTTGTCTTTTTTTGCCATAAGTGAAAAAAAAAAAAGAGAGAAAAAAAAAACTCAAGTTGAATAAGTCAATGTGACTTTGCTTTATGCATTTATTTTATGGTAAGACAACATACTTTTGTAAATGCTCAGGAATAGCATCTGACAAACTCTTGGATTCCAACCACTTACGGCTGAAAAGACGAGATTGATATCTATAAGCACCATCACACAAGAGGGTCACGATCTTCTTGCCCTTACCAAGTTGCTTAGCCATTTCAACAGCAGCAACCACATTCAAGGCAGAAGAAGCACCGACATAAATACCCTCCTCATCTAACAAACGGTAGACCATCTTGATGGTTTCTTGATCAGGAATGTTCAAAGCACCATCAATCAAATCAACATCAGGGCACAAATTATCAGTGATACGACCTTGACCAATACCTTCTGTAATGGAAGATCCACTACGTTCAAACAATTTATGTCCACTGGTAAAGTAACTGAAGAGAACAGATCCAGGGGGATCAGCAATAAAAATCTTGACTTGGTCTCCCTTTTTGTCTTTCAAATAACGAGCTGTACCAGCAAGGGAACCACCTGTACCAGTGGCACACACAAAACCATCCACTTCGCCATTTGTTTGAGCGAAAATTTCAGGACCTGTAGTCTCAATGTGAGCACGACGGTTAGCTGTGTTATCGAATTGATTGGTCCAGACAGCATTTTCGAGTGAATCAGCATGACGCTTGGCTTGGTGATTGTAGTTTTCTGGATCATTGAATGCAACAGCTGGGACAGGATACACTTCAGCACCCAACATACGCAACAAATCAATCTTTTCTTGAGACTAATAGATCCTAGGATCAAATTTAAATCGATAGTCAATGAATCTTACCTGAGTGTTGGGCATGTAAATGACACATTTATATCCTTTGGCACGACAGACATGGGCTAAACCAATACCAGTATTACCAGCAGTGCCTTCAACAATAGTACCTCCAGGTTTAATCAAGCCTTTTTCTTCAGCATCCTTAACGACAAACAAAGCAGCACGATCCTTGACAGAACCGCCTGGGTTCATAAATTCAGCTTTAGCTAAAATTTCAGAGCCAGTTTCTTGTGATAATCTATCTAAGCGAATCTTTTTGTGTGTGTGTGTATGTGTGTGTCAGTTTAAATGTTTATCATTTGGTTTGATTAAATTACAAGAGGTGTATTGCCAATAGCGCCGATAAATCCATTCGTAATCTAAAATAGGATGAATATTTGTTTTTTTTTTCTGTCAATCAATACTTTACCCCAGGGCGACTACCAGGATGTACAGTGGAAAAAGCACGACGAGCAACCAAGCGTAAAGAATTCATGTCAAGTTAGAGAAAACAAAAAAGAAAAAAGGGGACAAAATAAAAAAAAAAAAAAGCCAGGGTAAAATAAGTCGTTATTTCTGCTTGTTTTCATTGGCCCAAGGAAATCTCTCTCGCTTAATCATTAGTAATATCTTTCCTCACGGATAGTTTCTTTGTGTTTCTTGCCACAAATACTTTATAAAAGTGCCTTTTTTTATTGTTATTTAATCAAAATAACTCTATCATTGGTTTCTATAAAGCCTAAAAACAAGAGTGATAGAGTTCAAGCACTCTACTCCTACATATGGACATAGAACTACTTTCTCTTGCTACCCATACAGCATGATTTGTTGATTATAAGACATAGCTACATTTATAACATGCAAAAAGTTGTTTTGGACATCATTTACTTGATTCAACTTGTTAGTTTCGATACAGTGTCCTGCCTGCATAATGTGTTGAGATTCCTGAATCTGCACTGCAATGACTATCAATAGTCTTTTTCTTCTAATTGTCAATATAAGAAGCTTATTATACGAATGTTTATAAAACCTAAACCTTCTTAAATCAAAATAATTGACATTTCATATCAGTGGTTTAAATTGGGGAATTATATGCCAAACAGAATATGGTATCTTGAATGCATAAATATTCGGGACAATAATACAGAGCATGATAGGATACATGATCTGAAGTGCACGGCAAATAAAAAAATATCTCTATCTTATAACTGAAATACGTCAAGTATGATTGAATTGAAGTTACAGTGATTTGCGTTTGAGCTTGTGAATTTCCGGATCAGTCAATGATAATACTGTGACCTTCCTATATCTTAAAAAACACATGAATCTTACGGTGAAGCAGTGTATACATCTCTGGCAGACTACTCTGGTAGACTACCGTATCTTCACATATTTTTTCCCGCGATGAAATACAGTGTTCTCTTTTCAATTGTCCTCTCTCCATTATTTGAATGACTCTAACAACCAATATGGTACTCTATAATAACTGCTTTGAATGCGATAAAAAAGGCTTCACTGCATCTCAGAAACTTCGAAATTACTTATGTATTATACAAAGAATCAGGTTTCTTATGTATCACCCTCTATCGGACATGTTCAAACCGAAATTCGCAGAGTACCGTATAGAGAGGAGATAGTTAGAGAGCACTCCATCCAATTCAAAAAGCAACAATTTTTTATGAGTATACAATTTTCTAAAGAAGAAGAAAATTATTTTCAGTAGACCATTTTATAACAATAAACAGGTTTTGATTGTTTATCATATAAAGAAACCAGTCATTTATTAAGCCCATTTAAAAATAAATGATTTATGTGTGAAAAAAGAGCATTGCATAATAAAATGAAAAGAACTACTAAAGAACTAATAGCAGCTATATTGTCAAAATGAATGTTCGCCATTAAAGAAATAGAATTACATTGTATTTGTCATGTCAACTGCGATTAAAAAATTTAGCTTCTATTGGAGAGAACATTTATGCACCTTCCCCCCCCCCTCGGGAAACAACTCCGGACTCAACTATTTTTTCTGGTCCTGACATACACCAAACGGAAAAATTATCCGCACATTTCTGAAAAAAAGATGTGCGTACTTTTAAAAAAATAAATCGCACAGAAAAAAAAGAAAATTTAGCGTAGTATTTGAAAAAAAATTAGCATGCTTGTGTATGCGCAAAATGCGTGAGTTTATTAAATAGGTCTGCGTTGAAAGCAATCTTCAAATTTGGCAGCAGAGTATCTACAGAAGCCTTTAAGATCACTGTACAAAATTCTATTACAAGCATCTGCAATTCTCGAAGTCAATGTCTCCTCTTCCAAAAGCTGTTCCCTCTTGAGTTTGCTTTTGCAAACCGACCAGAATTGCTCAATGGGATTAAGTTCAGGCGAGTAAGGGGGGGAGGTACATGCACTTATAGCCTCGGCTCTCAATGAGATTCTGAATATCTTGATGCTTATGAATAGGAGCATTGTCCATGATCAAATAATGGCCACGGAATTCCTCATGATGATCCATGACATCCAAAACACTACTGATGAAATTGAAGTAATGTCCAGTAACTGTACCATTGTTACTGGCCACTTTTGCATTCGAACCTCCTGCTGCTTTTCTTTTCTTTGATGAGGGTAATGCTCTTGGTCTTCTTACACTAATGTTAACAACGCCAAAAGGCGAGATGGCACCCAAAATGGTAGTAGTTTTTGCTCTTGTTTTGGGCACTTTCACGATCGCACGCTCGCCTTCTTTGGACCAAGAGAAATTTCTCTTAAGGTTGATATGGAAAGCAGCTTCGTCAATGAACACACAGTTGCTAGTGAAGTCCATATCTGTTTTCATCCATCTCTTCACCCACTGATAGCGCTCTTCGATTTTTTCAGGGCTGTTTCTCTCGAAAGCTTGGAAACGAGCCTGCTTGAAGGTAATCTTACACTTATCCTTGACAAATTTGTTAAACCCGCTTTTACTGATATCGAGTTTGCCAAACTTTTTTGTCAATACGTCAAGCATATCATCCAATGTAACAGAATCTGTGTTCTCGTCTGCCCATTCAATCATAAAATCCTTATGTTCATCAGTTAAGGTGGATGGTTTGCCTACAGGTCTTCCACTGCATGTAGCCCTCTGAATAGGTTCCTAAGGATCTTTATTGTTTTTGGCCACCCAGCCTTGTGCTGTTCGAACGTTAATGTTGAGGGACATGGCAGCAGCATAAACACTCATTCCTTTTCCTTCGACAAGAAAAAAAAGCTTTTCTTTCTCAGCATCCTTGTAGTGCTTATATGCCTTTGTTATGACAGAAGTTTGCTTCATCTCTGCTGGTACTTCGGCTTTCTTCTTCATTTCTTTCTCGGGAAGCATCAAATCTGTGTGCCTGTCGTAGTCTGTTACGCTTTCAACCAGATACATTTCATTGTCAACTTCCATTTGGAATTCAATAACTTCGTTTCCTTCAATGTCATGTTGGTTTCCTAAACCGTCTTCTTAATAAAATGTAGAAAAGAAGGCTAGAAAGCTATGCCTTTTTTTTTTCAAATACTATGCTAAATATTCTTTTTAAAAGTGCGCTAATCTTTTCTCTGAAAATGCGCGAATAATTTTGCCGTTTGGTGTACAGTCACTTCAGTCGATCCTTCATTAGATTTTTTGCTATACACTAAAAATGTAGCGCAGCTCAGAAAGCATGTATTGCCTTATTCGCTTTCTCTTTACCAACTGAGGAAATCCTGATAGTCTGACCAGTTTGTTTCTGTGCAAACATTAATGACTCAAAATTTTTAAGCCTGACCGAGACTAATTGCAAACCCTACAATAATAGCATTGATCTAACGCCTCTTTCTAGATTGTTAAAGGAAAAGCCTACCGGGACAACTGTGCACAAACAGCTTGGCCTAAACAGTCTGGATTTTCTTCTGCTGCTGCTAATTAACTTAGAAATCAGCCTCAGAATAATTGGCTATTTATAAACATTTTGTACCACTTTTTGAATGTGGACATTCTCTCCTTTTTATTTCATTAATTTAAAGTTCAAGAGAAGGCGTGTTTTTATCTGGTTTTCTTATTGATACAATATGATCAAATGTCTTTTATACGGAATAAGAGTTTATCAATAAACAAGCAACGGCCGTCCAATAACCCTTATAAGCAAATGGATAACAGCGACACAAAGGATACTAATAAAGACGATCTTGGAGAGGGATCTTCAAGCACTCCGTTTATTTCCTTCACTCCAAAAGCCACCACTGATCTCAACCGTCGTTTTACACAGAAAAGAAACTCACCTAGTATGGCAGAATTTATAACAGAGTTTGAGCAAGAAAGAAGACCTTCACCGCCAATATTGCAGTCACCTATCTCTACCCCCATAGATCGAAATGATTCATACTTTGGTGTTGACAGTGCAACATCCTCTGACGATAACGAAGATTTCTCGGATACGGCTCGATTGACAGCCAACGCATCCGCAATGTCAGGTTATCACGATAACAGCCAAGGCAGTAGTAATGATCATCTTCATCCCAGTATGATTTTCGAAGAAAATGCATATGGAAGGGATCCAGTGTTCAATACAAACTTCAACAATAGTCGAATTTCTTTTCAAAGCCGTCCTGGAAGTAGGCTTTATGAGCCTGCTCATATTGACCCAGAAGTTGACCAGAGAGCAAGAAGGCTCAATAAGATCCTTCACTTTGACAAGAAAGCACTGATCAGAGCTCTTTCGAGATCGATAAGACAAGCTTCTAGAAGAGTGGTCGACATACATAATTTAAACAACCATACAGATTTGGATGTCCAACTCGCTAAAAATCAAATTCAGGAACCAACAGATCAGAACAATAAAATTAGTGAACAAGCCACACTGATGAAAAAAGGAATCCACTACAGTAAAGACCGGGGAAATACCATTGAAGTTATACCCATGGCTAGAACCTCTTCAGGAAAAAGCATAGAGAATTCGTCAACCAATGGCAGGTTACCACACAATCACAATATCCAACAAAAAGATACCAAGCACGTTATAGAGTTAAATGGAAAAAGCTTAAAGATCTTTTCACCTACAAATCCTATACGACTATTTTTTGCAAGCATTCTGTGTTGGAAGTAAGTAGAGGCTTTTCTTATTGATTGGCTTAACATACTTTTTAGATGGCTTGAGACACTTGTTATGGCATTGATTGTATTACATGGTGCAGTATTGCTCGTGATTGGCTGGGGCACAAATCCTGATCCAGTTCCACCAAACACATGGACTCCAACTTGGGATCAAGCTATTCTTTTGGTTATATTCTCTTTTTATACGTAAAGTAGATTACAAGTATAAAAATGTAAAAACTAACACTTGAATGAAGCCTCTTTATGATCTTTCGCATTATAGCACATGGTGTCTTTATCAATTCAACTCCCAACAGGCAAACAGCATTCTTGAGACATAGTTGGAACCGTGTCGATTTTGTGGCAATTGCTGCTTATTGGATTGATTTAGCATTGTTGTGTACTCAAGAAGAAATTATAGGCGATGCACGAAGAATACTCATATTCAAGATGCTTTCTGCTTTGATTTTGCTTCGATTGCTTAATTTGACAGATGGTAACAAGGTTATCCTAAACAGTTTGAAAAAAGCTGCTCCTTTGTTGGTCAATGTACTTTTTTTTGTGCTATTCTTTTTTATTATTTCAGCGTACGTATACTTATTTATGGCACAATAATTAAGGTTTTTTCAAAAATAGAATTGTAGGCGTACAGTCATTCAAGGGCTCTTTTAAACGCCATTGCGTTTGGTATGGTATGTACAATGGTTTTAATATTTTATTTCAGTATCTAATGGTATGCAAAAGACCCAAACAATTCAAGCAATGTACAAGAGACACAGCAATACTGTGGTGGATATATCAATGCAACTGGACAAGTAGTTCCATACAAGTTTAAGGACGGTAGTAATGCGCCCTGGTCAAAGGGTTTTATTTGTGAAAATGGTCTTGTTTGTGAGGTAAGCTCAACAATAAATAAAAAAAGAAAGAACTTTCATTTATATTTAATCATTTGTGTAGGAAACTGAGAATCCATTTGGAGGCACTATTAGTTTTGATAATATTTTTGAATCAATGCTTATTGTGATGATTATTACGGGTGGTAAGAAAAAACTAATTGAAAGAAAAAAAAACATTTATTCAACATCCAATAGTACAATCATGGACAGATCGAATGTATGACATGATGGATGCCGAATATTCAGCTGCAAGTTTTTACTTTATCATCATTGTTATTGTCATGAATTTTTGGCTTATCAACCTGTTTATTGCAGTTATTACTGAAATGTTTGCCAAAGTGAGAGAAGATTCGCAGCATTCTGCATTTACTAGTTCGAAGTACGTAGCACTACATAGTATAGTATAGCTCACTCTTTTTTTAATAGTGCAAAGCCAATTTTGGGTGATACAAATGAAGAAGATGGCTGGACTTTTCCTGAACAGAATGAAATTATAAAAAGTAGACAAAGAAAGAAATCAATCCTTGCTGTTATCGTGAAATACATGAAACCGATCTGGCTTACTCTTGTCGTCATTGATTTGTTGTGTATGGCCGCCAAAAACGTCAATATGTCTGCCAAAGAACTAGCAACATTAGACATGTTAGAAAACGCATTTTCAATTGCTTTTCTATTTGAAATATTGCTCCGTATGACAAGTCAAATAAGAGATTTGAAGGGATTCTTCAAGGACAAGATGAATGCGACTGACTTTTTGATTGCTCTGGTTACTTGCATCATTCAAATACCTCCTATTCGCCAGTACAATTATGTCTATGTCTGGTTTACAGGCTTTCAAGTCTTGCGTATTTATCGTTTGGTTGCAGCAGTACCTCGTCTAAGAAGATTAATGGTAATGACAAACGCTTGCTTCCTTATGCCTCTAACAATACATGTTAGTCTCGAGTTTTAGGAAGTCTTCGTGGTTTAATCAACTTGACATTCTTTATTGTTTTAGTGACAATCCTTTGTGCTATTATTGCATTTCAATTACTTGAGGGTGTTATTGGCTCTGATGCTGATGATAGCGAAATGCGATTTTTCTCTATATACAACTCATTTGTTGGTCTTTATCAAGTAAGTTAATGCAACGTAAGCTTCTTTAAATAACCCTTTCTTTTTTCTTTATAGCTGTTTTCTGGCGAGGATTGGACAACTGTGCTTTACAATATTATGGAAGCAGGTGCTGATAATAACAACAGTGCCATTTATGCTTTGTTCTTGGTTTTTTGGTTTGCCTTTTCTAATTGTAAGTACATGCTTATTATAAAAGAAAAGTATCTCTCTAACACTCTTCAAGTTGTATTGGTAAACTTGTTTATTGCTGTTCTTATGGAAAATTTTGAAATTGCAGAAGACGATAAGAGAAAGAACCAAGTACAGAATTTCATGAAAAAGACAGAAAATGAATTAGAAAAGAAGACTGTAGTCAGCAGATGGAACATTTACAGATACTTTAAGCCACAAGCAAAAGGGCTTGATATCAAAAACATACCTGGCAACCTTGTCTTATCTGTTCAAAAGAGCATTGTCCGGGAATTTATGAACGAAGCAACAGATCATACTGTACCTGAACCCAGTTTACAGCCAGTAAAGCGAGCAGTAGTACCCAGTCAAAAGAGCCGATTGCTCGGTAAAGTGCAAGCTTTTTTGACAGACTTGTTTATAGACGCAAAAGAGAACGAACAACAAATCAATAATCGTAACCGAACAAGCACATTTGTTGATACAGTTAACGCATTTGATCAAGTTGGTACCTTGTACGATTTCCGTAAAAAGGGCGAAGCGCATGATATGAATGAGCCTCGTTCTTTGAGATATCTGGTTGATCCTTCTTTACGCGAAACTGTTGCTAACCGATACCAACAAGAAACTGCTGACCTCGATATTGAAGAACGAAAGGCCTTGAAGCGAGATTTCATTAAAGCCCATCCTTCTTATGATAAATCGTTGTACATTTTTTCGCACAATAATAGAATCAGAAGATGGTGCCAATTGATTGTTCCTCCTAGTCGTGGAGAACGTGTGTTCGGTAGACCTGCTTCTCGTTGGGGTAGTGTTACTTTCTTGACAATCATCACTTGCTGTGTTATCGTCAATGTTGTCCTCACTATCTATAACTCACCTGTTTATCAATACGAGCATAGGGATAATCCATCTGCTATCCAGCCTTTTACTTTTGCAGACTATGCTTTTACTGCTATTTTTACAGTGGAATTTATTATCAAAGTGATTGCCGATGGATTCTTTTTGACACCAAATGCTTATCTTTTGAACGGATGGAATATACTTGATTTGTTTGTTTTGATCACAATGTACATGTCCAACTTTGGTCACTTTGCTGCAGCAACTGGTTTAGAACGTGGTTTCCGTGCTTTCAAAGCATTAAGAGCATTGCGTTTAATCAATTTATTAGGTCCTGCCAAAGAAACGTTTACTTCAATTTTAGTTACTGGTTTGCCTCGTCTTATTGACGCAGCTGTACTTGGTCTATGTATTATTATTCCTTTTGCTCTTTATGGCCAGAATATCTTTATGGGTCTATTCTATAACTGCAATGATGAAGAAAACGATAAAGCTCAATGCCTGTATGAAAATTCCCTGGGAACTCAAGAACCCATGCCAGAAGATACAAGCATTTACATGCCTCGTATTTGGAATAATCCATATGTCTACAGTTTTGATTCTTTTTGGAGTTCTTTATTGATTTTATTTGAAATTGCAAGTGGTGAAGGTTGGATCGATGTACTCACTACAAGTATGGGTATCACCGGAAAAGATATGGCTCCACAAGCAGATGCTAGTCAATTATGGGGTATTTACTTTATGGTCTATAACTTGGCAGGTTCTGTCTTTGTGATTTCATTGTTCCTTGGTGTAGTCATCGAAAACTTTACAAAAAGAAATGGTACAGCTTACCTAACAAGTGATCAACGACGTTGGTTAGATCTCAAGAAGCTACTTAATCAAATCCGACCTGCCAAGAGGCCCAAGACAGTACCCAAAAATCCTATTCGCAAAATTTGCTATGATTTCACAATTGAGAAAAGAGGAAAGTTTTATAAGTCCATGACAGCAATTATTCTGTTGAACATTGTATTTTTGTGTGCTGATACTGCTCGCGACGAAGACGATGTCATTGACAATGGTGCTTCTGGATGGAGTCGTACAAAAGTCTATATTTACCTTACTTTTATTTCTATTTACTGGATAGAAATCATGGTCAAAGTATTGGGCCTTGGCTGGAAGTCTTTCCGACGCAACACATGGAATCTGTTTGATCTTATTATGGTGATTGGCAGTGCTGTAACTGCTATCATTACTTTGGGTTATCCCAACTTACAAGTGAATGTTGAATTCCAAAAACTGTTTATGACAGCTCTTTGTTTCAAACTAGTGCAACGAAGCGATGGACTCAATCAACTTTTTACTACTATGGCGTAGGTTACCAATCTTTTGTTTTTGTTTTTGTTTTATACTAAATATTTATAGTGCTTCGTCATATCAAATCATGAATGTGTTTGCTGTATGGCTTGTAGTTATGATAACTTATGCAATCATGTTTATGCAGATTTTTGGTTTGACTAAATATGGTCCTCAAGCAACTACAGAACATATCAACTTTCGAACATTTTCAAACACAATGATCTCTCTTGTTCGATACTCTACTGGGTAAGAAATAGATCAATGGTGATAGCAAAAAATAACTTATATTATTCAATAGTGAAGGTTGGAATTCAGTCATGCATGATTTTACAGTAGAATATCCTAATTGTGTGGTTGCTGAGAATTACTTGGATAGCGATTGCGGTTCACTCAGTTGGTCTTACTTTTTATTCTTGTCATTCAACATCATTTCCATGTATATCTTCATCGCCATCTTTGTTGCCGTCGTAGCTGATAACTTTTCTTATGTTTATCAAATTCAAGCAAACTTTTCTCTTGTCAACAGAGATGAAATCAGAAAATATCCTTTTAAACATACTATACATACTGAAGTAATTTATTAACATATTATCCTTAACCGTTTATTTTTACGTTCAAGATGACTTGGGCATCCATAGATACAGATAGAACTGGATATGTTAAGCCGGGTCAATACATGACCTTGTGGAGAGTAAGTATTCTCATCATGCGTATACTTTTCCTGACAAAATTCGTTAGAAATTAGAGGGTATCTTTACTGTTCGTATTTTTGAACCCGAATTTTCTTATAAAAATTTGGCCAAGGAATGTGCTACTGAAAATACAAGCAGTGATCCTTATCAACACAATCTGAACTTGACTGCATTAAATGTCAAGCTCAATGCATTAGATAAGCGAGATATCCATGCCAAGAGACATAATCTAGAAAAGATTTATTGGGTAAAACAATGATACAGCTTAAAGACATATTCCGCTAACAATAATTCTAGGAAACTGCTCTTGTGGAAACTAGCTCTAGAGGGGTATCATTCAATCAAATGCTCTTAATGCTTGCTCAAAGAAAACTAATTGTTCCTGAAAACGCTCTTGTGTAAGCATACGAAAGAAATTTTCACCACGTCATGTTCTCACATTTCTTTCTTTAGCTTAGAGGAACTATTAGAGAATCAAAAGAAAGAAGAAGCTATCAATACTCTGATATCAATTGATCGTGTCAGAGGTCTAATTGAAACTATTGCTACTAGAAGGAAATTTCTAAAACACCTGGAAAGCAAAAGACAACAAGAAGGTAACGCATAGTAACGATATATAAATATCTTTATAATTTGCTCTCTAGTTCCTGCCATTGTTATCGATGATGCTGCACCTCAAAAAACACCCATTGTGTTCCATGAAAACATGTCCCATAATGGTGAATCGCCTAGGTCTTTACGGTAAGTGGAGATTCATTTTTCATTCATAGCTTACCAGTCTTTTCCATTTAGTTTCAATCGTGGTTCATTGTATGATCACTATTTATCAAGTGATGAAGAGGAAGGTTTTGAGGTGGATGAGGAAGAAAACAATCATAATTTTACGTCTCAAGAAAACAATACAGAAAACATAATTGAGGACGTTGCATCCTATGATGTTTGGGAAGGTAGGCCTTTTTTTTCTTTATCTTATTGCATGCATTAATCATTCTTTCATTTAAAAAGAAATGCTGAGGAACGAAGAGAAGTCCAAGTGAAACATTGATACATAAATAAATAGACAAAGTAGATGTAAATTTTAATGATAAATATATTTCGAGTTGATTTATAGTATATTGAAGGCAATGATAAAGTGATAAAAAAAAACGAGCTTGTATCCTTGTTCTTGAATCTGTTTTTAAAAGTGTATATTGCCGAAATTGGAACAAATCGTAACGAGATAAAGAGCTCTTTAATGGTACAAGTCGCTTAAAAATCATATTGACAATGCTTATGAAGACATCTGGCAATTTTACAATCGTCTTCACCTTAAAAATTCAACGCCTTAAAAATTCACAATTCAGAAGTTGCCGAAGCGAAGGCGAAAAATGTGGTAAATGCCCTGCCCTGGTATCGAAGACTCTTTTAACTGATGATATTCCCACCCTGAAAGAAAATTGACTTAGAGCGTTTTGAAAGATATAAGGGAAAAGGGAGCTATTTATTTTTTCTATATTTATATTATTTCTGAAAATAAAGCGTGGCTCTGAGAGCATTTACCACATTTGGAGCCGAAGCAGAGGCAACAACAATTGTTTTTAGGAACGACAAACAATATTGTTTTTACACTTCAAATTCAGACAATGTTATTTTCTTTTCTGGACGAATCAAAATTAATTTCCAGATGTTTTTCTGCCTATTTTGGACGAAATAAAAATGGAAATTAGACAGAAAAAGAATTAGCTTTTTGTATGAATGAGAGTTTACATTTAGACATTTATCTGTAAAGGGAAATCAATTGTTAGAGAAGCAATATCAAAATGACTGGTTATTGTGGTGTTTTGGGACTTTCCAAATAAAAAGATTGAATATAGAAACTATAAAAAAAATAAAGAGACGTGTAGGAAGTACTTTGAGACCGTTTATAAATGTTTATTAAGGTAAAAGTTCGAGAAAGATCTTTTATATTCTAGGTTTATATATGATTTGGATTATGTCCTTAGATGTAACCTGAGATAGGACTTGATGAGCTGAAGGTTATATTAGATGGAACAAGAGTATTGACTTTTTCAATAAAATATACTTTGCGAACCATCTTTACAGTTATTTATCATTCAAGATGATATCTGTTTACTGGTTCCTGGATTATATGGCTCTATTCCGTAGGAGTGTAAATGTTGATTCAGCTATATCATTGTTTAGAACGAACTCAGTTCTATTGCTATCAAACTATGACTAGCTTGCATAATAATAATATGACAAATGTTCTTGTTATGAGAAAAGACTTATTTGTGATAGTATGGTTTATGATGTATATACTTTTTTTTATTTAAAGTTATTTATGCCAGATCATCACAGTTAGATCGACTTGTCTGTTATAATGTTTTTTTTAACGAGGTTCATCTTATTTAAAGAAAAATTTAGTTCTCCATCTGCTTCAAGAAACTGGCCACGAAGGTATAATCATTAAGTGTTCAATTGATATGGCCATATTGGTCACTAAACCTATCTAATAGTTGGTACCAGAAAAAGAAAGAGAAAGCAGCCTGAGATACTGAAAAAAAATAAAAAGAGTAGCAAAACGTCAAAGGAATCAAGCTGAAGTTAATCCGGGGGTAATATGCAAGAAGTGTGAACTTTCCGGCCACTCTTCTGCACGTTCACCTCTGCTCATTTTACATTACGAGTAAGTCAAATACTATGCTTCAGAATCTTGGGCCAAATTACACTGTTTACGCTCGTAAATTACCTTTTCAAAATTGTGTCAAGGAAGAATATCAAAACATATTGAAGCAGAAAATAACCTCGCGTTGTAGCGCTGTAAGAGAGATAGTGTTTAGAGCCAAACTTTTTGTGAACTGGTATCTTTCGAAAACCCCAAATGAATCCGTATTTGATGGTATCTTTCGGCAACAGTTTTGTTATCCTGTCTGTCAACTGGTGAACAATAGAGAACCTAAAAACACCAAGCTTCTGCCACAAAATTTTTTACAAGAATGGGATAACTTCAAAGCTGGAAATCCTAATGCCACTTTTAATGAAGATTTGATTGGAGGAGCTAGCCAGTGCATTACTGAGACCTTCAAGGAGCTGGCAACCACCTACGAGAATGCAGTTGTAGAAAGACTTGAAAATATATTGGGAAGATTTTTGCAATATCAAATTCAAATTATGTTTGTTGCAAGAGCTAATAATTACATCCATTTACTCTAAATACTTAAACATTATGTATATAGTCCATGGCTCCGAAGGACGTCGATGATATTGTTATAAAATATGGATATCAGTATGTATGCCAAGGTAAAGCGGTGTGGCCTGAACAGAAATCACTTGAAGACCCTATGATCAAACGAAGAATCGATGAACTATGCCTGCCACTTAAAAACAAACTCGATGCTAGAGTTAGTATGAAATCATTAGCTGATAACCCTAGCTTTTTTGTTCCTCCGTTGTTTCATATACTGGCTGTCTTTTAAAGGGAACATCAATCCCATAAAGCGTTTGACGTTAGAAGACTTCCTTTACCAAAGTTGACTTATACTGCTCACCTCTATTTTCATAAGTGACAAAAATACCTACAGTGCTGCCTTAGTTTCTTTTTTCTTTTTTTACAACTCCGTGTATAGACTTGGCTTGACTTGGCCAGCCACACTGAAGTGTGTGCCTCTCTCTCTCTTTTTTCTTTTTTCTTAAAAAAAATTTTTCATGTCAACAGAATCAACTGATACTGTCACGAAAGGACTGGTTGCTTGGGAAGCCAGAAGAAAAGCATGGACAACAGCCGATCTAGAATATACGAATAATCTCAACACAACTACTTCAGATAAACTACAAGATCTTATTCAACACGAAGTTCAAAGAAAGACGATCTATCAACAACTTGTTTATCAAAGACAAGTCTTTCGTACACCTATACCCTTAAAATATATTGTAAGCAATGACTAGTGGTGGGGGGGTTTATTGATTTTGATCTGATAAGATATAGATCCCTATCCTTATCACAGGCTGGCAAGAAGATGGATTATGGCCAAAAGGGATGGTTGTACAAGATAAAAGTGATTAAGAAATACACATATATACCCTCCCCCTTTTTTTTTCTTTGTTAATAGTTGTGTAAGTCAATCAAAGAGGTTTGACCATGGCCTAACAAGACAAGTTCTTTTGTTACTACCATGGTTTGCTTATAGGCAAGCTCCAAAGAAGAGATATTGGATTGTTGTTTATAGCCTATATAAAATAAGAAACAGATTCTTGTTCGTCGTTATATACCTTTCATGGCTTTGATCAATGTCGTCGCTGTCGTATCTCGAAGTGACATGTCAAGTAAATGTGCTTCTGAACTGGTTTTTGGATCAGGATAAGACAAGAGACTAAATAATTCAATCAGCTTATTGAGATACTTGGGCTGATGCTGATATTCTTCTTGAAGTGATTGACCATAAAGCATGGCTTGACGAACGGTTGACATATGATCCACATCTTCTTCGTCTTGTTCTTCGAGGTCTGTGATATAGCCATGACTACTACTACTACGTCTTGAAAATAGTCTTTTTCTTGTTTCGTGTGTTTCGGATTCACAACTGGGTAGCGTAGGAGAGGCAGCGACAGCAGCCCAACTTAAGCGTCTTCCCGACGCGGCAACATGCAATGGTGGCGATGATACAGATGGTGTTGAGACCTCTTCAGTTGTAGAATGATGATAATGATGATGATGATGATATAAATCACTGCTACTACTGATACTTAATGTTCGACTTCTTCCAGAATAAGTACTCAATGTATCATCGTCTGTATCTTCTGATAAACATAAAGAAGATGAAAGAGAGTGGCATGGAGAGGTGTCCATGAGAATATCAAGAAATTTGCGTGTCTTAAGTTCAAAGGACAAATCTAGGTCTGTCTCAAGTAAGTTAGGGCACAGGGTATGTACTTGACGTGTGGCCTCATCAACACAACCAGACATGATGGCTTTGCGAATATGACTATAATGCATATCATCCTCAGTCAGACAAGCAGTGTGTTTTGTTTTCTTTAAAAGAGAAGTAGCTGTCTGCAGATAACCCAAATGAATCAAGTAGGAAACAAGCATATGGTTTACATCTTTCCTGAGTTTATCTTGTAATAGAGTCGATGTGTCTCTTTTCGCTATCCTATCGACAAATAAAACTTGTTGATCCTAAAAAAACACCGAATTAGATCCTACATCTATAAAGAGCAACTTGCCTTGATATACTGTTGAATATCAAACAGAAAGGGTTCTTGACCAAAATTAGCAGCCACTTTTTCACCTGGTGTGCTTAAACCAATACAAGGATAATAAAGTCGGTCTTGATGAAATTCATATTCGCAGCCGAGAGAAATGCCATTTTTAGTGAAAAAGAGGGTGCTGTTGGCGAAATTGACACCACATCCAACAATATCACCTGATGAAAAGCTTGGACCACCATGCTTACTTTGCTTTTCCAAGTAAACTTGACCATCTTGTCCAAAATAGCCAAATGAATCAACATCTTGACCTATGTTTTTTTTTGTTAATCCATCTATGTATATATATATATATATATATATTACCTGGCAATCTGTCTAATTTGGCTTGACGGGTACATATACCAATAGCAAATAGGCCATCTAAACCATTAGAACAAATGCGCACTTCAAAATAATAAACACCACACTGAGGTCTCATTGGGAAATTTGTGCGAATCGATGCTGCCTCACCTGTATGTTGATAATTTGTTTTACCTACACACCAACTAAGAATGAGTCGTTTTTTTTTCTATTAGTGTTCCCACGCAAGTAATACCTAAAGCATAATTTAAATCAAACCCATGAATGCCTACTTCCATCAGTTGGGATTTGTCTGTCTTGTTCCAATACTGAGGAAGACGTAAATCCAAGTCTAAATGACGTTTTTGGTAATATTGTTCAGATGCTAAGCTTGCATAATGAGTGAGTTTAAGGTAGGAAGGATATTTGGGTGGTGACAAGGGAAAATGAGCTGTCATTTGGGTATGTGATTTTTTACATTGTGTTGTCCATGGAGCAAAAGCTTGGAGAGGAGGAAAAGCAGAAGAATAAGAAGTCATGAAGAAAAGAAAAGAAAAGAAAAAAAAAAAGAAAAAAATAAGGTTGTTTATATATATATATATATACACATCAAAGTGAAATGTGTGGCATGAATTAAGAAGCAAGACAAAAAAGTGAGCTGTCATCATGTGCTTTTTTTTTTTTAGAAAGTATTTGGGAGACTTATTTCTTACTCTATTTTATAGATACTTGTCTATATGAACTGTTTTGAATAAACCCCCTCCTTTCTTTTTTTATTTTTTTATTTTTTCACTCATGAAGCTATCCTTGTCACTGTATGCGGAATTTTAATGAATTGTAAATCGTATGTTTCTTTGTCAATATACAGTTGTTGTTGTTGTTGTTGTTGTTTCACACTTGTTTATTTTAATGATTCAAATTCAAACTTTGTTGCACGCAAACCAATACCAGCAGGAGCATTCATTGTCAAATACTGTAACCATCTTTCAACAACTTCAGGATGAGCATCTTTGATTTGAAGTAATCGCTTGTGTGTCTTTCTCTCAAAGTTTTCTTGTGATTTTTTATGAACAAAAGGGGATCGAATCACTGTCCAACGTGAAGTTTGAGTGGGCAATGGGACTGTACCAGAACATGGCATGCCCATATGAAAAGCTGCGCGGCGAGCGAAATCAGCGAAAAAATCAAGTTGTTGAGGGAGATATCCTCTTAATTGAACATTACAGACAGGAATATCATGAGTAGGTGTAATACGCTTAGGTACTATATATATATAGGATTACTCAGTAAATACACACACATATATATATATATATACATGACTATCTATACCTTCAAACACTTGGCTGAATTCTTCTTTTACTTCAGTTGCTTTAGGTAATTCGAGAACAGGACTATCGGTTGCTGATACTTCAGGTGTAGTTGTGCTATAAACCATGTTAATAGAGATAGACTGGAGTAGATACATACGTCAAAGAACGAAAGGCTTGTTGAATTCTAGGTGTAGTTCTAATTATTCTCGACTGTCATGGATGAATATACTATGAAACAACTGTATTCTACTTACTGTAGACAACATAGTGTAAGAAAGAAAAAAAAAGGAAAGGGTAGATTATAACCCTGCGAAGCCACTATGATATATGCCAAATATCAGTGTCCCCCCGGAGAGTGACTTGTTTTAAATCAAGTTGGCTGCTATTCAATCTTGACAGTGATCATCATAAAGAGGGCAAGAGAAAGGCTTGGCGATGATTATGTTGCATCGTTGAGAGTAGACAGTGTTTGAAATAAGGAAAGGAAGCTATTCATTTAATAAAGCTTTGTCTTGAGAATAGATTGGCATCATGCAAAATCACTCTTACTCTTCTTTTTTTTTAAATTTCTATTTCACAACATGACTTCCATCTATACTTATGTTTGAGTAAACAAGAAGGTATTGGCGTGTTAAATGTGTTTCTATCATCATAGTCAATGCAGTTGTATGTCAATTTACTCTAGGATGCTATGTTGTGACTGCAAATCGTGTGGCTGGAATTGACAGCTGTTACTTTTACTTGATGATGTTCTCTCGAACCCTCTTTTTTTTTTAATTATTTTTTTAAAAAAGAAACTTCTATACAATGGCTGTCGATCCTTTCTTTGCAAGTACTCGTAAGCGTAAGAGACCAACAAAGACTACTTCAACTGGACCCAAGAAGCCATCAAAGGGTCGTCTCAACAAAAAACAAGACAGCGACCTTGAAGACGACAACGATGATGAGGATCAATTCAACGCCAATGTGTCTGCTGAAAGCGAAGCCGAATCTTCAGAAGAAGAAATCGTAGAGACTGCTGCTGAAAAGCGTGTTCGTCTTGCTAAAGCTTACTTGAACAATATTGAAGAAAGTTTAGAAGGTAAGATGCCATGGAATAAACAAGTAATAACTCTATTTAGATGGCGATGGATTCGATGCAGCTGATCTTGACCGAGACTTAATTGCAGAGCGTTTAAAGAAAGACGATGTAAGCTCCCCTTTTTAGGATGATTGTGTGTACTCATTTGATATTTAGGATGAAAGCGAAGGTCGACTTCATTTACGCATTGCAGATACAGTGAGTAACATACACTCTTATATAGAACAAGATGCTTATTGTTCTTGTAGTTTAAATTAGACAACATTGAGGCATTAAAGACACACACAACGCGCGGTCATCAACTTGCAGTGACAGCAGTTGCATTATCCGAAAATGGATCCATTTACTATTCAGCTTCAAAAGATGGATCTATTGTCAAATGTAAGCAAACCGCTCTCTATACATAAAAATCATAACTGTTTTATTTTAGGGGATGCAAAGACATTTCAAAAACTACACACATTTCTCGGTGGAAGAAAAGGCGTCAAGAATTTTGATGGACATACAGACCATATCTTGTGTCTTGCAATAAGCCATGATGGTCAATATCTTGCCAGTGGTGGTAAAGATAAAGTGATCAATCTCTGGTCCGTCAAAGAGAACAAGCACATTGCCAAGTTCACTCAGCACCGAGATACTGTCTCTGTAAGTAAGAAAACAGGACAACCGACATACTCATTATCTTTTTTTAGGGCCTTACTTTCCGTAAAGGACAAAACCAGTTATATTCTGCATCTCATGATCGTACCATCAAAGTATGGAATATTGATGAACGCGCTTATATAGAAACATTGTTTGGTCACCAAGACCAAATCACAGATATTGATACCCTTGTTCGAGAGCGTTGTGTATCAACAGGTGGTAGAGACAAGACAGCGAGAGTATGGAAGATTGTGGAAGAATCACAACTAGTGTATAGAGGTGGTATTTCCACTAAAAATGAAGACGGTAAACTGCTATATCTTGAAGGTTCACTTGATTGTATATCACAAATCGATGAAAGTATGTTTATTACTGGTGGTGACAGTGGGTAAGTGTATGATAAGACAAAAAAAAGTGTAGGTTGTTCATTCTTTCTAGTGTTATTTCATTATGGGAATTGAACCGTAAAAAGCCAATGTACTCAGTCTCTATGGCTCATGGATTAAATACAGTCAAGAGTGAAACAGAAGGCGATATCAACACACCTTATTGGATTACAGCTGTTGCATCTCTAAGATATTCTGATCTGTTTGTGTCTGGATCTTGGGATGGTTATGTGCGTCTTTGGAAATTAGCAACTGACAACAAGAGTTTTAGTCAAATTGGACAAATTCCTGTTGAAGGGGTTGTTAACAGCATTCAGATCAAGACAGCTTTTCCTTCAAAACGTACACTTTTGGTTGTGGGTGTTGGTCAAGAACTAAAGTTGGGTCGTTGGATTCGAATGAAGGGTGTCAAGAATTGTACAAAAGTAATTGAACTTGAATTTTAGAGAGAATAAACATTTATATATACTATAATTCTAAGGACCAAGGATTCTTTCCATTCATATCCTGTTTGATATCTACACCCATTAATTTGATAAGAGCCACATCCATTTGGCCTTCAGATTCATCTAATTCACCTTCACCCATATATTCTACTATGTTGTGTTCAGTTTCATACACTTTGACCTTGTATAGTCTGGCTGAACTGGATCTCCATGTTTCGTTTCTTAGGAAATGATACTGAAAATTCCACCAGATAAACACGGCTAAATTCTCGGTAGTACTAGATATAAAAAAAGGGGGGAATGTTGGCCATTCTCTTTGCTGTCGTATGACTTACCTTGCTTTCTTTTTAAAAAAATCAACATCCAAATCCTACAAATATAAGTATACTTTTGTTTTTTGTTGGTTGTGATGTTACCAAGTTTCTATGATCTAAAGGATCCATCACAGACAGCTTTATACATTCTTTTAGATCAACAAGATTCATAACCATGCCAGTCAAGGGATTCACTTCACCTTTCAAAGTGATCTCAACTATGGGATCATGAATATCGTCATGTACCTGCTTAACTCTACCTTTATAGTTATGTCCATGAAAATGAGGATGATTACACTTGCCATATACGAGTTGGTTTTCTTCTGTTGTGAGTTGAGGTGAATGAAGTCTATGAGCAGCAGAGAATGTCTCTGAGCGTGTAATGTATGTAATGGGTGGCATGAGACAAGGAGAAAAAAAAAAAGAAAGAACGCAGTAAAGGACTTTACAAATTTATAAACGTGAGAAATTACAGTTTTAATCTCCAATGTTCTATTGCATTTATCAGGTAAGACTCAAAATCTAGCCAGAAATGATCAGCTTCCTCTATCACGCAAACACTGTCTTGTGGATAAAACTGCTTGATAGTACCGACTCGGGTGAATTGATCTCGGTCACCATGGATACACAAAAGACGAGTAGGATTGATGGGTGGCACTCTTTTAAAGAAACTAGCCTTGACTGTTGCTAATGCCCATAAAACACCCAAGGGTACACTGATAAGTAAATAAGCACAAGGTACGCTTGGGGGTTTCATTGTACCAGCAATCATGGCACCAAAAGAATAGCCCTACCATATTGATGTCAGTTGTGAAAGACAAGGTGCATACATACACATAGAATCAGGCTGTTTATCTCGGGAAATATGTCGAGTGTATTGTGATCCAGTGCATAATGAATAACTGCTTGATAGTCTTGTCTTTCTGGCATGCCTGTCCAACTTGTTCTGCCTTTGGAGTTACCACAACCACGAAAGTTCATACAAATGGCTACATAACCTTTAGATATAAAGTATCTCTGTAAAGCAATCACTACATTGTTCTTCATGTTTCCACCTTGCAATCCATCAATACATCACTATGCACAATCGTGTTTACTTGCATACCTAATGGGCCATAAGGATGTGCAATGATGATACCAGATGCTGATGCTTGTTCTTGCCTTGTTGCTGATGAACTCACAACTATTTCTATAAGGGTTTTATCTTGTTCTGACTCGATAAATAGGGTTTGCAAGACCATCTTGAAGATATATACAAAGAAAAAGAAAAATATGGAAAACTCCCTAAACCAGTAGCCGAGATGATTTTCTGTTAAAATCTTTTTTAAAGCAATTCATATAAAGTATTTAATGTTTATTATAAAATAAAATAAAATAAAAAGAAACTAGTACTTTAGCCAAATACTTTCAAGTATTTGTTACCAGGAACTAGGGCGAGGACCTAAACTAGTTTCAATTGAGTTCCCAAAAAAAATAAAAAGTGCCAGGCACTCAACTATATCATTAAACATCATTGCTCATCCTTGCGGAAGAACTAGTCCAGGTCAATTACCACTTGTCAAATCTGGCATGACTCCTTGACAAGAATCCCAAAGAAAGTTTACCTCGCTTAGTCAAAGAGCTCCGGAAGTCTCAAAGACAAAAGCTTCATGAGTAAACTGTCTTCAAGACGGATAACCAACATGATATAATTGTTGATTCCCATCATAGGGTTTGCCTTAGTCAATTGTCACTATCAGGATTTCATATCAAAATATGTTGCCAAATTGATAGTTTATCTATAGAAAACTAACCTTAAGCCCTAGACTGAAGAGTAGCCACATTCTTCAATTCTAAAGCAGCTAGTTTTGAATAGACCAATTTCACTAGAAAGCAAATAGCACTCGCTCTATAAGAACAGGCCTTTGTTCTTACAGGAGACAATCTACCCAAATGCATGAATAGATGAGCACTACAGATAGTACACATTCTCTGTCTGATAGCTGTCCCTCCCCCCATAAAGAGAGAGTTTACCAAGAATAGACACCACTCAAACAAATAGCACTACTACCGCCAGACTTAAACCTAGTCTATGTAAAAGAACGTTTCTCTACAATCATCAACTAGGTATCCGAAGGGTTTATGCTGATGAAGAGTCGAATGGACTATAAGCTACATCACTCACTACCGCATTGACGCACACACCTCACAAAGAAGTAAGGCCAGAACTATCACAGTAGCAAAAGCGAGCTATGGCTTACATCTGCCGTCACTCTATCCGATAGTTGTTTTCTCCTAAAGAAGAAAGGTGCCATGAATAGACAGAAATTCCAGTCAAAGACCAGACGGACAAACAGAACCATACAAGCGTTTATGTCTATCTTTACTTTCCCTTTGTCTCCTTGTGGGGGAAGACAAAAGTCAGTATCAATAAACACAAGGATTGCTCATATGCAATATAGAAGACATTCTTATATTCTCTCTTGGATTCATACAACACCAAAACAAGAGGGAGGATCACACAAGAGTCAGACAAGGCCTGAAGCGAACATAAGAAGAGGTCATCATACCAGTGCACTATGTTTGTGATCGTCTTCAAGTGTTGTTGTAATACAACAAGTGCAAAAAAAAAGGACAAGTCCTTTTCTCTTTTTTTAACTGGCAACAAGTATGTAGTTTTCTCTATCAAATTGACGTAAAACCAATAAAGGCAGAGCTATCTTGATAGAAGAGTAGCATCAACTAGGTGATCAACCAAGTGAGAGGCAACAATACCATAAAGGCGAAAACATAATACTTGCTGATGAGAACAAAGAAGTTGGAAAAATAAGTAAGCAACGCGTATAATAAAAGCAGGGAGGGGATATTTCAAACACAGTCAATTACATAGCTACGTCACTTACATAGTTACGTCACTCAAACGAGAGTCAGTAAGCTGTATCATGTCTCTAGTTGCCTAGCAACGCTTCAATATATATGATTTCATGCTTTGCAGGAAGTCTGTTTGATCCGCAAATGAAACTCCCAATCGTTCAGCTTTTATTAGAACTCAGTGTATGGTATCACAATTTAAGCTTACAACAGCTACAAGTCTTTATACAATGAATAAATTACTAATCGATTGAGCATTGCTTCAAAAGGCATACGAACCAAATAAAGCTTTCAATACAACTCATCTATGTTGTGCTCGTTTATCCCAAAAAATGACTCCCAAATCTCATGATACAGTGAAGAATTTTAATCATATAGTTATTCAGTTTATGCCCATCTCTAATAGAGAGAAATCCTGAGTTTAGATTAGAAATTCAAGAGAAATGATCAAAACTGCTTTCCACCTAACAACCCAACCCACAACATGACATCCTCCAAAGGGCGTCGTAACAACAAAAATGCACCCAAAATCTGGTCACAAGTAGCGGCTAGAACTATCGTGTCTGCTAATCAGTCGTCATCATTGGCTGCCACAGCTTCATCTGCACGCACTTCTGGTTCTTCCCAGTCAAAATATGCTAGTAACAGCACTCTTTCTTCAGGAACCATTACGCCTTATATTGTCGGTTTAGAGAAAGATAGTGTTTTGATTGATATCACTAATATCCGTGATGTAAATGACCTTAAACAGTTTCTTGGGTCACTCAATACAAATGAAGAGTATTATTTCTTTGACACTTTACTTGTTGAGCGCAAGTATTTACAGAGACGCTTTATTGAAACATGCTGGGATATCAATTCAGAAGTGTACAGTAAATTGGTCAACTCTGGTTTGCAGATGGAAGATAATACGATGATCAAAGGCTACCACAGCTTGCCCCAAACGCCAAAATTGCTCGAGTTAAGGTTGAACGACTCCCCCTCATTCGTCCTTCAACTCTCCGCGAGCAAATGAAAAAACGTTTTTCCCATTTTGGTGAAGTCCTGGATCTGGGATTTCATATGGACGGTGCTGTATTTTTCGGCTAGGAGATAGTGAAGTAGAAATCATTGAATCAGACGGAGAGAATGATGAATATCTCCAAAACATTCCAAGCAATAATCCAACCCAAGAGGCTTTGGATTTAAAAAAGCTTATTCAGAAGCGTAAAAAGATCAAATCCAATCGTAAAGATGAGAGACAAAAAGTGGTACCAAATCATAATACAAGTGGATCAGCAGGTATCTCTCCTGACTTTTAATAAGTCAATCTATGCCCAAAGACTCTATGCAAATTGCCACATTTAATTGTCGTGGCCTTACGAAAATTTCAGATCCTTACAAACAGTCCTTGTTCATCCGCTTTCTACGTTCAACTAAATATGCCATTCTATGCTTACAAGAAACACACGCATCTACACTTAATATACAGAAACAGCTCAATCTCAAGTTCCAGACTAAATCCAGTCTTTGGACAGAACATTGTGGCATTGTTTCTCTAAAATCTCACTACAAAATTACAGCACATCCCACCATCAATTCTTTCGATGACCGCTTTCTCTTAGCGTTTATCGTTCATGCCTCTGAACCATCCATTCCTTTTATGTATATCCTCAATATTTATGCTCCTGCTCATCGTAGTAGTCGATCCACATTCTTTCGCACGTTATCCGCCACTTATTCCTTAATATCACATCTACAGTCGATGTTCTTGCCTATCATTATTGCTGGCGATTTTAACTATGACATTTATCGTAAATCCAATATTGATCCGTGCTGGAATGATCTACTATTCACTTCATTTCAAGATTGCTTTCAAAGCGATCCTCTTCCCATATTTGTTAGTACCACTGGTAGTCGCACACATATTGATTATATATGTTGAAAATGTAATTTCTATGACTCAAAGTTCCGTCAACTAGTGAGCTATCCTTCAAAAACGTATTTTCTGTTTTTGAGCCGTAGTGTACACTTTTTGTAGTACTTTTGTAAATCTAACATTTTGAGTGTGTTTTATAGACTTAGAGAAATAATTCGTACTGATACATGTCATGTCTACAATGTCTCTATAGCTCACAAATCGAAAAATAGTGGAAATCGAAGATTTGTTTTTTTTTATGGATGAATAGTTGGTAATGATCAACGCTCAAAGCGATTACGTCCAGGTATAGCTGGGGAAGAGAGAAGCGGGATGAGTGTTTGAAATATAAATTGATAGCATTTAGCCATATACCGTTGTTAGCCATACATGTAAACAACATGTGCTCTAGAGTTTGGGATAAACCACAAAATACACACTTATCATCTGGTAGTTGCAAGATGGAGGCGGTAATTGTCTTGCTGGAGATTTTGTTGTGCAAAAGACGATACCGCAGGTTCCTCGTACGACCTGGAATCGAAATCCGAAGGAAACGTTTAAATCAGGTAGTGTTTATGCTAGCCTTTATTGACTGTATATCAGGAAGATGTCTTGAGTACATTTGGCGGAGCTCAGAGTTGTTGAAATTGAGGATTGAACAGTCGTTATAAACAAATCGTTGTAGGCATGGTTCAAAACTAACCGGTAAATAAGGATCCGATGGACGAATCAAATATTCTTGCAAAAAAGGCAAGAACAGCAGCGAACCATCTTTGTGTGCCTTGTGAATCCATGACAACAGTACAGGGCTTTTGCATTCTTGTCTTTTTTTGAATCGGAGCAAGATGCTTTTTGCAATTGAATGGTTGCGCTATCCAGGATTCGAGGACATATTTGCCCAGGTTGGCACAGACCAACAAAGGGGATTTCCAGACATACAGATAGGTTGAGCTTCCTATCATCCCAGAAGGAAGGGAGAGGATAACCATTTATTGCTTTAAGAATGACAGAGAGAATCGAAGATTTGTAAAAGGGATCATAAGGGCAAAGCGACGATTTTTTGACTTTTTCAAAACTTGCTATATTTTTCTATAAATATGTTCTTTTATTATGCTCAAACATAGGAAACTCAAAAAAAAAAGGGTATGAAAAAGCATAAATTGAGCATCAAAAGTATGTTGGGTGTGTAATGCGCCAAACGATATTAAAAGTTATTTAGTAAAGATTCAATTTTTTATAACTCAACGATTAGAGCGCTTATACTTCCATTGCTTTATACAGTATTTACTTATTATTTGATTTACTTGGTTTCTAGGATCTATTCTTTTCAAATAAAGTGTAACAAGTATATCGATTTTATTAAATTCGAAATTCTAAATAGTATTCTACCACTGAGTGATGTCCACTTCAGCTTCACCAAACAAACTAGTCTTAGTTGCCTTGATCTTTTCTGCTTCTTCTGCTTCTTGTTCAGAAACAGTACTTGTATTGTAAATCTCTGGTAGCACACGCTTAATAAAACCAAGGACATGGCGATTGATTTGATCAAATTCAAGTAAAAAGCCATCGTGTCCATCTGGAGAATCTATCACAATCATTTCGGTATCTGCCATGCCTTCTGCCAACTCATATTGTTCAGAAATAGTGAACAACCCATCTGATTCAATACCAATCACCAAAGCTGGTTGACGTATAGAAGCCAACACATCATGATAATCTTCTCTTCCACGCGATATATCGTGCGAATCCATTTTGCGTGTGAGAGCAATGTAACAATTGGCATCAAATCGATTGATAAACTTGGTGCCCTGATAGCGAAGATAAGATTGTGCTGAAAAGACAAAAGGTGTAGGCATAGAAGGGTTGTTGATGGTATCTTCTTTAGCTTCGACAGGTGGACTTGAGGCTCGATGACCGTCGTTGTGAATCATACGGTTGGCTTCACCAGGTGAACTAGGACGACGCTGCAACGATTTGAGTTCGGCTGCCTTACGACCAAAACGGGATTCAAATGAATTACGTGATCTGTAAGTGAGTAAAGCAGACATACGAGCAGCAGACAAGCCTACAACAGGCTGATTATCATCGGTATAATAACCATCCACTACAATGCATTAGTGAATATATACGTTTTGCTTCGAGCTTACCATAATTGGGATCACTATAAATGGATTGACGTTGTGCTTCACCCCAACTAATACCCCAAGCAGAATGGCGGCCTGAAGTAGCAAGAGGTACAATAGCACGAACATAATCTTGGCCAAAATGTGCCCATTCCAACACTTGCATACCTCCCATAGAGCCACCAATACAGATGGCCACTTGCTTAACACCCAAGTGGTCTAAAATAAGGCGATGGATTTGAACATCATCCCGAACACTTACCAAAGGGAATTCGGGGCCATACTTATCACCTGTTTCGGGGTTGATTGTCAAAGGGGATGCAGAACCATAAGGAGAACCAAGGACATTACAGCACACAATAAAAAACTTAGTTGGATCAAAGGCTCTCTTTGGTCCCATCAGTGGTCCCCACCTACTTTGATTAATATGTACATTTTCTATGTGTTTTCATACATACCAATCTTCCACATCAGCACTACCAGTAAGTGCATGACAAATGACCATACAATTATCTCCTTTTTCATTTAATTTTCCCCATGATTTCCATGCGACTGGTACATTCATCATTTTCACACCTGATTCAAGTGTGTATTCTGGTATAATAGTGATGTTTTGATCAGGTATGAGTTTGACTAATTTGTTCTTTGCTTCTTGAGGTGGTAACTCTTCAAGTGTTACATAAGTTTTGTATTCTTGCATGATTTTTACAATTAATTTTTATGAGAGTCTAATGATATTCTAGCGTATGATTCGTACTGAAAAAAAAAGAGAAAAGAGAAGAAAGAAAGAAACAAGTGAGTAAACAAACGACATGTTTAACACTAAAAATCTTAATCTATGAAGCAGATGCTTGATTAACCAGTGATTGACCAATGCACCTGGCCAATCAAATAACTTCTGGATGACAAAATCTAATTCCATTCAAAACAGTGACGTGAATTCATCTTAATTTTTGTATTTATAAGGCTCCACCGAGTCAAAATGGAAAAAAATCATTCCTTCTTATTTAAACATTTGACAAATGTCTGCTGAGAATACAACTGAAAACACTCAAACTCGTAGACGCGGTTCTTCTTTTGCATTAACAAAGCCTAAGGTTCTCAGACCTTTTAATACAGCTGAAGTCAAAATTCTCTTATTAGAGAATGTGAATGCTACAGCTATTGAAGCCTTTAAAAAGCAAGGTTATCAAGTAAGTCGATAACGGACCAGACAAAAAAAAAACTCATATGTTTGTATAGGTTGAAACTTATTCTAAGGCTTTAGTGGGTGATGAATTGATTGAAAAGATCAGAGATGTGCACATTATTGGTATCCGTTCTAAGACAAAATTGACCAAGGCTGTATTGGACGAAGCAAAGAACTTGATGGCTATTGGTTGTTTCTGTATTGGTACAAACCAAGTTGATCTCAAGACAGCTGCTGATAAGGGTGTAAGTAAATAATCAACATCAGTTTGCTGAAGACTGACACACATCATAGATTGCTGTCTTCAATTCTCCTTTTAGCAATTCTAGATCAGTAGCAGAGTTAGTCATTGGTGAATTAATCACATTAGCCCGTCAATTGGGTGATCGTAACACAGAAATGCACCAGGGTATTTGGAATAAGGTGTCAAAGAATTGTTATGAGATCCGTCACAAAGTGTTGGGTATTGTCGGCTACGGTCATATCGGTTCTCAACTCTCTGTCTTGGCTGAAGCTATGGGTATGACTGTCTACTTTTATGATGTATTGCAAATCATGCCTATCGGTCAAGCCAAGCAAGTCGAAAGTTTAGAGGAGTTATTAAGCATTTCTGATTTCGTATCCCTCCACGTCCCCGAAACGGAAGATACAAAGAATATGATTGGTGAAAGGGAAATTATGACACATATGAAGAAGGGATCTTATCTTTTGAACAACGCCCGTGGCACTGTTGTTCAAATTCCAGCACTCATCAAGGGCTTAGAATCAGGCCATCTTGCTGGTGCAGCCATTGATGTCTATCCTAAGGAGCCTGCTGCTAACGGTCAAAACTTTGATTACTACCCTGAATTATTAGCTGCCAAGAACTTGATCATGACCCCACATATTGGTGGTTCTACTGAAGAAGCTCAAAGTATGATTGGTATTGAAGTCTCTACTGCCTTAACCAAGTTTGTCAATGAAGGTTGTTCTCTTGGTGCAGTCAACTTTCCTGAAATCGATTTGCGTGCCATTTCTCAAGAAGACAAAGACACTGTCCGTGTTCTCTACATTCACCGTAACATTCCTGGTGTCTTGAGAGTAAGCACTGACTATTTAAAGTATACCTTTGACTCATTTGTTATTGTAGGCTATTAACGAAATTTTTGCTAACCATAATGTTGAAAAGCAATACTCTGATTCTAAGGGTGAAGTTGCTTATGTGATGGCAGATATCTCAAATGTAACACAAGAACATTTGGAATCACTTTACAATGCTATTGTTGCTACACCTGCCAATATTAAGACCCGTGTCCTTTACTAGGTTATGGCTTGTGCAAAAAAAACAATTAATAAAAATAGCTATAGACACACATGATGCACACCATGGTTTATACATGCATGTCGTTTTAACCAATGATAAAACTGCATCGGAATAAGTCTTGATTTGGGAAATAAGTTCAGATCGCATGGCGACCTCCCTCCTTTACATATAAAAAGAGACTCTCTCCCTTTCCTATTTTTTCTTATAAATTATCATGACACGCTGGTTCATTCATTCATCTCTACGATTACGTTGGAAAGAGTCAAAACACTTATTAGATGGAAGATATAAACTCATACACTCACTCGGACAAGGTGCATCGGGTATTGTCTATCTTGGAATTGATGTCAAAACAAATCAACGTTATGTAATTCAATCCATTGTCCATACTTGTTATTGATCGTGTAACCTACGTAGGCCATCAAAGAATTAAGCAAGTCTCGCCTTTACCGTGTTGAATTTATGCAACACTCATCTTTCAGAAAAGATACAAAAAAACGTAAACTAAACAAACCAACTAGAATGATAGTGGATGAAGCAGATATCATGGCACAAATATCTCCTCATTTGAACATTATTAAATTAATTCAAGTTGTACAAGATCCAGAATACAATGACGATTCGATTTTTATAGTGATGGAGTTGGCTGAAAAAGGCGTGGTGATGGACATTGTTCCTCATGCAGTCATACAACCTTATTCAGATTATCAATCTAAAGCCATTTTTAGACAATTAGTGAGTGCTGTTAGTCATCGTAAGTGATTGATAGATAAAACAAGCTTTAACAATTTTAGTACATCAACATGATGTTGTACATCGTGACATCAAACCACAAAACTTGCTTATGACAAGTAATAACACACTCAAACTGATTGATTTCGGACATGCTACTCGTATCAAGGATATGAAAAAAACATTCCATAGTGTTGGGTCACCTGCTTTTATGGCACCCGAGTCGATAAAAAAGAAAGGTGATATATTTACATAAATGACATGTACTGAACAAAAGCAGTTTCTGAAGAACAATCAGCTTTGCAAGCAGATATTTGGTCTATGGGAATAACACTTTACTGCCTGGTCTATGGTCGTTTACCATTTGAGAAATCAAGCCTTTTGGATCTGTTTGATGACATTCAAAATAAAAAGTAAGCGGATACATATCAAACTTAAAGCCAACTAAAGCACATTTTTAGAGTACCTCATTCAGACACAATAGATCCCCAACTAAAACACTTGATTAATGGAATGCTCGAGAAAGATCCAAAAACAAGATTTACAATAAAAGACATTGAGGTATTCTGTACTTTAACGTTGCATTTATTCATTTTATTTTATAGACTCATGTTTGGTTGTTATAGAAACATTATGCTATGCTATTTTTTTATTTGTATGATTATGCTTTCTTTTTATATGCACAGTAAAATAACTTTTATGCCCCTTTAATTTTGCTTTAATATGCTTTATTTCTTCTTTTCTTCACCAATATGTAATCCAAATACATCTACATCCCAAGAATAAAATGGATCACCCAATCTTTGTTGAGATTGATCTTTAATAAGTCTGTTGATTTCATCCATATCTTGTGTAGATAATTCAATTCGTTGCAAGTTAGAAATAATACGTAAAGGTGTTACTGATTTAGGAAGTACTCCATATCCTCGCTGAATACCCCAAGCTATCAAAACTTGTGCAGTTGTGGCATGGTGTCTGTTTGCCATATCCAACTACAACATGTATGAGGGACTAAATTAAGTCATAGATTCGCTTACAATGGTTTGATTTTTCATAATGAGAGAATCGCTGCTTCCAAGGGGAGAATAAGCAGTGACAACAATGCCATGACTTAAACAGTAGTCAATCAATTCTTGTTGAGGTAAAAGAGGATGTACTTCAATCTAGTATTTTAAACAACTGGTTATAAATGGGACTGAAAAAGTACCTGATTGACGGCAGGATAAATAGTGGCTGTCTTGGCTAGTTTTTCTAGGTTCTCGATACTGAAATTGCTTACACCAATGGCTCGTACTTGGTTACTTTTAACTAACTTTTCCATTTCCTATGTTTAGTGTCAGTATTCTGTCTGTCTAAATTAATTGATTATTACCGCATAAGTCACTGTAAAATCAGTGTCATCCAAAAGAATGTGTCCATTCTCATCCCTAGGTTGTTTGACATCTGAAGGTTGAAAAGATACAGGCCTATTCTACATGAATATATGTGATATCCACGCGAACAAAATCATACCAATGCATCAAATAGAGGTCTAGATAATCCAATTGAAGATTATCAAGTGATCTCTTAAGTGCAACTTGAACAAGTTCTGGTCTATGAAAAGTATTCCATAGTTTTGTAGTAATGAAGAGTTCTTCTCTAGGAACTCCGCTGTCTTTGATTGCTTGTCCGACTTCTTTTTCATTAGCATCTATTGTTTATTAGCTTTTTGAAATAAGTTTGGTTTGTGTACTTGCAAACGAAAGCAGTATCTATATGACGATAGCTATACAAATTATGTAAGTAGATGGCTGAGTCTTCTCAATAGCTTTTTCTTTACCCTGCTTCAATAGCTGTCTTGACAGCATGATAAACTTCTTCTGGCTTTGATCTCCATGTGCCTAACCCAATAGCTGGCATCAAAACGCCTGTATTTCTATTATATTTATATTAATGTTATTGTTAGTATCAAATAACACTTACAGCTTAAAATTCTGACGAAAGGACATTATAACAATGAAGAAAAGAAAAAGATAACCGATGCTTACACCGAGAAAAATGTGTCATCTGGGAAACGTTCTTACATAAGCATCGTCTCCGCTTAAATACAGATTTGTAGGTACACTTATAGAGAGCGAGTCTTATTAAGCAAGTAGTCAGCAAAATACTGAGCAATCAAAACTTGTATACTTATCAAGTGTATCTGTTTATTCCCGTTCTTTTTTTTTTACTTCTTTTCAAAAACCATTATGGATGATGTGGAAGCTTTAAGCCATCATGGTAAAAAGAAAGGAAATCCTTGTCAATGTAATACAAACGTTATTTTTAGAGATCAATTACTTTTTTGCCAGACTTAAGTCGAGAATTCCCTCATTGCCATTGATCAGAACTATTTTGAAAGCCTCTGTAGCAGTGACAATTAGTTTGATCTTTGTTCTTGTCGATTCAACTCGTCATGCTATTGGACCGGCAAGTACGTTGGCTACCTTATCTACGTTGCTTTATTTTCCTGTGAAACCTATAGGTAAAATAATTCAATTGATAAAATAGAAAAAAGAAAAGCTAACACAAATGTACTTTGAAATAGCTATACATATGAAAGCAAGTAAAATGTTGTTTTAATCATTTGTACTTACTTTGAACAGATAGCATTACAAGGCACATTAAGCGCAGCTATTGGCGGAACATGGTGTCTTTTAGGTAATTATCTCGCTAATTTAGCCAGAGATCCAGCTGTTGCTTCTCCTATACAGCCTGGAGCATGTGCAGTATCAGGTATTTTCTGCTCTATTTTGATATTCGTTATTGCCTATGTGAGATCAAGATATCCTCAAAGTAAGTATGTGATGCATACTATTCTGGAATTCATTTCATCTAGTGGCTTTTGCTACTGTTTTTGCTGGCATGATTGGCTCGTTTGCATTAACGCAAAATGTGGCAACACCAGGTTTCAAACCCTCAATAACAGTAAGTTGATAATAAACGATAGACTTACTGATGCTGTTCTAGATTAATTTTATGATGCCAGTTTTATTTGGTACAGCCATTTCGCTCATGGTCAATTTATTTTTGTGGCCAGAGGATGCATTCTCGAGTCATATTGAAGTACTTAGCAAGACATTAGCAGAATATAGTGCATTTTTTGAAGAAAGTACAGTTTCATATCTCGATCAACAGCCCAACACAACAACGTCTTTTACTCAACTAAGAACAAGACTTCAGAGTAAATTGATTCATTTAGTCGACAGTCAGCATACAGTTGAATATGTTGTTCTCTTTAGTCGCTTATCTCAAAAAGACCTACATCAAATCACACACCGTGTTAAAGAGATGCGTACACCTTTACATGGAATTGGTGTTGGTTTAATTTGCAGGCAGAAGAAGAATTACCATGAAAAATTGGATTCTGAACTTGACAAAGCGACACAAGATCTAATAACTGCATGTTCTGCAGCCATGCAAGAATGTATTCAAAGATTGGATGGATTCAGGATAAGTCCTCGTTCTGTCTATAGTACTATATTTTGGCCTTTTCCACGTCTGTTTGTTTCAACCAGACCCAAGCCTAAAGCATATACCATGTCCTTTGAGAAAATGGAAAATGTGATTGCGCAATATGAAAAAGAAACAAAGAAATGGAGAAATAAAACTGAAATGAAGGACAAAGTAATCAAGCAAGTCGACTACTTGTTTCAGTTCAATCTGCTGGGTTACGCAAATAGTATTCAGTCCTTGGTTTCGCTTGTGGAAAGCTTGGATGTAACTAGACCCAACAAAAGAAGATTATGGTTTCCTTCTGTTTCTATCAAAAAGTGGTTTCAGCCTTCTGTTAGTAATAAATCGCAATGGGGACAACAAGTAAATCCTCAAATATCCCTGACAGAATCAATTGGTTCGAGCATCCAGAAAGAACAAGAAGAAGAAATGTTTCTAACCAGAACAGAGCGAGTGTGTCCTCGTGATCCAGATGTAGATGCTCCTGTCACACGTAGGGAAAGGTTTTTCCACATGATATATCGAATCATGGATGGATTCTATAGTATCGAAGCTGTGTTTGCATTCAAGACAACAACAGGCTTTATGTTACTTTCGTTACCTGCTTATTTGCCTCAAAGTGTCGGTTGGTTTACTGGCTGGGGAGGCCAATGGGTAGCCAACACTTTATTGATGTGGATGTTCCCTATGGCGGGCATGTTCAATTTTACGCAAGTGTGGAGGCTAAACTTTATTTTCAGGCAACTAACAAAACCTTATAGGATAATATTAGGTTTAATGGGTTCTGTGTCCGGGTGCATTCTTAGCATTGTTTTATGGGAAATAGTGCGTGGCAACCCTTATGGAATAGCAGCACTCTCTTTCCTTACAATAACGTCATTTCAATATCTATTCTTTACAAGTCAGATTTATAGTTACTTATCTGTTATGACCCTGTATACATATCTGATGGTAAGTTCCTTTTTTTGGGGTTCCCCGCATTTTCCAATGGATTACCGCAACTTTGATAGGTCACTACTACAGGCTATCAAACAGCAGTGGGTGGGGCGCTGGAAAATGACATCATTGAACTGGCAGCTGGCAAGGTAAGAAACGACAATCACATTCTAGACTAGACCTAAGCAAAATGTATATAGAGAATGGTATTTGTTGTGCTAGGTATCATTTGCTCATTCTTGGTCAATTTGGTACCACGTCCTGTGACAGGTCGAGTTGAACTTCGTAAACGTGTAGCAAATACATTCAAGGACCTGGCAACGCTTTATGGTATTATCTTTGCTGATATCCTAATAGATCGACCAGGGACTCCATATCCAAGTCTAAATCAAGTTAAAGCATTTCGACAATTAGCTCTGCATATTCAGCGGCAATTAAAAGACCAAGAAACATACCTAAGATTATCTAAGCTGGAACCCCCTTTGCGAGGGCAGTTCCCATTTGCAACGTATCAGTCACTTATTGAGAAACTTAACAACATGGCTGATTTAGTTGAAGGCATGGCCTATACTGCTCGCTCATTGGATAAGACATGGAAGCGACCCTTGATCGCCGTTTTAGACCAAGGAAAATTCGATTATGTTGCTTGTCTATTGACTGTGATGCGCCAATTATCTGCCACGATGATCTCTAAAATGCCCTTGCCACCTTATATGATCTCACCTGATGACTTGAAGCATCAGTTTTCAGAAAACCTATGTAGAGTAATTTCAGAATATCCTGAACAAGTTCACAATGATACGTTTCCTAGCTACTGCGCTTACTCTGTAGCTTCTTATACTTTCACACAAGAACTAAATGATGCGGCTGCTTGTATAGAGAACTTAGTAGGCGTTGAAAACCCTCAGCAATGGCTGTACATGCATATCTGATAAACACATATAAATTGACACAAAAAAAAACTATTTGTTTGTAGCTCATATCGAGATCACATTGAAGCAAAGAGCCAATTTAGCCATGTTTTGTTCTCTAAATCATGTGCTTGTCTTATAGTGTAGTGGTTTGTTTGTATGAAACTTGGTTCTTTGCATCATTTAAAGAAAGTTCTCTTTTTCTGGTTATTTTATTATAAAACAACGTTCGTCAGCCTAAACTGATCAGCCCGTGTATGCACATATGTAATCAAAGGGGCTTCTCAAACGAAATACGTTGATCAACCGCAACTTTATAAACAATCTTTTTTGTCTAAACTTTGAATAGCCTGAGTAACCTTTGGATTAACGTTCGAGAGGCCTTTTTCGTTTTTGTTGTGATAAATACTTTTACACAATCTGCCATGTGGATTCATTCTTTAACAAGTGCCTGCATAATCACAAACCATCTTCTATTGCAATAACTTTTGTCCGGCGTCGCTCCGGCAGTTGCTCTGACTAGCTCCTTTTCACATCACGCATAGAGTAAACTTTAATCCAATTGTACTCATGACTTTTTGCGCGCAAACCTTTAACCATTTTTTTTGTTTTTGTTTCCGCAATATAAATATAGCAAGGTAAAGCTGGGAAGGAGCAGGGAGAACCCTTTAGTGATTAAATCATACGGATCACGTTGATGTGTTAAAAAGTGAAAATGGCGCATATTCAAAATAAACAAGTGCTCTTTTTATTATGCCGTGCTATCTTTCCAAGAAGCATTTTTTTTTCTGTCGTCTCAAACATTTTGCAAAAAAGAAATTACTCTCTAATTGGGACAAACGGCTTTTTATGGAAATAAAAAAGTGATCTCGCGTGAGTCTTCAAAACTTATTTAGAACTTAAAAAGTATAATTGGCGTACGTATACACAAAGCTTCAAGTTGGATCGACTAAAAAGTAGTTTGATTAACAAATACAGATAGTGCACCAATAAATATACAAATAAACCAAATCTGAAACTTCCCTTAAGAAAAAATTGAACAATTGGTTTACTTGTCTATACAATCCGACTTATCTTGGCCAATCCAAACAACCCGCTAGAACCCGTAACACTAAGAAAAAAATTAATATATAAATGAGAGGTTTTTCTAAAAAATCCTCTTTTTCCTTTTGATATATTTTTTCTCATTATAATACAATAACCATTTAGTAAACACATTCATTCTCTTTCTATTACATTTTGAGAAGAGGAAAACAATATGGCTTCATTAACAGTTGCGAACACCCAGGACGATTGCTTTTTCGAAAATGGTCGGTACCTTTCTTCGGGTCAATATTTTGTAGATGATCCTATTCCACGATCCATTTCACCTGACTGCTTGGACTCATCAACTCATCCCCATGACGTCCATAACCATTCTTCGTTTAGCGAACATCGAGGTTCAAATGACACTATTTCTTCGGTTTCCTCTTCAATTGCCACACCTTCCTCTTCACCCTCTACACCGGTGCCACCCGAAATTAATCCTAACCTCGCTAGACCAATTCCTGTCGTTAAGCCAAAAAAGAGACTCAGCAACGTTTTCAACAATGGCCTTTTTGGTAGTTTAAAAATGACACCAGCTTCACCAGGTTCATCTCTCTCGGTGTCCCCTGAAGCCAATGATCATTCAAGACGATTTAGTGCAGCCTCGATTCATAGTGTTAGTTCTGTTAGTAGCACAGCTAGCAAAATTGGCAGGTCCTTTTCCCGTATGATGAGTTCTTCGTTCAAAAAATCGCCTCCAGACATGACTTGTGGTTCCTTAGGTGTTGTTCCTTTGTTGACTGAAAAATACGGTGAATACATTAAGCCAGAACACCGTTCTACTAAAGGATTGGGGTCCACTTCCAAGAAAAACATTGCTAGTGGTGCTACAGCTGTGATTCGTCTAGTGAAACAAAGAACTGGTGGTCGTATTTTGGCAATTAAGGAATTCAAGAAGAAGGACAAGTCTGAATCTGAGCGGGAATATCAAAAGCGCATGTTGAATGAATACTGTATTAGTAAATCTGCCTCCAATTGCCCTCATGTTGTAGATACACTTGATCTTGTCAAAGACGAAAAAGGTCGTTGGTGTGTTGTCATGGAATACGTACGTTACTTTTTTTTGTGTTAATAACATCTTATCTAGACTGTCTATCTAACTCTTTATTTTTAGTGTGCAGGCGGCGATGTATTCAATTTGTTACATGAAAAACCTCATTTGGCTCCTGATGATATTGCTTGTCTTTTCAAACAACTCTTGTTGGGCTTACAATACCTGCATAACCTCGGCATTGCTCATCGTGATATCAAGCCCGAAAACCTGGTTTTAACGGCTACAGGAACACTTAAGATTGCAGACTTTGGTGTTGCTGATGTTGTTCAAAGCTGTTTTGAAAAAGAAAGCCATCCTTGTAAGAAATGGTGTGGTTCTGAACCCTTTTGGTCTCCAGAAATGTGGAAAATCAAAGACGATGCTGATCCATACGATGGTAAAGCCCTTGATGTCTGGAGTGCTGCTGCTACTTATTTCTGTATGCGTTTCCAACAATTGCCTTTTACTGCAGCCTTCTTCACAGGTCGCCCAGGTGGCCAACCTCCTCAAGGCGCTGTTCCTGGTTCACCAGCAGCTGTTGCCGCTCAAGCCTCTGATGGTGGTGATTTCGACTACAAGACTTATACCGAGCAACGACGTAAATTAGACCCAAGTGATTGTGATCTCTTTAAGAATTTCACTCAACCTGAAAGAGAATGTCTCGCTGGAATGATGGATCCTAATCCTGAGACTCGTTGGACTATAGAACAAGCTTTGAACTGTCCTTGGATGGTTCAATTTGAAGTCTGCCAAGATGGCAAGCTTTCCAATGGCTTCAATCACACTCATTATATTCCATCAAAATAGATTTCATTATGTATTGCATTCTTGTATTATCTTTAAATGTACCATAAAATGTATTATTATTATCCTTATTCCCTTCAATAAAAGAATTCATCATAGACGCCTTGTTTGCCCCAGCCGAAGAAAGTCGTGAGAAATAACTAAGTTTATTGTAGTAAATTAGAAGGTCAATCTGTTCCTCTTTTTCCATTTAGATACACACGCGCGTGTGCGGATCTTTATATTGGGTTTATTTTACTTTCAGGGAACTGTAACACCTAAACTTTTTTTTTCTCTTTTACCCACCCTGAACTTTGTTGCAGCCCATAATCATAATGAAATAACAAAATCTAATAACTACTACTTGATTGGTTCCTTGTAGACTAAAATATTGAAATCAGATAGAGTTTCTTCTTGACGAAATGGGGCGTCAAATCAAGTTGCTTACCAAAAATTACAATGATGTCAATACACAGTATGTTCAGAATTTAGCACTTTTCTTAATACCATATTTTCTATCAACAAACATTCACAACTTTATTTCTATAATGCCTTTTGTTTAAATTTACTAAACTAACAAGTTCTACAATTTCGATTTGTTCAGAAGAAAAACACCCAAACTTAGATAATCGGCCGACATCTAGGAAAAAAGAGACAAATTTGGTGTTTGTCCCGATAAGTCTTTATTTTTTTCATATTGACGTCTTTTTCTCCCCATACAAAAAAAGTGTGAGAGTTTTGATTTCTTGTCTAGACCTCGACATAATAAAGAGCAATAAGCCTACTTTATTTAATAGTCTTATATGATCATAAAGAAAGAAACAGGACTGTTGATTTGAACTCGATTTGTGCTTCTTTTTGTGTATTTCAACTTGTCAAAGAAGGAATAAGGCATTAATTTGTAGGAAATCATTAATTGACCTACATTATTGGCGAGAGGAGCTCTGCTATCAAGGTTCTTCTAGAAACACAATTGCCCATAGGAAATACGGTTTCCCTTTATCGTTCTTAAACGAAACCCCTTAAAGCAATTCATCCAATGAGGAACAAAATACAAGATGGCTTATAGTATCTGAACCTTCAGACTCACCTCAGACTAAAAAAAAAAACTACCCATTGAAAGTTTTGATATGCATAGGATGTAGTTTGCTACTTGGATTTCATTCTTTTATTTGTCTTTGGATACATGATCTGTAAAATCTTTGAGAAAAATGAACTAGTCATATTAGCTTTTTGAGTATTTTAGTAATACTTTATAGGCATTTGCAGCTAACTGGACTCTGATAAAGAAGTTGGTGTAGTCAAAAATAGTTCTAAACAGATAAAGTTGAGAATAATAAATGTCGTCCAATCTTATGTTCTCCTTTTTTTAAAGTGTAATGGGTAAAAGACGAAGAGTAGAAGACCACATTGAAAGTGCAGAATGTAAATTGCCGCTGCCTAAAGGCGAAAGAGGTTCAACCAAATCTTCTAGGATTAGGCCAAATGAAAACGAATTATACTTGGAATGACTCAAAAGATAAAGAATAAAAACGAAAGGTGCCGTCAGGGATGTATAAAGCATTTAATTGCCAGTATGGCTTATGTTGGACTAGTAATACTGGCAAACGTTTCAAATTAATATCCTTTTGCTATACAAGGAATACTTTTGTCAGAACTTTGAGAGGCTAGTAAACCAAGTCAACAACACTCCCAAACAAGAAGGAGAGGTAGAGTTATCTGAATCTGATGCCCAGCCAATGGAATAACATGTCAAGTCTATGGTAATGCCCTTACATCACCCGGTGCAAAGATCTTCCAGATCGATTGAAGTCCACTATAGTGAACAAACTCAATATCACCATGAGTCATTACTTTGATTTTACCTGTTAGCTTTCTTTTGTTCATCATTTAACTATGATAACTTTTGTGATGTCTAGTACTAGAGAATTTGATCAAGTATTTTTTGTCTAACTTCGAATGACTGATTACTCGTATACTCTCTCAGTCGATAAATAATTGAAAAGAAAACACACTCTAGCGATTATAAAAATGCATGTTTATTTATTAGAAAAAAAGACATTCAAACATTCTATAAAGAGGAATTAATTTACTTGTTCAATCAAAAATAAAGAAAACAAGATAAAAAAGCGTATCAGTGTATAAAGTAGCTAGTTTTGTCTTCAAGAAGTCAGACTGACGTGCAAATGTCTTATAAGGATTCATCACTAGCTTTCGTCTTGTCTTCTTTTTACATTATAGTTTACCTTTTTATACTGAAAGAAAGTGAAGAACAGGTCTAATCAAAAAATTTCTCTTTTATAACTTGACAGGTATATACAAAAAAAGCCACAATGTGACACTCTTTTTTGGTCGATGTCATTTTAAGAGTCCTCCCAATGATTGGCTTATCTATTTCGCATATAATTTTCAAGGTTGTATTAGTCACTCTTGTTCTCTTGTATTATTACTTATAATGAACGCTATTCGTATCGCTATTAGACCTACTAGACAATGTAAGCAACTTGTATAAGTAAAAAATTGCACTAATGTCTCCTAGTTGCTCGTTCTTTTCATGCTGCTCAACCTCGTTTGACAGGCAAGACCGTTGAAGCTACTACTTCCACTTGGGACCAACTTGTCACTAAAGCCGACCATCCTGTTATTGTTGACTTCTATGCCGAGTAATGAAGACAAAAAAAAAAGAGATGATAAGCATAATACTCATTTTTTTTAAATTTCTAGTTGGTGTGGTCCTTGTAAAATGTTGGGTCCCATTTTATCAAAGACAGTTGCTGCTAATCCTAAAGTTACTTTGGTTAAAATCAACGTAGATGACCATCAAGAAATTGCTGCTGATTTCAAGATTGCTGCTTTGCCTACTGTTTCTGCCTTCAATAAGGGTGAAGTTGTTGATAGCTTCGTTGGTATGCGTAATGCTGCTGCCATTGAACAATTTGTCAAGAAGCATGCTGATCTTGCTTAAATGCTGAATAAAACGTGTATTATATAATTATCTTCAATCTGAAATAAGAGCTTACATGACAAATTTTGCTGACAAAGAAAATGGTTAGAAAGCAAGATTTGCATGGCGTATTGTCTATCTCCGATGCCAGGGCTGATTTAGGATTTTTTTTTTGTTTTTGTTTTTCTCTTTCTTTATCAAAACCACTTCTTTTCTCAAACAAAAAAGTCTTTTCCTTTTTCCTTGAAGAGAAACGTGTTAAAGCACAATTCGAGGAAGTCATCCGAGTCTTTTTTTTTAAAAAGAAAAAGACATTTATGACGGAATAAAATAGTTAGAACAGACATCTGAGAGAAAGAAAAAGACGTCTTTTTTTTTGTTTTGAGCGCGATTTTGGTTTTGCGTAAGAGATAACCATTCTGTTTTTAGATGCTGTTGTACATGTAAACTGTTTTTATTTGATTGTTGACGAATAACCCTTTCGGCTTGAAAATATGAAATAATATACGTGTAAGCCAAAAAATGTAGTTTTCAATCCGAAGTCAAATAAGAACGCACAATTGTTTACGTGTATAAACACTCTAAAGGTTTAGTGTTTTCTCTTGAGTATAACAGATGATGAATTGATAAAGGCGAATATGATCTCTTCAAGAGAAATGAATTCGAAAAAAGAAATATTCTGATGTTATCATATATATGGCTTTATTTTCTGTGCAATCCCTCGTATTGCCCATTCCATAACTCCTTCTTTCCAAACAAGATCATGACCTTCACTCTCTAATATCTTGAGCCTCACATCATGAAAACTGTTTGCTAGGACATCAATGACTGTGGATGGAATTAATCCATCTTTATCTCCCCAGACAGCCGAGACTGAAGTCTTGACATCTGAGTAGTTAAAACCAAACAAATGGTATTTTTCAAGAGCAACCATGACATCGCATAATTGCCCCTGACTGTAATTCTCTGACATGCGATAATTATTCATCGCTAGATACAATGACATATGTTTGGGTCGAACAAAATGTCTTAGTGGTCGATCTGTTGGAAAATCTGTTGTGAGATCCGGCATTTCTTCTTCAAGTGATGCAAGTAGTTCGTCTTCTTCAAAAGCAACAGTCGTACGCCGAACTTTCTTGTTTGACTCTTGATGGGTATGGATTGTTTGGGTATAATCGATGCGCTTTTCGTCTTCAAGTGATGTACGTGTAGAATGGATGGTTGTATTACTGGTTCTATTGAACATCCACATTACATCAAGAGCTAATGATACTGTCTTTGCCACTAAAGGCGCAGGTAATCGGCGAGTCCATTTAAATGTGCCTGCCAATTGTGTTGACACCCAAGGTGAGATTAAGAAAATAGGACCAAGTACTCGTCTCGGAAATTGGTAAGCTACTGCTAAAGCAAATACTGAGCCTACAGACTGTGCTATCATACTAAACTGATCTATCTTGAGTTGATCTGACAATTGAATAATCACATCTGCCCATTCGAGTGCTGTCATTTTTTGTGAGTTGCATTCTTCACTTAGACCATACCTAAGAGAGAGGGGAGGGGGGGAGAAGGAGAGAGAGATCAATCCAAATCTGCTGTCTATTGAAGGAGGGCTTACCCAGGACGCTCAGGCCAGATCATTTTTAGTTGGTATCGATAAGCTAGTTCTTCAAACATAATGCCCACCATGCGTGTACAACCATAACCACCAATGACAAACACAGGATGGCCATGACTAGGTCCATACACTGCATACCCCACTCGATGAGACCTTAATCGAGCTTGGGGTGGTGCTTTGTATTCGAATGTCTGATGTAACCGAGATTCTCTCAGGACATCGACTCGTGGCACGGTAGTCCTTGATGATGAAGTACTGGTGCGAACATGGTCTTTATTAGGTATTGACATTAGTTGAGGGGAAGTAGCAGAGTGTTGAATAGGAGGCTTAAAAAGCATTTCTTTATTTGAAGAGGGTATGGGTGTTGACTTGGAGCCTTGGATAGAACGCAATGGTAAAGGTGCGTTCATGTCAAGTAGATGAAGAAACTTGAAAAGAAAAAAAACAGGAGTATACGCTGGGTTTTTATTTTATATTGATACATCTTGAACAATGCAGACTTTTTTGAATCCAATTCACCATTTGTTGTACTGTAGAATGCTTATTAGGCTGGCAGCCCTCTTCCTTTACTAGATGATCAAATGTGATATATAGTTCAATAGGTGCAAGATAGTATTCTGCGTGTTGTTTGTCACTGATTTGATACGTTAGTTTAAAATAAGGTGGCGCATTAAGAAATCCTGCTGACTTTTTTAAAGTGTGAATTCCGTTTTTTTGGAATTGAAGCCTATAGTTTCTCAGCTTGTTTCCATTTTCGTCTTTCTTTATTAATAAACTAGGGGAAGAATGTCGAGGAGGTAAAGTTTTCTTGGCCACATCATCCTGCTTCTCGCCAGTTTCGCCTTGATACGGTGATGAAGATGAAGCGCTTGAAAGACGACGATATCGAATGTCCTGTTGCATGTTATATGTATCTTTGGTATTCAAAAATCGAATGACAGGAATAGCTTTGTTAGTATAATATCGCCTTGCTTTCTGAGGCTGTGTAAGTATAAAACGAATAGTACGAGTGATTGGACAAAACTGACTGAATACAAACTGAGTTGTAATGCGGTTTTTGCCTTCTTGGTCTATGCTGATTCCAATTTGAATGGCAGGAAGTCGGTAATAATTCAAGACATGTAGAACCAATTGATTTATTCTTTTAGATATGCTTTGCATATTTCTGAGTGTTTCTAACGCGATAACAGGCTGTGAAAGGATAAGGATCATAAGTTCATCAGGTAATCGATCAAATGCAAGTCTATTCATCTTTATTATTAATCAGTTTATTGAAAGAATATAAAAGAGGAAAAGAAAAAAGAGAAGAAAATGCAAAATTTATACTGGCAATTTTTTTCTTCTTTTTCAGTTTGCCATCGACAAGTCCCTTAAAGTATCATGTGTTATATTATCGCTCGATGCAGACAATTGTATGAGATCATATACATTCTGATTTATCTATGTATGTGCACAATACTCTTTTGTCTTTTCTCTTTTTGTTAATAGCCTGTCAAATTCGAAAACTATCTAATTATGTTTGTATAGTTTTTTTGTTTAGACAAATATAATAAACCATGTGTGCAGTTGCGTCCAAACTTTTCATCTCATATACATGCATGAGAAAAGGGGAATCTTGCATAATACTAATACCAAAATCATGGGAAATTTTGTCAGGAAGCGTCTTATTGTTTAAGTGAAAGTGAAAGTGAAAGTGAAGTTCTAATTCTGGACCATACAATGTTGACATTAGACGATTGTATCCTCTATTTTTCTTGATCTTTGGCTTTTGTATAGCCTTTGCCAATGCCGAAAATAAGAAGAACTCGTTAGTGTACATGACAATGAAGCATAAATCATAATTTTAAAGACACACCTTGCAGCCTTAGTGTCGCTCTTAATTCTCTTGAAATGAATGGCTACTTTAAATTTAATATAATTACTATAATAAACGAGTATTGCTTTTTGTATTGTCAAACATATTAAAAAGATTTGCTTTTGCTTTTGCTGATTTGCAAAATAAGGCTCAACTAGGGTGTAATACAAAAACCTTGGTTTATGAAAACTCTGGTTAAATATCAAACCAAAATGACCATATATTTTTCACTGTAATAAAGAATTTTGGGAATTTCCTGTTAATAAGAGGAAGCATTGTTTAAGTATAATTCTTTTTTTCTTGTTCTTTGTCTAATTGCTATACTCGTATCTTATATCCTAAAAGAAGAAAAGCTTAACTACTACGGTTGTCAGACTTTTTCGGAATCTATAAGTCCAAACTATGCGTTCCAATTTTGAAGCATAAGCCCTAGAAACAAACGTTAAGGGTACATGTATTTATAATAACAAACAAGGCATTCTTCCTTTTTTTAAGTAAGTTACAAATATCATTCTTCATTGTGTAGGAAAAAATCATTATACTGCAGTTTTGTACGAGCTCCTTCCGAGATAAGCGCCCTATCATTTATCGGAAGGTTTCATGATCTTGTCCATCAGAAAACACGAAAGTGAGCGTGGGTTTCAGTCCACACTTAGAGAGCACCTAATTTATGATAGCCGCTTTTTGCAGGGAATTTTTATTTCAAAATTCAACGCTTTTCATTTTAGATTGGAGCGACGTTATGAAGAATACAAAACCCTCAAAATACTCACATTTGTCTCTCTACATTTCTGTGTTGTTAGTTTTTTCAACTGTATTAATAAAAAGTTATTTTGAAAGAAAACGACACCGAGTTACACAAAATCAGGGACACAGATTCAAATAGATATTGTTCCTAAGTTTGCTTTGACAGTTCTATTTTTATGCAAATGTAAGTTCTTGCAGTCTTTTCCACTTTTATTGATCCGTTATCGAGAATAGCAATACTGTGAGAAAATTCTCGAAAACTTACAAAAGTCATAGACACGACATTTAAAATAATTTACACCTATCCACGTATTTTTCTAAGGATAGTGTTGAAAGGGCAATATAGTCTCAGCTAATTTAAAGATGTCAAAAGCCTGTTTTTTTTATGAAAGAAGGTTTATTATAAGCTGAGCGTGCTCTATAAAAAGCTTGACATAGTTCTTACCATAAAGCAGTCTCCTTAATATGTAGATACTTTCAAATATATTCTTTAGAAAGAATTGCTTCACGATTTCGTAAAACCTTTTTTGCTCCTATTATATCAACAAATAAGATAACTAAAGCAATTAAGAACTTGAAACAGAACTCTTGAGCGTCAGGATCTCTTTATAAACGTAATGGAATAATAAAAAAAAGTTCGACAAGAATAATTTAATAAAATTGACAAAACCGACAAAACCGACAAAATTGACAAAATTGACAAAATTGACAAAATTTAACAAAATTTAACAAGAATTTAACAAAAATTTAACAAAATTTAACAAAATTTAACAAAATTTAACAAAATTTAACAAAATTTAACAAAAATTTCAAGGAAATACTCAAAAAAAAAAAAAAAAAAAAAAAAAAAAAACTGCTAAAAAATAATGTTGTTGTAAATGTATGAATTTATATAGTCATGGCAAAAAATCAGATCACATATATGGCAATTGCAATGGACTTGTAGTCACTGACATTCACTCATCCTATCAAAAGTACTAAATCGCCCTGATAGTCAGAGACCATTGACCTAATGGCTTTGTTATTACTATTATTATTAATGACACTCATAAAGTGGCAGTTAGAGCTGACAAATACTTGATAGCTTATTCTTCAAGTTTAGGTCAAACTATTTATCTTCTTGATTGTTCCTGATCTAACAAATCAATCCGCAGTCAAGAAGCTAATCCCAAAATAATACTTTGACCGAGAAGAAAAAACACAAATACCTCGACATCTTATCATATTTCTTCTGAGAATATAAACCCTATACAAACTCCAACAAGTCTTCTCTGTGTCCTACCATTTTTTTTCTGCGAATCTATTCCCTCTTCATCTCACAACAAATGTCAAAAAAACAATGTCAAGAAAATATTATCTTCAGGATTTTTATTCAATCCCAACTCTGCTAACATTTATGCCGACATGGCAAATATGCCAATTGCGTACTCAAAAAATAAAATATCTCTTAGTAAGAAAAAAAAATAAAACCATTACTTTAAAATAAATCAAGAATATTTTCTGCAATGATGAAAAATAAAAAAAAGAAGGATATTCTTAATTTTCTTGTTATAAATTAAAAAAAAAAAGTCGATTTTTCAATTTTTCTGTTTCAAAATAAAAAACGAGTCTACCGGATGATAATCTTACTGTTTTAGTTTAAAGAAGAGATAACTGGTTGGTAGACTCGTTTTTTATTTAAAACAAAAAAATTGAAAAATTGATTTTTTTTATTAATTTGAAACAGAAAATTAAAATTTTCTACTCTTTTAATTTTTTTGTCATTGCAAAAAATATTCTTGATTTATTTTAAAGTAATGGTTTTATTTTTTTTTTTTACTAAGAGATATTTTATTTTTTGAGTACGCAATTGGCATATTTGCCATGTCGGCATAAATGTTAGCAGAGTTTACATCATTTGAGTATTCTAAGGATAATGTTTTTTTTGACATTATTTTTTATAACATGGTATCTCCATGATATTCTCATAATTTGGTTCTCGAGCAATAGCGCATCAAAAAATGGCTCATTGAAGCCCTGTTCTGAGTGTTTTTGCTCTAGATGTCATATAAAACTTCTTAGCCATAAACTCATGAAAAAAATCTATGCTATTCAAAGTGTTATAGAACATTGAGAAGTAGAAAAATGGTCGATTTATAATGTAAATGGGGGATAAATCAACAAAAGAGATACAAAGGAGCTGGCTGCGAAGATTGAAAACGGAAGCAATTTCATTTCTTCTTGCCGCTGCATTGAAATCGAGCTTTTGCTCAGAACCGTATAAAGACGCAGCTATTTGGTTTTGGTGTAATAACAAAAGTTATAGATTTCTGTCTTCTGGGTCTGTTGCTGTAGAGAACATAGCAACTTTGCTGATAATGTATTGATTAAATAGGAAAAAATGTTTATGAGATTTCTTACTCATGCCATATTGTTTTCATAATACAGTTGTTAATTAAACACATGCATCAAAAACTAGAGCTTTTAGCTCACATTTTTAGTATTTAAGCTTATCGATAGTTCGATTTTTTGCCTTGTAGCATAAAAAAGAAGAACGAAAGTTGTCAATTTTTTTTTAAAGGGCTTTATTTATTGCTCCACGTAGACGAACATAAACCATTGTCAAGAGGTGGGCGCAAATTAAAGTATTATAATATAAAAAGAAAGAAAATAATTGAGGTAGAAATAGAAGAGGTCAAGTATGGGCTAGATGATTTGGGTCATCTAGTTTATCATCTGTCCATTAAAGTCTTGAGTTTATGTGTTTCTCTGCTATTTGTAGCTGCAGATTAACACGAGTTTATTGCAGTAATCTTTGGGGATCAAATGGTACATGATTAAAGATAGATCTCCAATGAGTCTTCCAAATTTCCGTTAATGCGGTGAAAACTACGTCTTGAATAGTCAGATTGCTATTTTGACAGTACTTGATAGGACGAAAGTCCAAGGATTGTATTGCCATAATTATACCGTCGATTGTAAATGTTGGCCACAGGAATTCAAAATCAGCTCACGCCAAAAGAAAGCCTTGGGTGGACACATAAACAACAAATGGTTGTCATCTTCAGCGTGGAGTGTACAAATCAAGCATATAGAAGACCGAAAGGTAGCTGGGATGAAGCGATTCAGGCGGGCTTGAGTGGGCAATTTATGTAACATAAATCGATACACCACGTTTCTTGTTATAGAAAGCAGCGACATGGCCCAGAAGTGAAATTTGACCAAAATGATCTTTTAACCAAAGGTACTATTCATGAAAATTATCCATTTGACAACTTTCACTTCTGGGCCATGTCGCTGCTTTCTATAACAAGAAACGTGGTGTATCGATTTATGTTACATAAATTGCCCACTCAAGCCCGCCTGAATCGCTTCATCCCAGCTACCTTTCGGTCTTCTATATGCTTGATTTGTACACTCCACGCTGAAGATGACAACCATTTGTTGTTTATGTGTCCACCCAAGGCTTTCTTTTGGCGTGAGCTGATTTTGAATTCCTGTGGCCAACATTTACAATCGACGGTATAATTATGGCAATACAATCCTTGGACTTTCGTCCTATCAAGTACTGTCAAAATAGCAATCTGACTATTCAAGACGTAGTTTTCACCGCATTAACGGAAATTTGGAAGACTCATTGGAGATCTATCTTTAATCATGTACCATTTGATCCCCAAAGATTACTGCAATAAACTCGTGTTAATCTGCAGCTACAAATAGCAGAGAAACACATAAACTCAAGACTTTAATGGACAGATGATAAACTAGATGACCCAAATCATCTAGCCCATACTTGACCTCTTCTATTTCTACCTCAATTATTTTCTTTCTTTTTATATTATAATACTTTAATTTGCGCCCACCTCTTGACAATGGTTTATGTTCGTCTACGTGGAGCAATAAATAAAGCCCTTTAAAAAAAAATTGACAACTTTCGTTCTTCTTTTTTATGCTACAAGGCAAAAAATCGAACTATCGATAAGCTTAAATACTAAAAATGTGAGCTAAAAGCTCTAGTTTTTGATGCATGTGTTTAATTAACAACTGTATTATGAAAACAATATGGCATGAGTAAGAAATCTCATAAACATTTTTTCCTATTTAATCAATACATTATCAGCAAAGTTGCTATGTTCTCTACAGCAACAGACCCAGAAGACAGAAATCTATAACTTTTGTTATTACACCAAAACCAAATAGCTGCGTCTTTATACGGTTCTGAGCAAAAGCTCGATTTCAATGCAGCGGCAAGAAGAAATGAAATTGCTTCCGTTTTCAATCTTCGCAGCCAGCTCCTTTGTATCTCTTTTGTTGATTTATCCCCCATTTACATTATAAATCGACCATTTTTCTACTTCTCAATGTTCTATAACACTTTGAATAGCATAGATTTTTTTCATGAGTTTATGGCTAAGAAGTTTTATATGACATCTAGAGCAAAAACACTCAGAACAGGGCTTCAATGAGCCATTTTTTGATGCGCTATTGCTCGAGAACCAAATTATGAGAATATCATGGAGATACCATGTTATAAAAAATAATGTCAAAAAAAACATTATCCTTAGAATACTCAAATGATGTAAACTCTGCTAACATTTATGCCGACATGGCAAATATGCCAATTGCGTACTCAAAAATAAAATATCTCTTAGTAAAAAAAAAAATAAAACCATTACTTTAAAATAAATCAAGAATATTTTTTGCAATGACAAAAAAATTAAAAGAGTAGAAAATTTTAATTTTCTGTTTCAAATTAATAAAAAAAATCAATTTTTCAATTTTTTTGTTTTAAATAAAAAACGAGTCTACCAACCAGTTATCTCTTCTTTAAACTAAAACAGTAAGATTATCATCCGGTAGACTCGTTTTTTATTTTGAAACAGAAAAATTGAAAAATCGACTTTTTTTTTTTAATTTATAACAAGAAAATTAAGAATATCCTTCTTTTTTTATTTTTCATCATTGCAGAAAATATTCTTGATTTATTTTAAAGTAATGGTTTTATTTTTTTTCTTACTAAGAGATATTTTATTTTTTGAGTACGCAATTGGCATATTTGCCATGTCGGCATAAATGTTAGCAGAGTTGGGATTGAATAAAAATCCTGAAGATAATATTTCTTGACATTGTTTTTTTGACATTTGTTGTGAGATGAAGAGGGAATAGATTCGCAGAAAAAAAATGGTAGGACACAGAGAAGACTTGTTGGAGTTTGTATAGGGTTTATATTCTCAGAAGAAATATGATAAGATGTCGAGGTATTTGTGTTTTTTCTTCTCGGTCAAAGTATTATTTTGGGATTAGCTTCTTGACTGCGGATTGATTTGTTAGATCAGGAACAATCAAGAAGATAAATAGTTTGACCTAAACTTGAAGAATAAGCTATCAAGTATTTGTCAGCTCTAACTGCCACTTTATGAGTGTCATTAATAATAATAGTAATAACAAAGCCATTAGGTCAATGGTCTCTGACTATCAGGGCGATTTAGTACTTTTGATAGGATGAGTGAATGTCAGTGACTACAAGTCCATTGCAATTGCCATATATGTGATCTGATTTTTTGCCATGACTATATAAATTCATACATTTACAACAACATTATTTTTTAGCAGTTTTTTTTTTTTTTTTTTTTTTTTTTTTTTTGAGTATTTCCTTGAAATTTTTGTTAAATTTTGTTAAATTTTGTTAAATTTTGTTAAATTTTGTTAAATTTTGTTAAATTTTTGTTAAATTCTTGTTAAATTTTGTTAAATTTTGTCAATTTTGTCAATTTTGTCAATTTTGTCGGTTTTGTCGGTTTTGTCAATTTTATTAAATTATTCTTGTCGAACTTTTTTTTATTATTCCATTACGTTTATAAAGAGATCCTGACGCTCAAGAGTTCTGTTTCAAGTTCTTAATTGCTTTAGTTATCTTATTTGTTGATATAATAGGAGCAAAAAAGGTTTTACGAAATCGTGAAGCAATTCTTTCTAAAGAATATATTTGAAAGTATCTACATATTAAGGAGACTGCTTTATGGTAAGAACTATGTCAAGCTTTTTATAGAGCACGCTCAGCTTATAATAAACCTTCTTTCATAAAAAAAACAGGCTTTTGACATCTTTAAATTAGCTGAGACTATATTGCCCTTTCAACACTATCCTTAGAAAAATACGTGGATAGGTGTAAATTATTTTAAATGTCGTGTCTATGACTTTTGTAAGTTTTCGAGAATTTTCTCACAGTATTGCTATTCTCGATAACGGATCAATAAAAGTGGAAAAGACTGCAAGAACTTACATTTGCATAAAAATAGAACTGTCAAAGCAAACTTAGGAACAATATCTATTTGAATCTGTGTCCCTGATTTTGTGTAACTCGGTGTCGTTTTCTTTCAAAATAACTTTTTATTAATACAGTTGAAAAAACTAACAACACAGAAATGTAGAGAGACAAATGTGAGTATTTTGAGGGTTTTGTATTCTTCATAACGTCGCTCCAATCTAAAATGAAAAGCGTTGAATTTTGAAATAAAAATTCCCTGCAAAAAGCGGCTATCATAAATTAGGTGCTCTCTGTTCAAGAGCATAGCATGTTTTATTTCAAAAAAAGAAACCAATGTGAAAACCACGTGTTCACCTTTTGGTCAGAAGTCTATTTTGGTCAAGTTTTACAAGTCGCTTGTTTTGGTCCATATCAACCCAAAGGTACCTTATATGTTAGTAAACATGGTTGGTAAGTATCTAGAACATTTATAAGGCTGAAATTAGGCTTTATGATCTCCTTGTGCATATAATCTTTGATATATAAGATGAATTTATTTCAAGAGGTATAATTTTCTTTGTATGATTTGATGAAATCAATTACACTATGTGCAGAAAGAAAGCGATTTATCATATGTAAACCTCGCAAAGAGACGCAATAAACAGCAATCGAACGCGATTAACTAATACAAGACTTCTAATAAGTATACTTGTTTTTTGTCTTTATGAGCTGCTTGCAGTTACAATCCTCTTGAGACCAATATATATGTACTCATAAAAGGCTACTTTTAGAAACGGACATAAGAAAGGATGGAGTGCATTCTTCTTTCTTGGAACAAAGAATACAGCAAATTTATAAGAATTAGAAGCTTATGGATTTAAAATCGCGTTAAGTGATGTAGTCTCTTGTTTCTCTTACATTTAAATGATCAAGAATTAAATTCTAGAAACCAAGCAGGGCAAATAATAAGCAAACAATGTATAGGATAATTAATTGTTGCTTATATTCGGTAACGAGAAAGAGCAGAGAATAGAAGGTAGATAAATTAGTAATGGATATTAACTAAAGTAAATGACCATACAAGTGCCTAGTCAAGGCAGTGGAAAGCTGTACTGTAACAAGGAGTATGCGTTACGCTTGGTTCAAAATATGTCAAGTTGTAATTAATACAAAAGATGGCCATACCAAATATTCATCTTTCTTCTTTTCTTTATATTGGTTTGATAAGTAAACTAAGCTTTTATTCTACATGTTTTTCCGTGTTAATCTATGATGCTTTGAAGAGCTCACTCAAAAATGGAAAGCATACAACTTTTTTCTTTTGGTTTTTAGTGAAAACATTTAAAATTACTCAACATTTTTGAGTGAGACTATATAAAAGAGATGTCCTTCCCTAGCATGACCAATGTATATAAAGAATGTGAGTCAACCAAACAAAAAACAACAATTCCAAGTTATCCTGTGTATGTTTGAAATAATCATGGTAGAGCTTTTTTTATTTTAATTGACACATTTAACAAACTGCATAAGTTCTTTATCTTGTAATAATCTATCTAAACTCTTAACATCAAGTTGAATAATAACTTCAATTCTATCAGGTTTGTATGGCATGATCGTAATTAAAGGAATAGGTGAAGTATCAACAAAGCTTCTCATGGCTACATAGTGACCATATCCATAATCGAAATCTACCAGGAATCTGGACCAATCTGAAATGCCAACACCACCATATCCTAAGCGAGAAATCGGACTTACAATATGCTCTAGATGTTTTGATGTATTAAAGTAATACTCAAGTGATTCCATGTAAGGTACAGTGATTGATTTACAAGCAATACCAATCTCTTTAGCTATCTGATAAGTGCTTTTGTCAATTACTTGCTGTACTGTAAAAGGAACAGGAACAGGTCTAGCAAATAAAATGTGATTGTGAGTACATGCAGCTCTATTCGCTCTGGTCACTTACACAATAAAATTACCAAAGTAGTTCATCATGTTTTTATCGGGATGACAATGATGTTGACCCACAATGCATACCAAGTCTGAACAGGATTCAGAGGGTCTTTGACGTGCTTTAGTAATGCTTTTATGGACAAGAGCAGTAAGCAAATTAAAAAGGGATATTCTTGCCTTGGGATCGTTGGCTTCAGCAACCACTTGAGACTTGAATTTGCTCATAAGTTGTCTATCAAAGTTGAAAATCAATTTTTTAGAAGGAGCTGGCTTGATGGTGGGAACAGGTGCTTGTCCAGGTAAGTAATGTGGATACATGTCATTATGGTCCACATCAGGCAATGGTTGTACAGGAAGTCTCATGCTGTCTGTATACAAGGATCTGTTTTGTTGACTGGGCATTTCACCACGCGTAATAGCACATATATAAGCAATAAGTCGAGTTAGGCAGATACCATCAGCAATCTTGTGATGGATAGAGTAAGCTATGGCACAACTACCACTTTTTGTAACAGTAAGCTTAACACCGAAAAGTGGGGAGTCTCTGCTAACATAAGATTTGATTGGCAAGAGCTCTTCATAAGGTACAATAAGATAAGAGAAATTATGGCGTTTCCAGTATTCAAAATCATCTGCTGAATCAACAACTTCAAATAAAGCACCTTTATCAAAATGGCCAATATCATATCGACCATTCTCCTTCTTAATAAGTCTACCAGTAAATGGGTAATAGATCTCAAGAGCAAGCCTAAGGGCCTCTTTGATTTTAGCGGAGTTCATAAAACTCGGGTCATGATGAATATTTTCAAAAAAGTAAAGAACTTGTGTATAAATATGTGAAGTGACTAAGCTGAAACCGTGAGGTGCTGAAATAGGGTCTGATGTGAGCCCTGATCGAGATGTGATGAATGAGCGGTGTTTTGGTGGGAGAGGTACCATTGTTAATGTTTCTTATTTTGACATGCTGCGCATTTTATATATTGTTTCACCGGTTAAGCCTTCGGCATCTTTTATTAATATTAGAAAAAAAACTATAGCATGGCATGATTGACAACTTCCTCTTGGTTATAAATAGCCCTAGTAATACTACTGTAACTGTTCCACCATAATTGATACAGCGGCTTGTAAATGCTCTCCAGATCGCTCAGATCGCGATCCAGGTCGATATCCCAAGGTTTTGTCAGTATATAGTGTACATTTTTGATCGATGATAAGTCCCACATGGGCTTGTGTGCCCACTGAAGTGTCTTGAGAGCATTGTATGTATAAGATAGTGGTTTCCATTGTTCCTTGAATATTTCATTTAGAAAGTCTTGATCGGGAAAAGGATAAATATTCAAATCTGATATGCTATTGAGGTAGCTGATCATACTGTTGAATTTATCACTTTCTGGAGTCAACACTATCAAGCCGCTATTGAAATAAGTATAACCATCTTTGATTGAGGCCGGTTGGATACATGCCGAGGTGTCACGACCAGTATAGGCACAATTTTCGGGAATCCATGTTGAAGGATAATGCTTAATTTTTTGAGGATTACATACACATGCATGAGAAGCAGCCACCCAATCCTTGCTCGGTAAAGAAATATGCATAAGTTCATCCATATTCTGTAAGGGGAGCATATCGGCGTCCAACAGCACTAATCTCTCGTACTCCTCTTGGTTCCATACCGCTAATTTTGTCCATGTCTCTGTAAACCGTTCGGCCTTGTACTCTACTTTACCCAATGGATGAATGGGCTCAATTTCCTTTACAATACAACCAATCTCCTTTAGTGTTTGAACCGCATGAGGAGCAACAGCCGATGTATACAGCACGAGAAGCGGATATTGGCTTTTATGTAAATCATGCAGCGCGTGTTTAAGAGCAATAACACCTTTAATGTAATTGTTGGTACTAGTCAAGACTACAACCCAAGCACCATTCACAAAAGTAGAGACAGCCATGATAGTAGAAAGAAAAGTAAGTAAGACAAGAATAAAAAGGAAAACTAAGGAAACAAATGCTTGCTTTTATATTTTCTTCCATCGAATTCAAGTGGAACTTGCAATTATGTAAAAAAAAAAAAAAAAAGTGTCGGACATTCAAATACGATGTGATTGATTAGAAAAAATAAACTGCTAAAGTTATTGTCAACAATGCAGCGGAGGCTTTCTTAGAATATACAAGGTCTCAATCAGAATAAACAAAGAGAAGCTTGAAAAAATGATTGTAATTTTATCACATGACAGGCTCAAACAAATACCTAAAAATGTTACAAAAAGAAGAGAGTAGAGGGGCTTAATGCATTCGAAGGCAAACAAAGCCGCAAGGACTAGCATCTAGTATGTTTTGTCTTGCTATGCTGAGAACTGGTGCTTAGCTTTCATGGTTTTTGAGCTGTTACATCTCGTCTTTCATCATACCAAGGAAAGTAAGGGATAGCAAATAATTTTATCAATGTCCGAGTATATAGAACTAAGAAGAACAATAAAAAACAAAATAAAAAAAGGTTAAGACAAACTCACTATAATTAATGGATTGGTCAATTACTTTTCATACCCTATAGAAAAACTAGAAAGATGCTTGTCAGGTTGAAATCTAATAGAAAAAGAGGCTCTTAATTATTGTCAGAGATGGAATGTTCAATGATTTGTCATTGTGCTACTAGCGTCCTTTTTTTTTTCTTATGCTTTAGAGAGACAAGTTGCCGGTACCTTAATGTTAGTCATTATTAATAAATTGAGTCTATAGTAGCTATCAAGGCTTTTGTCTGGATACATTTCTGTCTCGAGAAAGTAGTACTCTTGCTTGTGGAACTTGCAGTCTATTGTAAAATCGAGATATCGATGCTTTCAAGAATATTAGTCTTTCTATTTTTAGGAGCCAAGGTCAGGCTGATACGTTTTCTCTTTTCAAAATAAAGAAAAAGAAAACCAGTTCAACAGCAATAATGCTTTTCATGTTCTTATATCACTATTTTATCCTTATTTGAAGTGTTCAGATTCTTTTTCTAGATAAGAAGAGAACAACAATTGGACTGTATTCGCGAACAAACTTTAGACTCAGCGTGATTTTTTCTTTCTTGTAGGCTATACTGTATTGTGCAATTATTTATCCTTGCTAACAATATTATGAGACTTTTGAGCTTACTGATAGCAAGGTAAAGAAGGGGGAAAAGAGACAGACAATAACTAAAATATTTTAGTTTGCTTTACACTATAGCTACTGCTGCAACTTTGAAAGGAAAGATAATATCAAACGCTGTTATTGAAGGTATTATTTCTTAAGGTCATCTGGTTAAAGTATTCACATTTTAGAGTAGATGTAAGCAAGATCGACTCTTCAACAACACGTGTGGCACTTAACGGTGCTCAACATATTGCTCATATCACATCTAAAGGCGAATTTACTTTGTAAGACTACGTATGTATTTATCTATCATATTGACGTGTGCCTCTAGTCCCAATGTTAAGCCAGGCTCTTATTTACTAGAAGTCCAAAGCATTCAGCATATCTATCCTAGAGTAAGTTTATATGTCTATTTGCCGTGAGCTAACAAAAAAAAAGCTGCGTGTTGATATAGATGAAAATGATAACATTCGAGCATCTTATACAGGTATTGGTAATGATTGGAATCAAAGGGGTTATTCAGTATCCCATCCATTTGAATTACAAGCCAAAGCAGAAGCAGAATACTTTATGGTAAGAAAGGAGAGAAATAAAGCTACAGATATTTATATTATATGTAGCAACGACAGGGATTTAATGTGATGGGCATGTTCAAGAATCCTATGTTCTTGATGCTTGGATTCAGTGCCATTATGATGTTCTTTATGCCCAAGATAATGTCTAGTTTGCAAGATATGGGTAAGTGTAAAAAGATAGAAAACAAGGCTAACATGTTCAAACAGATCCTGAAGCTGCAAAAAAACTCAGTCAATCTCAAGCTGATGCACAAAAAATGCTGTCCGATATGCCTAGTTTATCTCAAATGTTTGCTAATCGACAATAAACCCACGATTGAGATTATTTTGACTTGTAGTACAAATTGTCAAAATGACTATTTAATGGCGCCATTGATCTAAGAATCATATCAAGTTGTGGAAGTCGTCATCACGACTTTAGGCTATACTAAAATAAGGCCAAAGTATCTCTTTATAGAGAATAACTTGAGACTGAATATTCTGCATTAAAAAATAAAGGAAATTGTTGCAGAAAGAAACAAGAAGCTTCACATTTTCTATTGCATCTTTGTGCTGAATTTAAGATTTTATTTCAAATATCTAAGGGTTTAGATTTTCCTGTCATTGATAATAATAATAAAAAAAGGGGATCATATCAAGTTATGAAGATCATCATCACAACTTTGGACTATACCAAAATAACTGAAAGATATTTGTCAGTTATACTTTTATCACTTTCTTTAATACCTCAGATGTGCCATACTGCCTCCATACTCTAATGAGTTTGAACAGTTTCTTGTTTCACGCGGTCCAGGACATACAACTTATTTGAATAAACAAATTTATACAGGCTATAACTTACTGAGATTCATTCTTTTTCTTGAACTGATCCAATATTCATCTCCTTCATGCTAATATAAAATGAGTCCAACTTACATGTAAATCAACATACCGTGAATCCTTTTTTTATAGTAGGTCGATGTACAATTTCTACTGCTAGTTAAACAACCATATACATACATATGGTTTGTTTACAAACCATCATCCTCTTGAACATATCTTGTAATGTTGATATTTTGATCTGCTACAAATGAAGCATATCCAATATCACCTACACGAGGTTTGCCTGATTCTAGAGTTGGCAAACTAACTTTTCTTTTTTTCCAAAATGAACTTTATACCTAAAAGATGTCCTTGCAAATTGTTGAAATTCAATTGAGGAAAATGTTGATATAGATCCACAGTAACAAGAGATCCTACACCAGCGCCAAAAGAATGTCTTGAAAGAATATCAATCTCTTTTTATGATGAGTAGTAATTACCCTGCAACATGAACTTTGTAATCTGGATGTAAGCCAATTTGATCACTTACAGCTTGATGAATAGTGTCCCGTATATCCAGCATAGCCCTTATTAAACCTAGCTTGATGTTATTTTTTTTTTTTGTTACTGTTTGTCTTTACCTATTTGAGCTCGGGCACGGGGAATGAAAGGGTGAGGCACAAGTTCATCTTTACCAAACTAGAAAACGTCAGTATTAATCGTCGACTCTGTCTTTACATTACCACAATCTTATTTCGGAAAGAAGAGGCACCTCGGACAAGAACATAGATGGATTTTTTTCTTTTTGCACAATAAACATGATCGTAATTTACAAGCACTTTACTTACTGTTCTGATACAGCAATGTATCCAGTGATTCCCAAAGGATTATTTCCATAGGTTTGCACCACATAACCATCTGGTAGTATTTCTTTACAGAATGGACAATTTAGCTTGTCATAACTAGGCCTGCAATTAGACGTTCTGGTTAATTTGGCATAGAATATAGCATCTTGAACAGCCTCGGATGTTTCATCAAAATAAAGCACAGTAGAAGATGGAGGTAGAGAATCTTGATCATCTAAACGACGTCTAAAATCAATAAAAAAATCGTCCAAAACGACACTGGATTTGTTTCCCATAGGCAATTCAATATTGTCGAGGCCCAATGGTAAGGTGATATTTAATGCATACTGTGCCTCATTCAATGACCGCACTTGGGATAAACAAGAAATAATAAAAATAAATAAAATAAATAAAGCCATTCAAAAAAGAAGAAGTTAGTGATGAAGGGAGAAATAGCAAATATCTGTAAGTTTATATAGTTGGACAACAAGATTACATAGAAAAAGACTGAATATCTAAGAAATGTTAAGCGTAATTTATTCAAATGACGCACAGATCGGTACCCAAAAAAATAATGAACTTAAGTTACAGGAATTTAAAGATTTGTTTGTTTACTTTATGTTTTCCAGGACTCGATCAATTTTACGCGGCCAACAAGTGTTTTCTATTAACACTCGGGTGACCTCGAGAAACAAGTCAACAGTAGGCGAGATCTCGCTTTTGACAAACGCTCTCAAACTCAAATGGCAAGACCAACATAGCACTTACAGTTACCTCTGGTTAAGAGACAACTGTCCTTGCGAACAATGTCTTCACCCTTCCAGCCGACAAAAGCTTCATTCTTCTGCCGATATTCCTCTGGATATTAAGCCCGTGGATGCCCAAATTATTGGTCAAGAAGCTCAAATTACATGGGATCAACCCCTTCGACAACGTCAACAAGAATCAGCTCACGTAAGCCGTTTTCCTCTCGAATTTTTGAAGCGCTATCAGTCTAAACAAGCCAGCCAAGAATTCCGGTTTGGTCATCTTAAGCCTCAGACATGGGATGCAAGTCAATATAAATTGAATTGGATATCATACGATGATTATATGAACACAGAGGAGGGCCTAAATACAGTTGTTCAACGCTTGTATAACACAGGACTTGTGTTTTTAGAAAACGTCCCTTTAAAGGACGAAGCTGTCACTCAAGTAGCAGAGAGAATTGGTCCTATTCAAGAGACATTTTATGGCCGAGATTTTGATGTCAAGAATGTAGCTAAGTCTATCAATATTGCTTACACTAGTTTATACCTAGGATTCCATATGGATCTTATGTAAGACGAATTATCCCGTATTCTGAAATCAGATTCCGATTGACCATCGTATAGGTACATGGACAGCCCACCTGGTATTCAACTCTTACATAGCTTAAAAAACAGTGTCACTGGTGGTGCTAGTATTTTTGTTGATTCTTTCCGTGCTGTGGAACTCTTGAAGGACAAATATCCTGAAGATTATGAAATTCTCAAGAAAACACCTGTCACATTCCATTACTTGAATAATGGCCATCACATGTATTACAAGAGACCTACTATTGTGACTAATGAACCGCACAGTGGACCTGCATGGGACAGCCATGTTAACTATGCACCTCAATTTCAGGGCCCTATGGATGATTTATCACCTGAAGATGCCAAGAAATTCTATGGCGCTTTTCAGAAATTTGCTGATTTTATTGAACAAGATTCTCTTCGTTATCAATTGACTCTACAGCCAGGACAATTAGTCATGTTTGCCAATAGACGGGTTTTGCATGGACGTACTTCTTTTGACCCTAGCAGTGGTGATAGACATTTAAAGGGTACCTATCTCAACTTGGATTCCTTGAAAGATAAACTGAGAGTATTGAGTGCTCAATATGGATACAATCCCAAAGCTTAACAAATAATAAAAAGACAGTTTATTGAGGTTTTTGAAATTTAGCCTGAGCAAAGATTCTATCAATTCTCATTTCCATGCTTCGGTTGGTTGTTTCTCGGTATATATATTCGCATTCTTTTGTGTTGAAGCCTTCTTGTTCAAATCGGCTTTTGAGATCTTCAAGTGAGAAGAAATAACTCATAGTGCCATCGTGTCGAACATAAAAGTTTTCATCCAACTTCTTGTCAGAGGCAGCACTAAATTTGATTTGTGCTTCATCATAAAGACCATAATCGCGGAAAATCACTTGTCCTCCTGGCTTCAATACACTGTAAATGTTCTTAATAGCAATTGCCATCTTTTCGGGAGGAATAGCAGAGAATACGAAAATAGCGGATACCTACAATTGCGATTAACATATGGCAAAATACTTGTCGTGTAAATTACCAAATCTAAAGAATCTACTGGGATATTGTCTGTCAATTTATCAGCTGTCAAATCACAAACAAAGGCTTTGCACCGAGATTCATCATAATTCTCGTTTGATTTGACCATATTTACTGCTCTTTCAGAGAAGTCGCAAGCGTAAATAAACAAGGAAGGGTTATCAGCCAACAAGGGAAACACAAAGTTCCCCACACCACAGCCTACTTCTAAACACTTTTGTTCTCTTGTTTGATCAGCCAGCTCTTTGAACTCCCGATCAGTCCAGTGACGATCTGATCAATGTAAGTCATTACTTATGTTCTCTCTATTCTTACCCTTGAAGAACTTGGTCGTATTACGCTTGTAAAAGAGATCCCAGTTTCTAGCTGCATCTTTTTTATATTTATTTTTCCAGAAAACGGGCACTTCTTTATCATCTTGGGCAATCGCCTGTTGTGCTCTTTCAACTAGCTTGTCTAAACGTTCGGTTTCGATGACTATTCTATTGCCATCAGTACGAGTCTTTTCGGTCATGATCGATGAATAAAAGAATAACCATAGCAACGAGAGGCTTATGTTGCCTTTGTCTTTTAAAACTCAGTTATAACAAACGAAATCCAAGGCACAATGAAGATAGCATAGAAGAACTTGATAACTTCGAGCTTTCACGAAGAGATTCAAGATACTTGTATTTATCTTTATAAAGAGACAAAAAATATGAGAGGTATTAAGTTCTAGCCTTAAAATAGCAAGATGGAGTATAAAGAGAAAATCCTTTAGTAAGAAAGTTAATGATAAATGATTAAGTAAACCAAAAGCAATAGATTCAGGAATAATGAAAAGAAAAAAAAAGAGTATGCCAAGAACTTGATACATGTTTGTTAAGTATAAGTTACAATACAAGAAACAGAAAAAAGGACATTCAAGTTAAGAAGGGTACCTGAGAAACAAGATATTCATGCCAGATACATTATTATTTGTATCGCTAATAAAAACAACACTTTTTTTAAGAAAGTATTTTGGCCTTAATACTCGATAGCAAATGTCGAGAATGGCTTTTTGCTACCTTGTTTTTTTTCTTTCCTTAGCCATGATTCATCTTCGCTGATAAGAATAAACAATACATATATGCCTTTCTATGAGGAGATTCAATGTTTCCTACGCATATAGTGAATGAAACAGAATCATAGACATTCCTTTAATGGTAACAAGTCATGCTTGTTCAATACAGGCCCTAAAAAGACATACGTCAGAAGCAACCATTTATTGTCTCCTAAAAAAATGTATATAAATTAAAAATAGCCTTTTACTTTCTTTTCAATGGAATCTCACTTCGACTTGGCTACGTTTCCTGTCAAAGAGACCATCAAGTTACTTACTGCCTTGTTAGAAAAGATCACCCAAACAAATGACCAGCTTCATCTAGAATTAGGCTCACATCAACCCTCTACATATACTTGTTTTCATGCTCGCTCTATTCCTAGTATATCCATTCATGCCTATTTCACTCGTATTTTGAAATATTGTCCCTGTGCTAACGAGTGTCTGATTGCTCTCTTGGTTTATTTTGATCGTATGACTCAGCCAAGTCCTCATCTCACTCCTCTTCATATTGACTCTTATAATGTTCATCGCTTAATTATTACGGGGCTCATGATATCCAGTAAGTTGTATTCAGATGTCTTTTTCACGAATACTCGCTATGCCAAGGTAAGTAGTATCATTTGTTACAATCATAACTCATTATTGCAAATAGGTAGGAGGATTGCCTGTCACTGAATTAAATGCATTAGAATTAGAATTTTTGCGTATGAATAATTACAACTTGTTTGTCGATATTGATAAACTGCAGAAATATGGTGATAATGTATTGGAACATTGGCATCATTCCCAAGATGTGTCAGCATTAGCAGTGAGAGAGAGTCCACAGCATGCGATACATGAAGAAATCGCTAGACCTTTTAGTCGACTCACGATGCATACAAACGAGAAATATAAACCTAATTCCACCACTGAAAATGGTATGGAAAAACATTGGCGATATAATAGACAAAGCTTTAATTTGCGTAATTCTACGGGCAATGCTACTGAAGCATACGATACAAGAAATTGCATATAAATTTCTTTTTATTACTATTATTATTCTTATACCTATCTTTTACTTACACACACATACATACATACATACATATTTATATATATATATATATATATATATATTCTCCTTTTCTTATTTGATAATATGTTTGATTGAAGCAATAAACTCTGGTAGTTATATAAAAAAAGCATTTAAAAAATGACTTTGAATTTTTATTTACTTTAACAATGTAAAGAATGACCAATACAATGTCAAATTAGTATCTTTTTTCTACATTCCATATTAGATTAGGGCATGTATTTTGAGAATTATAAATAAGAACTGTTTTCTTTAGAGGAATTTTTTTTTCTTTAGTTTAGAAAGTACAACAAAACAAAGTTAAAATGAAAGCAAATTACATATACTTTGTAGTCTTGATATTGACTCGACTGGTCTATTGTACTCGTACCACAAGACCAGGGACTCACCCTCTTTGGCCAACAATATATGCTAATGATGGACAATTCGAATTTTCAAATGCTTTAGGTGCTGCTTTGGGCACCATTACATCAATTATTCGAGTATTAAAAGAAGGCGAAATTCTGCCTAATGCACAAAATGTGACTCATTTTGATGCTACATCCAGTGTGTATAAAGATGCTGCCTTTCATGCTAGACTTGCAAGAACATCAAATTGTAGAGCGAGCTCAGATAAATGGGATTGTGAACAATGTCAATCCACTTTACCAGATGGCATCGTAGTAAGATCTTTTAGTACATTCCCTTTGGGTGTTACTGGTAACGTTGTCCTCTCTCATAGGTAAGTGTTTAATTCCTTAAGTGAGTGACATTAACATAGATACAGGGAAAGAAAAATCTATGTGATGATTAGAGGCGCATCTTCTTTCCGTAATAAAGTTCTGGTATGTATATTCATTCGACTAAATAGTAGTAACATTCAAGTAGTTCTTCTCAACAAATTTAGTTCCTCATCCAGCAATACCCGATGCGCATGTTCAAACAGGTATTGTACAACGTTTATCTTCTACAAACTCACCTTATCCATAGGGTTTTTGGCATCTTTGGTTGATATCAGAGACATTGTTTATAACGCTATCCGTGATCAATTGCAATTGCATCCTAATTATGCAGTCAATGTTGTAGCGTATGTATCACGTTTAAAAAAGTGTATATTAAATGGATTTAGACACTCTTATGGTGCGGGTGTTGGTTCATTAGTGACAGTGGACTTGTTTCAACGACTACCACAATTAAACGAAACAAACTTGGCCGGTTATTTGTACGGTAGAGTATATAAGAAGGAAAAGAAATCAGGACATGAGCTGATCTATCAAATTGATTAGGTAAACCTAGAGTAGGTGATTTTAACTATGCAACTTTTGTTGCAGAAAACAACATTCAAATCAAGCGGTTTGTTGAAAAAGCAGATGGTAAGAAAAAAATAAAGATGGCACAACACACTAAACCCATTGAATAGACATCTGCCATCGACCTGATATTCAAGATGGATATGTGGTAAGTTTGTATTTAGTAGACTATATGTTTGACAGAAATTGATTTTATATTAGCATGAAGGTGATGAATACTGGTTGAAGACTTCTGGACCTGATGCTGATCTCAGTAAGCGCATTTTATAACATAAAACTTCAAAACTAATTCAGAGCTAGCATTGTGCCCAGGGCCTTATGAAACTAGAAACTGCTCAAGTTCTCTTGTGTTTTTTACTGGCCTTGATCATCTAAAGTAAGTCTATAGTTCCAGGCATGCAAAACTAATTCAACTAGTTACTTTGATGTTCAACAAGGTTGTGAAGATGACTTGTATAATCTTTTTTAAAGAAAAGACTATATAGGGTTGTAAGCACTTTTTTATTTTAATAAATACATTAATGTTTTGGGTAAAGTATGATACAATGAAAAAGAAAGGGGGAGAGGGGAATCTAGAAGGTCAAATCCCAGTTGATCTTGGGACCCAACTTGGGCAATACTTCAGCAACAGTGTGCATATCTTTATCACCTCTTCCAGAAAGACAGACAACAATATCTTGATCCTTGGGAAGTTGAGAAGCCAACTGATGAGCAGCGTAGATAGCATGAGCAGATTCTAAAGCAGGAATAATACCTTCTAATTGAGTCAATTTTCTGAAACCAAGCAAACATTGAGCATCATCAGCAACCCAGTAATCAGCTCTACCAGAATCCTTTAAGTAAGCATGTTCAGGACCCACACCAGGATAGTCGAGACCAGCACTGACAGAGTGTGTTTCAATAATTTGGCCCTTCACATCTTGCAACAGATAAGTACGTGTACCGTGAAGTACACCAGGTGTACCCTTGGTGAGTGTAGCAGAATGCTTTTCAGTATCAACACCATCACCACCGGCTTCAACACCGACAATACGCACTGTCTTGTCTTGAACAAAAGGATGGAACATACCAATTGAGTTGGAGCCACCACCGACACAGGCAACAACAGCATCAGGTAACTTACCAGCCTTTTCAAGCATTTGACGCTTAGTTTCCTTACCAATCACGGATTGGAATTCACGTACAATCATAGGGAAAGGATGAGGACCAATAGCAGAACCAACAAGGTAATGAGTAGTAGTGACATTAGCAACCCAATCACGCATGGCTTCATTAATAGCATCCTTCAAAGTTCTAGCACCATCCTTAACAGGAACGACAGTGGCACCCAACATTCTCATACGGAAGACATTAAGGGCTTGACGACGACAGTCCTCTTCACCCATATAGACAACACATTCCAGACCAAACTTGGCACACACAGTAGCAGTAGCCACACCATGTTGACCAGCACCAGTTTCAGCGATAATACGAGTCTTACCTAAACGCTTTGCAAGCAAAATTTGACCAACAGCGTTGTTGATCTTGTGAGAACCAGTATGGTTTAAGTCTTCACGCTTCAACCAAATCTTGGCGCCGCCAGCATCTTCAGTCAAACGAGTAGCAAGTTGAAGTTGAGAAGGACGAGAGATGTAATCATAGTAAGATTCAAATTCTTCTCTAAAAGAAGGATCATTCATGGCTTCACTAAAGCAAGTTTCAAGTTGAGTAAGACAGTCGACAAGGGCTTCAGGAACATAAGCACCACCGAAGGTACCGAATCGAGGATCCAATTGATAAAAGTTCTTGATATCGTCACCTGTGAAAGGACCACGACCAGCAGCATCGTTCACTTCAAGATCAGCAAGGTCAGCATCTGTAGCAGCAGCAGCGGCAATTTCGACTTCTTTACGACCTGTAATTTCCGAAGCATATTGTTGAACCACTTGAGGAATATTTTGACCTTGTTCCAAAGCTTCCTTGATCAAAGTAATAAGACGAGAACCAATCACAACACCTTCAGAATGAGCCCCCACTTCAACAAAATGTTCACGCGTAGAAACACCAAAACCAACAGCCAAGGGTGCTTGTGTGTACTTTTTGATGCGTGCAATAATGGAAGGCAATTCTGTACTTACGCTATCCTTTGCACCAGTGACACCCATACGAGAAACGACATAGATGAAAGAATCAGCAATCTTGGCAAGCAATTGAATACGTGCTTCAGTGGTGGAAGGTGCAATCAAAGGAATATAAGATAAGCCGTATTTGTGACAAATAGAACGGAATTCTTGTGACTCTTCAGGAGGTAAATCGACTAAAATATAACCATTGACACCAGCTTCTTTACAATCTTGTACCATCTTTTCTTCTCCATAAGCAAGAATGGGGTTGTAATAGCCCATAAAAACAACTGGTACCTTTAGTCCACGAGAACGAGCATCGCGAACCATTTGAAGACACATAGGAATGTCAACACCATGCTTAAGTGCAGCCTGCATAACAAATATGAGTTATACGCTTCTTTGTTTGGTAGCACAAAAAATAACACTTACAGTGCTTGCATATTGAATAGTTGGGCCATCAGCAAGGGGATCAGTGAATGGAATGCCCAATTCAATCACATCAGCACCACCTTTTTCTAATGCTATTAAGTTGTTGACAGTTTCTTCTGGACTGGGATAACCAGCAGTAAGAAAGGTGACAAAAGCAGGACGATCTATAGATTGAATCGCATTAATAAATAAAATCGTTTGATGGGCAATGCCTACTTTGTTCTTTAGCAGATTTGAATGCGTTGCGGAGGCCAGCAGACATAATAAAAATAAATAAAAATGAAAGAAGAGATAATAGTGTCAACCTGAGTTGAAACGAAATGCTATTTAAATCAAAAGTGTACCAATAAACGTTATCTTCAAGCTATCCAATCGCTGCATTGAACTAATGAGTCAGGATTATTTCGCTGCTTAAATCCTGTTGACCGAGCCAAAAAAGGGCTTATTTCCTGTAGACCGAAATTATTTGCTAACTCCTCTGTAGCAATATCAACCCTAACTCCTTTTGACCGTGGCGTGTTTTTTTTTTGCATGAAACAGCCCCCTTTCTTTCTATGCAGATCTGTTTTTGAGTTTTGTGTACTATTTTGGTTTATTCATAACTTCAAACATAAATCACAAAGCAAGCCAATCATGTTCGATGTATTCAACTTGAACCTGATTTAGGATAGGTTATGTCATACACAATTAGTAAATATTTTATTCTGATATTTGAAGGTAATTTTGTGCTTTCATTGGGCCAAACGATGAAGAGTTACCGTTGGCTTCCAAAACTGCGTTTTGTTCACTAGGAGGCAAATAAACAACGCGCGCATTTGGAGCCTTCGAAATATTATTCAATGTATCCAAATATCTAATTTGCATAGCTGCTGGTGTATTTAGAATATCAGCTGCTTCTCTCATCAGTTTGGCAGAGTCTACTTCGGCCTTTGCAGAAATCACTTTGGATTCACCTTTACGTTTAGCTTGAGCAGCAGCCGATAAAGATTCTTGAAGTTCCTTTGAGAAATTGAAATCTTTGATCAAGATGGACTCGATCTGGATCATTGTAAATATTGCCTTTCTTTGCTTACTGTTTAATATTACCTTGACACCCCAATCAGAAGCAACACGGCCTGTGATATCTTGTACTTCTTGAGCAATTGCTTCTCGATTTTCGACGCATTCTTGTAGAACCCTTCCACCCAAAATATGACGAAGTGTAGTTTGGGTTCTAATGCCATGAATAATTTGGATAATAGCATTTATGCTTACCTTTCAATCAATGCTTTCTGTACATTCTTTACAGCAAAAGACGCTTGATATGGGTCAACAATATGCCAGTAAAGAACACTATCAATACGAACAGTGATGTTATCTTTTGTCATGACATATTGTGATGGTATATCAGCTACTTGTATCTTAATGTCTACTCTCTTTAAGCTTTCTGTGCAGACATTGAGCTATTTTGTATGAATCAAAAAAAAAGAATGAGATGAGTTGCCATTTACCTTGACAAGACCTGGATCAACACATTTATAAAACTTTCCAAAGCGGCATACAAGTCCAACTTGTCCTTGGTCTATGGCTTTATAAGGGTTGGGGAAACATATACAGCAAGGTATCTTGCAGACAATAAGTAACAATAAATAATTTATATAGGTTGACTTACAGAGCCTAAGGCACCCAAGATTGAACCTAATCCGTTCATCATATTACCATACCACCCCTATTGTATTCAAGTGAGTATTTTATGTATATATGGTATACATACATGCTCGATGGTGCTAATATCAAGTTCCAAGGCTAAGCTAGGCTGTACACCTTCAGTAGCAAATTCTCCTTTTTGTTGTCTTAAAGGTCCCGACGAAGGCCCAACAGAAAGAGATGGCTCACCACTTTCAGGATAATCAGTCAAAGGAGCAGAATCGTCTGTAATTTTAATTGTCATTGATAAAGAAGAAATTTAAAAAAAAAAGCGAGATAAATATGTTGTGTGAAAAAGCACAGTTTATGCATTTTTGTGATTTGTACAACAATGCTTAGCCGTGATCAGCTTTTGCTTAGCTCTTATGCTAAGCAGTTTTATCACATGAAAGAATTGTGCTAAGTTGTTTCTTGATTGTGAGAGTTTTTTTTTTTTTTTCATTTAAACAACTTTTTCTTTTTCTCTTTCTTTTTCATTCAAAATAATATGAGTTATTCTAAAGCAGGTAAAAACAGTGTAGTTCAAAGTCAATAGATTTAACAGTTTTGATCTATAGACGATGCTACTGTTGGTATTGCAGTTCGAGGTGTTCAACCTTCTTATGCAAGAGAATTGGATATCAGTAAAGATATCCCTCATGTAATATTTGATCTCATATTGAGTTATGTTTGTTAAATTTACTTGTGTGTAGGGATTTTATGAGACAATGATGACATGTATTGGAAACTCAATCGGGTTCCTTGGATCAGTAAGTCTTTATAAATAGACTTCATGCTGAACTTTCATTAGTTTCCTTGTATTGTATGCTGTCCAAACCCTTACAAAGAAGTTCGGCAAGGTAAAACACACTTTTACAAACAAAAACAGAAACTTATCAATGGCAGGAAATGTTGGACTTGTTGAAAAATTCGGTAAATTTTACAAGTGCGTAGATCCAGGCCTTGTAAAAGTGAATCCTGCTACTGAAGCAATGAAGAAAGTCGATATTACCATTCAAGTAACAGAAGTCCCTAAACAAGATGTCATTACCAAGGTAAAACATAAAGGAACAATACATAATGTTAAGTTAGTGTAGGATAATGTGAGTGTGACCCTGGAGTCTGTTATATATTGGCACATTGTCGATCCTTACCAGGCTACGTATAATGTTACTGATGTTGGTTATGCTCTTGTTGAAAGGTACATTTGACGCCATGGATGTATTTTGTCTAATGCAACTATAGAGCAAGCACTTCTTTGCGTGATGTCTGTGGTGGACATTCTGTACAGGATCTTATTGAGAACAGAGAAGCGGTCTCTGAAGAATTACACGAAATAATAGGTCCCATCGCAAAGAGCTGGGGTGTCAAGGTAACATTACATAATCTTTTCAGGGCAGAATTTAATTTTGTTGCATGATTAGATTGAATCAACTTTGATCAAAGACATCACACTTTCCAAGGAACTGCAAATGGCATTATCTTCAGCAGCAGAAGCTAAAAGACTGGGTGAGTCCCGGGTAATCACATCGAAAGCAGAAGTAGAGGCTGCCAAACTGATGCGTGATGCCGCTGATATCCTAAACACACCAGCAGCTATACAGATTCGTTATTTGGAAACACTTCAAGCTATGAGTAGAAACAGTTCTGGTACAAAGACAATATTTGTTCCTTTGCCCCCTGCACAAGTGAATACAAATGAATAAACTAGTTCAGTGTGGTTGTATTGAATAAGTTACACGAGATGATCTCGCTAAGTGTTAAGGTATCAAAGTGAAATTACATAAACTTTTTCAGGGCAGAAATATCTGGCTGATTTATTACATAATTGCGGGCAGGGAAAAACAGAAACCAAAAAATGAGTTCGATCTCAAATAAGTAGCAGCAGTGCCTATTAAGCTGACATACAATGATACTCATAGTTAAACATATAGCTAATAGAAGAATGTTTCAAAACATAGCCTAAAAGCAGGTTCTGATTGCTTTGTCTTTTCTTTTTTGCACAAGTTGAAATAGATGGGCAAAATGGGGTTGTATTATGTAATGGGCTTTAACATATAATCGTACCCATATATCCCTCTTTCAAGTCATGTATTATTATATATGTCTTTATCAAAAATAAAAATAAAAATAAAAACAAAAACTTCACGTTGGTACTACTCTATTCTACGCGACTACGCAAGCACCTTCCAAATGAACCTTTTCTGTCTAATAACAGGGCTTTGAAATTAGAAATAGAACGTGTCATCGATGAGTCTGAGTTAACGGAACCCCAATAAATCCCGGCTTACCTAATATTGCTATCCTATTATTCGTTGCTTTATAAGATGTAAGTCAGAAACTTTCATGTCTAATTGGCTGTAGATCATGCCAATTTGAAACTCCTGTATCACGTCAGTGTATTGTTATTATTAATGCATTGCGTTTCTTTTATTCTAGAGCAGCTTCCGCGGATAAGGAATGGATTACTAACCACTTGCATAAAAAGAAAGAAACGATCCTTTATATAGTTTACATGACTATTACGTAAAGCTGTTGAGGGTGATTAGTACCCAACTTAAATTGGTGTCGGACATGTTCTCGGGAAAAGGCAGGATGTTTTCTATTTTCTTAAACACGAAACGCGTATTTTTTATACAAAAAAAGGGGAACATTCGGAAAATAGTGGGGTAGAATAATACACCGTATTGAGAAAAAACCAACAAAGCCCATGATTACACAAAATAGGTTTGAAGATAAGGACAATTAAATAGATCCTTTTGATTAAAACATGAGCGGACAAAGTATTCTTTATTAAGCAGTCCTAAAGCAGGCTCCCGACACCTCTTACATCATCCAAGACCTAACACTATTTAATCTAGCAAGTTTAGCATTACTGTTTCTCTTTTTTCTTTTCTTTTTTCTTTTAATCTTTATACAATAAATAATTAAAATGGTTGAAGCTGTGTAAGTAGTTTATCTATTATCTGCAATGTAATAACGCGTCCTTAGTGCTGATATTGGTCTCATTGGTTTGGCTGTCATGGTAATGTCGCTTATCTATAGCATAAAAAAAAAGGAAATACGTGTGTATTAAACATGCTCTATAGGGTCAAAACCTCATCTTAAACATGAATGATCACGGTTATACCGTCTGTGCCTACAACCGTACTACTTCCAAGGTTGATGACTTCTTGAACAACGAAGCCAAGGGTACTAAGATTGTTGGTGCTCACTCCGTTGAAGAACTCTGTGCCAAGTTGAAGCGTCCCAGAAAGGTTATGTTGCTCGTCAAGGCTGGTTCTGCTGTCGATGCTTTCATTGACCAATTGTTGCCTTACCTCGAAGAAGGTGATATCATCATCGATGGTGGTAACTCTCACTTCCCTGACTCTATCCGTCGTGCTAAGGAATTGGAACAAAAGGGTATCCTTTTCGTCGGTTCTGGTGTCTCTGGTGGTGAAGAAGGTGCCCGTTTCGGTCCTTCTTTGATGCCTGGTGGTAACCCCAAGGCCTGGCCTGCTATCAAGAACATCTTCCAAGATATCTCTGCTAAGGCTCCCGATGGTGCTCCTTGTTGTGAATGGGTTGGTGAAACTGGCGCTGGTCACTACGTCAAGATGGTTCACAACGGTATTGGTAAGTGCACTAAATTTATGACTCAAGGATGACAAATCTAATATTTTTTATTTTTATTTTTTAGAATATGGTGACATGCAATTGATTTGTGAAGTTTACCAAATCATGAAGGAAGGTCTTGGTATGTCTCACGAAGAAATGGCTTCTACTTTTGAAGAATGGAACAAGGGTGAATTGGACTCTTTCTTGATCGAAATCACTCGTGATATCCTCAAGTACAAGGACACTGATGGTAAGCCATTGGTTGAAAAGATCCTTGATACTGCTGGTCAAAAGGGTACTGGTAAGTGGACTGGTATTGACTCTCTTGACCGTGGTATTCCTGTTACCTTGATTGGTGAAGCTGTCTATGCTCGTTGTCTCTCCTCTTTGAAGGGTGAACGTACTCGTGCCTCCAAGATCTTGAAGGGTCCTACTCCCAAGTTCGAAGGTGACAAAGCCAAGTTCGTTGCTCAACTCGGTCAAGCCCTTTACGCTTCCAAGATTGTCTCTTACGCTCAAGGTTTCATGTTGATGCGTCAAGCTGCCAAGGATAACAGCTGGAACTTGAACAATGCCGGTATTGCCTTGATGTGGCGTGGTGGTTGTATCATTCGTTCTGTCTTCTTGGGTAAGATCAAGGATGCTTACACCAACAATCCCGAACTCGAAAACTTGTTGTTCGACCCCTTCTTCCAAAAGGCTACTGAAGATGCTCAAGAATCCTGGAGAGCCGTCATTGCCACTGCTGTTCAAATGGGTATCCCTACTCCTGCTCTTTCTACTGCCTTGAACTTCTACGATGGTCTCCGTCACGAAGTTCTCCCTGCTAACCTTCTCCAAGCTCAACGTGATTACTTTGGTGCTCACACTTACGAACTTTTGGAATCTCCCGGTAAGCACGTCCACACCAACTGGACTGGTAAGGGTGGTAACGTTTCTGCCTCTACCTATGATGCTTAAATGTCTATACATACTTTTTGATTTATTTTTCTTTTGTATTTTTACATTATCATTCTCGACATTCTGTAAAGTTTAAGAAACACGAAAACAAAAAAAAAAGCAAAAGCTTTTTTTGTTAATAAAGACTTTCGAATATTTTTTTTCTCAATACCACTTCAATTCATAAAGTTCTTCAATTGACACAGTGATGTTTATCAAAAGAAAAAAACACTTGTTTTATTTATAACAGTTGGTTAAGATCTTCTGTGATTACTTACCCAAACTACAGCTTAACTGATCTAGTATTGATATCATCATGGGATAGAATGCTTTTCATGTTTGATCTCTTTACTCCAATATTATTCAATAAGTGCCTTGAACATAAGTTTGGCTTTTAGCACTCAATGTGAACACAGGCAAATAAGGCTCGAATTGCTACTCATATTCATAACAATTATGTCAAAATAGAAGTAGACAGAATGATCTAAACGATACAGCACTAATCTGTCTTACAAACATGGACAGACTCACTTGACACTTTAATTACAAATGAAATCCTCCTATTTATACAAAAGTAACAAGGCGTTACTATTATTCAAATAAAAGCTGTTGATCCATGAAAATATGATAAAGCAACTGCTTTATTCAAGTGAAAAAAAAAAGCAATGAAGAAAAAAAGCTCTGTTTTATGAGCTCGTGATGTCACTGTGGCTTGCAGCACACTTTTTAAGCGCACACCAAAAGTTCAATTTCGGGCCAGCTATTCCAGTGGGGTTCAAGAAGTTGAAGGCCATAACAAAAACACCTTGTTTTTTTCTCTCTCCTTCTTTCTTTTTCTCTCTGCCTCTCTCTCTCTCTCTCTCTCTCTCTTCTAAAGACAATATATGCAAAAGAGAAAAAGGATATGTCTATCCAGTTGAGAGAGCCTTTACGTTCACTGCGACAAATAGGCATTAAGCCCTGGCCTTTTTTCAGTCATTACCGACAACACTGGCAACCACCTAGATCGTTTGTCCAGGGCAATACTACATCACACGCACACAAGTGGCCTTTGATCGTACCTTTATTTACTCGACGATCTTACACAGCATCTGCAACTACAGTACGATCCATTTTGCCCGAGGAACACGACGTTGGATCTTCCAAATCGTGCGATTTGGTAACAAAACACGAAAAAAACATTTCAGAACTATGGCAAGAATACCAGTCCATGTCAAAGGAATCACTAGACATACAAGCTTTTGAAAACATCTTGAAATCACTCGCACATGTCGCACAAAACTCGAAAAAGGGGTCAAAGCATTGGCCTTTATTAACACAAGCCTATGAAGAATTTAAGCAACTAGGGCTACGGCCAACAACAATCATATGTAGGCTGACCATGAAAGCATACGGACATATGGGGAATACAACACAAGTCAACGCAGTATTTAAGGAATACAAAAGACACAATATAGTGCGGCAAGACATGTACAGGCATTACATGTCAGCTTTACTAGACACGCAAGATTTATCTGCTGCCTTTGCTGCATTTAGAGATATTAATACCAATCCCAAAGTCAGTACGAAAGAAGTGTCTTTTTGTCTTGCTGAACTAGTCTCTGCCTATTGTGCTTCCAAGAAACACAAGGATGTGTTGGTAGCTATGAGAGCTACAGACGAACTATTCAGAAAATCTTTGTTACAGGATTGGAATGCTCAGGCACTCGATCAAATCTCGACAGCACTTTACCGTGGATACACTCGGTTTTTTAAGCTAAGGCGGAAAAAGGCGTCTTCTTTACCAGCAGAAGCGTTGTTTAAGGCATACGTAGAAACCCTATCTGATACCAACAGACCTAAAGCACTTCGCCATTCTCACCTGTTTGTCCTTTTCAATTTGGTTTGTCATCAAAAAGACTTTGTGCCTAGCATAAAGACCTGCAATTTTGTTTTGGACGTTCAGTCTCGTCAATCTGATCTTGAAAGTCTAAAAACAATACTTGGGTGGATGCAAAAGTTCAATATTGAACCCAATGCAACTACTGTCTCCATATTCCTACGAACGTTTGGTGCTCATTTGCCTGTCTCACAAACACAATGTCTATACAACATACTAAAGCAGCAAGATATCGAGAATCCCAACAACAAAATCAATCTGGATGTATGCAAGGCTTTTATTGAAGTATTCACAACAGGCCCAGCAGATATAGAGCTGGCAAAATCCGTCGTTTCAGACCTAAAGAAACATGGATCTGGGTTAGATAACAAGTCGTATGCCATGATGGCACAAGGTTTTGTCAAAAGAGGAGAAGTAGATCAGTGTCTCGAATGGCTTCGCAATGAAGGCTGCAAAGACTTGGACTCTTATGCAGTTTTGATGGAAGGGTTTTTGAGTCAAGGAAGATGGGATCGCTGTGTAGAGGAATACTATGCTTTGGCACAAGAGTTTGAAGACGCAGTTCATAGTAATCGTCGTGTTGTAAAGGCCCTGTTAACAGCTAAATTTGCGCAAGACAAAAGCCATGATTGCCAAGTGTTATTGAAACCGAGTTTCAAGATGAAATTTACACCCACTACTATCCTTCGGATTGTTGAAACGCTGCTTCGGCTGGAGAACAAGAACGGTCACCCATTTGTGTCTGGAGAATATGTTGTCAAATCTTTAAAGACATTAGAATCAAGCCTACGTGTCTATCTGGATGAGGAAGGTATAGGCCGAGTCATCATAGGCTTGGGTAAGCGTGGTGATTGTGAAGATGCTTTCCAGTTGTATAACTGGGTGCGAGAAGGTGGCCATCAAGAGAGTCGCAAGCGATGTGGAAGTACCGTCATTTACCGAGCTATGATGTTGGCGGCCACAGAGAACAATGATATGCGTAGAGTGGAAAGAGCCTGGGTTGACATGCAATATAGAAAGCGATTTTACGGCAAATGCAACAGTAAAGAATTACATAGACTCGCTACTTACAATTCACTCCTTAATGCTTTTGCATCTCAACTACCTCATCCTAATATCACAGGCGTCAAGCGAGCGTTTAGGAGACTTATAAAGCAAAACCTAGAGCCTGATTCAGTGACCTATAATATCCTCATCAAGGCTTTTGTGAATGCAAACAACATGGATGCTGCCAATCAAATTTATAGAAAGATGCTATCTCATTTAAGCACGCCACCCGATCAATACACTGTGAATACGTTGCTGAATGGCTGGATTGCACGCAAAGATTGGACACAAGTAGAGAGTTTTGTTCAAGAGTTAAAGCACAGTGGCAATTTGAACATGGTTACATTCAACATGCTTGTTCAGAACTTTTTACGGCTGAATCCAAGAACCACGGCTCATCTGCGTGTACTCAAGCATCAAAAAAAGTGGGATATTGTACAAGCATGTCAAGAAAAGAAACCTGATATGACAAGCAAGACTATTTGGGACATCTTTGAAGCCACTACAGGTTACAGCCAATCCATGGTAACAACCAAGATTAATCCCAGCTTACAATTGACAGAATCCAACACTTCCCTGTGCGACCAACTGTGTCATTTGGATCACCAATCAGCACAACGTATTTCAGCCAAACCAGAGGTTTCTCAGTTTGCATTTGTCAAGCTCTTCTCAAACTCTACTGAAGCAGATCAAGTAACTTACAAGCTTTTCATGAAAGCCTTTATGAACATAGGCGATCAGCCATCTGCTTCTGCAATACATCAATGGATGCAGTATCGTCTTTCATTGTAGACATTCTATACCCCAATAAATATTGTGTGACAGTCTTTCCACTTTTGAAATTTTATACTCTTGTTGTTTGTTGCTCATCATGACAGACCTTATTGATGCTAAAGAGCTTGAGCACCTAGTTAAAATAAAAGAAGAAGAACAAGAAGAAGAGAACAGTCACTTGGAAAAAGAATGGGATGCAAGTATGGAATTAGCCCTGCTCAATGCCATATCGCGTTGTAAACCAGTTGGTAAAATAGATAGCATGTCGCGTTTTGTTGTACTGATCATCAACAGGCATCCATAAACACTTTCGCATCATAAGCGTACAAAAGCAGTTTAATCAGAATAGTCCTATTTCTTGTTCAATAAAAGAAATATGGGACAAATTGGGTGAATTTTATGGCATGTCTGCTTTGGATGAATTGGTGAGTGTAAGCAAAGAAAGAAAAGAGCCAACAAACGATTCTTTAGGAAGAGGAAGACGAAGAACAAGAAGAAGAAGAAAGGGAGGAGCAGGAAGGAAAGAAAGGAGATGCTTTAATGGAGTTCTCCTTGCCTTTTGAAGATTATGAACAATTGATATCAGAGCATCGGCAGGATGACCAGTCCGTATCATCGGCACAAGAAGAATCAAGCGTCTCACCTGTTCTCCCCCCTGCAAAGCGTACCCGTACAAGCAAAAGAGATGCTTCTCCTGCTAATTCCGTAGCTGATTCAATTACCTCGACGCCCGAACCTGAAGAAGGTTGGTACCCCCAAAAAAAGGTTTATGAAAAAATTGCCCCACTGTCTAACATATCTTAGGTAAACCTTCAAGGCGAACCTCAAGAGGAGCTAGAAAATCAGAAGCTACGCCTGAGCCAACAAGCCGTAGTAGTACAGCAAGAAGACAAGGAAGATCTTCTAGTACTCCAAAAGGGACTAAAAGACAAACCAATAAACGTAAATAAACATGTGAAGCCGGGAAAGGTAAAGTCGGTTCTAAAACAATGGATTTGTATTGGTTGTCTCTAATTTTCATTCAACAATTGGGGCCCTCCACTTTTTTTATGATCTGAAGAAAAAAAAAGCCATATCTTGAGTTTCAATTCAGAAACCGCTTGTTTTCTAATTCGGTAGCCTATTTAGTTTTTGTTCCTTAATGTGTTATTCGTTATCATATCATTTTTTTTTTGTTTTTTTGGGATATAAAAGGGCTTCTTGATTTCAATTGATTTTCACCTTTCTTTTCTTTTTTTCTTTAAGCCTTTTTCTTAAATTAACTTGAAAAAGACATCATGGCAACAAAGAGAAATGTTTCAAGCACTGATGAAGCTGTGAAGCCTGTGATTGATGAAGCTATTGAAAAAAGCTGGGAGATCCCAGAATTCACAATCAAGGAAATCCGTGATGCTATCCCTGCTCACTGCTTCCGTCGTGATACATTTACATCTTTTACTCATGTCCTTCATGATCTTGTCATTGTTGCCTTCTTGGCTTATGCAGCCTCTTATATCGATACAATCCCCAATGTCTATGCTCGTATTGCTCTCTGGCCTGTATACTGGATTGTTCAAGGCATTGTTGGTACTGGTGTTTGGGTACTTGGTCATGAATGTGGCCATCAAGCCTTTAGTCCTTCTAAGGTATTCACATGTTAACTGCTCAAAATCAAATTGCTAAATTTTATAATAGACTATTAACAACAGCGTTGGATTTGTTCTTCATACCCTTTTACTTGTTCCCTATCATTCATGGAGATTCTCTCACTCTAGACATCACAAAGCTACTGGTCATATGGCAAAAGATCAGGTATATACCTTTTTCTAGGGTTAAAAAAATTTTTTTTAATCATTTTGTATCTTAGGTTTTCCTCCCAAAGACTCGTTCAAAAGTTGGCTTGCCTCCTCGTGATCAAGACCCTCAAGCCGATGGTCCTCACGATGCTCTTGATGAAACACCTATTGTTGCTCTTTGGCGCATGTTCCTTATGTTCGCTTTTGGCTGGCCTCTTTACCTTTTCACTAATGTCACTGGTCAAGATTACCCTGGCTGGGCTTCTCACTTCAACCCTACCTGTGATATTTATGATGAAAGCCAATACTGGGATGTCATGTCTTCTACTGCTGGTATCATTGCCATGATTGGTTTCTTGAGTTACTGCGGACAAGTCTTTGGCTCCCTTACTGTCATTAAATACTATGTGATTCCTTACTTGAATGTCAACTTTTGGTTGGTCTTGATCACTTATCTTCAACACACAGACCCCAAGTTGCCTCATTACCGTGAAAATGTTTGGAACTTCCAACGTGGTGCTGCTTTGACCGTTGATCGTTCTTATGGTGCCATTATCAACTACTTCCATCATCACATTTCTGATACTCATGTTGCCCATCACTTCTTCTCTACCATGCCCTTCTACCATGCTCAAGAAGCTACTGTTCATATCAAGAAGGCCCTTGGTAAGCATTACCACTGCGACAACACTCCTATCCCTATTGCCTTGTGGAGAGTCTGGAAGGAATGTCGCTTTGTCGAAGAAGAGGGCGATGTTGTCTTTTACAAGAAATAATTATACATATTTTTACATTTTATATATTTACATAGTCATTCACCTTTATTGCAAATAAACATCGATCTTAAAAATGCATATGCTTTTGTACTACCATTCGTCAGAACAAAACGCCGCTTGCCAGTGTCAATTAAAAAAATAAAATAAACGAGTGCTCTTCTCTCTTTTGGTTAAGCTATGGCAGCTATTCCAGATAAAGTGCGTATTGGTTCTCGTATTCAAGTGGGTAAAGATCGCGCTACGATCAGGTTTATAGGATCAGTACCTGGATCTAAAGGAGAGTGGTTAGGTGTTGAATGGGATGATCCCAGTCGTGGTAAACATGATGGGAGTCGTGAAGGTGTTCGTTATTTTGAGTGCAGGTAAGACAAGCATTTTCTTATCGCTCCATCAGCTGATTTTAACATGTAGGGGGTCAACCTCTGGATCATTTATACGCTATCATCCCGAGAAAATTTTGCTCGGCGTCACTTTTCTTGACGCGTTAAGAGACAAGTACTTGGAACAAGATGAATTGACTAGAATCAAAGGAGAAGCATACGATAAATCAAAAGATCGAGGTGAATTGTATCTTGGAGGCAATAAGCAAATTGTAGTAGAGACATATGGTTTTGAAAAAATCCAACGGTTCCAAAGGTTGGGTATGCATATACACATACAAACATATTCACATGCTTTACACACACAGTAATCTCAGTAGGCTCAAGGTAGTGGGATTGGCTGAACAGCTGGTTCAGTCGGCAGATGCTCCAGATCAAATCAGTGAAGCCAAATTGAGTAAGCGAGTGTTGTTCACCCTAAATACATTCAGCTGACGTATCATAGCCATCGAAGATCTAGATTTATCTCGGAATCTTATTTCAGACTGGGAGACTGTTTCTCTTATTGCTTCACAACTTCCTCAACTTGTTATATTGCGTCTCAAGTAAGAAATCAATCTGGCGTTTTAGTTAATGCAATGCGTAACCATTTCTACAGTCATTTGCGATTCACAAGTCCACCCAGAGAGGGATTGAGTCTGCATAACCTCAAGACATTGGCATTGAATTACACTGCCATCAGCTGGAATGATATCCAATTACTTTCTAGTTCTTTACCAAAGCTAGAGGATTTACAATTAGGCGGAAATGAGTTATCAGAGTTAAGCGAAATCAACTTGCCTTATCTGAAATGCCTTAATTTAGAAGATAATCAAATCAATGATTGGAATCAAGTGGCTAAACTTGGATCATTGCCGAAGTAAGTTCATTGGTTTAAGCATGTTTATTAATCGCAAATAATAGACTGGAAATCCTGTTTTTGAATGGAAATCAAATCACAAAAATACACTCAACATCAAATGATCTATTTCCAGCTTTAAATTACCTTAGACTAGATAATAATTTGATTGACAATTGGGATAGCTTGAATGCATTGAACCAAATCACAAGTCTAACTAAAATTAGATGCAAACATAATCCTATTACTAAAGGTATGTGTGCAGGGCAATAGAGAAAGACAGATAAAACTGAATAGTTTGTTAAACAGACATGGACAAAGAACTTGAGGCTGCTCATATTGCTGGTAGAATAAAAAACCTCACACACATCAATGGCAACACGGTAAATTGGTTTTATTATTAGGCACATCCTCATGTATCTATTCATAGTTGACTGCCCGAGAGAGAACCGATTTAGAAAGATATTATTTGAAATTTTGTACAAAAGATGGATCAACAAAAGAAGACATTGCAGCTGTACATCCTCGCTATACTGAATTGTGTGCACGTAAGAGAGATGCTGAGAAAAAAAAAAGAGGACATAGACAACTAAATGGATATAGAACATGGTGAGCCTGATTTGGGTATTCAAACAAAAGAAAGTTCATCAGCACTAAAAGACAGACTGATTAATGTCCAGTTAACAACAAGAGAAAGTATACCTTCCATGCATGATTTCTTGGCTCAAAGACATCAAGCTGACCTCCCGTTATTGATCAGCTCAACACAAAAGAAGTTTCTCAAGACAATGACGATTCGAAACGTGAAACATATGATTCAGCGATTGTTAAAAATACCTGCTTCAAATCAGCATTTGTATTTGTTACAGCCTATCTCTGGAGAAAGTGATCGTGATTTGATGGTTATGGATATTGAAGACGATTTAAGAGACCTAAAGTTTTATGGTATCAATGATGGAGACGAGATTTTGGTTTTGAAGGAATAAATAAGTCATTCTGTATATTGTTTATTTGAAAAAAAAAAAAAAGATTATCGGTCTACACTCACAAACACAGCCTGCTGTTGAGGGGTGGTGGTAGCAGAAACAGGAGTAGTGGCTGAGGGCGTAGGAGGGGAATAAATAGTAGAGAGAGATAAAGCTGCTGCTCTTTGTTGTAGCATCTTATGGTGGTTCCATTCTTCAACAAATCGTTCTATGCTTTGTGCTGCGATTTCACCACCATTGTGTGGGACACGAAGTAAAGGATCTTTACAAGTACCTGACATTGTTGAAGCATGCTCAATAGCAGGAGCCCAGTTACCTGCTTCAAAATCCTCACGCGAGAGTTCTACTGCACTCCCTTGATCTGACATCAATTTGAGCAAGCCATGTTCTTCAATAAACTGTGGTCTTGGCACATAGACAAAAGGTGTGCTATGACCAATACACTCAGAACAAGTACCATAACCCAATTTACCCAAAAGAATATCACAAGCATGTGTCAAATCAGGCACATAAGCATCTTTGGCTGCTCGATAAAATCGCTCAGGCATTTGAACAGAATCAGGTGCTGCACATACAATACAAATCCATCCAGGAGGCAAAGGATTGCCTTTAAGACCACCATCATTACCTAACAATTGGCCACCAAACGACAAGAGCAGAATCTTATGGGTTTCGTAAATGTGTTTAGGAATGCCAACTTGATCTAATGTTTCTTCACGGGACTGTCTATATTTTCGAAAGACCAGAGGGACATCAATGATTTGACGCACAAATGGAGAATTTTTGGTTGACTCGTGTTGTATATTTGAGACACTGGTGCAAGGTAACTGGGTTTTACCATTGGCCACACCTTTGATCTTGAGCTGTGTTTCGGGGAAATTAGTATTGAATGGCGTATGTGGTACAAGGCTTTTAGCATCATCAAAAGATGGAATACGGATTGCTCCTGGTAGACGAATCAATAAATCTGCATGGTGGTAATCTGCTATAACTTGTTGAACCATAATACGAATCTCTTGATCCAACTCATCTCCCTCGCATAATCCAATGTATACTTCATCAAATGTAAAATTACTAGAAATGGCTGCTGGGATGCCTACAATATGAGCTGCAGCGCTAAACAAAAAAAAAATTGCATAAATGATGTGAAGCGTAAATTATTTCGTAATTCTTACCATGGTAGAAAGGGAGCATCACAAATGACACAATCTGCCTTTACTTGTTGTAACCATTTGGCTTCGTCGTTTAATATCTTTGGTCTTTTTTCCAGAAATGCTCTAAGGTTCTTGATAGTCTGGTTGCGGTCTACAGTGTAAGGAAGTGGTTGCACAACACCAGCATCGATCTCTGCATGGCGATAAATAGCTCCAAGTTGGATTACACCTTGAAATATAAAGTCACTAGCTGTTGAGATTACATAAACTTTGTGTTGGGCAGGCAATTTGAGAATATCCATGATGATCTGGTTAGCTCGAGTAGCGTGTCCCCAACCTATATTAGTAGCCCAAAAGAAAATTAAATAACTACAATTATACACAATTTTTAGTTGTCTATTACCATGACCAGAGACATAGAAACAAAACGTCAAAGATTTAGTAGAATGTGATGAAGTATTAATAGTTAAGCCGGTCATAGTAGCAGCAGAGAAAAAGAAACAATAATCTAACTATTGACTGTCTTTCTATAGTCTAATAAGAAGAGAAGAAGAAAAAAGGAGAAAAAGAGAAAAGATAGGCTCAGATTAACAATAATGGAAGCGGAGTATTTGGCTGATAATAGTAATTTAAAGCTTATTGGTCTGGGCTTTTTGAGCTTGGACATTAGTCCCTTGAAGCTTTGATTCCGGCAAAAGGTTTCAGAATATTTTCAAAGCCTTCTAGTAAACGATTCTCAACTTAATAGAGAAAAAGTATAATTTTATGTATAAAAAAAGGAGCGAACTTTGAAGATTTTCGAATAATGATAATGCAAACCCTGATAAGAGTAGCAAAACAAATGCTTTAAAACCAATACATTGGTCTGCATGTTGCTTTTGAGTTTGCACTCAAAAACCATTTTATAATTACTTTGCCAGAAACAAGTGCAAAGCCCCCTCCCTTAAGTGGTAGTTTAGGTGTTTTTTTAAACATCTCTGCATGTGTATAATATAGACAAACAATGCCTGCCGAGCTGCATATTACTTTTGGAGTTGTTTTAAGTTTGCAAAATCTGTAATAGGCAACTGTTTCTTTACCTTGATTCGAACAAAAAGGTATAGATACTATGGTTGATCATTTTGCGATATCATTCTGATCATTTTTATTTCAAAGAGAAGACATTGTACGACTCGAAGCGAATGCATTTTTACTATAGAAAATATGCAAATCTTCTTGATCTAAACAATAAGGAGGTTGAACCTATCTAAAGAACAAACAAATACGCAGGTTTGCCTAACCACAAAAACGAAATACAAGGTATGTTTGTGCAATCTCAGGCTTTTCAAATGCCTCAAAATCATGTCTGCTAACAATCATGGTACTTTTGGAGTTGATTAGGACAAAAAAAAAGCGACTTGTCAAATTTGACCAAAATATGCCTTGACCAAAGGGTACTACTCACGAGAGTCCTCATTTTGCCAACTCTTGATCTTCTTTTGAACGCTACAAGATGAAAAATAGAGCTATCAACAAGCTTAAACACTCAAAATGTGCGTCAGACACTCTAGTTTTTTGATAAATGTGTTTGCTTGCCAGTTGTACTATAAAAGTGATACGATAAGGGTGAAAGACCTCGAAAAAGTTTTTGCCTATTTACTCAATATTTTAGCAGCAAATTTATTGTGCTCTCTGTATTAATAGACTCAGAAAGCAAAGATATACAGCTTTCCTCATTATATTAAAGCCCAATAACCACGTCTTTATACAGTTCTCAGCAAAAGCCCAATTTTTGATGTGGCAGGATAAAGAATTGGAGTTGCCTTCTATTTTAATCTTCGCACATTACCATCTGGCATGTTCTATGTCCATTTGCCCCCACATTTACATTATAAAATGCCTCTATTTCTATTCTTGTATGCTCTTTGGCTCTCGAAATAGAATAAGATGCTTTAGAAAGATCCATTACTTGCAAGTTCTATATGGTATCTAGAGCAAAAACGCTCAAAACACAGTTCAAGCAAGCCAATCTTTGATGCACCATTGCTCGACAACTAGACTATCAAACCACTCTGTTTTTTTGTTTATTTAGAACATGTTCTTTCAATCCAACTGAAATGAGATGAAGCCATCTCCAAGTACTTTCAAAGAAAAGAAAACGAGCCTACTAAGATGAAAAAGATGGGTCAATATGAGCATCGCCTTCAAATCTGCATTCAAAGTTCATTGTACATTATAATCAATACAAAAGAGGCCTTTTTAGTAGATATTGGCTAGTAAAAAGATAATTATTTATACAAGTTAATGCGTATGATATGTGAGAGTAAGGCATAATATATTATATGATACTTTTGACTCCAAAAAAAGCAGCTCTGGACATGATCAACGATGAATGTTTTGTAGGGATTTTAAAATATTTTTATTTGCTGCACTTACTAATTGAAATTGAAAGTGGTGCTCAACAATTGATGAGATAAAGAAAAATAAAGTATAGCGAAGGACACCATAATGAGACTAAATCATAGAAGGCATAAAATGCAGCTATCCGTCAATGAAAGTGTCTTCAGTTGACAGCGCTGAATGGCTAACTGTATAGATTGAAAAACGGTGAGGGGAGAGAAGGGAATGTCATGAATGACTTGGAGCCGGTGAGACTTCCAGACTTCAGATAAGACGATGGCTAAAAGCATAGGTAGGGAAACTGGGTATGAAGCCTGTACTTAGATATGTTTGGATTTCAAAGAAGTGAGTGCGCCATATACATCGTCTATGTTGGAGCCAGGCCATAGATATTCGCGAATGAGATAGTCCCAAACGGCGAATTTGTACGGACAACGAAAAAAGAAGTGATGGGTGTCCTCAACGTCGCCACATAAACAGCAAGAAGGAGAGGGATATTGATTTGGAAGGAGTTGCGATAACAATTGACGGGTAGAAATCAGACGATGTAATAACCGATAAAGAGCATTTCGTTATACTGTAGTGAGTGCCATACGCCAGAAGCGAGACCATGCAGCTTGAGAAATCACTTGATGACGGAAGACAGCTCCAACATTTCTCTTACTGACTTGAGCACGAAAGGCCTTGCAAGAAGTGACAGGATTGAGTGGTGAAGTATCATCTACAGATAACAATAGTCGACGTCGGAAAGCAATGTGCCTACAAAAGAAACTGTGTACACTAGTATAAATGCCATTTGTTATCTGAGCTCATCTTGCTCTTGCTTGGCATTTTATGCTGAGAATCAATCAGATAAAAGAGTTACTCTTCTTTTCTTTCTCTTTGTTTTATTAAAGATGAGGATTACAAATGGTAAATAGCTACTAAAAAAAAATATCTAATGTTGAATAAAGCTGTCGGTGCTTTACAGGCAGTATTGAGTGCATTCACTGCTTCTTCAAATGTCACTTATAACGTTATCTCTTTGGTGCCCAACAATCAGACATTAGGTGTCATTGTAGATAACCAGCTATATCCTTTATCCATGGCAAGAGAGACTTCGATTATCTTTTATACAGGCCAAGCTCCTCGAGCCGATAAGCAATATAAATATGCTCATATATCAAAAGATGGGTATGATATCATTAATCAAGAGAAGTTTTCTCGAGACCCAACCAAGGGCTCTTCTTCAACGCTCAACGAGTATTATGGCAGATCTTGGAACTCAAAAAAACTTGATCAGATCCCAACAATAAGGGAACAATTACCTTTTATCAATCGAATCTCTTCTGATCTTCATATTGATGGTGAAATTCCTACTATCCATTTCTTTGGAAACCAATCTGCCATTGATCGTATACATGTAAATCAAAGAGAAAGTATCAATATAGATCTAAATATGACATATATCAGGTAACTATGTTTTTTTTAGAGAAAAATAATCTGGTTCACATCTATCTAGTCCTCATAAAATCAAGATTTATCCTAAAGTTACATTTGCCATTTCAGGTCACAGCACTCGCTTCAATAATAAGGTGTCTTACAAGTTTAGAGTACCTAAAGAAGATACTCTATTCGGATACCACCATTTAAAGTTGAGATCAATTTCTACAGACAAAACTTATATGAGAGACAATTTGGCGTATGATATTACTGAATCAATTGGGCTACCTTCTTCAAAGCATAGCTATGTTCGTGTCTATATTAACGACCAAGCTGTCGGTTTGTTTGGATTAGCTGAAATCTTTAAAAAACAATGGGTTCGCAATGAAATGTCTTTTGGAAAGAAGAATAAGCATCTTAATGCTCTATATGTTGCTGATATTAGTGGCGGTCGAGGTATGGATGGTGGCCCACCGAGAGACAGCTCACCGAGAGACAGCCCACCGAGAGATAGCTCACCAAGAGACGGCCCACCGAGAGACGGCTCACCGAGAGACAGCCCACCGAGAGACAGCTCACCGAGAGACGGCTCACCGAGAGACAGCCCACCGAGAGACAGCCCACCGAGAGACGGCTCACCGAGAGACAGCCCACCGAGAGATAGCTCACCAAGAGACGGCCCACCGAGAGACAGCCCACCGAGAGACAGCCCACCGAGAGACAGCCCACCGAGAGACAGCCCACCGAGAGACAGCTCACCGAGAGACAGCCCACCGAGAGATAGCTCACCGAGAGACAGCCCACCGAGAGACGGCTCACCAGGCAATGGTCACCATCTTCCTGGTGGCGGAGGTTTTCCAGAGACAGGGCGCGGAAAGAATTCCGATTCGACTTATCTTGGCAATAACATCGATCTTTATAGCGCAGGTTACTATGGAGTCAAAGCAAGTTCAGCTCGTGGCACAGCCAATTTTTCTCGTATCATGGACTTAACCAGATTTATATCTGAACAACTCAACGCCACTAACATTGATGATTCCGTTGTACCTCTTTGGAAGGAAAAAATAGATGTCGATAGTCTCCTGCGCATGATTGCCTTAGAGATTGTTATATCAAACTCGGATGCTTACTTAACTATGGCTAATAACTATATTTTATACGACGATTATGAATCTGATCGTGTTGCATTTTCCGCTCAAGACTTTGATTTAACGATGGGTTCTGCTATCAATAATGCTGGTTTCTCTACTCGTCCTCTTACTTCAAGTCTGATAAGGGTACCCAAATTTAAGCAAGACTTGGAGCGGTTGATTTATAGAATGACAAAGGACCTTGTCAATACAAAATTATTGGCACCTCGTATTGAATCACTAAGAGATTTCCTCTTGGAGGATGTTGTTTGGGATCAAAATCTGCCTCGTTTAGGTAAAGGCTTAAGAAGACCTGGCCACAATAATGATAATGACTCAAAAATGGAACCTGAAACTGCCTTTTTAGCAGCCATTCATGGTCCAACAAACTCAACACGATCCATGGCTTTGTTAGATTGGATTGAATTTCGAAGTAACAATATCCTGGACTTTTTTGAACGATTGAAATAAAACTTTTCATTTTTTTTGTATTATATTGAAGTTGGCCTCAGAAGGATCAATTGGAAAAAATTTAACTTTTGTATTGCGCATTCTGTATTCGCAACGAACAGCGTGCTCATCTTTGACCAACAATAATAACAAGGGTTTTTTCGGTTTCAGATTTAAATTTTAGAAATGACCCATTTTAGATTTGTGTAAAAGTTGTGGTTTCGACTTTGAAATCCTTGGTGTTTCGGCATCCTCTTTTGCTCTATTTTTATCCATAAGATTACTTAGAAATTAGGTTGAAACTTGGGAGTATGATATATACAATGCTACTTGAGACTTTTTAGTATCATGGATAATAGACAATCACATTTTGTACGCTTTGTGTGAAGAAGTAAAGACATAAAAAGCTGCAAAAGCATTCTCAATTATTGTGATTTTCTTGAAACAAATGTAAAAGAATTGATAAATCTATAAGTTTGATATGAATTGACAACATCGAGTGCTATTGTCAAAAAAAATCATGCATATCTGCTTTAATTCTGGTGGCTTATACATTTCTTTTGACATGAACACAGAAAAAAAAAATAAAGCTTTCTCTAATAACTTGACGAAAAAATGGCTTTCAAGTTTAACTTTACAGTACGTTACTAACTTGTGTCTATACAGAAGTTTGAGACTAACTTTTTGCTTGAGAACGAAGAATTAGATCTCGAAGATAGCGAAGAAAGCCAACAGTTGGAAACAAGTTTGAGTGATCTGAATATTGACGAAAAAGAAGAGTTGAACAAGATCCCAAGTCAAAAGTACAATATTCTTGTAAGCAACATACGCCATTGTTTATAATGAAGTATACTTATTCAAGGACATAGAGTTCGCCTTTACCCAATGTTATTCAAGCAGATATTCTTCAAGTACCTACTGTAGAAAAGCCAATTTATAAGCGTACTTTAGCCGATGTCAAATTTCAAATGGCTGAGCAAGATAATTTAGTAGAAGACGACGATAATGATAAGGATGTAATCAATATGTTGAATTTGAGTGGTAATACCGATTTGATCCGAGGTGTTTATGAAGGTGGCTTCAAGACTTGGGAATGCTCTATTGATATGGTTCAGTATTTACATGGTTTGCCAAAGGAACAGATCAGTAATAAGCGTGTATTAGAGGTATGCATTGTGAATCTCTTGATATAGAGGTCTTATTTTTTTTTTAGCTTGGTTGTGGATCATCCCTCCCTTCAATCTATCTTTTGTCACCTGAACTGTCAAACCAAGTAGATGTTCAGGATTACAACGAGCAAGTCATTCGCTATATTACTATACCAAATATTCTTTTGAATACAGTCTTGACTGTTCAAGATCCTGCAACTGTTCCTGAACTTATTGAACAACCTCAAGAAGAAAAAGAACAGAGTTCAGAATCTGAAGCAGAAGAAGACGAAGAAGACGAAGACGAAGAGAAGAGAATTGAAGAAGATGCGATTACTTGTGATGCTGAAGCCGAAATTGTGGCCGAAAAAATCCCTGAAATGTTGGGCCAGGTCAATAAACGCACAAGAGCATTTTTTGGTGATTGGAGCTCATTGCCAGTAAGTTGCTCAAACTAAGGAAAATCACATTCTTGTATATTTAAATAAGTATAGGAACAATTGAACGTCGATCACGAAAAATATGATATGATTGTTACATCTGAAACTATTTATGCTGAACATGCATTACCAGATTTGATTAATGTGTTCCAGAAAGCACTTAAAAAGCCTGATGGTGTTTGGTAAGAGTGCTATTTTTATGAGCTAAATTAAATTGACACATTTTTATTTCCATAGCTATGTTGCAGCCAAAACTGTTTATTTCGGTGTTGGTGGCGGTATTTTGCCCTTTTGTTCTTTGTTGGACCAAACTCAAGACAGCGACGGAGACAAGCTTAAATTCGAAAAAGTATTTGAAAGCTCAAGTACAGTTAAGCGGGAGATTCTCAAAGTTTCTTGGAGCTTGTAACGCTTGCACATTCTGAATAAACAACACTAGATGGTCTTATTTCATTTTAGGTGTCAATTCACGTTGTGAAATGATTGTATCACGATGAAAATAATAAATATCTTGGTTCGTGTAACTTGTCCTTCGTCACATTAAACAATCTTTTTTTCTGCTTTATGAATAAAGTGAAGAAAAGCTCGGTAAATTAAAATATCCCAGTTAGAGTGCTGAAACAATATTGATAGTTTATCACTACTAAAGCGAGAGGCTAACATAAGCCATAAGGAAGCAAGAGAAAATTCTTGTCATGCTTGCCAGTGTATATTTTTATGCAAGACAGAAATACCAAGCAATTGTAATTAACGATCATCGCAAAATATAGGTTATATATGAAAATTTAGAATGTCAAGAATGGTGTTACAATTACCAAGATTTTTTTTATACATTGCCAACTTTGTACTCTGTGCCTGGAAGGGATTCTTTTGTTGCCATAGTATGTTTTTTTTAAAAAAAAAAAAAGGAGGAAGGAAAGGAATAGTAAGTAGTAAAGAAGTGGATGATGAAAGAATGGTTAAGACCGTGCACAGCCTTTTTCTTTTAGATGACAGGAAAAGCATGTTTATCCATTAACCCTTATTAGTTGCTGAAAAGAAAACGGTAAGACAGGCCAATCTTTATCAGTAGTCTAAACGCGTGTTTTACTTTTTTTTGTATATATATATATTGCTTTTGTTTTCTTTTTCTTTTTTTTTTTTTTTTTTTTTTGTTCACTGCTATTTTTTGTAATATCCTACACACCATACATAACAATGAAGTCAACCAAAATTGTCTTGTATATGTTCACAACTATGAGCGCATTACTGCTAAGCCAATCCAGCATGACAGAAGCAAAATCATTGGATCTGAGTGACTATGGACTTTGTGAAGAACCCGGAAATTCATCAGACTGTGAATTTGCTTGTCGAGAACTGGTCCAAGGCCGAGGAAACTGTATCTTTAATAAATGCTATTGTACCGAAAAAGCAGAAATCGGAAAATGTGAAGATGACGATCACGAATCTTGCGATGCTTTATGTCAAGATATGTCTCCATCTCTTGTTGGATTTTGTATGGATGATCAGTGCAACTGTATCACATAAATCACATTGATATATGCGTATTTATTTTAACTATGAACACATATCGCCAATATGGCTCCTCGTACACTTTGACCCCCTATTCTCTGTATATTAACCCTAAACATTTACCTTTAAAAAGAAAGAGCCAGTCTTTCTATACATACTTTTATAATCATTTACTTACTATTTATTTGCTCTAACAATAATTATAATAAAGATACATATGCTTTCTAATGCTCCTTTTTGCATTGGTTTAATTAACTCATTCAATCATTTATAAGTGAAAACAAACTATTTTGTTTGTCTTTTTTGTCATGAAATTAGTTTCAACATTCATTCTATTGTTGCTTGCAAGTGTATCTGTGTCTGCCATCGAAACAACAATGGTTATCCAAGAAGGACTATGTGAATCAATAAGTGATGAAAGACGTTGCTCGTATGACTGCAGATATGAATTTATGCAGCCAATGTGCGTTAATGATACTTGCTATTGTACCAGTGAAGGTAGAGGAAGTTGCAGAAAAAGCAATCACGAAGGATGCATTTCGGTTTGTCGATCTTTAGGCAAGACTTCAGATGGCTGCTATAATCATCAGTGTGTTTGTCAAGATTAATAAAGAAAGTAATTTTATTACTACATTAATATTGAACATGTTGTCCAGCAAACTTGCTATAGAGCGGTGTTGAAGGGCTCCTCTCTCCAAATAACACTGACTCAGGAGAAGTGTGATCAAGATATGGATAAAGGTGAAAAGGAGTCTGTTCGTTCATCTCCTCTTGCTTTTCTGTCATCTTATCAAAAGTGTCTTCTCCGTTTTTATAATTGAACAATTTGTCATCAAACAATGATTTCTTTTCGTCTCCTTCTTTCTTAAAATAATCATCTGAAAATGAAAGCCGATAGTCAAATGTCAAAGGTATCTTGGTAGTAAGTGGTAAACTTGCACTACAAAAAAACTCTTTGTGTTTTTTTTCTGTCAATGTAGTTGAAGGTATAAGGAGACCAGAATAGCCGATGGTACTAGCAGAATAAATAGAGGAAGGCGGATCAGGAATATATCGACCCCAATTAGGTTCTTGTGATAAAAATGCAGGTAGAGTTTGATTCTTTCTGACCCGCTCTTTTTTCTCCTGTAAAGAAGCCCTGATAGCAATACTAGTTAGTATTGTCCAGATAAAGCAAAGTAGGATGGCACACATCAATACAAAATCATTTAACAGGCATCTAATCTTTATGGTAAATATGATTCTCATTACAAAAAGTCGTATGTTACCTTTGATAGAGCAAAGAATAAGTCGAGTCTTGAGTTGAATCAAACATTGAGCAAGATGTTACAAAACCTGTAGATCTCTTGAATTGAACATAATTTTGTGTCCAAGGTTCAAATGAATTAGGTGTAATGGCTGCAATAACAGATATAAGGATAGGAAGGATGCAAATCAGGCCAACGCATTTATCAATAGAATATGTTTTCGACCTGCGAAGATAAAATCCATCAAAGCAAATAATCATACTGCCTGCAATAGAAAGAGAGAAAGTGATATACCAAATAAGGTACTATCAACATCTATGAGTGATTGAACTTCACAAAAGAAAAAGAAGAAGTTACCTGCCAATGCCCTGCTGTGATCCAATCTACAATGCCAGTCTGTTGCTTGTATGAATAATCAATATACACATTTCTCTTTTTTTTTTACCTTCAATTGGTATTCTTTGAGTAAGCAACATTGAGAAAAATGACAAATGAGCCCAATTAAACTGACAAAAAAAGATAAAAAGCGTAGCGTATGAAGAATGAAAACAAGTTTCATGATAAAACAAAAAGAAAGAGAGAGAGAGAGAGAGAGAGAGAATAATTATGTTTATATACAGTAAATATGTGTAAGAAGTTTAGCAAGAAATGACATGTAGATTCTATTGTATATGCAAGGAAATTGTATTACTTAAGGAGCATCAACAACTCCTTTTGACAGTTACTAAAATTCTTCGGATTCAATAACAAGACCACACGTCTTGCATTTCTGGACCGAAGTACCATCTTGATTGTTGACATCCCCAAATTCATGCTTATGGGGGCCTTCTTGTCTTTTTCTTTCTTTTGATGTGGTCATAGTTCTTCTTCTCAAATCAGCCAGTTTTTCCTTGAATTTTTTCTCTTTCTTTTCCTTTTTTTGCGCTATTCTTCTTTCGTATTCTGCATCAAGACCTTCTGGACCATTCCATTTTTTAAAAGCGTATTCTTCAACCATTTCTCTGACATACAACATCATGTCATTCCAAGTGTTTTTATGTGGATTTGGTTTTGACCAGTGAGGCAATAACTCTGGGTCTTTCAATTCAGCTAAGAAAAATATATGAGTACAATCGCTATACTTGTGCATGCTTACGATCAGTGAGTAAGTAGTCTTCTTTTGCTTCTGTTTTGGTAATCAAGCTGTATTTCTCGGGATATTTTTCTTTACATGTAGGACACAAATGAATATGAAAGACAGAGAAGAAGACAGGATCCAAGTCCAGAGACTGACATTCTTTGCATTTTGGATTCTCAGCAGGATCCGCTGAAGAAGCTATGACAAGGATAAATACAAATGGATATTATATTATAAACACATTACGAAAATATGGCTCAATCTTGTATGATTTCTTTTTTTCTTCCAGTTTTTTATCTTCTGTTGTCTCGTCTAAAATAAAACCACCTTTCAAGTCAACCATAGTACTTAGATCGTACTCATAGAATGACTTGATCCACTTTGCTTTTTTAGGTGCTTCCTTTTTTTGACGTTCTGCTTCTTCCCGCTTCCGTTTGGTCGTTGCTTTCAGTCGTTCCAAAGCAGCTGCTTTGTTGGCAGCAATACGATCAATTTGCTCTTGTGTTAATTGTTTTGGAGCAGAGGTAGTTAATTCAGACATAAAGTGTAAAAAAAAAGTGCCTTTACTGCGCATAAACGTTCTTTAACAAGTGACTTGACTTTCTCTATTTAGGAAACATTATGTAAAGTCTCATTTTTTACTGTCTCTTTAAATGAGGTTTTTTTTTTATTATAATTGTACGTATGACAAAAACAACATTAGAAAGCAGGATGAAACAGTTAGCTTAAAGCAATTCAAACGTTTTCTTTATCTTTTGCTTTATTTGATCATATTTATTCGCGGTTACCACGACCTAGATCAATATGTTAGCTTATGTGTGAAACTTAAAAAAAAAACTTACCAAGACCACCACGGAATTCGGGCTTGAAGTCACCAGAAGCACCTTCCTTACGACGGTAGTCACCACGGTCACCACGGGGACCACGGTTTTCACGACCTTCACCACCGACTAAAGTGACAAGTTAGCAACTATATCTATCTTTTCTTTAGAAAAAAAACTTACAAGCACGACGGGGGGCAGCGGGACGAGCAGACTTCTTCAAAGTGGCGGGAACAATTTCTTGAGGCAAGTGAAGGTCTTTTTGTATAGATCAATATCAACTATCATGTATCTGCTTAACTTACATTCACGGAGATAATCAATACCCTCATCAGTGAGAGTATAGTAGTACCATTGCCAAGAGAATTGAGTCTTGACAAGACCCTTGGAGGTCAAAGATTGCATGATCTTGATAACTTCGAGGTTGGGAACATCGAGTTCAGTGTGCTTGGGAGCGTTGTAGTCCTTGGGGGCGACAAGAGCACCATCTAAGCAAACAATGTATGAGTATCGATAAAACACAAGCGTGTTTTGCTCTTATTTACCCTTGAAGAGAGCCTCGTAGATAACCTTTCTGTTTTGCTTAGAGACAAGCATGATTATACCTTATAGAATGTAAGTAAAAATGGAATTAGCAATCGAACAAATGAGAAGGAGGGGAAAGAGAAAGACATGTGCACAAAAAGAAGAGTATGCTGATGCTATTCTAGTTGTTGTTGTTGTTGTTGTTGAATTGAGCAGACAGAGATATATATATATATATAGGTTATCCAAGTCAACACACTCATTCTTCATCAAATCATCCATCCTAATCTATCCATCAAGCACGTCACTTGCGTTCTTTCCTTCCCTTCCATCACAATATTCTCATTGTATATGTCAACTTACAATGCGATGATGAAAGAGGAGGCTTGCTAATGTTCACCACATCTTGCCACACATAGCCCACAGCACCACACGCGCACTGGCCTGCTCATTCAATGCCCTTTCCATACACGCTCCGCACCACCGCACACAATTGCCGCACACACACACACTGCATTTCCCGAGCATCAGAATCAAAGTCACCCAGTAAACTTTTTTTTATTATTATTATTATTATTATTATTAAAGTTTTTCTTTTTTGTTTTGTTTTTTTTTGTCTCTATAGAATAATGACAGTTCAACTTCCTTTCACTCGTCTTGCTCACCACCCTACGAAGCCCCAGCTTGTCCTAGCTAATGGACAACACTACATGGTTTTGAATAGCCAGTATGTAGTATCCAATGGAAACATATACGATATTAACTGTTCTCCTGTAGAACAGGTGAATTAATCAAATCCTATCCTAAAGAAGACACACTCGATAGCGTGACAGATCATTTTCGTTGTGTTGCATTTAACAAGGACGGCTCTTTGTTAGCTACTTCTGGTGAAAACAAAGAAATTTGTGTATGGGATACCAATGATTGGTCTTTAAAGAATACAAGGTAATACAGGTAGTATGTTACAATGTTGACTGATTGTATCCTATAGACCTGCTTACAAACGTGTCAATGCACTTCGATTTGATAATGCTTCTACACAAGTTGTTATTGCTGATAAGTTTGGCGATGTTTATTGGTAAGCAATAAGAGACAGAAAGAAGTGTTGTGGGCTTATTGTCTGTTAGTCATCCTATTGAAGAGATTGTCAATGAAGAAAAATTGAAACCCATTGTAGGCCATGTCTCCATGGTGACAGATATGGTAATGTTCTACAGTCCATAGCTACTTTATTCACCTGCCATATTTAGCTTTTGACGCCTGATGAAAAATACGTGATTACTTCTGACCGCGATGAACATATTCGAGTCAGCCGTTTCCCCAATGGCTATAACATTGAATCCTTTTGTTTGGGTCACACAGATGTTGTCACTTGCATTGATCTTATTCCTTGGAAGACAGACGTTTTGGTGTCTGCCAGTGGCGATGGCACTGTTCGTCTTTGGAACTTTGTCTCGGGTGAATGTTTGCAAGTGATTGATTTGAAAGAACACATTGAAGCTTATAAACCACCTGCTTCTGATGCTAATTCTGAAGATGCTATTATCAGTGCTTTAAGTTTTGACAGTGCTTCTCAAACACTTGCTGTTGCTTTTGCTAAATCACTTGCTGTTCTCTTGTTGAACTACAACCAAGACACATTTGCTTACAAACAAACACTTGTTGTTTCTTCACCTGTGTTAGACATCACATTTGATGTAAACAGCCAACTCTGGTTGTCCTTAGACAGCCAAGAACAACGCATCACATTGGCAACTTTAAATGAGGAACAATGGGCTGAAAACAAGGAAAATGATGCTTTGAAACACATCAACACCACTCAAGTGTGTCAAGCCAATAAGGTCTTTGATCTTTATACCATTTTTGGTCTTCGTAAATTCTTGGATCTTCCTGAACAAAATGAAGAAGAAACCAAGAATAAAAAGAGAAAGACTGAATAATAACAATAATAATAAAAACTCTTTTATTCATGGGGGGTATTAAGATAAATCTCGGTATTCTTCATTGGAGACATCATTCAACTTGTTCTGTCTATTAGAAATAGGCATTAATTCACGATCACTATGATGAAATGAGGAAGGAGTGGGTATCTCAATCTCAACAGCATCTGCATCTTCTTCAGTAGGTTGATGTGACATGGAAGGGTGTGTATGTGAAGTAATGGCAGAAGTGATGCCATTCAAGATATTGCCTAACAATGCAGAATCCCTTTGTCTATTGGGTGAAGAGGTAGGCAATTGAATAGCCTGTTGTTGTTCATCAGAGCGATCCAATAATTGAGAAGCCATCGAGATACCTCGAAATACTGAACTATGTCTGCCTTTGCCTGTATGACTATTGGCACTGCTGTTGCTCATGATATTGACAAGGTGAGGATTGGCTTCTTGCCAAGCTTCATAGGACATGGATTGATGAGGTGTGTTGGTGGTAACAATACGTTTGGGACGAACACGACTGTTTGGCTGTTCACTAGGAAGCATATTGACTCGATCAAGTGCTTCTTCGTCTGAAAAGGAAACAGCTGTACCACTATCAGCACTGATGGACAAGGCAGGTGAGTGCTGAGGTGTCTTGTCACGTTTTGAAGTAATAAGATAAACACCGAGAAACTCGATGGCACAACCTGACATGAATCTAGACATTTGTTCTAGAGTCATGTCATCAAAGTCATGATAAAGTACTGCACTGCCAATGATGGCAGACACAGTGAACAAGACAAATTGAGTTGGAATCACTTCGGTAGAGTCAAATCGTTGTAAGGCCTTATTCAGGTACTTAATTTGTAAGACAGCAGTAACAACCAATACAAAAATAAGCAAGTAAGAGACAGGGTATCTATAGAATGTGATGAATAAGGCAAGGACAGGCTGTAAGAAAACTTACGCAAACATTTTGAAAAAGGTTAAGCTCAATAAGGATGCCACGCTTTTGGTCGAGAGGACAGTGTAACCACCTAATAATAACTTTATAAATAATCTTAAACCCGTCCACATTTTACTTACCATAGATAGCCACCAAACCCAGGTCAATCATGATGCTAGAGGAACCATAAATAGGTGATAAGATGGTCAATGCAACAATAGCAATGGCTGTTAGAATAAAGTAAACGATAGACTGTGTTTGAGTAAGTGCTTCCATGATTAATTCAGGTGACAGCTATAACATCATTGTTGTGAAGATTTTGTGTCAGTTAAGAAATTAAGATGAATTGGACTTACAGCAGTTTCTTCAGAGTTTGAACTAAACACAACCATAGCTGCACCTGTTACTGCTAAAATGACACCAATCAAGTCTCTTTTTCTAAACACTTCCTTAAGCATAAGAGGAGCGAGAATAACATTGGCCACCAGTGTGGTAGTACCAAGAGGTGCAATAGTCGAAGCAGGAGCAAAACCATAGGCTGATAATGAATTAGACATGAGCTGCTGTAGACATACGACTTACCAACAAAATTGCCTACTTCACCTAAAATCATCAATGAGATGCCTAACCACCATAATTTGGATTTCAAGTATTCTGTGTCTCCCCCTTTTGTCTGTTCTTGAGCCATTGTCATGATGAATTTTTGATGTTCAATGTCTTCCTCGGACCGTTGTCTCTGTTGATATTCTAAAGAAGATCTCGGTGAGGAATAGCCATCATCGGGCATGAACCCTCCATTGTATTGCGAGCTTGATATCCATTGTGGTGGCTCATCCATATTGGCAAAGTAATTGGCCATTTGTTTGTTTTGAATGTTATTATGCTAATAGAAAACAAGGTCAATCTTGTATAAAAGAAATTTGTTTGACTTACAGCTCTCTTTTGCACATTCAATGCCACAGAAATAAGTGCCTGTTTCAATTATCAGTAACTTGCTTTATTGCATGTACCGCTTTACATTGCCACAAACAGAGACTAGTACACCAATAAAGGCGTTAAAAGCCACATCACTTTCTTCTTGCTGTTGTGAGTGTTCCATATAGAAAAGAGAAAAGAGAAAGAAGAAAAAAAGAAGAGTTGTTAGTTGTCTTAGAGGCATGGCGGACAATGAATTTATTTCCAAACAGCGATGTTCTCCTATCCGGCCACACTCCGTGTTTTTAGCGTTAGAAAAAGATGCTGGCCAGGTACAACATTTGAACATGCTGAATATTGCCTCTTTTGAGTAAACACGTTTGACGGAGTGCACGAGCTTTAAATTATTATTTAATTTGATTCTCCTCTGTCCGTCTCTCTTTTTTTCTTTCTTTTTCTTTTCTCTTTTTATTATCGTTATTCTTATCAATATGGGAGTCCAAGACGTTGTAGCTCGACTGAATAAATCAAAGTCAGCTAATACTACATCCAAACATAGCACTGGACAAGTGCCAAAGAAAAAGATTGTTATGCCTTCCTCACATGAATCACATAAGTTTCCTCCTTCACCTATTCCTTCACCTACATCCACCATGCATAACTATAGTACAAACAACAGTAACACAACAGCAGGATCAAACAATATTGCCTCTATGCTACAGAAATTCGGTCAACCTGCACAATCCCCCAAGCAACAAACTCGACAACCCAAGTCACCACAGCAATCACCATTGCCACAGCAATCAAGATCCACATCCCCCGGCAGTCACCGTTGCCACGACGACAATCGCCCTTGCCACAACAATCAAGATCTACATCACCTATTTCACCGAAGCAATCAGTGCCACCTCAACAACAATCAAAATTGCCAACGCCACCCGAATCACCCATCATTTCCTTACGACAACATCAACAACAACAACAACATCAACAACAACATCAACAACAACAGCAACAACAACAACAACAACAACAACAACAACAACAACAACAACAACAACAACAACAACAACAACAACAACAACAACAACAACAACAACAAAAGAAAGTGAAGGTCGTACCAATTGACAAAAAGAACGACGCATATATCAAGTTTGACACCACGGCAAATGAACTTGTCGATCTCTTTCAGACCTTGTTAGATAAGAATGCGGCTCATGAAGAACATATCAAACAACTCGAACAAGATGTCGAGAAATATGCTTCTGCTGCTACTAAAGTCAGAGATTATGAAATTCGAGTAGAATATCTAGCTCTTAAATTAGAACAGGTTTCTGAAGAAAGAGATTATTTTGAAAAGGAGTTGAATGAACTTGCTGAAAAAAGACCTCAACAACAGCGTTCTTCTGCTGTTTCTTCCTTATCGTCTAAATCTAGGTCTGTTCGGTATCGACCTGAAGATCAACATGATATTGTGATTGAAGAAGAAAGAAAACTACAGAACCAAAATAACGATGCTTATATTGCAGATATTTTGCATGTGTATGAAGAAATCTCAGCTGAAAATGAACCAGCCAACCAAGACAATATGGAGAAACAACTAGTTGAACACGATAAAGGAATTCAAATTACCATGATGAAGTACTTGGCTGATTTAGAAACACAGCGTCTCGAGACAAAGAATTTGCAAGAAATCGTGTTAAAGCAAGACGAACTGATTACTAAACTTGAACAGAAATTGGATGGACAACCTGCAGACGAATTGTTAAAGGAACAAGTTGAAGTACAGCGAATTGAGCTTGATAATAAGCGAGAATTATTAACTCAATTATTGAATGAACGAGAAGATTTGTTGAAAAGATTAAACAGCCAAAAGAGAAGATCTTCTATTGAGTTTATTTCTCACATGCTTCAAGATGATTCAGTACATAATAACCATAGAAACTCGTATTCCTCTACTTCATCAAAAAGTAGTGGTAGAGGTACACCACCTTTAACTGCACCACCAAAGCAACCATTACCACCATTACCACCTGTTCTTTAGACATTTATACATATATTTCATCATTGTACACTTTCTTTATATATACATACACATACACACATGCCTTTGTACAAATCTCTTTTTTTTTTTCTTTAAATTATTTATTAGACAAATAAAATCGAATAATAAAGAAAATGCCATGCATTGATACCCCCTCCTTTTTTAGGAATGTCAACCCCAAGCAGCAGTTGTACAGTAATTAATGATTAAATGACCATCTGTGTTGAAGCACTATAAAAGAAAGATTAAAAGCACGTTTTGTCTATTATAAACTGACCTTGTGAAGATTGGCCACAGTTTCATCTGGTGAAGGTGAAAATGCACTGTTTATATAAAGAAACTGCATGTTTGTTAGCGTGGTATTCATCTATGTTGGCTTACAAGAGGATCAGAGCCTTGATATTTTAATTCCTTCCTTAAGAACTGTATCACTGTCTGGAACTTGTTGGACGCTGTGAGTTTAAAGACTTTTTGCTTAAGGATAGGTGCATTGCCAATAGCTCTAAATATCACTATGACTATATGCGAGTTGTAAGGAGAGAGAGTATAAAGTATAAAATAAATACCTTTACTGGTGTCTTTCTCCTTATATTTCTCCACCAGTTGGTCCATAATATAGCAAAAATAATAGAAAAATAAAAAATAAAAATAAAAATAAAATGGTATAGCCAATTAAATCAATAACAAGCGTGTAACACATGTGTTTATTATTATTATTATTACTATTATTATTATTATCTAGTTCTGTTCAATTTGTCTGTTGTGCTAATAAGCTTCTTACTTAAAGGATCCACCTTGTTGATTGTCTTTGATAATTCATCATTTTGACGATCTAATTCAGTGTTCATTGTCAAAGCCATGTTCTTTAAACGAGAAGTAGCACCTCCTAGTAGATCCAAATTGTCATCAATCTCATCTTCAATAGCATCATCTTCAGAGTCTTCTTCGAATTGATAACGACGACGATCTGCTTCTGAACGCCCTCTACGCTCTTGTCTAGTTTGGCTATTGTTCATACGTGCTGTCTCTTGAATACGTTGCTGTGATTCATATTCAAATTGACGGATGTTATCACGCTCTGCCATATGTTCTGCGTGGTCTCTTTGCTTAGCCTCTAATTCCTTGCGTTCTCTTTCTTTTCTTCTGAATGGATTAGACACGACGGGAATAAAGATAGATCGGTTCAACTGCTTTAACTCTTCTGCTTGGTTGGCTGCTCTGTCTGAATAAGCTTTAGACAAGTCCAAGTGGCGATTCACATTGGCAATTTGGGCTAAAAATAGACGTGTGAGTTACACACCAAAGAATAGTTAAATTAGGCTTGCTTACATGATTGCTGTCCTAGCATGTTCATCGTATTGGCAGCTGTGGCTTCTGTTTCATGGATTTTCTGAAGAGCGAGACGAGTACTTTGTAAAGAGTCTTGCTTGACGTTCTTTATCTGTTGCTTAATACCAGCAATTTGCACTTCCTCATCTTGATCATTTTCATAGAGGTTGTCTTGTCTTGCACTGTTATAGCGACTACCGCCTCTTCCTCCATATTCTTCTCGGCTATTATAGTCGTCTCTGCCTCCCATTAATTCATTTCTCTGGTCAGCCTCACGGGAACCGCCATAACGACTTTCTTGAGGCTGTGTAGTATAGGAAGGAGCAGGAGAATAAGAGGGAGCAGGGGAGGAAGGCTGACTACCTGATTCAAAAGGATTGGTAGATTCTTCTTGTTTCTTTTCTTTCTTTTTCCAAAACATGTTTGCAATAAAAAGGAAAGAAAAGAAAAAGTTATTTTCAACGTAGAATTTATACTTGCATGCAGGTAGTTTGAGTCTCCGTTCAGCCAATGATTTTGATTTTAACCAAAATAACTTGTTATGTTACATGCATCTTTTTATTACAATCTATTATCAAGTTCGTGCGATTCTTCCGGTCTATCTATCTCAATAGAACTACGATTCCGTAATTGAGTATAAGCTTGTTCTCTCTTGTTGGTTTTTCTGGTTAACCAACTTGAGAACTTATCAAATGCGCCACCACATTCTCTTGAATAATGTACCGGTGAAGGAGAGTCAATGTTCTCAATACGAGCAGTGTATTTTAGAACATCTTTGACTGTCACCAAGCCTTTCAGTCGTCCTCTTTCTTCCAGTAGAACTACCCGAGGCCCTAACTGTTTAAACATGTCCATGACTGTCTCTAGATAGAGCTTGGGATGCACTGTAATGGGTGTCTGGTCCATATAGGGTCCAAAATCAACTACATCCGAAGATCCTCTTAAATCTCGGTTGGTATCATTATCACCATCGACTTCCGTACTTGTCAAAATCTCTGGTTCGTCACCATCTGCTGTAAATCGGCAAATGGTCTCATCGTGTGCCTTTTTGTTGACTTTGGCTTTCTCTGGAGAATACCATGAGCAAGTGTCTCTTTACAAAAAAAAATTACCTATCAAGTACTGAAGCTCAGAACGACCAATGAAACCTATTAAAATCATGGATTTTGAGTCTTCCACTACTGGAAAACCTTGGAAGTTTGTGTTCTCTAGAATAGATTCTGTTATGGAATATGAGTAATGGTTAGACTAAAAGAGGGCAACTACCAATATTCTTAAATGTCATTCCTGCTGCTGTCATTACAGTCATGTTCTCTTGCATGACATGAGATACTAAACCATGTCAGTATGTTATTTCAATAAAGCAAAAATTACCTGGAACACCAAACACTTGCTCATCATTGTCTAAAATTGGGTATCCGTTTAATCGGATATAACGATCAGCAATACCACCAGAGCCAAACCAGTCACCCACAGCACGAGTAATCATCAAAGCAATCTAAGCAGACATATGTTATCCCTTCTTTATCCTATGAATTACTTACCATTGTAGGCAAAATGTATGTAATTTGACCAGTCAATTCAAACATAATCACTACAACAGAGACTGTGATTCTCATGACACCACTAATCAAGTTGTTTAGTTGTGTGTGCAACAAGGTTATGTTTACCATAATGCTGCTGCTGCACCGAGAAAAGCATAGGTTCCTGGTGTGATACACTTTTAAGAGAGACATAAGTTGATTATTATTATTATCTTTCTCTAAAATAACTTACAGGCATATCAGGTCGACAGGACGCAAACAAAAAGAATTCTGGATCTGATCTACAGTTTGAAGTCAATAAATAAAGCCAAGCACTGCAAATAAACTTACTCTTGCCATGATTTTACAAGTAAACCAATCATTCTTCCAAAAGTCGCACCAATGGCCATGGAAGGAACAAAAATACCACAAGGCACTTTGGCACCATAAGTCATGATAGTACCAAAGCAACGTAAAGCAGTGGCTATAAAAAGTAATACGACCATGCGTACAGTTTCACTCTTCCTATTATCCATTGTCAAGACAGTTCTTTGTATGTGTCTCTATACCTACTCGCAAAGTCCATGATAATTTTCTGTGCCTGCTCCTTCGCACTCTCTGAACAAAACACCCATGATTTCAGTCATATCAATACGCAGAAACACATTAGGGAAAGCAATTAAAGCAGTAACAAAGGCTAGGAAAGCTGCTTCTGTAATTGGGTAATTCTTCAAAACGTTCTTTCTGAATTGAGCTACAATCAAATTATATTTGATAACAAGTGCACCATATAATCCCTATGTTATCATGTTATGCCATGTCTTTTAAAGCTAATCTGCCAAAACTTACACCAAACAGACCAATAATACTGACAAACAAGTACTCAAAGAAATGCCATTCACGATCATAACTTACTTGAAACATGACTAGTTTACCAGTTCGAAAAGGATTCATAAACTAGATGTAACGTAAGCTTCCTAAGTATGTTTTTGGCTGTGTTTGTACCTGAAGAACAATCGTAGCTATCATGGCACAAAAGAAACTCTTCCACATAGTTCTGTTGGGGAAATTAGAACTCATCTCTTCTAAAGCAAACAATACACCACCAATGGGTGAACCAAAAGCAACTGCTACACCCGCTGCACTTGAGGCTGTCAAAATCTCTCTCATTTCAGCTATAAAAAAAAAATATCAACCATTAGATGAATGCATGATAATGAACATGATACCTTTGCTCGTCTTGAACTTTTTAAAGCATCTAGAAATGACATTGCCCACACAACATGCCATATGAACAGAAGGGCCTTCTTTACCAATAGACAAATTTGAGGCAACTGCCATTGTCTATAGCTACAATTAGATGTCTGTTGATATGGGTATATCCTGCTTTACCAATCCAATACTCTTCATCACTAATGTCCATCCTCCCAAGAAACCTTTCATAACAAATCCAGCTAATAACACTAAGTTGAGATTATATTGACACGCACGACTTGCTTACCAATAATACATTTGATTTCCGAAATACCTGATCCAGCAGCATAAGGTGCAAATACTTTGACAAGATAGGCACATGTTGTGGCAAACAGAGTCTAATGTTTTCCATTAGATTAAACATGATTTGAATTCACAACACTTACTGCCCATGCTACATAAAAGGTCCATTGAACAATATATACATCAGGCCCCAGATTCATAAATTCGCTCCAGGTGGTCCAGTTATCGCAGCCAGCACTTTCTATAGAGCTTGGATTAGTCATCAATAGGAATCATGTCTCTCTTACCGCCGTCTTCCAACTCCCAACAACAAAACTTTTGATTGAGCCACCAAGCAGTTGAACAATATCCAAGTTTAATATCTGATAACCAATCTGTAATGATAGCAATCAACGCTGACATGAGCCCAATAGCAGCACCTAGAAACAACATGAGCAAGGGGGAAAGATCAGAAGGTTGAATGTGTACTCACCTACAAGCAACACGACGATCCAAGATTCCATGGTTTCAAACGTCAAATGCCACCAAGCACGCCATGACTTGTCGTTTGAGTTGAGGTTCTGTATAGAAGATTGTCGATACCGCTCCAATATGGCGTCCTTGACCCAGTCTATATCACGGTCAACTTATTTTTATGCAACTATCCATTACCAGTTGTTGTAAAGTCTTCATATCTTTTTATTTGAGCTAGCTCTTCCTCAATATCTACGGAAGAATTACGTACATGCCCACTCATAGTCAACCAAGCAAAACACAAGAAAAGAAAAAGAAGACAAGATTTAAATTACATGCTTTTTTAATTCATCACAACTAGACAAGCCATTGGTTTTTATTGGCCCAAATGGCAATGTTGAACAAGAATATAGGTGATCCATAAACCTTAATTTCTTTAGAAGCATTGGTAGCGTGGCATTTCCCATTTCTTCTTTTAGAATCTAGTGAAAGACTTGTCAGTATCATTCAATAGAATGCCATACAAAATGCAATTGTATGTTCATTATGTTGGCGAAAAAAAAAAAAAGCAAAAGGCCAGACCTACAATTTATTTTTAAATTCATATTATTATGTGCTACCATTCGGCTGCTTGTCGATCTTATCATTGCTTGACCACACTCTGTAAGCTATCTTTATGGTTTTAAGTGTTGTCAACGACCGAGTCACGATTTGATGTAAGAAAAAGAAAAGGAAGAAATGGCGCTTGAACAAGCCAAATGATCTTACCTTTTAGTGATAACCAAAGACACTTGTAAATGATGTCTTGGAACAACTCCGCCTTTCAAAATATGCGGAAAGAATGTGTTTGACATCTCTTCACTTTATTTGTAAACGAGTCTATTAAAAAATCTATTGAATAGAGTCACTTCTTGTGGAAACAAAAAATTTGCACTATTAGATCTTATGGGTTATTTATCAGCTTAGATAGCATGATACAAATTTTGTTTTTCCAAGCAACATGAGATCAAACAAATATATTAAATCAATGGAGAATATTCTCCTTTCGTCTGACAATATATCAGTTTGATTTCTAATAACAGAGTTTATTGTTTGATATCAATAACAAAATGGGGACGACCAATGCTAAAAGACTTGATGCTATGTTAGCGAGAAGAAGCGAATCAGACTCTATCTCATTACCCAATCAAAAGCGTAGACACAGTGACGTGACCTCTTGCATTTTTAGCTATTTTATAGTGTAAGAATTTTTTAAGCATCAACAGCTTCTATGGCGCAATTGGCTAGCGCGTCTGACTGTTAATCAGGAGGTTGGTGGTTCGAGCCCACCTAGGAGCGTTCTTTTTTGTATTTTCTTGTAAAAAAGGTGAAATGCTTTTATGGAAGGATCAATAATCATTTAGCATTTTTTGTCTGAAGAAAAGCCATTCAGGTTATTTTGCACCGTTAGAATGTTGTCATAGGACAAAGGTAGAGATTACAATAACTTTTAGTGATATAGATCAATAAATATAACAGAGCAATAGACAACAAGTTGTATGTAATTGAACAAGTAAAAGAAATATAATATAATATAACGTACAATGATCAAGGGACTTGATAAGACAAATGGTATGATAACAGTCTAGTTTTAAGTATAAGGTATTACAAAAAAGGTATGATTATAAGTCTAATAATGAATGTCTTTATTTGGGTTGAATTGATATATTATTTATATCCATTCTAAAGTACAATTATAGCGGCCCAAGTATAATGAGTCTATCATTGATTGTTAAGGTGATACGTTACGGTAAGCTTTTGCTGACTAGAAGTAAAATGAGCAATATGTACTAAAGCCTAATGCGATACAAAGCAATGCAATAGTTAGTACTCAAAGTAAAAAAAAAAAAAATAAGTAAAGCAAACTATAGCATTGTTCCAGTAAAATATGAATGAATAAATCAATAAAAGCATAAGAAAAGAGAGTTTTTGGACAAGCCTAAAAATATCAATGCAAGCGTTAATAGGTTTGATCGATTAAGCAAAGGCGTCCTTCACTTTCTCTGGTAAACTAAGTACTTGATTTAAAGGACATCTCTGATAGAAATGAGGCAATAGCTTCCAAACAATGCGAATATCACATCAGCGAGAAATGATGAGCAATCAAGTTGAATAAATAAAGCATATTGTCGGCATAATCTGTATTTGATATTGCGCGATATAATAATTTATTTTACTTTTTAGCTTAAATCACGCAATTGGCAAATCGTGTTTGCCACAAGATAAAAGAGGCAATAAAAAAACAAACAGAGAGATACTATTTCTTGTTTGACTCTCTTATATTGCACTTATGTCTGCTGCTGCTGTCTCTCAACAATCAATTATTGAACCTACCAAGAAAAACTGGCGTGGATTTTTACTGGATGGTGACAATCATTCAGCCAAAGCAGAATTCCCTGATCGTATTACAGGTCCTTCTGTTTGGGACGGTGGAGAGCTAGAAAGTCAACCTGAGAAATGGATTTATTACTTGACACCTGAAGACATTGCTGATATTGATCAAGCCCTCAATCACTTTGTTTCACTTGACTTGCCTTTAAGTGATATTGCTCCTGACAATTTTCCTTTAAATCATTTCAAGGACGTTATTCTCAAGGAACGCGAAAACCTGTTTAGTGGTCTTGGCTTTGGACTCTTGCGTGGGTTTCCTATAACTCGCTATGAGCGTAAAGAGCAAATCATTATCTTTATGGGTATCGGTTCTTATATTGGTGTTCGTAAACCTCAAAATGGTAAAGGGCATGTCTTGGGCCATGTAAAAGACTTGACAGAGAATTCAACAACAAAAACTGTCTATAAAGATGATGACCCTACAACTCGTATTTATGCAACACGTCGAGCCCAGCCTTTTCATGTGGATGGTACTGACGTTGTGGCTCTTTTGTGTCTATCGGAAGGTCATGAAGGTGGTCTCAGCTCCATCATTTCCTCTCATACAGTCTATAACCGTTTGCGTGAACTGCGTCCTGATATTGTGGAGTTAATGAAACAGCCATGGTTATGGGATCGCAAAAATGAGCATGGGCCTGATGAACCCGGATATCTCGCTGCTTCTCCATTGACTTACTACAAGAACCATTTGTTTACCTTTTGGGGCCCTCATTTCTTTGAAACAGTCAATCGTTTTCCTGGAGTTCATGTTGAAAAAGAAAAGTTTGAAGCCATGCATTATATTCAAGAATTATGTGAGCGTGAAGCACTCAATATGAAGCTGGAAGTAGGGGATATTCAATTAGTACAAAACTATCAAATTCTGCATGCCCGTACTGCTTATACTGATACTCCTGGTAAGACTCGTCATTTATTGCGTTTATGGTTCTTGGTGAATCCACAAGAAGTTGGTTGGGAAATGCCATTTGCTCAAGGTGACTATAATTATAATTATCAATATGCCAAACAGCAAGTTGTACCACTTGAAGCAGAATAATTTATACACTATAACAATAAACAAAAGCAATTTGATTCATTTCGTTTGTCTTAATTGAGTTTCTTATTGCATTGTTCTCGAAGCAACATTCATATTGATACAATCTCGACAAAAAGCGTATTCATTTTCAATGCAAAGGTAACTTTGCATGATTCACCAAGTTTTTTTTTTCTATAAAAGGCGCGGGATGTTAATTCATATCCTCGCTTTTACCCTTTCTTTTTGACGAAATGACAGGTGTAACAGAAGAAAAGAAACCACACATTTTTGAGGAATCAACACAGTATCAACATTGGCGTTTTAGTCCAGAACAGCTATGGGATATCAGAAACAAAAGTACAGAAGCAGCTATTGATCGAGTAAAGCGTAATGTTCAAGAAGAACAAGTAGGTTGCAAGTAGTACGCGTTTTTCATTTTAAGCATCTATAGAATGAACATGCAGAGAATAAAATAGATGACAAACGCGAATATCTTTCAGCTAAAGAAGAACTTGCTCTATGCAGTTTTTATGAAATGCAGTTACAGATTATGAGCAAGCACTGTAAATTCTCAGATATGGTCATGGCAACCGCAGTTGTCTACATGAAGCGATTCTTTCTGTATAATACAGTCATGGACTATCATCCAAAGGATATATTGTAAGCAGTCATAAACATATAGTATGCTCATTCCCTTGCTCCCCCTTTTTTTTTTGTTAGCTTGACATGCTTGTTTCTGGCTACAAAATCAGAAAGCGAACGTATCTCCATTGATGATTTTGGAAAGAACTTGCGATTACCTAGTACTGCAAATGTTCTTAAACTTGAATTCACTGTCTCACAAGGCCTTAAATTCCAATACTATGTGCATCATCCCTACCGACCTGCTTATGGCTTCTTTTTAGACATGCAGACTGGACCAACAGACATCAAATTACTCAAAGAAACTTACCGAAAAGTGGATAGAGCTATTGCTGATATTCTCTTGACAGATTTACCTTTGATTTACCAACCATCTCAACTTGCATTAGCAGCATTTATAATTGCAGGCAAAGACAATGGGTTTGATAGTCAAGTTAGTCGCTATATCAAAAGTCGATTCAATGAACAAGATGCTGCAGCCTTATTATCCATCATAGACAGTATATTAGACTTTTTTAAGGCAGTACCACCCAAAGTGACTCAAGAAGAGGCGAGAAATATTGATTATAAATTGAGATTATGCATGAATCCAGCCATGAATCCCGAATCTACTATGTAAGAAGATATGTTTATTAAAGGGGATATGTACTGACAGAAATATATAGTTACAAAAAGAGATTAGCAGAGAGAGAAGAGGAAGAAAGAAGAAAGAAGGCTCGGGTGGATGATGAATCTCCTGCTTCTACATCGTCTTAGATCCTTTTCTTCTTTTTTAAATCTTGAATACAGTTTTTGCAATACCATTTGCCTTTTGGTGGTACTTTTAATCCAACACATTCCAAATGAAACCATTCAATTTCGCACTATAAAAAGTTATATGCTTATGTCTTTTTCTTTTCCTATTATGTAACCTACCTCTTCATTATCGCATGCCACCATTTCACCAAAAGATACTTGAGAGCAATAGCAATACAGTGGTTCATTAGGATCAATTGGTAGATCACTTAAAGAGACAGCACTGTTCTATAGTGAGTAAAATGATGAAGCATAAATAGTACGTACGCTTTTGCATGTTGTATAGCATCCTGTGTTGATAAATAGACTGATTCTTGCTCATTGGATGTACTACTCTTTCTTTTCTTTCTACCTATTATCTCGTTAATAATCATGTCAACAGTCAATTGTGGTTTACCTTGTCTTTTATTGTGTAATTCTTTATGATTTGGTATTGCTTCTATTGGAAGATCTTCTTCTTCTGTCTCCCGTGTTCGTTTAGATGAACGTGCAGGGCCTATTAATTGTTCGTCTTCTATCTTTTGCAGATCGTTATCTAAGCGTGTACAATGTCTATCTACAGTGTCATAAGTTGACTTGGCTAAAGCAAACTTTTCTTCTCCTTTTTTTAAGGCTTCATTCAGCAATTGGCCAACATGTTCCAAACGTTTCCTTCTTTCTTCTACAGATAGTTTCTCATTGATAGTCAACAGGTGTTTCGATTCGTCAGCCACCTTTTGCATCAGCTCTTCTGCATTTTCATCTAATTGTCGAATAAGAGCATAATTACGTTGTAATTCTAAAGGCAATGCTTCCACAGCTATAAAAAAATACACGTATAAGATTACAGACATACGCGTCTATCCCTAATTACTATCTGAATATTCAGTCAAGTAAGTTGCTGCTATTTGAGATTCCTTTTTCATGATGCAAAACAAAAAAAGTAGTATAAAAAATGTGGACTGCGAAACCTTCTTTATTTTGATACCAGTCAAATAAAAGATGCCTTGACATGGCTTTCAAGTAGCTTGTATTTGATCAATTTGAGTCTTTTGTTTGTTTGATTAAAGCTATTGCATATAAGCATACCATCATTACTTTGTCTTTATCATTGACATAAGTAATAAAAAGATAAAAAAGGGTTTATATCACAAGATTCCTCATCATTGCAAGGTAGTAAAAGACTTGAAAAACTCATTTGGAAGAAATGAGATAGACTGAATTCTATAAGCAGTCCTGGATGAGAGAAGCTGTATTTCATTATCTAACAACAAAGGTATCTTAGCTTGTTCTAAACATATCATTTAGATACAACAACTACTGGGTTTCACACAATAAACAAAGTATACTGTCTTCTATGCATTGAAAACAAGTACTTGTTCTTTATCATTCTTTGGAATCATTTAATTCCTTGTGCTTCTGTATGACATAGGGTCAGGTGCTCTAGATTGCTATTGCTCTACTCAGCGGCAATCTCAACCTTATGTATTGCTTTAAACTTGACGCTTTAAAATGATATAAAGCGAGTGTCCCCTAAGGAAGCTTGAGTTTTAATTAGTATTCTCATGTCAAAAACTAAAATCTTAAAAATGAAGAAATTTCGACATTTAAGAGAAATGATGGACCAAAAGTGTCTAAAAATAAAGAGCTACCAAAAAAGTGTATTAACAAAGTTGGTAAATATAAATAAGGTACATTGAATGGTCTAAAGAACGCAGTACGTTGAATATCAAGACAGTGAGCTATTAATTTTGCCGAAGGATCGTCCTCAATGACTTATTCATTTTTTATAACTTAGGCCTTTTTCAAGCTGTTTCCTCAAGTTCGGAGAGATGCCATCTAAAGTAATAGTAGCACTAGAGTATTTCCATAAGTGAAACGAAAATGCACTCTTTTGGGAAAATCATAAAAGGAAGCACCAAGCTTATTCCTGCGGTGTTTAATGTGCATCCTCTCAGGCCATTTGGCTAAGATCAAGTGCATCATTCAATGTGCCAGAAGTTGGTTTCGAATTGAAAAAGGCTAGGCTGCTCAATGCCTCATTATTATACACAGAATTTTAAATTTCTATGTTTTTCAGAAGGGAGAGACAGTTTGAAATGACCTAAGCAATTAAAGACTTGCAAAAAAAAACTCATAAACGCCAGGAACTTTTCATGAACATAATGGATCTATAAGAAATATGATAGAGTTTAGCCGAATAATCGTCCTCAGTAACTTATCACTTTCTATCTGATGTGATTAAATAAAGGGGTTCACTCGCGCCTGCAGCGGACTACCAATCCGCCACTAGTGTTATTATGCTTATTGTTGGAGTACTTCTTTGTAAACAACGTTGTCACAACGTTTTTTTTTTTTTTTTTTTTTTCAATGGAAAACTGTATTCATGACCAATATAGACTTTGATAGACTCAGTTGCTTTGATTATACCTGGTAAACGCTTGTAAACAATAATTAACAACCCTTCTCATAAACGCTATGTTAATTGTATGTTGAATCTCCAAGAATTAAGAGAGGGGCATTTTTTGCCTCAAGAACCATATTAGAGTATGCGTCATCATGCCATTTGCAATTGTCAAAAGAAAAATCGTCTTTTGTTTTTGTCAGAGATTCAGTGACAGGATTTATGAATTTTAGATTAGATCTTTGCCAGGTTATTGTTCGTTCCTAGAACATTTTGAGTCGCTGTACAACTCTACAAATGTCTTAGTACAAACTACTTTTATACTATGAATACCAAAGTTTTTGTTTATTTAAATAGAATTAAGTTGAATACAATGCCATTGTTGATGATGCTTATAAAATGTTAAGTTCTGTTGATCTTTAATGATATCTTGTTTCCATTCAATTGGTTCTCCAATTTGTCCCAAGCAAAACAATTTCAATTTAGGTAATGAGAAGACAATCTTTTCGACGCTTTTCTCTATATACATTCCACCTTTACAAATGGTCAAAGAACTTAGGTTTTGTTGTTTCTGTGTCATTGTGTCAATCGTCTGTGGTGTAATAAAAACACCAAATAAACATAACTCTTTCAGTGCTCTACAATACATCAATCCCGTCAAATAATCGCTTGATTCATGTTGTTGTTCTCTTTTTTGCCTGAGCTCAAATACTTCAATTTGTGGTAATGATTGAAACAGCTGACAAAGTGAATTCGCCGTGATTTTTGGAAAGCAAAGACGTAATTCGATAAGATGTTGACATTGAGTCAAGTGCCGTAAAGAAGTATCATTGAATAACAAATCATGTTCAATAGCCGCATGTTGTGTTTCTTGGGGTGGCAGTTGTTGTGCTTGACTTTTATAGGCTTCTTCTTGCATTTGTTCTATGGTTTGTTGTACTTGAGGTGGATGTCTTTTGTTTGAAGAAATAGATCTTCTTGTCCTTTCTTGAACTGTACTGACTTGTACTTTCGGTCTTCTATGGACTGTACTGATACGATGATGTGTTATTGTTCTTGGATAAATGTTCATTTTAGGCGATAAATCAAGCCTTGTTAATGTGTTGGGACTCAATTGATGCACAATCGTATTAATATCACCTGTACGTAATCGAGTCAACCGAAAGTCCTGCAGCTTCTTCAAATGTAAAACGACGTGACGTATGCTAGGCAAAAGAATTGGTTCATTACAGGAAACATGAAGACATGTCAATTGTTTGCCAAACTGGCTTAGACATAGCCAAGATAAACTGTTGAGTTCAATGTTCAGCATCTTGAGTGTCTTCAGACTCGGTCCTATCGCACGAAGTAAAGCCTGGATAGAAGCCTGCCGTATCATGCATGATGAAATATCCAGGTAATGAAGATGACGAAATTTCATAAAGTCAAAAGGATGTTGACCATACTGTTGAGCAGTCAAGTCCTGGTATTGAATTGACAGTGTCTCCAAGTGTGGCAAGCTTTCTATCATCCGAGACAAATGGACCATAGGCACTTTTAGTCGCTGTGTAGGCTTTTTAGATAAGTCCATGGCCATTGAACATAAGTCGTGTGAGGGTCGTACTTGATAGACATTCTCTCTTTGTTGCTCAAATGCAGTATACAATGTCAGTTTTGTTTTATGTAAAGAATAACCATTGAAATGCATTTGTTTTAGTTGTGTTAATGACTTGGTGAATGTCATTATCATCTCTTCAGACAAATTCCAGCAACCACTTAAATCAAGCAGGGTGATAGGTGTATTGGATAGTTCAATAGCTGTATTGGATGAGAGTGGAATATGGCAGTCTCTTAAAAATTGAAGTAAATAGCTGTTATTCAGTGTCATGTTAAAAGGTGAAAAGTCTAACTGAGACCAGCAAACAGGATGAAAGCAAAGTAAGTGATGAAGTGCTTTACACGTCTGCAGTAGTTGTATTTTATCGCCTATCTCGGGCATATGCTCTATGATACGTAAAAGCAGTTCAACTGGTAGACTTAATAGCATCCTAAGAAGAAGAGAAACAATTTTGCATAACAGTGAGTTCATTCTTTGACTTTGATCATCATAGTAGTAGTCACGGCTTTGCATAATTATTTTCCATATCTCCTTTCTTACTTGTCATGTCACTTGAATTGGATAAAATCGAACTCTTTCATCAACGTTTAACACCTGCACATATTAGCTTATGTGCATCCACATCGCATCTTACTAAAGGGAAATGGATCCATGTCGCTGAAAGACAAAGCCGCGACAGAGGACATCATTGTGTTGCAGACACGACACTTCAACAAGGCGATTTGCTCATCACTGAAGAGCCCTTTATACGCCAACTTGACCATCAACTTGTATCGAGTCATTGTCATTATTGCTTTCGTGACATGCGTTTACTGGATGAAGAATGGCACATGTGTCGCGATGAAGACTGTTTATGGGTGATCCAGTATTGCTCTGAAAAATGTGAGCAATTGGGCTGGTCCTCAATGCACCAATGGTTATGTCGTATTCCAGAACTTCAATGTGAAGACCCGGATGCTTTATTTGCCTTTCAAGGATTTCTGGCTTGTCGTGCCAAGGGCCAAGGTAAGCCAAATAAGATATTGAACCCTATTCATATTGTGTTGTAGCTACTTTACCTGGACTTGAGTCTAACTTGAAACGACACAATCCAGCCCAACTTGAAGAATACCAAGCAAAGTTTAGGTCGATGGCTTCTTTATTTTATCTCTCTTTGTCGGAAGTACAGTGTCTTGTTGAGATCCTCTGTCAAATCCGCTGCAATACATTTGCTGTCAAAACAGCCAAAAGTAATGCTATAGATTCGGACCGAGTCGTATCAAGAGAATGCGTGACACTAGGAAGAGCTATTTATTTATCAGCAAGTAAACTGAATCATGATTGTGATCCTAATGCCCTGGCTTCTTTTGGTAATCGTTATGAAAATCCATGTCAGCTCAAGGTTCGATGTATCAAAAGTCAATTGAAGCCTGGACAAGAAGTGACAATCAGTTATGGTCCATTAGCAAGTGTTCATGAGCGAAAAGAGCGTCAAAAAAAATTAAAGAATCAGTACTTTTTTGATTGTGAATGTCAGGCATGTCAAAGGTAAATAATGATAATAAAAGACATAAAGGAAGAACTCATTGATATCAGCGGTGATTCAACACAAACCATATATAAATGTCAACTATGCAAAACTGGAAAAATGTATCGTCAACAATCCAATTGCCCTGAATGTGATCAAAAGCACAACTGGTCTCATGTATTAAGGGTAAGCATGAATCAAATATAATTGAAACTCATTTTGCCATAAAGACAGAATCAGAGATTGAAATGTTCAAGAAACAAAGTGACTATTTAAAAGTGCTTCAATTACAGTCCAATATCTATCATCACCATACACTTCCTATAGGAGACACAATGGATAAGCTAGCACAACTGTATTGTATGCAGGGTCAAATGAAACCAGCGTCAGATTACTCTAAAAAGTCACTTGAGATCATTCAGCATATTTATGGCAAAATCAGCATAGAAGCGGCCGAGGAAATGATGAAACTCTCTACACTCCTGTTAAATGCTTGTGTTACTGGCCATAGAAATCTTAGGCAACCGACAATCACACATATAAAGCAAACAATGATTACATATAGACTATTAGGACTGGACAAATCGATACCAGAAGATATGGAAGAACTTGAAGAGATGATAAACCATTTGTTCATTATGGCCCCATAAAGGCACATTAAACCCTACAACTGTCATTCATACCCCAAAAAAAAAGCTATAGTCTTCCTCCCCCCATTCAAAAAAGGAGGTCGTCTGAGACCAAGAGTACCTTTAACCTCTTCAAATTCTGGAGTACTTGCTTACAGTCACTCATATTCCCTCGTTTATATCTTTATTGTCCAGACTGCGAGCCTAAATAAATGACAGAATGAGTTCTTTAGTATAGTACAAGCGTAATATGTACTTTTTTTAATAAGCATGATGGTTCATTTATTCACTGTTTTTATGTCCATTTCAAAGAATGATAGCTTTTTCATGAATAAATATCCTTTCTTTAAGCAGTAAACAAAGCTTTGTAGATATCAAAAAATAAGTATATACTTTATTGTAACAACACTTTCAACAGAATGTTTCCTCCTGTTTAACATGTTTACAGCTCAGCAAATATTTCTATACTGCTTGTCAAAAATTAAATAGCCTTTAAAGGAAAGTATATCTCACGTCATAGGCCATGTTATTATTTGTCCACGTTTGAAATTATCAGCAAACCAATCAGTGTCATGTTTTTTGATCGCATAGTGATATGTGGGAATAAGGACCATGACGAGAGTCACATGACATTTCTAATATATATACTTATATACAAACTCAATATTGAATAAAACACTAATATATATATATATATATGTATGTATACACACATAAAGTAGTTCTTTTTATGTCTACCTTGGTTTCAAACAGGTGATGTTTTTTTTTCAAAACCCCAAAACCTGCTTTCATCATTCAAATTGAAATACCGAAAATAGAGGTAACCACTTTAAATATCGCATGAAAAACACTTTTTCTTTTCTTTTTTCTTTTCCTTATGGTCGCCTTAACATTCAATACTTTATGCAACTATTTACAACAATCTTTATTAAACAATTCAACTTCTTCTTCATTTGCAACACTTTTGTTGCAAGCACACAAAAAGATCCATGCTTCATTTCAACCCAAACAGAAACCAAAACGTAATGTCCATCTTGCAAAATCATATCAACTGCAGATCCTTTATCCTGCAAGAAACCCTTTGCTTGAAACAGACTTGTTCTTTTCAGATCCGCAAACTGTGATACATCAAAAGCATGAAGAGATCAAAAGACAGTCTCATTTAGGCCCCATTACGCCTCACTATAAAGCACCTCGAGAACCTATTGTTCTCTGTCATGGTCTCTTTGGTTTTGATGTACGTGGTCCTCAGAATATCCCTGCTCTCCAGTTTCATTATTGGGGTGGTGTAGAAGATACGCTGGCTAAGCTTGGTGCAAAGATCATTGTTACCAAAGTGCCACACGCAGGTAGCATATGGGAAAGATCACATGCATTACATACGATTCTTAAATCCATTCTGGTTGGTAAAAAAGTGAATTTTGTAGCGCATTCAATGGTATGTTGAAAGTGATGATGCATGATGAACACTCATACTTCATAAAGGGTGGATTAGATTGTCGTCATCTATTGGCTAATATTCCAGATCGCCCTTATCATGTCCAATCTTTGACAACCATTTGTACACCCCACCGAGGTTCACCTGTGATGGACTGGTTTCGTGACCATGTGGGTGTCGGTCAATCTCTGAACATTTCTGACTGGAAGAACTCAACTGCCAGTGTCATGACAACCAAAAACTCAAATACACTCCGACAAGATCCATCCATGACAGCCATGAAAAAGAAGACATTGGACCAATTCTTTATAGACTGGTTTGATGAACCTGCCTATGCTCACCTGACCACTGATTTCTGTAACAATTATTTTAACCCCAATACACCCAATGATCCATCTGTCAGTTACTATTCTTATGGTGCATCTGCCAAGATTTCTCTCTGGTCTTCTTTACTTGGTTTGCCTCATCAAATGGTACATGAAAAAGAAGGAGAAAACGATGGTATTGTGAGTGTCAAGAGTGCTCAATGGGGTACTTATGTCAAGACAATTCATGCTGATCATTGGGACCTTAGTGGCAAAAGGTAAAAGATATACATAGAAAATTATCAGGCTTTATTCATCTGTTGTATAGTTTGATTCCTTATCGTCTCAAAGGCTCGGAAGCAGAGAATGGAAAAGAATTTGACCGGCTTGAGTTCTATGCTGAATTGGCCACACATTTATATGACCAAGGTCATTAAGACACTGCAAAATGACATGTTTATACCCCCTCCCTTCTCTTACCACTTAATGATTTAAACACTATTTTTATTATAAACTTGAAACCAACTTTTCAATAGCATCAAGGTTAGGTCTACCTAAAGCAGCTTTTTTGTTTTCAAAATCAACCACAAAAGGTCGTTCAAGATGTTGAGGTTCTTTTTCCAATAAAGCATAGGCTTCTTCTGAAGATGAAACCAACTGTTGAGCGTCAGGACGAAGTAACGTCTTCCAACCAGAAGGTTTATTTGCCAAACCAAGATATTCAGATAGTTGCGATAATTGTTCTCGAGTCAAAGATTGCTTTTGATACAAGATAACCTGAATATCGTAGCTATATTTATCTTTATTTTGCTCAAGATAAGCAAGTGCATTACGTGATTTACTACAACGAGGATTATGGAAAATTGATAAGGTAGTCATACTGAAGAAAGAAAAAAAAAAGAGAAAATATACAAGTTATAAAAAAAAATTTATTTAGTTTGTGTTCCAAAGTCTATCACCGGAATCCCCAATACCAGGGCTAATGTATCTAATAGACCAACAAGTCAGTATATTGGTAAAGATTGATAAGCTCTTTTTTTTTTACCCATTTCCATCCAATGCCTTATCTATAGCAGCAACAAAGACATGGATATCAGGATGTTCTTTTTGAAGTTGAGCCAAACCTTGTTCAGACTAATGAAGATAAATGAGATCTATGTACACGTATGCATAGACTCTACTTACGCCAACAATTGAAACAAATTTGATTTGAGAGCCAGTCATACCCCATTCCTTTATCATGTTGATAGTTGCAATTGCCGTATTACCTGTAGCAATAACCGGATCCAATACAAAACATGTTTCCACTGTGGGTGAATCAGGCAATTTGTTATAATATTCTACAGGTTGATGAGACACTTTTTCACGGTAAATACCCAAATGATAAACAGGAGCCTCAGGGAATAAGTTCAAGAAGCCTATCTTACATGAATATCTTTTTTTTTTTGGTTCATTATTTACCATCAACAAATCCAAGCCCAGATCTTAGTACAGGAATCAAACCTACTTTTTCACTTATCTCGCTTGATTGATAACTACCATGAGTACTTGTACCCTATAAAAAAAAATTGATAAGAAATTGATTGTACTCTCTATAATTTAATTACCATAGCACCTTGAACCAATGTCATATCAGCAGAAGCTTCATATCCCAACAAGATTGAGATATCGCGTGTCAATTCCCTGACAACCTTTGAGTTTTGCTTTGCGTCTCTTAACTGAGATAACTTGGAGGCAACAATAGGGTGTTGACTGATATGAAGGTAATCGCTATTAGTCATTGGCATGTAAAATAGAAAAATGAAAAAAATAATAAGAAAAGAGAGAAAGGAAAAAGAAAGAAAAAGGGGGTTTTATACGTGTATGTTTATGCGTGTGTATGTGTAAAATAAGTGTTTGATAAGATTGCTTGCATTTATCACATGAACTATAACAAAACTTAATCAATTAAAGTCCCATGATAATATATCAAACATACAAACATACACACACACGTATGCATAATACATTATAAAAGACATTCTCTTTTTTGTTTTTCTTTCTTTCTTCTTTACTCTCTTTTTCTTATCCCTTTTTTTTTTCTTTTAATTTCTCAATCGCTGTTAACATGACAGTCTCCACTGAAGATGAATCTGTCTTGCAAAAGATGCTTGCTACTATGGAAAATTTACGTTCTGAACAAGCCAGACTAGCTGAACAGGTAAAAAAAAGAAAAAAAAAGAGAGAAAGGAAAAAAGAAAAAAGAAAAAAGAAAACTAAGTTATACCCTCTATATTAGATCGACAAATTTGCGTCTTCTGCCTTACCTGATGATAAACCAACTCAGCTTTCTCCTTCTACTTCCATCAGTGCTATTACTACAGATAAGGCTGTTGCTGGTGAATTTGCAAGTCAGCCTGAAAGCACTCAACCTGCTGAATCAATTCCTTCTTCTGATTCTCCTTTTACTCCTTCTTATCCAAGACGTGTAATTTTGACAAGTAAGTTATCTTATCTGTCAATTTTCATTGACACACAAATTGATAGCTTATCCTGGCCAACATGGTATCAAACCCTTATCATTGCATTGGGGAGCTAAGGATCCTAAAGAAAGAGGACCCATTGTTGCTTCTCGTCATGCTGAAAGTATCAAGAAAAGGTAAGCTATAGATAAAAGAGGGGGAAGAAACCATACCAATGTCATTTAGAAATGCTATTGGTGCTTATGGTGGCTCTTACTGTATTTATCGTGCCTTGGCTGTGGCTATTGGTGATTTACCTTCAAACCATCGTCCTAACTTTGATATGACCGAACCTGTTTATCAAATTGGACCTCATGCTTCTTGGTTTGATCCTGAAAAGATTGTTTCCCTTGACCCTTTTGGTCATGTTGCTCCTGGTATCTTTAGAGATGAATACAAAAAGGGTTTGGATGTCAGGTAGAGGAAAATGAATTTGTGCTTGCCTATACTGACTTGATTTAGACCTACGATTGCTATCACAAAAGCACATATGACGATGGCTGAAATGGAAATGAGTGTCAAGAATGGTGCTTTGGAAGTAGATGGTAAGATTGTCGTCAATAGCCGTGGTGATTTGGCTGTATCTAAAGCTGCTGTTGAACCTGTTTGGTACTTGCCTGGTGTTGCCAAGCGTTTTGGTATTGAAGAATCTTTACTTCGTCGTGCTCTTTTGTAAGTGATTTATGTCTATGGAAATCCATCTCATGTATGTATGTATGTATGTATAGTGAAGATACAGGTGGAATGTATCCTGAATTGATTACCAGACCTGATCTGAAAGTGTTTTTGCCTCCTATTGGTGGTATCAGTATCTATATCTTTGGTAATCCTGACTATATCTCTGGTAAGCTATTCGATCTATAAATACCTATGTTTATCAGACAAATAGACCCTTCTAAGAAATTAACACTTCGCGTCCATGATGAATGTAATGGTTCTGATGTCTTTGGCAGTGATATTTGTACTTGTAGACCTTATTTGATTTATGGTATTGAAGAATGTGCAAAACAAGCACAGCAAGGTGGTGTTGGTGTGATTGTTTACTGTAAAGTATTTCATTTATATATTTATTTATTTATTTATTTATTTATATTCTATTACAGTCAGAAAAGAAGGAAGAGCTTTAGGTGAAGTGACCAAATATTTGGTCTACAATGCACGTAAGTTAAACACTGTTCGGGTAACACAATGATTTATGCATCGTGACAGGTAAGCGACAAGCTGGTGGTGACACAGCCAGCAATTACTTTTTACGTACCGAATGTATTGCTGGTGTGAAAGATATGCGTTTCCAAGCTTTGATGCCTGATGTCTTACATTGGTTGGGTATTCAAAAGATCGATCGTATGATGGTAAAGTATAGAAAATATACGTATGTCTATTTATTCATTTCCCTTGTTTTGTTTATTTAGTCCATGTCTAATATGGTATGTATATTATGAACGTGAGTAAAAATATAGACTGATTAAAATAGAAACATGACGCTATCGTTGGTTCTGGTATTCCTATTATTGAACGTGTGCCTATTCCAGAAGAATTGATTCCTGCTGACTCAAGGTAACAAAATGATATCGACAAATCACTTATGGAGTCTATAGAGTTGAAATTGATGCCAAAATTGCTTCTGGTTATTTCACAAGTGGCTCTGTATTGACAAATGAAGAACTTACCAAAGTCAAGGGGCGTGACTGGGAAGATATTGAGCATTGATCATTGGTTCCACTTTCTTGCTAGTGGTATGATTCTCATGCAACTATAAAATACCAACCTTTTTTTTTTTCTTATTTTCTTTTTCTTTATAAAATAAAATATGAACTCTGATCGACAAACAACGACAGCTGTAGTTGAACATGCCATGTCTGAAGACGATTTAACACATCCTTGTCTTTATCGATTTAAACGAAACAATATGCCTTGTCATTTCAATTATCATCCAAAATTTACTTCGGATGTGCCCAGCCACACACCCACAAGCGACAGTTGGGATCTTTACCCTAGTCTAATACGTGAAATTGAAAATGAAGGATCTCCTGAACAAGTCGAGAAATTACATCAAATGCAACGCACTGTATAACATTTATTTCTAATAAACATATTATTTTTTTGACTGTAATCTTGCGTCTCTTTTCTTTTGCCAGGCTCGTTTCAAGACATATCTCATCTTTTCAATATTGTCATTCCAATTGGCCTCTGCTAAACCTGTCACTTTGCGTACTTGTTCTTGATTATAGACAAAATTCCAAGTACTACAAAACTCTTCTTCTTGTGGATCAAATTCAGGATCAAAGGTCTTATTCACAATAAAAGGGAAATAGGCTAAGGTGACTGAACGTTCTTTTTCAGTTTGATCTGTTTCTAATGTAGTGACTTCTTCTTTGGCTTCTGAGTCGAAAATAGTGCAAGAACCTAAAGGATACTTATTGTCACTGTGATCAGCTTGTTTGGGCCAACCAGCACCTGTAGGCCAGCCCTTGATGTCTCTTCGCTTGATATAACTCTCTGCTCGGTCAAAATGAGGTGCTGTTTGGATATCTGCACTGAGATCGACTGCTAAAATCACATCTACATCTCTGCCTTCGCGAAAAAAGGGATAAAATGGGATATTGTTATCCATGCCTGCGTCCATAAGATAGAGTTCTTTACTGTTGATTAAAGCACCGGGTCTTTTGATCGTATGTCCCTTTGATGTCTTGACTGTCTCTGGTATTCTGTAGAATGGATTTGGAAAAGAAGAAGGTGATATAGGATGATAGCTTGACATGGAAGATTCATAGCGACGAATGGTATCGTCAATTTTGTTGAGTGAACCAGTAGGCAAAAAGCTTCGAATTTCTTGATAGAAATGAACAAGACTTGCAGCAAAAGCAGATCCAAACATACTATTACAAAACATCAATGGATCAAATGGACCATGTATCTTGACTTACCCCATCAAAATATCCAAGGTTTGTTCAGGTAGTCTTTCCTTGTTTTTACCATGTTCAAATGCTCTGCCAAATGCCCACATTGGAATCCAAGCTATATATATATGAGATGAACACATCCATGGTTTATGCCTATATCACATACCTTCTAACTCTTCACAGCCCATATCATAAGGTGTGAATTCAAACCATTGATAGTGATCATTTTGGTTGTGGTCAATTTCATCCTTTGTTTCTTCTTCCTTTTGTTTATTTTCACCCTTATAACTATTCTTGAGTTCTTTGATTCTGTCTTCAAATGTCTTGCCATGTGAAATATCATGACGAACAACGCAATAGATAGGCATAGGTTCTAGTCCATCTTTGATATAATCTTCTTGGCCTGTTAAATGCATCACTTTACGATTATCAATATCTTGCATTGTATCCTTTTTAAACTCTTGTTCCATGGCTTCTTGATCCTCAGGTGTCTTTGTTGAATAGGGCTTTTTGGTCAATAGAGTACCACCCATCAATACACCAAATATGTCTACTAAACTAAGATCGCCCTTTTGTTGATGATAGCGTTGAATGGCACCCTCTAAAAGGAATTTACTGTTCTCTCGTGAAGCCAATAACACATTGATAAAATTTGAGATATTGGCCCAATGGGTATTGACATGCGCCTCTAAATGTTGCTTTAATCGTTCTGGCTCTGCTTTAGTAAGATCGTTATAATAGAGTGCCATTGTCCAACAAGATCCAGAAATACCACTGAAATACATAATACAGTCCCATGCACCTGATTTTTTCATGGCATCCATATAACCTGTAAGTCCAATCATGGCACGATAACCTCCTCCACTGGAAGCTAATCCCACCACAGGTATATCTTGTTCTTCAATATGGCTTGGATCTTCACCGATAAATTTAGCAAATGCTTCTTTTTGATGTTGTTTTCTTTTTGCCATAAACTCTTTTTCTTGATCAGACAGTGTGTTTCCTTCTCTAATGCATGGTTCATCAGCAATTTTTTATTTATTTATTTATTTATTTATTTTTATTTACCTTACATAAGCATCTCGAGTGATTTCTGGATGTACTTGAGGATCATTTTCTTGTTGTTTGATTTCTTCTACCATTTTTCTAAAATCTTCCATAGTCAAGTACTCCCACATCTTTTCATAACCTTCACTCAATTGTGAAAATTGACTTGTGAATTGAGGATAAAGGTCTGTTATTTTGTTGTTCAAGACAGAAGGTAATTCCAATTGCTCTAATTTTGTCTTGAGCCAGTCTTTATTGGTCATAAGAGAAGCAATTAATGCATTTTCTTTTTGTTGGTCTTGTTCTTTGGGATTTAGGAAAGGAATAGACCATAATGGGGTTTTAGAAGGCATTTTATGCATGGTATATCGTTGGTAAATCAACCGTTGTTTAGAATACCATTTTGTTTTCGAGAATCGAAACATGCTTTATATATAAAATAAGAAAAAAAAAAAAATAAGAAAAACAAAGGGATCGACTCATGTCGTCATCCAAGTCACAAAGCATTGCTGTCATGATTTCGTTTTTATCGTCTTGTGCGACATAGTTGGTACACTCATTTATTTATGTTCTTATATGGATCTTGCCTGCTTTTGTCATACTTCTTACACCCTTATAAGGTTTGTATGCTTCATGGAATATACGAAGACTATCCACCTTAAGTCCAGACACAGAGTACATGTTGATTTGAAATTCAAGGCTTATGTTCATACCTAATTCAGGATTCTCTTCACTAAAGATACTGATAAATCACATTGACACACATAAACAATAAGATTTACCTTGTACTAAATGTACCTGAAAGTACAGGTGCTCTATCTCTTTGTGACAATTTACCAATATCCCATCGAATACACTTTCTTAATGATCAGTATCCAAGAATACCATTCTTCTTTTTGTTTACCTTGTTGACTGGATCATACATATATTGACCAGAATTACATGTAGCATTCACACTACTTGTACTCTTGGGCATAGGTAATGTCAATTCGACTTTTTCAATAGGTTTCCCATCTGTGGATCGAGGATGAACAGTGATATCAAATCGACCTCCATTCTTAGTGGGCATAATCTGTGGTTTAACCTGAACAGGCATGGCTTGATAAGGTGATAAACTAGCTCTGTAGGACATCAACTTAAACTGACCATCTGGAGGGACAAAAGACAATACTTTTTCACTATCCCATTTACGATATCTATACCACATAAGTAAACAAGAACAGTGCAATCAATTTACCTAACACAGGGATGAAAACTAACATCATCAATCACTCTTGCATTGACGAAATTCAAAGAGAGATCAGGCATACCTGATAATTTACAATTGGTTTGAACAGAACCATGGGCTTCACAAGAGACAACACTACCATTACTTTTTAAAATAATAATAACAATTAAATATTGAGTGATTTAGACAAGCATCCCATCAGTACTTACGCTGCAATAGTGGCATCAATTTCTTCAATAATATCAAAATAAATTTCATTTTGTGTATATTTGACACCTGCTTTTCTCCATGGTATATTGGACATATGTTGAGGGAATTTGGGTGCCACACTAAAGACTATTTACATTTCCCTCCCATTTTTATGTGTATGTATAGATGGACAACTAACTTACCCTGCTGCTACTCCGACTGTGGTCATCATACGATTCATAATAGTAGGTGGCATAATGATTTCCTTAAGAGCATTAGGTTCTGTTGTTAAAGGGTAACCATAATCCATCATTTCTTCCAATAACTATATTGTCTAAGTCATGATTCAAACACATCTTTTTACTTACCTGATAGACAGTAACAAAGTTTTCGCGAATGGATGATTCAGACACATCACCCAAGTAATCAGTCAAGACATCAATAATACGGTGAATGAATTCAAACACAAGCATAGGATCCACTGTGATTGATTTAGACTTAGCTTTGATTTCATTCGCTTTCTTTACCTTCTCTCTCTACAGGGCATAACCAAGTCAAGTCATCTCTCAATACGTTCAGTAACCAATACTTGTTTGTTTCCAAGACAGGAGGGACATCTTCTCGGGTGAAATAAGCCTCTTTTAAGGAACCCGTCTGATTGGATGCGGTTGAACCAGGTAATGAGTTTATAAACTTGGTACATTCATCATTAAACACATCGACAATCTGTCTTGCAATGATGCCTCGCCAGTGTTTTTCAATAATAATTTTACTATACAACTATTGAGCATCTTATTCTGTTGATAATACTCTACCCTTGGTTGTTTATCACAAAAAGTGAACTGATCATAATGAACGCGAAACAAAAGAGAAAAGGGGAGATAGGTCTCGTCCTTCAACTGGAATTCAAATGGTTGCCAAATAAAGAACAGGCTGATTTTTTTTTTCCTTCACTTTTTGAATGATGCCAGCATCCAGTTCTCATGTCAATGAACCTTCTTTGGAGACCAGTTCTGATATACTTTCTATTGACAAGAATGAAGAGTACTGTCTTAATGAGCTTTATCGAATGACTGATCCTTCTCTATTAGTTATCAGCATGTCCTCAAAGTGTTGCAGATCTTGAAGTCTCAACAAACAAAAGCTTCTAAAGATATTGACACTTTACACCAATTGAAATCAGAAGCACTTAAAGATCCGTATGGGTTTCTTCTAGACTTGAACAAAGTAAGCCACTGTTCTTCATCCAGCATCTTACCATCTGATAGAAACCAAGACACCATATGCCAAAGCTACAAAAAGTAGTGGCTGTGCCTCCTATTGACTGGGGTAAATATCGGTTTCTGCCTGAATCACGTCTTGCTCAAGAAACATCTACCCTGTGTGATCTCACTCAGAAATACATGAATCAAAGAAAACCTACGTTTTGTGTAAGTGATAGGCGTTGACGTGTCCTAATTCTGATATGTTTATAGAATATACTTGATATCCAAACCCAACCAGAGACTGGGTCTAGTCCAGCAACACCCACTCTTGCCAAAAGCCTACAACACGAATTACAGAAAGCAACACAAGCGATGCGTCAAATTCCATCCCGTGCTGCTTCTGTCTCTGATGGATCTGAAGATGAAGATACAGAGAGTGTAGCTACCAAGACAACACCTCCATCCACAGGCAAGTCGTATGGCAGAAAGGGGAAGGGTAAACGAAGGACATCGATGGCACAGACAGGGAAAGACTTGCAGGCAAGTGCGATGGACATGTCAGAGACAGAAAGTCCTACTGTTTCTCGACTTCAATCGATTGAACCTCGAACATCCGATGAAGATGGCTTTACAGAAACCAATGTAATCAACCCTCTTTTTTTTAAAACACTCTTGACTCACTTGAATCGATAGGAAACACCTAGCTTTAATCAACCATGGACAGATGAAGAACAGGTAACCTATTCTATTCAATTACGTATACATATATATATATATATATATATATATATTGATGTCCATGTAGGCTCGACTACAAGAATTACTTGTCGTCTTTCCTGATGAACCTATTCAAGCACAACGATTTAACAAGATATCAAAGGCATTAGGTACTCGTACACCTCGACAAGTTGCTAGTCGAGTACAGAAATACTTTATCAAACTGGCAAAGATGGGATTACCTGTCCCTGGGCGTTTCTCTATTCCAGTAAGTTATCTTTTTATACGTTTTCATCTTAACCCCTAAAGAGTAGCCATCATGTCAACCAAAAGAAAAAGACCAACGTTCAAAACCCAAGTCGAAAAAATCAGGTCGCATCACTAAGCCTTCTGCACCTTCTCTTCGTACTTCAGGTGCTGGTTACAACAGTCTTTTATCAGGTGGAATCACAAACACACGTATCTCTGGAGCTCATTATACGACATCCCATGGTCCTCCTGCTGCATTTATGTCGGATGATGAAGACATGAATGTCAAAGAAATGATGCGAACAGTCAATGTAATGTATCACTTGTGTGCCTCACTTTATGACTTATCCAACTGTAGACTAAACTAGAAGCCAATGATCTTGTCATTCATGAAGGTTATGCAGTAAGTAGACAGAGGATATAGATGGGGGACCTTCTGACTGATGATGTAGTGTGATGGTTGTGGTACAGAACCCATTGTAGGTGTACGGTATAAATGTACTGTGTGTGATGTAAGTGAACAAGTCGACTTGTGTGGTCAATGTATGGAAAAGGGTACTTTTACAAATGGTAAGTGTACAACGAAGGAATGTATAGCCTTGTATTTATCCCTTATCAGATCATCATACACTAGACCATCCATTTGAAGCAGTCCGTACTGCTCAACCATTTCCTTATTATGCTGATCATGATTACAAATCGCCTGAACATTTAGGAGAATATAGTTATTTAGGCTTTTAATGAAGTGAAAGAAGGGGAGGGGTATTTACAGAAATGACTAGTGTTTTTTGACGAATAGATGATGATGTTCATGCCCTAATGCATCAATGCCTTTTTCACAAACCATGATGGACTTGACCCAGTCATGTTCCAATACTTGTTCTGCAGTGAGACGCGTATCAGGATCAGGATTTAACATGGCATAAAGTAAATGACGCATAAGGTCAGGAAACTTTTTGAAATTAGGGAAACTCTGCGAGGACCAGTGACGCACATAATTCCGAAATTCGCGATCCACTTTCTTATCCGCCCGAACCCAAGCATGGCCACCACGCCACATGGAATAGAGCACAATACCAGCAGACCATACATCGAGTTTAGAACCCCAATAGTCTTGTTCTTCAAATACTTCAGGTGCTATATAGGGCTCAGAACCCACTAGTCCATGGCTACGGTGGCCTGTCTTTTCCCAAGCACATCGAAACACGTCCGAGACACCAAAATCCGTGATTTTTAATGTCCCATCCAATGTCAGCAACAGATTCTCGGGTTTAATGTCACGATGCGCTACTCCCACTGAGTGTAAATAAGCAAGGCCTGACATCATTTGCTTGAAACAACAGCTCATTTCTAACGTTGTCATATGCTCAGACATGATGGCAGAAAACAAGTCACCACCGGCACAATATTCCATCACAGTACAATATCGCTGTTGATCATCCAGCACAAGGTCAATAGTTTCTACTATGTTTGTGTGACGAAAGGTAGAGGAAATGCAGAATTCACTTGTCAGTTTCTTCATATAGTCCTTTTCGGATTCATGTTTGTTGCGCTTTCGGAATTGTTTGATAGCATAGAGTTTAGAGGTATTGTTAGGCACTATTTTCTTACTGCGACAGACTGAGATAATTGCAGTTGAACCCTTTCCGAGACGTTTGTAGCATTCACCATATTCTCGGAGATTCATTCGATGGGGTTTATTTGTACTACCTGAGGAAGAATGAGCTGTGTTAATACATTCATTGCTCTTCATAGACCAGAGTGTCTGTCTTGAAGGAGACGGAGATAATTGAAGTGGTGTAGAAGGAGGACTTGATTCTCTTGATAATTGTTGATGTAATTGCTTAAAAAACCAGTGTTTGCCTTCTTCTAATGTATTGTCTGTCACAAAAGATCCAACAGATGAATCCCTTGAATTTCGACGACTACTTTGAGCAGAATGACTTTTTGCTTGTCTATGATGGGGCAAATGAAATATGTTTGATAGATGTACCATTGTATATAAAAAGAAAAAAAAAGAGAGAAAGAGAGAGAGAAAAGGGAAAAGACAGTCTAAAAAAACGAAAAAAAAGGAAAAAAAGAAAAAAAAAAGCCTCTCTCACTGATCTTGGATCGGAGACAAGCATTGATTTGACAAATCAAAGCATATCTCATCCAATCAAAAAGTCGATCCATAAATGGACAAAAATATACTTTCCATTTATAGACAAATAGACAAGTCATGCAAAATTTACACTAAATAACTCAAAAGTTTATTACAACATAAAAAAAAAAGGAGGGAAAAAGAGAGAAACTTAAGCTTCCATGACATTACGTTCAGAGACGTAGATACCATCCAAGAACTTACGGATATCCTTGTTCTTGACGAGACAAGATTGTTGGATATCAGCAGCAGATTGAGAAACGGCTTCAAGAGAGTTACCAGTCAAGACAAGTTCATCCTTTTGGGACTTGGAAGAGGCAACAGTGACACCTTCACGCATCTTGACGTGGAAGACAACCTTTTGACCCAAGAAGTTACGGATTTCAACAGCATCTCCAGCATCGTTAATGATAACGTTGATGGGGAAGTGAGCGTAGACGTAACGCATCTTGTATTCGAAACCCTTGGTGACACCAGTGATCATGTTGTTGATCAAAGAGCGAACAGTACGAATACAGGCAACGTGCTTACGGAGACCGTGGTGAACAACAAAGTTGATCTTGTTATCCTTGACAGTGATTTCAATGTTCAAGTGACGGAGGTTCTTGGTGAGAGAACCACGGGGACCTTCAACAGTAACTTGACGGGACTTGATAGAGACCTTGACACCTTCAGGGATGGTGAGTTCATCAGACTTGTAGATATCCTTCATTTTGAAATATTACGCCCTAGTAATAAAAAAAATAAGTTCATCTCATTCTCTTTCTTCTTGGGCTTTCGATAGAGATGCATGTATTCATTCATTCATCCATCCATCCATTCATCCATTCATCCATCTCTATCCATATCCCATTGATTTAGTTGAGTGACATACCAGATGCTTTGAGTGAAGGGGAAAGAGGAGGATATAATTGACTCCCATCTTTGCAACCACTTTACCCTCTCTCTCGCTCACTCGCTGATTCTCTCCCCCCTCACTCACTATCATGTATTTCAATGTCCGAACACAAAAAAAAACAAAGTGGCTTAGTTTTTGACAGGTCAAGTTTATTATGAATAAATCAACGAACAAATTTTGGCTTGTGTGTTTCATCAAGACACTCTCGACAGTGAACTAAGCATAGTCCAGTATCTTCATTCACTGTCATATGAGCATCTGAATCCATTTGTTTCTTGCAACCTGCACAACGCAAACACTTTTTATGCCAACGACTGGCATTGGGACCTGGCTGTGTATCTGAGAATGGCATACTTTCATTACAACGAGCACATGTACGCGCACCACCTAAACGAGGCAGACCCTTTGTTCTTGACTTGAAGATATCAGAGGGAGTCGTAATGGAGTTTCGTTTAGGTAGTTTTTCACCTGTGGTTGGCTGTGTGATGATTTTAAGACCCGGCTTACTCGATGCCTGTGAACAATGGTCACAGTAGAGTTTGCCTTGAATTTTAGATAATTTGCGATCTGTTGGTACTGTCTTGTTACAACCAGCACATAAAAGACACTATGCTAAATGAGTCTCATTTTGTTTGGACATCATTACATACCTCTTTATGATAGAAATGATTCGCCAGTTCTAAACAAGTCTCTGTCACAGGTTGACTGCATGCGTTACACATGACGGTTGTTTGTTGTTCTAAAGGGGATTCCATGCCTTTGAGTGTATTGAAATGTGTGTTTTGAGGTGAAGGTGTTCTGGGATACGCTTCATCTTCTTCACTTGTAGGGGAGCCTTGCCTGGGTGATAAGATAGCCATGGTAGGATGGACAGGACACTAGAGAAAACCCATGTCAGTGATATAGGCTACATATATATCGAAATACCTCAATATGAAAAAACTGTGTGCCATCTGTACAGAACTCTAAACCATCAAAATTTTGATGACATTTAGCACAAAACAAGCAATGATGGTGGAAACAAAGCACTTGTCCTGTATGAATCTTGAGGCCTCGATAGTCCTTTTTAGAGACATGTAAACCACACTCTTTGCATGGTTTCTTGACCACTTTCTTTTTACGAGGCGCAGTGGATTTAGGTTCCTCTTGCGGCTTCTGAGTCGCAGCAACAGCCGCATGTGTGGCAGCAGCAATACGTTTGGTAATTGAAGCCAATGTACGTTTCTCATCGTCACTTGTAGGACTCAATGTGGATGCTCTTCGGGTCTTTTGGTATTGAAAATAAGGATTTTCACCTGGCTTGCTTGAAGAAGTAGTAGACCTAGAAGCCTTCAAGGAAGGAAGAACGGGCGTGGAAACACTTGGACTACCGGGAGAAGGCATTTGTAATCGACTGACTTCAGTCAATTGACATGTACGACAACAAGGTCTTCCTTCACTATCGACTGTGGCCAACATGGTCTTTAGGGCTGTCTTACAGTAATGACATTGAAAGCAAGGTGCATGCCATACATGGTCTTTAAAATAGGCTTGAGCATCCGTACGATGCACAGGTTGATGACACCCAGGACTATATAACATAAGTCAAACAGTCAGCGTTGATTCTCCACTTACCAAGCGAGTTTTTCTTCTAGACATGATTTACAGTAATAAAGTGAGTTATACATGGTTAAATCAGTCCAAGATTGCTGTGTCTGTTGACATTGAGCACAGCATTTGGTATGGTTGGTAGTGCTGTTGTTGGTTAATTGAGATGGGTCGATCTTTGTTGGGGATTCGGGACTACTGAATTGTGGCATTTTACGTTGAGGTCTTGTTCTGATAGGTGTACTTGTAGTAGCCGTAGGTGTACCAAGACCACTGTTAAAGATAGCCTTCTTTCCATAACTAACACATACATAGTTAATCTTTAGCCATGAGTACCAAGTCAACTTACGTGTCTTGCCATTTGTCTGTGTTTGTTTGACTCAATATTTTTTGAGTTAAAAAAGGACTTGCTCTTGTATTTGTGCTTGTACTTGTTGTCATAGCAGACTTACTCATAGTTCGATAACACTTTGGACACGTTGTGTTACTATAGACGTTTTGATTACAGTAAATGCAAAATCCCATATGTGCGTTGTATTGAATAAAAAAGAGAGAGAAAAACAAAACAAAACAAAAAGAAGCTCCTTTATATAGGCTTTTATGATTGTTTTGAATTTCATTACCATAATTGGCCAATGTATATACACAACAAGTTTCTTTTTTTTTTAAGCTATGTAGAGACAGGTTGTACAAATGTCATCATCGTCTCCCTTGTTTATATACAGTCCAAACAACTTTCTATTGATTTCTTTGTTCTGTTTAGCTGGGTTTTTAATTAATTTAATGCTATCGACTATTCAAAGCAATCCTATTGATTCTATTTTGTTCTGTTTAACTCCCTCCCCCTTTAGAATAAAATAGGAAGGACCTTCTTCTTTTCTTGTCATACATTTTTTTCTTTTTTTTTTTTTTTAAATTGACACAATGACAGCCATGGATCCCAAGGTCATGCGCTATATGAAGCAAGTTTATAATAACTTAAATTTAGCCAGCCGAATACCTTTACTATCCAACGACAAGTTACCATCACCTGTTGAGGCAGACAAAGTAAAAGCACTCTTAGGTTTAGACGAACCAAAGTTAAACCAGACAATCAAGTCGTTTTTACAAAACACGAAACCCAACAAGAGTATCACTGACTTTATAGACATGATAGATAAAGAACTAGAGAAATACTGTAAGTTGTTTGATACGCGTATATTTACCTTGACACGTCTCTCTGTAAATAGCTTTTATTGAAGAAGAGGAAGAAGAGGATTTCAACGATGACTTGGACGAAAGCCTGTTGGCCACATTAGCAGATCAAAACACGCAAAGAAAACGCGCTCGCCCTTACCAAGAAATACCTCCTGTCAAGAAACATAAAACATCTCCAGAATGCTTTTCTATTGATACAGAACATAGTCAGACACACAATGTCATTTCTTGTCCTGCATGCTCACATAAACTGTTACACAAAGTGCCCTGGATTATCTTGTATGAAATTGCGCGTTTTGTTCAGTCATTTGACATTTCCTGGAATGAAGTGCCTTTTGATGCATTTCGATCTTTTATTAGTGTGGCCAACACGGATCCAGTTCGTCTTTATGAAGTGATGGTCAAATGGAATCAAGTGACAAGACTAGGCCAAAAAATCAATGGCCTTACTTACACTTATATGGATCGTTGCCCTGATACAGTATGGGCACATTTACAACAAGTACAGAAAAAGGACACCACTCAAAACAAGCGCCACAAGAACCGCATGATTCATTACAGTGGTGTCTTGAGCATCAAGAAATCCACTGCTGAACCGACCATCAAATTACGTGCTCCTAAAGTAGAAGCCTCCAACCGTTTCTTTCGAAAGTTTGGTCAGGATCGATTCTTGGAACTCAAATTGATGAAAGGCACTTATTCAGCTATGATAAGCAAGTTTGACAATTATTTCCTAAAGCCCTTTTTATTCATGCAACGTACATTTCGATTCTTGTTTGTCAAGGATGATATGGTGGTGTTGTTTGCTACAGAAGGAGAAGGTCTAGAGCCTATTTCAATTCAGCAAGTGATTGACTGGCATATGCCCATGATAGAAAATTGGAATATGTCCATGAGCAAGTATGCCAGTCGTATGGCCTTGGGCTACAGTAGCAGTATCCCCACACTTCATTTTCAGCCTGATGAAATACACTATATTGACGATTTGCATGCCTCAGGCGATCTGAACGATGAAGCCTCTTGTATGACTGATGGTTGTGGTATCATTTCTTGTTCTGCCATGAAACAAATCATGGGCTGTCAAGCAACCGACGAATTACCGTGCGCCATTCAAGGTCGTATTGCAGGTGCCAAGGGGATCTGGATTCTAGCACCCGATATGGATTTTAGTACAGGCAACTATATTCAGATCAGAAAGAGCCAAAACAAGTTCAAGACAGGCTTACTTCAAGAAGACTTCTCGTTTGATCCTCATCATTATACATTTGACCTTGTCAAAAACTCGATCATGGTCTATCCTTCCAGCCTCAACACGCAATTCATTCAATGTCTCTCTGCTGGTGGAGTGCCTACTGAAGTATTTGTGGAGATCCTGAAAGAATATGTCCATCGATTGGCCACCATTGTGACTGAGAACCATAGTCTCAAGATCCTAAGGGACTGGGTGGCGAAGGCAGGTAATGTGATGTTAAATCGATGGGAGGCCGAAGAGAGCACGGAAAAGGGACTCTGGCGTGACTTGGCCATGGACGATATAGAAGGTGGCGATGATGAAAATGACAGTGGTTTCTTTACCATGGACTCGATCGATAATGAAGAGATACACTATGAAGACCAAGCATTACTCAACAACACAGCCGCAGCTGAATACGATCTGCATACCAGTCGCACTGAACATTTATGGGCTGTCACACCGCCTTCTTTAAAAGCCAACAATTATGCTAAAATCAACCGGTACTCAGGATTCCCTGCTGGCCTACATGAATCTGTAGTACGCTTGTTGGACGCTGGATTTGACCTGTCCAATGCGTATGTGGCTACTCGTGTCACCATGGTCTTTCGACAGATCATGCAGGCTATTACAGTCAAATATAAAATTGAAGTACCCCAGTCATGTACAGTGACCTGTGTGCCTGATCCCACAGGCACATTAGAGCCAGGTGAAATCTTTTTGCAGCTATCCAGTCGACGTAAAGATGAAAAGACAGGCATTTGTGTCGGACAGATCTTGGGCGATGTGATTGTGACCCGTAATCCTTGTGCTCTTAAGAGTGATGTTCAGAAAGCGAAGGCAGTTGATAGTACAGCATTAAGAATGTATACAGATATTGTGATATTTTCAGTCAAAGGGGAGACTTCTTTAGCCAGTCAACTCAGTGGTGGTGATTATGATGGTGATATTGTAAGTGTCCAATATCATATGAAACTCATATATGCTAGGTGTTTGTCTGTTGGGATGAACGTATTGTCAAGCCATTTAATCCATCACCTGTACAGAAAGAAAGTCCAAGAGTAGCTGAATCATTTGAGAAAGACAAGACAACTGTAGGCCAAGAAGTAGGTGCCCAAGACAATGCTGAATTGGCCATTCAAAAGAACTTTTTATCAGTGGCTATTCCTGATGGCACATTGGGTGTCTATGAAAACTGGAGAACAGTGCTTGCTGAACATACGTCAATGGATAACCCCAATGTGTCTTATTTAGGCCATATGTGTGCTAAACTTGTTGATGCACCTAAACAAGGTCTTCGCTTAAAGGCGACTGCTAAAGCACGTGATAGAGCCTCTTTTGCTGATCTGCCTTATCCAGCATGGTTTATGGACAAGAAGAACAAGCAACGTGGGCCTGGTCTACATAGCTATAAGTCGACCAATGATGTCTATACACTCCAGGGTGCATCTTGTACTACCACCATGGACTATCTCTATGATGCCTTACTGAAAGAAACAGCTGAATTCACAAAGTATTCCCGCAGTATGTTCTGTGATGATGATGTGCCCTTTAAAGATCCAGATCTGATAGCACCTTGGATAAAGTCCCAAGAACTTGCCAATCAACTGAATGATCAAGCACTGAAAGCAGACTTGGACCTGATTGCCAGTGCTGTTAAAAAGAACCAAAATGAGTACAATGAACAAGTCACAGAATTTGATTCAAAACGTCAACATTATATGGATAACCTTGCTAATCCCAATCGATACCAGAATAACAAATTTATGGATGAATTGCAGAGTCGATTTAATACACATTTTGAACTTGAAGAATACTTTGCCAAAGAGTTCCTGAATTCACCTCCTACTCAAGACCTCAAATCTAATATTATCTTGTTTGATATACAGGCCAACAGTGGCAAATTGTTAATGAGTCTAAAGGCATCTTACGCCTATATATCAAGTACAGCCCAGAAAAAATACGCCAAGTACAGTTATATTGTTGCATACGATGCTTTAAGACGTATCAAAGCAGACGCTTCTGCTAAAAAAACCAAGGAAAATGGTCTAGCTGAAACTGTGTCTGTATCGGCCTATAAATCAATGAATATTGACAGAAAATGGTTAAGAAGAATCAAGGACTCAAACTATATAGAAGAGAATATTGAACGCGTCCGCCTGATGACTGAAGCAAAAAACAATACCAAAAAATAAACATGTTTATTTCTTCTACATGCTACATGGGATACATGAAGGAAGTGAGTGAGAATAAAGAGAGGTACACGTCATACGTGCTATTTTATTTATTTTTAGTTTTTCATTTTTTTTCTTTTTTTTTTAAATATAATCAAGGCTCTTGCGAACCTTCAAAAAATTGCTACCGCGCTCCGGAGAGCACTGTAGACGGGTATTGGTTGTAGTTTTCAACCAGCAATAATCCAGAATCAGTATGAACCTCACTTTCGTGGATTTGCCCGAGCACAAGAATACAGAAGAAAGAGGGCCATGGGTAGACCTCCTTTTTATAGTTTTTTTTTCGTGTTAGAAAGCAGTCCAAAGCTTGACTGCGAGTCGTGACGCGCATAATTCAAATTTCATAGGGAACACATATTTATTTACGTCATGTTACTTTTCTTTTTCCTTCTCGTTCATCTCAGCCAAATGAGCTTCTTTAAGTGTTAATGATTTCTTCAGGTTATTGATATCTGTCTCAAATCGAGCCTGTCATTTGTGTTTTAGTATAACGTACACTCTATGTGAGTAGAGATTACCTTGAGCATAGCATTAGGTGCAGTTGATAAATCACGGGTCTTTCTTTGAATAGCTTGTTTGATTTCAGCAATTTCTTGACGTTTTTGTTCTATCGTCATTGAGTCTAAACTGTCTCATTCTATATGCTTACCAATTTCGCCTGTCTGTGCTTCTCCTTCGTCATCTTCATCTTCTGATTCGTCTTCATCTTCATCTTCATCCTCGTCTTCGTCTTCTTCTTTATCTTCGTCATCGTCATCTTCATCGTCCATTTCACGGTCAATGGCAGCAACCAAGTCCTCTTCATCACTTTCAATTTCATCTTCACTGTCATCAATGTCAATGTCTTGTGTGCCTGCGTCTGATTCTTGCTCATTCTCAATTTCTCTATTATCAACCACCTCTATTATTATGCAAATGAGATCATGTTCTTTATATCCCTGTCTTTACCATATTGAACATCTTCAGCTGTGGCATCAATTTCCAATAATCGCTCTACTTCTCTTTCCACTTCTTCAATGGCCTTTTTTTATCGTCTATAAGTGGATATGACATGAAAACCACTTACTCGTTTAGATAGCTTTTTTCTAAATCGACGTTGTCGAACATGCTTTAGTGGTGGTGTCAAACCATGAGGGTAGCTGTTTGGATCTGCATCAAGTCTCCCATTAGCAGGTAGTATAAAGGGATCTGAACCAGAAGTAGGATCGACTAAAATCATCTAGTTGGACTAAGTCATTGTCATCCCGTGTTTAATCATTCGTATACCTGTGAAATATCGGCTACTTTATAAAACTGCTTTTTATCATACGTCTTTTGTGATTCAATAATGGTTGGTAAATCAACAAGTTGTGTATCGTAATGTTTGCCTTCAAATACAAAATATCCTTTTCGATTGTCTAGAGTAACATGAGTCGATGCATGTTATGGATCCTATTACCTTTAAAATGAAGCAAGACATCTTGAGGAATCTCTCTTTTCTTAACATATTCACGTAATTTATGACACATGTCTCCTTCGGGCACTCGAAAGATTAATTGTTCTTCAATAGCTGCTTCGGGATCTTCTTCGTCTGATCCTAGCAGACGATCATCGTGGTCGTGGTGATTATTTCCTTTGGCTGTGAGTTTGATCTTGATTGTCTTGTCTTTACGACCTCCTTCAGCCTTAGGCTGTCTTGGCTTTCTGACTTTGAGTTTAGGTGTATCTTTTGAAGGTTCCATTGAAGAGAGACAAGTATATATATAAAAAAAAATAGACGCGCTTTAAAAATCAGAAAATTGAAATTGTATATGTAAATTCATGGTGACTAAAAATGGGTATTTCTGAATGCAAGCTTGATGACAAATGCACTCCTTTTACGTGACCTTTTTGTGATAGGGTCTCCACCAATCAAATGAGCAAAATAATCGTCATCGCCTTGAATTTAAAATGTCTTTATCTCTTTGTTTTTTTCCTTTTTTCTTTTTGTTTATTAGAGACATAGACAGAATATGACGACAGATAGAAATTATTCTGTAGAGACAGAGATATATTCATTCCGAGGTAAATTGAGTGAGTGGTTAAAAAGTGTCAAAATTAAATGGCAACAGACCCATCCAGCTTTAAGACCAGTCTTCAGACAAACAATTCCACTCAACAAGACAGTCATGAAAAAGGCCATTTTACAGTAAGACATATATGCATGTGTGTGTGTGTGTGTTTGTCAACTGAATTGACTTGATATGTTAAAGTTTCGCTCTGTTGTTTGTGGACTTATGATTGGCACATTAATGTGTTTCTCCAACATGTATTTTGGACTTCAGACTGGTTGGATATCCATGATGTCGCTTCAATCATCTCTTCTGGGGTTTGCGATATTCAAGCCATTTCAACCTATGCTGAGACACACATTTGGACCGATAGAAAATGTGGTATTACAAACAACTGCGGTAGCCACTGCAACCATGCCTCTGGCAGCTGGTAAATGAATTTCATATCTATTTGAAGTGTCAACTCATATGATTCACAAAAGGATTTGTTGGTGTTATTCCTGCTATGGAACTAATGACAAAAAGTGATCACCCTACAGGACCAGTGATATTGAGTGGTCAACAATTGATTCTTTGGTCACTTGCAGTGGCCTTTTTCGGTGTATTCTTTGCTATCCCTTTAAGAAAACAAACTATCATTCGAGAAAAGCTTAAGTTTCCTTCAGGAACAGCCACTGCGCAAATGATCAGCTTACTTCATCAAATACCAGATCCTACGACCCTTGTCTCCCATTCGAATAGTGTACGCAAAAGAAAGAGACCTGAATATCAACCCTTGATCCAAAAGACACAGACACACTATGCCACTGTACCCCAACAAAATCAAGCTTCTTTTGAATACAGTTGGTCACTCAAGCTACATGGTCTCATTGCCTCTTTTACAGCATCTTCCATCTACACTTTGTTGTCTTACTTTGTACCTGCCATTAATGTTTTACCTGTCTTTAACTGGCTTACTTTTGGCTATGTAGATATGCGGGCATGGGAATGGTATTTTACACCTAGCTTTAGTTATATTGGACAAGGTATCATTATGGGATTGCCTACAACACTCTCCATGCTCTTAGGGTGTGTGGTTGGCTGGGGCATATTGTCGCCTATGGCTTATTATGCTGGTTGGGCACCTGGACCCGTGGATGACTGGAAGACAGGATCCAAGGGCTGGATTTTGTGGATTTCTCTTGGTGTGATGATTGCTGAATCATGCATTTCTCTATTGATTGTGCTTGTCAAAACCATTGTTAAAGGAGTCAACCAACACATACGCTATCAGGATCATGAATCTAATACAACAGAGACAGAAGAAGAAGAAGAGAAAAATGATGCACCTCCACATCAACAGGTCCCACACTGGGTGACAGTGGTTGGCTTAATTGCCTCTACCCTGAGTTGTATCTATCTTGTGCGGTTTGTGTTTGGACCTGATGTGTTACCATTGAGTATGTCTTTATTGGCTGTCTTTGTAGCCATGTTCCTCAGTATTCTTGGCGTACGTGCCTTGGGTGAAACAGATTTGAATCCTGTGAGTGGTATTGGTAAGATCAGTCAAGTGCTCTTTGCCGGTGTGATGCCAGGTGGTATTTTAGCCAATTTGATTGCGGGTGGTATTGCTGAAGCAGGTGCACAACAAGCAGGCGATTTGATGCAAGATCTCAAGACAGGTCATTTACTGAAAGCATCGCCTAAAGCGCAATTCTATGGCCAAATGATTGGATCCTTTGCCAGTGTCTTTATTGCTTCAGGTAACAAGTAGGATTTCATATATACATGTCGACTGATGGGTGTTCATATAGGTGCTTATATGCTTTATAGAACAGTCTATAGTATTCCTGGGCCTGAATTTCCTGTACCTACAGCCCAAGTATGGCTTGACATGTCTCGACTTGTCAATGGTCATCCTCTTCCTCCCCATGTCTCTGAATTTGTTTATGCCTTTGCTATCTTATTTACGCTGCTTGTCTTGATCAAAGAACTCTCTCCTACCAACCAGCGCTGGACACAATGGATTCCTCAAGGGATTGCGTTTGCTATTGGCATGTACAATCCACCCAATTTTACCTTGGCCCGTGTGATAGGTGGTATTACAGTGCATTACTGGAACCAGTATTGTGATCGCTCGATAGACAAGCATGAACCCTCTTTATGGATAGAACCCTATCGATCCATTGGTGGCAAAGTCTTTATGATTGTTGTTGCTAGTGGATTTGTGCTAGGAGAAGGCACATTTGCTATAGTGAATATGACTATGCGAGCCTGCAATGTGCCTCATTTTTAAAAAAAAAAAAAAGTGTATATTTTAGTATTTATTAAAGTGTATTTTAAGCCGAGATATACCAAAAAAAAAGTCCGAGCGCTGCAGGGCCAATCAGATGGCTTTGAGCGATCTGGCACCCGCACAATGTAGTATTTTTTTTACTAACGAAGCCGTCCAACAAGCAAACCTTCCTTTTCACATTAGGTAAAGTAAAAGGGGTACACTATGATAGGATGAGAGAGAGGGAAAGAAGAGAGGAGATGCGTGTTGATGACAAAGGATGGATGGATGGATGGATGTTAATGGATACTAACTTTTTTTTTTATGACTAGTCAACATGGAAGCTGTTCAGACATTCGGTCGCAAGGTAAATTACTTTTCTTCCCTAATTAGCATGACTACGAAAGAGAGAGAGAGAGAGAGCAGAAATAGATATATACGTGTATACTTGAACAGAGTTTGGATTCGACAAATAGATATCACCCTTGATGATAGAGAAGCCTACACCATGTCATATGCATAAAGACAATGAAAGAAAGAAACTATTGTGTGTATAGAGCAGCCATCAAGCTATTACCAACTGAATAGAACATATCTAACCCTGTTTATTGTATCTCTCTTTCTTTCTTGCCTTATTAAAATACACATATACTTACATCGTTAAATAGAAAACCGCTACTGCCGTCGCTCACTGTAAGCGTGGACGTGGTCTTATCCGTATCAACGGTTCCCCCATTGATCTCCTCGAACCCGAGATCTTGAAGTTCAAGGTTTACGAAGTCATCCTTCTTTTGGGTGAAGAACGTTTCGCTAACGTTGACATCAGAATCAGAGTCAATGGTGGTGGTCACACTTCTCAAGTTTACGCTATCCGTCAAGCTCTTGCCAAGGCCATTGTTGCTTTCTACCAAAAGTTCGTTGACGAAGCTGCCAAGAAGGAAATCAAGGAAATCCTTGTCCAATACGACCGTACTCTCCTCGTTGCTGATCCTCGTCGTTGTGAACCCAAGAAGTTTGCTGGTCCTGGTGCCCGTGCTCGTTACCAAAAGTCTTACCGTTAAATTGGGCTCCTTTTGCTTATTTTTTTCTTACAAGATGTTTCTTTTACATTAAAGACTATCTTTAAACTTGTCTTTTTTTTTGGCATGGATCACACATCCTTTCATGTGATTGTACAACAGCTTTTTTTTGTTATCAAAGTTCAGGGAGACAAAAGGGCTTTGTTGGATGAAGATAGACTAAGCCCAAGCAGATGTATATAGTGTTCCTGATTTGCTGGTTTTTAAATCCCTATAGAATGGTGTTTGTATTCTATAGTCATATTGCATAAATGGGGTGACATGATGCATGACAGGTATGTGCTTCATCTTCACTTCTTGTTTATTTTGAAGCACAGCATTGTACGCGTTTACTTTGTTAGAAGATAGGTAGTACAAGAACATATAAAAAAAATAGAGAAAAAAAAAAAGAAAGTCATGTCAAACTCTAACTGTACTCTGTTGCTTGTGTTAGGTTCTCCCTTTATGTATATGTCATCTTCTCCCTCTTTTTTAATAAGATGTGATCTCATAAAGGGTTAGCGGATATTCAATTCATCTGATTTGGGGGGACATGATGATTCGTAGATGTTTATCTATCAAAAATGAATATATACTGCTGCGTGAATGACCCAGGCTAAACCTTCTTTTTTTTTCTCAGGCAAATAATACAAAAGGGGGGTGACACCTTATTCACCAATCAAATTCCGAGTTTTGTTTCCCTCTTTGGAATAATATGCAAATAATGATAAACACATATTTTTTTATTTTGTCTCTTGAACGCGTAATTCTTTGCTTCTTTCTTTTTCAACTAAAGATGGATATGTTATACTCGGAGAGAAAGAGAGATAGAAATTATGCTGAGTTTTCAAGAAGCACGCGTATACGATCAGCAAATGGTCGTAAGATAGGTGACGTATAAATCGATTGAATCCCCGATATTGATTCACGCATCCGTTGTTTTACAAGCTCAGACACTTTTTTTTAACGCACACACTCTTTTTTTTCTCTTTTCTTTTTTCCTCTTCTTTATCACTTGACAACTTTTTTTATATATCTCTCTACAAATAACACTTTTTAGCAATGTCTACTGTAAGCCAACAAAAAAAGCAAAAAAAGACGCGTTACTCATCTCTCTTTATTTAGGAACGTGAAAACAATGTCTACATGGCCAAGCTCGCTGAGCAAGCCGAACGTTATGATGGTAAAGAAAAAAAAGCTTCATCTAGTCACTTTAGGTTCAGATGAGAACTCATCATGTCTTTTTTTGTTCTTTAGAAATGGTTTCTTTTACCAAGGACGTTGCAAAGGTAATAAAGGAGAGAAAAATAACAAGTTCTCCTTGCTCATTTTCTTTTATTAGATGGGTGTTGAATTAACTGTTGAAGAACGTAACCTTTTGTCTGTTGCTTACAAGAATGTGATTGGTGCTCGTCGTGCATCTTGGAGAATCGTTTCTTCTATTGAACAAAAGGAAGAAAGTAAAGGTAACGCTTCTCAAGTTGAAAAGATCAAGGCTTACCGCCAAAAGATCGAAAGCGAACTTCAAGATGTCTGTAAGGATATCTTGGCTGTCTTGGCTGAAAACTTGATTCCTAATGCTCAAGGTGGTGAATCTAAGGTCTTCTACTACAAGATGTAAGTCTCGATATAACATTTGATCATGTACTAATGACATATACTTTCAAGGATGGGTGATTATCATCGTTATCTTGCTGAATTCCTTACCAGTGAAGCCCGTAAAGACTCTGCTACTCAAGCTCATGAAGCTTACAAGACTGCAACAGAAATCGCTCAAACAGAATTGGCTCCTACTCATCCTATTCGTCTCGGTCTTGCCTTGAACTTCTCTGTCTTTTACTACGAAATTCTTAACTCTCCTGACCGTGCCTGTCACTTGGCCAAGCAAGCTTTCGATGATGCTATTGCTGAACTCGATACTCTCTCTGAAGAATCTTATAAGGACTCTACTCTCATCATGCAATTACTGAGAGATAACTTGACTTTGTGGACTTCTGACTTGCAAGAAGGTAAGTAAATTAAATTAATTAGATGCTTTGTCGGGACTTCAAGTCTTCAAAGTGAGAAGTGGGGTTGGGGGGGGGGACCAAAGACAAACAAAATGTTGATACTTTATTTATATTAGATAATGAAAAGTCAGATGAAGCTAAGGCTGAACCTGTTGATGAATCCAAATAAACATTTTTCTTTCTATAATCTTATCTCACCTTCTACACTTAAACCCCCATACACACATCTCTCTCTCCCCCTTTTTTCCTTTTTTTTTATATTTATAAAGTCTCCCCTCTTTTTTTTTGATATCAGAAAAACGATATCGTTTTTTATTTATTGATGATAGCTAAACATGTCCACAGTGGGTATGGCAGTGGGAGGAGTAGGTGGTGGTGAAGGCGATAATACAATATCCACTGAATTTAATCTTTTAGTTGATGCATCTGTTAAAAGTTTATTGCCGAAATACGAGTTGGGTTGAGAGTAAATCAAAGGTGAATACATTCTTTTCTTTGGTTCATTTATAAAGGATATGGTTCTCTTTCTTGTGTCATTCTTGGACAAATGTGGCATTAAATCAGGCGAGATAGGCAGACAGCCAATTCGAGGACTGGCTGAAGGCGTTGTCAGACGATGGTTAAGCACATCGTTTTTATTGTAGTAACTAATGATGTGCAAATGTTTGTCATTGACGATCATACGAATTGTCTTTTTGATCAAGCCATTCTCTTTGAAATTATAGATAGTGTTGGATGTTGTTAATGAACCCACCAATGCTCTTTCTTTTAAGACTGAGTCTGGATTATGTTGTATATTGTCATGACAATGAGGGCCTGTGCTTCTACTTTCTCGGTTCTTTAATTCTCGATAAATAAGGAAGTTGCCAAGGATACGGGAGGGACTCCAGAGAAATCCATCTGTCCACCGTTTGATGCCTATTAAAAAGATAAGAAACAAGACAAGGGAGTGGATGACTTGCCTGATGCTGATTCATCAAACACAATAATAGTGCCTGATTGAATCAAACTACGTTCTTTTTCAAACAATCGTCGATTTGTCACTGGCAAAATACCATGTCTACATGCTTCAATTAAAAGCAAAATATCTGTTGTTGTTTCAATGTAGCCATGAAAAGTCTCTGTGAATTGCATTGGATTGAAATGAGTGAAAAAAAAAAGTAATCTTTCTTTTTTTTTTTGGCATTTTTATTTTACTTTGTTCTCGTACTACCTTCTTATCATCATAAAACAAAAAGAGCTATTGCTTCTTTCATATCATAGCTTCTTCTTTTACATGTCATGTCTTGTGCTTGATGTATGTTTTTTATTTATTTTTCTTTTCTGTTTTACAACGAGTCAAGTATACGAAGTTTTCCTTTTTAAGTTACAAAATACCCCTTTGAATCTTACTTTTTTTTTTTCCCTCGATCAAAATGAGGAGAACGCAAGCCTATGTAAACTCATAATTTAGTTAGAGGGCAAATAATTAGGTGTTGTTCCACATGGACTCAAAAATTAATTGATACAAACAAAAAAAAAAAAAAAAAAACTCTCCTGATTTCATCTAATTACAGGTTACTTGTTCTTGTTTCATCATAGAGCCAAAATGTTTTGGTTGATGATAATCTCATTTGGAAGCTTATTCCGTAATAATAAAGAGATGGCGTATGTACAGAAAAAAAAAAAGGAGAAGGAAACATCTTTACAAATCTTACCTGCATTGAAGTGTGTCTGCCTAAACAAGAATCAGAATGTTTGTGTTCAGATCGGCGATACGTCCCAAAATAATTGGAATCTTAATCATTGAACCATATGCGTTTACTATGGCAATGAAATATCTTTTTTTTTTTTTTTTTTTTTTTTTTTTTGGATGATCTTCATATCTAAAGGCGAAATAGTCAAAATAAGCCATGCTTTTCTTGTTACTGTTGATACATGGTAAGTCTTTTGATGATTATTAGCTTTATTGTTTTTGTTTCATAATTTAAATTAAGTATTAGATAAGTATTAAAAAGAAAAAGGAATAAATGCATCTATTAAGCTTTATCATTATCAGGCTTGTAGAGCTCTTCAGTAGGCTTGTAATTTTCTTGAGTTTCTTTCTTATCAAGACTATTGGAATGCTCTGAACCAGCAGACACATCCGTTTCATCATGTGCTTCCAGGCCAAACGATTTCATAGGTATCGTGAAACAGAAAGTGACAACAGCAATACAGAGAGCAATAATCGACAAAATCTTTTGAATGTAGCCATAAGCTTGAACAACACCAGCCCATTGATCGTCAGGCAGTTGTTGTGCGTACACAACATTACCCACAATTTTGGCATAATCATACTCTCCAGGAACATGTTCAGCAATTTGACCAGGAAGCATGTTGTTCCAAATAGCACCGGCCATGGTAGAACCAATACTGGCAGCAATAGAACCACCAATTTGCATCATGGCAGTAGCGACAGCCATATCTTCATGAGGGACAGAACTTTGGATAGCGACCAACATGGGGGTATACAAGAAACCAGAGCCAATACCCACAATCGTTTGTGAGATAACAACAAAGGCATCTGAAGAAGAAGGAAGACGAGCAGGAATCATAAGACCGACACCGAGGATGGTCAAGGCAACGCCGGTCCACACAAACGGCTTCCAGACACGGAAACGCTTCATCAAATAACCGGCTACGACTTCGCAAAGGATATAGGCCACATTATAGCCTCGTTCAATCAATTGAGCTCGTTCAGACGTGTATCGACGAGAGACCATCAAATACGTAGTGTAGTATTGCCAGTTGGTAGAAGAAATGATCGTGACCGTCGAGAGGGCACAGACACCATACAGAGGCGTACGCGTATCCCATCGGGCAAGAGGAATGATGGGTTTTTTAGAGAACTTGATTTCCCAAAGCGCAAAAAGAGCCCAGGCAACAACGCCACCCACAAGCGTACCAATGGTGATACCACTACCCCAGCCACCCCATGTTGTATTGGCAAGCACCAAGGGAAGTAAAATAAGACAGAGACCGGCGATCAAGAGAAGACTACCGACCACATCAAGTTCGATAAGCAACCATTGAATTCTTTCAAAGATGCCCATCTTTACATCTTGAATATTGTTTTCTTGCTTGTATTTTTCAATAAGGCCACTCTTCTTTACCTTGTATTGAAGTCGCCAAAGATTGGCGAGGAGAGGGAAAGAAGTAACGAACAAGAGGATAGGAACCATACCGTAACCCCAACGCAAGTGACCAGAATCATAAAGAGCTTGACCTGCTTTTGTGGTAACAAAAAGATTGATCAGGGTAGGAACATTGTAAAGACCTTGGTAGAGACCACGGTTAATAACACTGGTTAAATCAGCAATGGTGACAGGACCAAGAATAGCGCAGCCTGTATAACCAAAAGCATAAATGACTTGTGCACCCTATGAAAAAAAAAAATTAGCTGGAGTTCATTCTGTTATGCTGATACGTACGACTAAATTAGCATAAGTTTTGGAAGTAGCCATGACAATGTAAGAGATAATGTAAAGAACCATGGCAAATGTGTACCAACTAGCTCGACCATAAATATCAGAAAGCTTGGAATACATGGGCAAAAGAGCTGTTTGAAGGATATACAACACAGTAGATAAAATACTGATGAGGTTAACTGATTGTAGTTCACTGACCAAGTAAGGTTGAAGCGTCATATTTAAATAGGCTTCCCAATTAATGGCCCACGATAAGAATACTAAACTATTATAAAGAAAAATATAAGTTTATCAAAAGATGTATCATCAACGTACCTGCAAAACAAAATCATTCTATCATGTTTATGCCAAACAAGCTTATAGAGTTCAACAATCTTCACGCCCAATAAAACATGTTGATTTTCCTCATCTGAAGACATGATATGACGAAATTCCAGTTGCAAAGAAAAAGTTACAAAAAAAAAAAAGACCTGCTTCCCAGTTTAGGCTATTTATTTATACTGATTCTGCTTTCTTCAGTCCAGCTTTTTAGTTTTGAAACTACGGATGTAACGTATTGTTCTGATTTGTTAATGGGGTTTGTATTATCTGATCATCAGATACTTTAATTCGGAGATGAAGGGCCTACCCTTATTCTTGTGCATGGATCATTGCCTGGGCATTTGGGAACTCGATATCGAATTCATCTCTATTGAATTGTTTTCTCTACTCGTTAGCATCTAAATTCATTGTCTTGAGAGATAATGTGTCTTTATGAAGGATGTGCGCAGTTAGCTTTTTTTCCTGTCCTACAGAAGAAGATTAATCTATTTTTTTTTTAGTTGAGGTTACATTGAGCTAGACAGTTAAATCTCATGAGGCACAAAATTTTGTAACCATACTCAAAAAAAAAAGAACGTCAAAATAAGAGAATTGCGCTGCCAATGATTACTTGCCTTTCAGTTATCAGATCCTTTTTTTCAGGTCCCGTTTATAGATTTTTATGAATGACTTGCTTTATGTATATCATGAAGACAACAATAGAAAGAAACTTCTTTTCTTTCTGGATACTGTCAAATTTTGAATTAGGGCTAATGGCATACTGTAAATGGAGTCAGTCAGAAAAAAAGTGTGAGCATATAGGATGATAATCGTGTATTCAAATGAGGCCGCATGGCCCCGTACCTGCAGAAAATCACAAGTTATATTAGCCAACTTTATTCCGATCAGTCCACGGTTGCAGGGTATATGTCTAAAGCTTCCTTGTGTTCCGATCCCAACAAACCAAATTAAGGAATTCGATTCCTATGTGTAACCGCCATTTTTTTTTTTTTTTGAATGATCTGATAATAAATTCATCTTATGCAAGGTAGTAGCTGGTTTAGTCATTTTAAAAATAAATCCCATTGGTCTAAAATACTGGGAGAGCATTCTACACTGTCATTGATTTGACATCACAGAATGCAACAGGAGATGTACACATGTCTTGGCTTAGTTGATGTGGACGAATTGTTCAACAAGGTAAATGCAACGTCAAAAATACGTCTGTGTTACTAATTTGATTGATGATAATCTTTTCCCTTTTTCTTACCAAGAAATAGACTCCACCATCTAGGAATTCTGAAAAAAAAAATAACACTTGTCAATCAACTCAGATGTTGTTCCCTCCCTTTTTTGTAGACTCGGCCTATTATTGCTTTCGTTACTAAACTCAATTTAGACGACTCTTTTTATTGTTCTAGAAAAGGGTTCCAATTGGCCTAAACTTTTTTTTTTTTAAAAAAAGACTTATTATACACTATAGCATAACTGTCAGGTCATTTGTCAGTACAACCGAAGCTAAACCACCCAAGTGGTCATATTGGAGATCAAAGACTTCGGTCGAAAACTGACGCCTTAGAGTTTTTAGAACGCAATAGATCTCTATTCACCTCCAAGTTAGAAGTTTTAAAGCCCAATAGATGTGTAAAGAACTGAAGAAATAGTGTGCTTAGTTAGCTTTTTAGTTCATTTCATCCAGTGATGATCTTCTTTACCTATTGATTGTGTATTCAAGTATAGAACCTTTCTAATTATTTTAGTCTGAACGCACTCTACTAGACATAGTAGAAAATCAATTACAAAAACACAGTTTGAGCACTGTATTATCGATATCATACAAAAGACCTGTGTTCCTTATTAACAGCGTCATTGTTATATGGGGTTTCTATTGTTTTATTGTCGTTTTCAAAAAGAATTGCAACAAGTACTTTGGCAAAACTAATCGTGTACACACACACACACACATATATATATATATATATATATATTATAGAAAAAGAGAAACAAAATAGCTTATTGTGAACGTTGATATTCATTATATACAAATATAGAGATGACTACAGACATGGCTAATATAAAAGTTATCAATGAATTATTCAATAAAAATCAAGGGCTTACCAAGAAGCATGTCCCATCTCTCAGTAGCAAAGGACCAAAAATTGGATGCTTTTTCAGGCTCATGTTGATCCAGTCGATAAGAATGAACATTGCCATTCTTCAAGCCAACAACTACAAGAATGGTTAATACATACTGATTCCATTATCTGTATACGTTATTTACAAATGTGTTTCATGGTATTGTCTGAGTCTCTCCAGAATTCAACATTGCCTATTGGCTATATAAAAAGTATTCATTTACTGATCAAACCCCTTTTCTTTTTCCTTACCTTGACTCGACCATATTCATCTTTTGTTGGAGAAATGACCATTTCCAACTGCCATGGTGCTGGAAAGTATTGACTTCGCAAAACTCTCTCTTCTTCTGACATTTCTGACAGTAGATAGTCTATCCATTTCTCTATAAAAGAAGGACCTTGTCTTTTCTCGATTTCATCACTTTTATTACGACCATATATGTATACATAATTATGCTCTGTCCAGATTGCCAGTGTGTCTCCTTCTTGATTCAATTGAACACCCATAATTTCTGCGTCTACTGCCTCGTATCCCTGCCAATAATAATATTCATCAAGTATTGTTTTTCTACCGTCATTTGAATATAGCCGTTCTTTTTCTGCTGGAATTTTTGAAAGAATGTCTACACGATCTGTAAAGTCTAGCGTGATGAATTTGTTTTTGATGTAGGGAAACACAATGGTTTTGGAATCGGCTGATACTGTAGAATATAATTCTATGCTGTTTTGCTTACTTTCTTGTTGCTGTTGTTGTTGTTGTTGTAGTTGTTGAAGCTGTTGCTGGTAGTGTGTATGACGATAATTGGACATATCTGCATATCGTACATACTCTATCGAATCATCATTATAGACAGGATACTATAAAACTATAAGTATAAAATAAAAGAATTCAAATAGTCTTACGTCTGATTCTCCTTTTTCCCTTTGCACCCAAAACGATTGGTTTTCTGCAGTGGTGACATTATCTGCTATTGTGATATTTACATAATAGGTTGACGTTGTCTTGTGTAGATTGAGTGTAAAGACTCTGTAGGTTTCTTTACTAAAAAGAAATTGTTAATATATTGAGTTGTTTCACAAGGATTTCTTGTACTTTACACAGGTGAATATAATCTGGATAACAAAGTTAAGTATTGCTCAGTAGAGTATGGTTGTGCCCATTCTAATCAATACAATCAGTATTTTCCTCATAAAATCAATCTTAAGTTACCTTGAATAGGTCTTCCATGTTCAACTGGATAATCAATCAAATCAGTAGAATTAGATAAGCTAGAAGGTAATGACATGATATGGAATTCAAACAGATCAGGATCCCTTTTTTTTTTAAGAAAAATAAGCCATTGTTACTCTAAAGACACTTTTTTTTTTACCTTGAAAATAGCAGTGAATCATTTTCAAGTGAGATTGCGTTCACCCAAATTGTACCTGGTAGCTTAATATCTTTGAATTCAAATGCAATGTTGTCCTGGTCATCCATTGCGGTATAATAAATTCTCACATAATGATATGAGTTGTCATCATCGATCTGGTGGTACAGTACAGCAAACTGTGTCTGTTCTATCATGGTCCCATCATTGTTTTTACTCGATATTTGAGAGATTTGACCTTTCAATTCATGTTCAAAGCAAGGAGTCCAGCCTATAAAGTAATAAATACGATATATAAATATATTTTCTAGATGGATACCTTCTGTCTTTAACAAATCACGCTCTGTCAACGCACTTGAAATAGGCATTCTTACTTGCTTTACAATGCCTGTATATTATAAGCAATACGACCACAAAAAAAAAAAAAAATACCTCGAACTCCCAACTTTAGCTTTTCCGTGCCTATTAAAGATCCTTTTCCCTTTAAGTCTTCAAACTTGAAAGACGTGACATAGATATAAGCGCCTACTGTGGTGATGATCACCTTGTCTGGTTTGTGTATAAAGAAAGAAGGAGGATTAGATGCAAAAACTAGTTTTGGATGCGGATAAGGCCTCTCTTGTATGAGCAATGCAATATACATAACAGCAATTCCACTCAATAATAAAATAAGCGAACGCCATTGCATAATAGAAAGAAAAAAGACGTTAGTGTAAGAAACAAGAATAGAAAAAAAAAGCAAAAAAAAACAACAACAAAAATCAATGCACAAGTTATATCCCTTTTTGGGAACCCAGACCAGCAGTGCCCAGCATTTGATATCTACTTGCAACGTATGCTTTCATTAGACAGAAACAATCCATATTGAAATATAGATTGCATTGTCATTCCTATTGTTTTCTTCCGCTTATTTTTTTTTTCAAATATAGTATGGCAAAAGGGAAAAAAGGCGTACAACAGTCAAAAAAACAAGGTATGCATACAAAGCAAGCAATAAGACCCTTTAAAAAAACCAACTTGTGCTTATGTCAGTTCTCCAGAAAGAATTACCCGTAAGCAAAGACGTGCTTTACAGGTAATAAATTAAAAACAAGAAAACACAACCAACCTGAATAGAAATCGTTTTCGGGTGGCGATCCAGAAGATCTAGATGGTCAACTACGAGAATTGGGTTTGTGTACCAAGAACATCACTGGCGATGGCAATTGTCTGTTTCGGTAATAAATATATTATGTTGGAATGTTTGACTGAGACTTTTGTAGATCTCTTTCGGATCAGTATTACGGACACGATGGAAACCATAAGGCTATTCGACAGGAAGTATGCCAATATCTTAGAGAGAACGAAGAGACCTATAAATTCTTTGTAGAAGACGATCAATCCTTTGAGCACCATGTTGACTGTATGTCCCGAGACGCAACTTTTGGGGGGAATATGGAACTGGTTGCTTTTGCAAAATTCAAAAAAGTGGATATTAAAGTCTATCAGCCAGGCCTGATGTAAGTAAGTTTGTCGACTGTTTTGCTCATTGCAGCCAAAGATACATAGTGAATGGTGTGGATGAAGAAGAGCAGGATTTAAGCACTGCAGAGGAAGATCCAAAACAAGTGTTACATATTGCTTATCATAGCTGGGAGCATTATAGCTCTGTAAGAAACATAAACGGGCCTTATACAGGACCCCCTGAGATCAAGGTACGAATGTCTTTCTACATGTCTTCTTTGTGACTCATGCAACAGAGAGTGCAGTCCAATGAATTCAAGTCTGAGGAACAAGGCCAAGAAAATGAGGAGAATGAAGATCAAGCGCTTACTTCTACAGAAAAGGTTGTAAGAAATGCTTGTCCAGACACAAATATCCGTAAAATCAAACGTCTTTTGATAAAGTACAAAGGAGATCCTGATAAAGTGATTGATGTTCTATACGAATTAGAGCACAAGGATGAGCAAAAAGTGGGAGTTGCCTCTGACAACTGTGCAGAAAAAACGGTTGATCAAGCTGCTATCGAAAGTAACCAAGAAATAATGACTCAAGAAAAAGAAACGACTGAAAATGGCAAGATAACACCAGATGCTAATTGTGTCAAGCTTGTGGACCAAGCAGAAACAGTAGAAAAAAAGGCCAAGAAACCATCTGCCAGTGAACGTAAAAAAGAAGCAAAGAAAAGGCAAAAGGAAGCCAAGATGCTTAAAGAGCAAGCTAAAGCAGCTCGTAAGCTCAAATATAAACAAGAGCAAACAAACCCTGATCATGAAGATTCAAACATAAAAGCAACAACGCATCAAATGAAAGAAATGTACATTTAATCATAAAATAGTTAATGTTGTTCCTTGCTTGGAGTCAAATAGGCTGGCTCTCCGGGTAGCCATTTTTGAAGTACTTTGGGTATTTGTACAGATCCATCTTTTGTTTGGAATGTTTCGAGAATAGCGATAATGACACGCGGTACAGCAATAGCAGTACCGTTTAATGTATGACAAAATTGGGTATTTTTCTTGGTTTGGTGTTTGGGGCGGTAACGAATGGATAATCGACGAGATTGATAGTCTGTACAATTCGATGTTGAAGAAATCTATAGTGAATCAAATTAGATCCAATCTCAGACTCTGTCTTACTTGCCTCTCCCCATTTGCCTCTACCAGGCATCCAAGCTTCCATATCGTATTTTCTAAAAGCACTTGCGCCCAATTCTTCTGTTGGCATATCAAGTACTCTAAAACATAAGCCAAGGTCGGTAAAGATTTCTTCTTGCAAAGATCGAATTTCTTCCATCATGGCTTCACTTTGCTCTGGTGTTGTCAATGCAAACAGTTCTACTTTAGAAAACTGATGCACTCTATATAAACCCTTCGTTTCTACTCCTCTCCCACCAGCTTCTGTTCGGAAAGCATGACCAAACCCGACCAATTTTTTGGGTAACTCATGCTCATTTAAAAGCTGTGTAGCAAACTTTCCTGCAAGTGGGATTTCAGCGGTTCCTGCCAAGCATAATGTGGATTCGTGGTCGGGTTTTGTGGCGATGTTGTAAATCTGGGAGCTTTCTCCACGACGAGGTTGAAAGCCACAGCCATATGCAATATTGGTACGTACAATATCAGGTGTTAATACACCAAAAAACCCTCTTGTTGCAGCTTTATGCATGGCGTATTGAATTAGCGCTAGTTCTAAGAAAGCACCCATGCCTTGGAGGTAATAGAAACTGGATCCACTTGTGATGGCTGCTTGTTCAATGTCCAAAATATCAAGTTCAGTAGCAAGTTGCACATGATCGCGCAATCCTTCTGAAGATCTTTGCTCCCCCACCACCTTAATCACTCGAGCGTTGTCTTCTGATCCAATAGGCGATGCACTGTGTGTATCGTTTGGAATCATGAGTCCTTGTCTCAGCAAGTGTGATTCAGTTTGATTGAGTTGTTCTTCGCATGCCTTGATATCTAGCTTGACTTGTTTGCCTTCTTCTATGCATGCGTTTCGTTCTTCTTGACTTTTTTTTGCTGCTGCTCGTGTAGCAAGTGATAAATCATTACGCTTTGCTCTTAATACAATAAGTTTGTTATACAACTCAAGACGGGTCTTGTTTAACTTGACAAATGCATCCATGTCCATCTTTTCATACTTTCGGTTGATCATGTTTTGTTGAATCGTGGTTGCATTCTCGGCCAAGTAATTGTAATCCAGCTTAGGTTGTATCTGAAAGGCATTTTTTGTAGTTGTATAGCTTCTCCTGACACATAATCCTCTAGCAATACGCTTTAACATATTTGTGGCCAAAGATAAGTGCCATATTTACTTTGGGAGAGCCTTGCCTTGGGTCGCTTGAATGTGACTGCCTCGTGTGCCTGACCAGAGTGCCTGACCCAGAACTGTTTGTTTTTCTTGAGGAATACTCTGTCGACACTCCAACGCCTACTTTAGAAAAGTAAGTTTTGAAAGATGGATCACTATGAGGAATGGTTCTTTAAAGAGTAGCGTGTAATCGAAGTTATGCATCCCCTTTCTGGAGTCTTTTAATCCTTATGCCTATAGTACACACAATGAGATTTTTATATTCTCCAATTCATTTATGTATTTTATCTAATCTCTACATATGTATTCATTCGTAGTCTCTTTGAATTTGAATGCTTGAGTAGCATCGCAGTATCATGCACGTAAAAAAAGGCGTGTGATTGGAGATTGAAAATAACAAAAAAAAAGATTTCTTCGTAGACCCTCCAAAATTGAGCATTTGCTGAAAACTACATGAAGGCGCAGTTATTTCGCTTTAGTATAGTGACAAAAGTTGTATCTTTTTATTTTTTGAATCTATTGATGTAAAGAAAACATAACTTTACTGCTAAAATGTTGAGAAAATCATTAAAATGTTTTTAAGGCTTTTTACTTGTATTATACCATTTCTATAATGCACTCAGTAAGCAAATACTTTGATCAAAAACTAGAGTTTTGGCGCACACTTTGAGTATTTAATCTCATTTATAGCTTCATTTTTCGTTTTGTAGTGTCAAAAACAAGATCAAGACTTGGCAAAATGAAACTCTTCATGACTAGTAAGTACCCTTTGGTCCAAAGGCAATCTTGGTCAAATTCGAATTTCTGTACTATTGATTCAACCCAAGTTAATTCAAGATACTGATCAGAACATGAATTACCCTCCATTGACTGAAGGACTCGAAGCCTCTGAGTACGCTTATGCATCCAACCCTTCAGGAGGGCAGGCCACTTTTGTTACAATCGCCAAACGGGCATCCACTCGCCATCAACCACGTTCCTCACCTCGTCAAGTGGTTAGTGTTGCTGACAGTTCACGCCTGCTTTACGGTGAACCCCCTCTTTCTGCATTGGTTTTCCAAATCAAGCCTCCATGAAATTAATTCCTTGGTTCTATACGTAGGTCGTTTTTTTTTTCACAAATATAATCATATTGGTTAACCGTGAATATAGTGTTCATTCATGTGCACGGTCTGAACCATAACCTTTCTTTACACACAAGTCTCATTAAAGTTACATGATACAGTTGGGAATTTATTTGATCAAAGTAGTGATATGATCCAATCTAAAGGCCAGCACTGCTTTTAACATGTTTGAGATTAGAACTGTGGCAGTCAAATATTCAATCAAAAATAAGTTGTGAATGATGATACCTTGAATATTTATCATTAACATATCGCTTGAAAGCAGGGGAGTCAAGAGTTTGTCTTTTATAAAATGAAGGGATCTTGTCGTTTAACGCTTGACATGTTTCAAAAGCACAAGAGATAAGTTGCAAGGTATCAAATTGATCAACAAACTTCAAGAGATCACTCTTTGATGAAGGTGCTCTGATTTCTGCGAATTCAACCATACAATAAATTCCGTCTGCGATAAGCGATTCAGCGTAAAATTTAATAAGTGTACCTATAAAAAAGAGGGAGAGAGAGAGAGGGGGGGGGTATAAGCAATCTTATTTCTAGATGACTTTTACATTATCTTACCAACAGCTTGGAAATTGATGTTTCCAGTCATATTATCAAAGTCAATTGCCTGTTTCGAAAATATGGCAAGTCGTACTAGATCTTTCGTTATAATATAGGTATCTTTTTTTGCCTCCTCTACTTTGACTTCACCAAAACCCTTTGAACCGGTATAATGGTTTTGTATAAGATCAGAGATAATTGCGTCAGGTCGTTTTCTTTGGTTGACGTCTTCATTGGTAGCTTTTGATTCTTCAGTAACTTGATTAGCCCTAAATATCTGAAATTATTATCTACATTTATAAAACTGTATTACCATCTCAAACACGAAAAATGTAAATGAAAAAGATTGGAAACAAGGGCATTAAGATTGGCCACACATAATTCAATTTCCCCAGTCTTGTTGGTAGGCTTGGCATTAGGTAACGTTTCGACACTATACAAAACAGTGGTGTTAGTTATTATAAATTTAACTAGAATACATACTAGTTTATCAAAGCGAGCAAGATATTGTTCTCAATTTCAATTTCAACGTTCTTTTCTTGATTTGTATTAAGCAAACTTGTAAGATCTTGAATACACTTGATCTTGTTGCCATCTCTCTTCATGTATGCCTAGGTGTGGTGAATACAATCAATCAAATGATACTCACAAATTGCTTTAAGCGTACCTTAATTATGTTGTATACTTTGGATTTGATATCCTCATTGAACATTATATCTTCGTAATCATCTTTGATTAGCTTTTTTAAAACAGCATCCTGAGTGAGGTCTAATTCAGCCAAAGAGAAGTAGTCCAAAAGGTCAGAAGGGTAGTTATTCTTCTTTAGTAATAAAATAGATGAAAGTGCCAGGATGTTGAAAGGGTGCGTTTCAAGTAAGAGACCGTTTTTGTTACAGAGATCAATGGAATACTGTTGAAATTGCTGGAATTTTTCAGTCAAATTTAATGAAATGTCATGATCTTGGATAATATATGGCTGCTGTGGTCTTTTTATACAAATAGTCGTGCCTCTTAAAAATATTACAGGTGCAATTTCTTTGTCGTTTTTGTTTTGTATATTATTAAACATTTGCGTTGTTTCGTCCTGATTTATCATAAGTAGGCAATATACGGCTATAAATACTTACTTTATAGTCTTCGTCGCTATCTTCATCAAATATCTTTTTTCTCTTAGCTAAAACAATGGCGTTAAATCCGAGAGGATACAATTACAGTTGGTATTTACTAGATGCATTGTTTATCTTCACTATAGGATTTCCTCCAGTAAAATGTTGCACTTGCATATTGTCCGCGTTGTGGTAGTTTATCTACGTAAAGAGGTGTTATATTGATAAGCTTCATGTATTGTGTAATATAAGTTTTGCTTACGAATTTGATAGGTTGCTGTTCTGGGTTGCTTGAGCTTGTTGAGTTGTCAACCTAAAAAAAAAAAACACTTATTAAACCAAGTTCTCCATGTTATTTAACAAGACCTGTTTAATTGTAGTTGTAAACCGTTTCAAGAATATTTTGGCTTTGGCTTTCGCTGACGCAAGACGGTTGGGATCATCAACTAAGGTGTTTAAATCTTGTATCATTAATTCAATAGCTTGATCACCGTAAGTGATTCTATATGTTTCTTCGGCATCACTGAATTTCCATGAATTGCAATGAATTCTGTCAAAGTACATTGTGATCTGGATGAAAGATAAAAAGTATTTATGCGAATATGTTGATTTTATCAAATGCGTCTAATGAAAAATATCAACGCGTTTACAAGGAAATTCTGATACAGGTTGACCACTATGAAGGCAGGGCAAAGAAGAGTGCTGATTACATGATGTACCAATATATTACAGTATATGATTTGTAACTAGGGCTTTACCAGCGCAAATATTTGATGAGTATACAACACAGTATGGTTTATTTAAATCAACTAATAAAAATGACAGTGTACTTATACACTCATGAAAAATTATCGCCTTATTTTTGTGAAGTGCATTACTCGATCAACAATTGACTTCAGCTCTCAAACCTTAAGGAGATGATAGGTATAATAAAAATAATGAGTATAACCACCTTTAGTATCAATCACAACTTGATATTAGTTGGTCATATTGTGTAGTAGTAATGAGAGAATAGAGTGGAATTCGTATCCGTGTAAGTATTTTACATAGACTGGTTCATATCTGTTACCCTTCTATTCTCTGCTTTTTCTTATAATCTAATGTAAGTAACAATATAAATATTACTCATGTCATGTATCTCATGCTCTGCTTAATTTCTGCTTTAGTATACCACTTCAAAAAAGGTGGTTGAGGTAAGAAGACAATAAAAAGTCTTGTTTGAAAGTGTTAACGAGGCTAGGTTACATCACTAGTCTTTTGCTAAAAATATTAGACTTCCATTTGCTTGAGCCCCTGAGCTGCACTATATATCAAGTCTTATTCTTCGCTAAACAATTGTTCGCATTTTCAGCTAAAAATTCTATGCTCTACAAAATGTACCAATTGGCGATAAGCGCCCATACGTGTCACCCCAATATTAAATGGTATGATTGAGTGATTCGAGGATATCTTTCTCTGAGAATGCGTTTATAACCATTGCATCACTTCAGACTAAGCTACACCACCATACCTCAGAAGGCTTCCATAAAGAAGTATTCGACTACTGAGTTGCATGGCGTGGACCAAAACTACACTAGATATCACACACATCTTTCATATGTGTCACCCCAATATTAAATGGTATGATTGAGTGATTCGAGGATATCCTTCTCTGAGAATGCGTTTATAACCATTGCATCACTTCAGACTAAGCTACACCACCATACCTCAGAAGGCTTCCGTAAAGAAGTATTCGACTACTGAGTTGCATGGCGTGGACCAAAACTACACTAGATATCACACATAGAAAGCACTAAAAAGCACAGCATATTCCACAAGTTAAACAACTTGCGATAGAGTAAACTACTTTGGTTAGTAAGCGTGAACAATCTTTTTTAAAAACCTGGACAAAGCAATTGAATTGACTAAGATTAGTTGTATCTTCAATCTACAAGGTCAAGTAAAAAAATATAATGGTTTTTTTTCTTTTGCTGACGTATCATTTTTCGACCAATTAAAAAAAAAATTCAAACTCAAATCACTATATCAACATCACACCTTACCTAATTATCACAGACCAAAGGGTCATCATAGATGCCATATAAAATGTATTGGCAATTGAAATATCTACAGTACTCTATGTAATCCTGAATGCAAAAGGACATACAAGGATAGAAATAGAGGCATTTTATAATGTAAATGTGGGGGCAAATGGACATAGAACATGCCAGATGGTAGTGTGCAAAGATTAAAATAGAAGACATCTTCAGTCCTTAGTCCCTTTCTTTCGTGATGCTCCGGATTTTGCTATAATTCCTTGTAGGACCCTATATCTCTTATATATCAATAATTGTGTCAAGTGCCAACTATCTAAAGTCATTTTGAAATGGTATTCTTTACTTGTGGTATTAGTGTGGCATGAAATAAAGAACAGATTATTGTTCATCAACACCATATAATATTAGATTATAGGTAGAGTTTTTTTTTTAGTATAAAATGATTTATAAGTCAAGGTATAAGCATATAAGGCCAATTCTCGTTCAGGTATAGAGATAGATCAAAGAAAAGAAGGATGATCAATCAAGATCATATTACGCTATATCAGCTTAAAACAAATTCCATAGCTTACATCACTCTGAATGCAAATGTTATTGGAGTCACTCGCTGAGTGAATAGAATGGCCTTAGATATAGTCTCACCCTAATATCTTTGTATTTCGTTTACTTTTTGTCTTTATACAAATCTGATAATTCAAAGGGTCTGATCTACTCTTTATGGAAAAAAACATTGCTATTGTGATTAACACTCACACACGACTATTTTAGCACGAATGTTCACTGGGATTGGGTTTAAATGGACGACTCGTATACAAAGCATTAGTTTAGCAGTAGTTTAGTTCTGGTGAGTTATCTTTTAGCTTGCAATAAAGTTCATTATTTATTTTACATTTTTCCGAATAAGGCAAACATAGAGAACAGTAGAGAACAGAGAGAAGGTATCATAAAGTGGTAAAAAAAAAAGAAAAAGATGTATCGAAGAGTGACTGATTAGATGTCAAGAATTTTCTTCATGAGGGTCGCTTGTTCTTCCATTTTTGCAAGTTCATTTTCCAATTCATTCATCTTGGCCCGTTTTTTTCGAATGTCCTCAAGCAAAAGAATAAGACTCTTCTTGTTTTCTTAAAAAAAAATGTTAATTAAAAAAGAAATGCATTCCGCTGACCACAAACCTTTTCCAACTAGAGGTTGTCAATTCAATAACATTTGTTGTCACACGCTCAGTGACAGGACGGGGTGACGATGGCTCAGAATCAAGTGGAGGTGGTGCAGGAATCAATGGTACTGTTGACGTGCTAGGTGGATTAAAAGATAGAGGTCGCTGACTGTAAGTGACGCTATTGCCAGACAACTGCATGGCTGGTTGTACTTGTATACCACAACTTCCAAGAGACGTTGTAGCGTCCTTATGAAGATTGAAGAAGACAGAAGCATTTGCATGAGAGTCGAAATGAACAAAAGCACAACTGATAAACACAGTACGCAGAAAGAGAATCAGCCCAACGTTTTGAATTTGGAGTTAAGATAAATACCGATGCGATTGCTTTTTCGCGACATGAAGAAGACCAACAGGCTTGGAGTATTGATTTAAAAGGTCAAACACATCGGAATCGGTCTTTTCTTGGAGCCCCTGCCCAGTGATCCTTACTTGAGAACGCGGTTTGTTGCACTTATTACAATACTTTGGATTTACTGATAGAGTGGACACTCAGTTTGTCAAGTAGCTGATGTTGCGAGATGAGGAGAGAATAGATATAAAATAAGAGAAAAGGTAAGAACACAGAGAAAGTCCGTTAGGACTAGTATAGGCTTTTATTTTCCAAAAGAAATATTATCTTTTCCAATTGCTATAAAATGTCGAGGTATTTATACTTTTTCTTCTCAGTCAAAATATTGTTTTGAGGTTAGCTTCTTGACCACGGATTGATTTGCCAGATCAGCAGCAGTTAAGAGAAATGCCTTTAGAGGAAGTTGTCAGCTCAGTCAATTGTACATGATCTGATCTGACCTTGAATAAACTATTGCATATTTGTCAAATGCCAATACCAATGTATTTGTCAGCTCTAACTGTCACTTTACGAGGGCCATTGATGATAACAGAGCCACTAGGTTAATAACCTCTGACTATGAGGACGATGTAGTACTTCTAGTAGAATGAGTGAATGTCAGTGACTATAGATCCATTGCAATTGCCATAGATGTGATCTGGTTTTTTGCCATGATCATCATGTATTGATCTATGTATATGAATTCATATATGTTCACAACATATACGATTATCACCCTGTTGGTCATTTCCTGTCTCCCAAACGACTACGAACGGATATTCCATTTAACTCCAATTCGGTTGCTCGCTTCCGAAACGCTACCGCTAACGGTAATTGTCTTCTAAGCCCTTGGTTTATACAATGTATGAGGCCAACATCGCTCAGCCTCTACAACGCTGCTCAAGTCCCAGCCATCAAAAAGTCTTTGGACTTTTACGCTTTCCGATGTCGCTTACATTTGTCTATGGATGAAACATCTCTTATCAACCCTAGCATGTCATGCAAGGCCTTTCGAGCTCATATTGCTAAGAGTCATAATAGCTCTATTCTGTATCAACAGGAGATCACACATGTCTCATGGTCCCGATTCTGGCAATTGACACTCACTACCGTACAACGTAATGTTATGTATCGGTTGCTACCCAACGGCTTTTATCGCATTTCTTGCCTACTGCTCATTCCTCTCCTTCTTGTTGTCTTTGTGGTGATGCTGAGGACATTTATCACTTCTTTTTTCGCTGTCCTGTCAAATTTATCTATTGGGACCACCTTATTCGAGAATATTTATGGCCTGGCACTACTGTTGACCATACATATGAAGCTCTTAACTGCCTCAACTTTAGGAAAATTCAAGTACTGACTTCGTGCCCTATTTCTTCGCCTATGCTCCTAATCATAGCAATCTCTGAAGTGTGGAAGGCTCACTGGCTCCACGTCTTTCATAATGTTCCTTTTTCTCTTCTCGCTGTCTTCCGCTCATGTCGATTAGCAATTCAACGCTGTCATGAAGAAGACACCTTTGTCGACGAGTAATTATTTTTCGCGTTTTTCTTTTTTACCTTCTATTATTGCCATTGCTTACTTATAAGAATATATTTTCCTTCAAACAAAAAAAAACTGTTGAGCACCACTTTCAATTTTCATTGATACGTGCAACAAATAAAAAACCGAAATTTGAAAAATTGGCGTTGGAACGACTGTATTGAAAATAATGATAAAATGGATGTGTTTTCATTGTCAGAATAGTCCTGTTCTAAAGCAAGAAAGACGCGCAGTGTGAGACCTAACCACACAGAGGCGCTTAACATGGTCATTTTTGCTTTGACCTATGTTTAGTTTATGTTTGTATTTTCATTTTTATTTTTATTGTAAAAGGTTCGCTAAAAAAGCGAGAAGGTTCGCTAAAAAAGCGAGAAGAGTCGCTAGAAAAGCGAGAAGAGTCGCTAGAAAAGCGAGAAGAGTCGCTAGAAAAGCGAGAAGAGTCGCTAGAAAAGCGAGAAGAGTCGCTAGAAAAGCGACAATGGGATGAAGAGAAAAGAAAAAGAAAATAATAAATTATCTCTCTTTTATATTTAAATGAACCAATAGAAATCAAGTGTTCTAAGCCTAAAAAAAGAAAATGACTATTACTTTCTGATTGTCTGAAATTAAAATAAAAAGAATGATTTCTGAATTTTAGTGTACTAAATCACAAAGTGCATTTTACACTTTCTGATCCTCTTTACACTATATTCTTTCAAAGTAAAATAAACAAAATGGTAACAGATACTGCATACCGCAAGAAGAAACGCTTCAGTAAGAATAAAAGGTTATCCCTTAATTCCAAACTTCGAATACACAGGTTTTATCCGCCCTCGCTCTCCTTTTACAAGACATCCTGCTAAGAGTACCCGCCCCGCGCCCATTAGTACTTCGCCTCTATAATGAAGCCTTGTCCAGATCCCTCTTCCCTAAATCTTGGTTACTATCTGTCATGATCTTACTTCTCAAAAAAGGTGACTTGATCCAGGCAAAAAATTATCGCCCAATTCAGCTGATCAATACAGACACTGAGATTTACACTGGGCTACTTAATCAACGAATCATGGTAAATGCGTCGCATCTAATTAACCGACACCAACTTGGGTTTTTGTCTGGCCGTTTCATTGCCAAACACGATCTTTTAACACAAATGAATACGGAAAATGCTTCTTACAACACTGAGGCTGCTCCACATGCTATTAGAATGCTCCTTGACCAAGAAAAGGCATATGACCGCGTTAACTTGGATTATTTAGAAGCAGCCCTGTTACATCTAGGCTTTCCTACTCTCTTGATTTCTTCCGTGTGCTCTCTGTTTCGTGACAATTCTATCGCTAATAACATGAATGGTTGGGTTTCGTCCAGACGAGTAGAAAAAAAAAAGAGGGTGACCCATCTCATGCATTTTGTATAATTTTGTACTTGAACCTCTGCTTCGCTCAATTCTTCAAGACATCGCTTACAAAGGCTACTCTTTTGTCAATCATCATCTAGTTGATACGGTTCTTCCTACATCTAAACATCTCAGCTATGCTGACGACATGCTCGTGCATCTACAGGATCACACTGATCTGGATTGGCTACCTGTGCTTCAAGAGTTTCAAATCACTAAGGTGTGGAACCATGCCGACTCCGATCCACTAATTATTTTGGATTTCCATTAATTCAGTCGACATCACAGCGTACTTCTTTTGTATGAACATTCTTCCAGTCGCTCCGTCGCCTTGCTAGTCTAAATAATAATCGAGGACTTTCTGTACTTGGCCGTGCCACTATTGCCAATACTCTATTGCTGTCTCGATTTTGGTATGTTATGCGTGTTACCCCCCCTCCCCCAGGGCAACACTGGCTGAGATTCAATCTATTGTCTCTGGCTTTGTCATTCGTCAAATCTTTCCTAGAATTAGTTGGAAGGTAATGACTACTAGCAAAAAATTGGGTGGATTGGGTATCCTGGATCATTCTATACAACAACCTGCTCTTTTCTACAAATGGGTTGGTCCCTTGCTTTTTACAAGGCCTGAGCGCTCTCTAGTTCAACAATTTTTGTATGTTCACTTGACCAACCAATTTAGAACAGCCAATGTTTTAATGTGTCTCCTTTTTCCGCTTGATCGACCTCGAATCGCAGGTTGCATGGCTTGCAATATCACCTTGGTATGTCGCACTGTAGGCATCATTCCTAGGCGGCAATTTACTTACATACCTTGCCCTTTGGATGCCTTGCTATAACCTTTACGTGCTGTGATTGATCCGGATTGCAGCTATACTCTACCTCGACCTCTGACACATGCTACTGTTTCTGACTTTTACGATTATCACCCTGTTGGCCATTTCCTGTCGCCTAAGCAATTGCGTACAGATATACCATTTTCAGCTAACTCCATCACTCGCTTTCAAACTGCTATCGCTTCTGGTAAATGCCTGATAAGTCCTCCGCTTACCCAATGCATGAAGCCAATATCGCTAAGTCTTTACAATCCTGTTCACGTGTCAGCTATACAACAATCTCTGGGCCTTTATGTGCTTTGTTTGTCAAAGATGTGACCTCTTACTTTCTAAGGACATTGTTTAATTCAAGATGGCTTCGTCGCAACTCTTACGAAAAGAAAGAATTCACAAACTTAATCTTTGCATTTGAACAGTAACACACCATACGTAAATGCTGTACCATATATATAATAGTCGTTTATAGCCCTTTAATTAACGAAAAAACTTTTTTGATGCTCAACTAATATTGATTATCGGGTAGATATAGACTGAAAGCAGAAACTTGTTTTAATATACTCACATAACTGCTTGCTTTCTATTTTCGATATGATAAATAAAAAAAGCTGCTTTTTTGCTATTTTTACATGAATATATTATTGGCTGAAAGGATTGTACTGTAAGCGTTCATTGATTTCATCAAATCATGCAAAGGACATTTCAACACTTGAAATTGATGCAAAAAAGTGTGCACAAAAAGGTAGCATGAAGCCTTTTTATGCACG